CAAGCGTGTGCTTTATTAGTCGTTTTCTATGCATATGCTTGTTAGATACCGCCACCCGAGACCAGGAAAAGCTTAAATACGTTAGATTTATCTTCGCTCTTAGGGCTAGCCACTGTAGCTGATTCGTCTATGACGCTAGGCTTGTGGCGATGCATACTCTGTTTCTCACTGAGACGTAACGGTTAGGTGCACATACATCATGGTCTGGGGCCGTAGTGCATCTCCCCTTAGACGGCCGTTAAGATGTGAGTTATGGGGGGAGTTCTTCCTATAGCAACTGTCCCTTGCACCTTTCGTAGTTGTAACTATGTTGGTATATTGCAGCCGGTTGTATAACCAGGTTAGATTGTGGCATAGGCTGGATGATCTCTTTTGGGTGTTTTTAGGTTATTTCCAAAATTTCTTTTTCTTTCCAAATTTTTCTTTTACATACAAAAAACACTGTTATTAAACATATATGGAACGGATATAGTTCGAAAAAAAATTATATCGACTTAAAACTACCTTAATAAAACCCCTGAATACTCTCCCCAGTCTCTGCATGTTATAGGAGGCAATGAATTAAACAATAGCAGAGTTCATTCAGAAATCAGAAACATCAAACATTTACTGTTATCAGCATGGTCGTATCATGGTCGTATTAGCCGGAAAATGACGAATACGACCATGGTCGTATTGGCCAGAAAATGACGAATACGCTCATGGTCGTATGATGGTCGTATTGGCCGGAAAATGACGAATACAACCATGGTCGTATCATGGTCGTATTATCCGGAAAATGACGAATACGACCATGGTCGTATCATGGTCGTTTTGGCCGGAAAATGACGAATACGACCATGGTCGTATTAGCCGGAAAATGACGAATACGACCATGGTCGTATGATGGTCGTAATGGCCGGAAAATGACGAATACGACCATGGTCGTATTGGCCAGAAAATGATGAATACGACCATGGTCGTATCATGGTCGTATTGGCCGGAAAATGACGAATACGACCATGGTCGTATTTACTGGAAAATGACGAATACGATCATGGTCGTATGATGGTCGTATTGGCCGGAAAATGACGAATACGACGATGGTCGTATCATGGTCGTATTAGCCGGAAAATGACGAATACGACCATGGTCGTATTAGCCGAAAAATGACGAATAATGACACAAAATTTACAAAACAGTTTAGCAAACTAAGTGCTAAGTGCCGTTCAGTCATTTATATTGAGTTTCCTTTCGAGAATGACGATTATTTTCACGTTAAAAACCAACAAGGATTGTTTCAAAACACTAAAAGAATATCAAAACATTAAAATTTCTCGCTAAAAACACTTAAAAAACGTTTAGGCGTTTAAATCTTGTCATTTCCAAGCGTGTGCTTTATTAGTCGTTTTCTATGCATATGCTTGTTAGATACCGCCACCCGAGACCAGGAAAAGCTTAAATACGTTAGATTTATCTTCGCTCTTAGGGCTAGCCACTGTAGCTGATTCGTCTATGACGCTAGGCTTGTGGCGATGCATACTCTGTTTCTCACTGAGACGTAACGGTTAGGTGCACATACATCATGGTCTGGGGGCCGTAGTGCATCTCCCCTTAGACGGCCGTTAAGATGTGAGTTATGGGGGGGAGTTCTTCCTATAGCAACTGTCCTTGCACCTTTCGTAGTTGTAACTATGTTGGTATATTGCAGCCGGTTGTATAACCAGGTTAGATTGTGGCATAGGCTGGATGATCTCTTTTGGGTGTTTTTAGGTTATTTCCAAAATTTCTTTTTCTTTCCAAATTTTTCTTTTACATACAAAAAACACTGTTATTAAACATATATGGAACGGATATAGCTCGAAAAAAAAATTATATCGACTTAAAACTACCTTAATAAAACCCCTGAATACTCTCCCCAGTCTCTGCATGTTATAGGAGGCAATGAATTAAACAATTGCAGAGTTCATTCAGAAATCAGAAACATCAAACATTTACTGTATTATCAGCATGGTCGTATCATGGTCGTATTGGCCGGAAAATGACGAATACGACCATGGTCGTATGATGGTCGTAATGGCCGGAAAATGACGAATACGACCATGGTCGTATGATGGTCGTATTGGCTGGAAAATGACGAATACGACCATGGTCGTATCATGGTCGTATTGGCCGTAAAATGACGAATACGACCATGGTCGTATTTACTGGAAAATGACGAATACGACCATGGTCGTGTCATGGTCGTATTGGCCGGAAAATGACGAATACAACCATGGTCGTATCATGGTCGTATTGGCAGGAGAATGACGAATACGACCATGGTCGTATAATGGTCGTATTGGCCGTAAAATGACGAATACGACCATGGTCGTATCATGGTCGTATCATGGTCGTATCATGGTCGTATTGGCCGTAAAATGACAAATACGGCCATGGTCGTATCATGGTCGTATTGGCCCTAAAATGACGAATACGACCATGGTCGTATCTAGTCGTATTGGCCGTAAAATGACGAATACGACCATGGTCGTATTAGCCGTAAAATGACGAATACGACCACGGTCGTATCATGGTCGTATTGGCCGTAAAATGACGAATACGACCATGGTCGTATCATGGTCGTATTGGCCGTAAAATGACGAATACGACCATGGTCGTATCTAGTCGTATTGGCCGTAAAATGACGAATACGACCATGGTCGTATTAGCCGTAAAATGACGAATACGACCACGGTCGTATCATGGTCGTATTGGCCGTAAAATGACGAATACGACCATGGTCGTATCATGGTCGTATTGGCCGTAAAATGACGAATACGACCATGGTCGTATCTTGTCGTATTAGCCGTAAAATGACGAATACGACCATGGTCGTATCATGGTCGTATTGGCCGTAAAATGACGAATACGACCATGGTCGTATTGGCCGGAAAATGACGAATACGACCATGGTCGTATCATGGTCGTATTGGCAGTAAAATGACAAATACGAACATGGTCGTATTGGCCGGAAAAAGACGAATTTGAGTATGGTCGAGTTCGCCGTTTACACTAGAACGAAAGTTTCCGGATTTGTAAAATCATCCGGATTCATTGTTACACACATGTATCGGATTCGTCAGGTGTTACACTACAATTTAGTTGTCTCTGTATGCGGATTTGTCCGTTTACACTCACTTGAATTTCTTCGGATTCGTCGTGCAAAGCGTTTACACAAGAAAATTTTCCGGATTTAAATGTTTCTGGATACGAAGCCAGTTTCCACAAACTTTTACGGATTCAAAGTTTGCGGATACGGCTTAAAACCGAGTACATTTTCTATCGGATTCGTTGCTGCGTGTGTAAACAGCAACATGAATCCGGTACTAAAACATTCCGCTTTCGTGATGAATCCGGAAACTTTTAGCTCTAGTGTAAACGGGGTTTGAGTTTGCAGGGTTGCTATGAACACCGGTTCATCCAGCATGGCCAATAAAGCATCGTGATGCTTCGTCTATGGGAGTGTTTTTTTGTCTTGGTATACCGTACCGCATCGAACATACCACTCGACTTTAGTTTTATAGTATATGTAAGTTTTTTTGTTTTTCATTCACTGGCTCTGCCTAATTTTTTATATCACATTTTACCACATTTTACGTACCGTAAAAAGCTGATTCCGAACAAACAAGACATCTTGAGAATCAAAATATAATTCAAACAAGACACAAATTGAGACTGTAAATTATCAACTTTATTACAAAGTCATCTTCAGACAGAATGTCTTGTTTATTCGGAATTGGCTTTTTACTTTACTTTTTTAAATTGAGTCGGTATGGTTTTTTTACGTACCGTGTTATTACTGTAACCATAGACTATCGAAGGAAATGGACTGGAATCTCTTATATAAAGCCTCGAAGTTTCAATAGCTTCTTCTCAAAAATTGCATCCCAGTTAATAGTTTCTTTTTGTAAGTCATCTTGGATTTAAAATATTTAATTTCCCGCCAAAGCGCACAGCCGTGTGCACATCAGTGCTTTGTAGCGTTCCCAGTCGATTCGTGTTAACGCAAATTTGAAGCGTGACACGAAACCCTTGGTAACGGGTTTCGATTCGTGTTGACGCAAATTTGAAGCGTGACACGAAACCCTTGGTAACGGGTTTCGATTCGTGTTGACGCAAATTTGAAACGTGACACGAAATCCTTGGTAACGGGGACGCTTATAAATAGAAACATGTTTTCAATATGGCGGACGGAAAGTATCGAATTCTGTAGAACTCTTGTTTTTCTTTTTTAAAGGATAAGAATAACGTTTAGTGGTACTGTAGAACGATATTGTTATAGATGTAGATGTTGTTTTTTAATATATCTTTCAAATGAGTTCAAAAAGAAGACCAATTAGTGCAAATTTTAAAAAAGATGGGGAGAAAAGAACGAGTCAGCAGCAATCAAGACCCTCTACTGCTAGAAGTACGGCGTCTACTCGGCAAAGCTTGAATGCTAGTTTTGTAAGTGTATTGCTTAAAGTACGCGGGGAATATGGGGAAGAAAACTTTAATAGCAACTCTTTCAGCCTGTCTTTACTAATAAAAATTGACACAATACTAGATAATATTCAATCATTTGATTCATTTCTGATTTCTATGAGTTGACCCCCTTCAATGGCAATTGGCATAACTTTTGAACCCTCGTAAACCTTGGGAACCAGGGCAGAACTCATGCTTCCTGCTAGTTCTGAATCTCTTTGGTGTTATTGTTTTTGAAACAGTTCAAATAGAGTTGAGAAAATTGACCTAATCATGCTTTATCATTTATTGTTTCATTTTTAGAGGTCTGATGTTTCTGGTTTGAGTATCACTGGAACAAAAACAGTGCAAAGAAAGCCCACATCAAGACAGCAACAAAGTATGATTCTTAAAACTGTACAGTAATTGTATTAAAATATGAAATTTGCATAACTTTCTAAATCTTCAGAGATTAAGACCACTTAAAGTTCCAGATCAAGGCCCTAATACATGTATGTAATTCCTGCTAGGTTTGAACTTCTCCTTTGACAAACACGACTATGATCGGCCGTCACACAATACCAAAAATAGTCGCAAGAAAACCAGTCAAGATGATGGGTTAAAATTTAGCCTTGAACAAGAGTTTGGTTCAGAGAGAGGGAAGAAAGAAATGAAAAACAAGTTGAGCTCATCAGAACCGGTGGAAAAATTTGAGGCAGAAAAAGGTAACTGAATGCAATGACAGATGTGACTCCCTCAGCCGTTATTTCTACCATATATTACCAGGAAAGTTGTAGTTTAAACACTAGACCCCAATCTTGACATGAAATTCATCTTAATGTTTGTTTTTTAGATGATGCATGGTGGGAAAATATACCAGATGAAGTCACATTTAGTCCAGCGTCATCATTTTCATACGCTTCCTCTAAATCTGATCTGGCAAAACCACATGCTTATGCAAGAAGTGATGAGCCCTCGCTCAATGACTTCTTGGATCTCTCTGATGAAACCAAGGGAAATTCTCTTGGAGGAATATCTCCAAGACGCAAAGAAAATAACGCTGAACGACCTGTGAAAAGCCCAGAGAACAGTCCTAGGAGACCCATCAATAGTTCACTGAAAATTGAGAACAATCTGAGAGGCGCTGATGACCCACTTGAAGATGATTTTAAAAAGAGTAACGAAGCATCTCCCAGAGGTACCAACACCATTCCAAGACTAGACTTGAGTGAAAATTCCCATCATTTCGACCACAATTCTAAGAAGACTGAAAGAGATGGTGGTTACCAGAAATTCAGAACAAATTCTCCAAATTTTGAGAAGAAATCTAGGAATGATGAGAAGCAGTACAATGCAGGAAACTTTCAATCAAAACTGGATCAAGGGCAGTTGCTTGAAGAGAATGCTGCTCTTACAATTCAAAGATGCTACAGAGGATATAGGACCAGAATGGAAGCTGGTTATTCTGCCGTGCAGAAAGCTTTGGATGAAAGACGAGCCATTATGGAAAGGCAGAAGAAGGTAGTTGAATAGGAAGAAACATTAGCTAAACTAATCCCTTTATTTCATTCCCCTAGCTAGCTTTCATTTTGACTGTTGTTTTGAGTTCAAAATGACAAGCATTGGGTTAGATTTTTACAATGTTAGTGTATAGATTTCTGTGTTGATTTTCAAGTGCATGGTTTCAGTCTGAATTGTAGTAACTCTGAACATTCTTTCTTCGTGCAGTGGGAGTCTGATTCAAACTCAAGTGTTGAGAAGCAACGAAGACGTGATGAGAAAGCGAGACAAGCACGTCAAGCTGCTATCCAAGAACTCAACGAGAAGCGAGAACGGAAGAAAGAAGACAATAAAAGATTGGCTGAACAGGAATTGGTAAATGTGGTCAATATTTTTTGCTTTATATGTGAAATTCTTGTCGAGAGCTTAGCCCAATAAGAATAGATTAGCGTTCAAAATGTGGAGACGGCCGAAGCGTTTTTTATGAATTTTTAAACTCTTTGTGTTTTAGAAATTCCTGGAGGAAAGTGGAAAGGTGACAAAAGCAAGGAACAAGAAACCAATCAAGATGAAAAAAAATCCAAAGAAAACCAATGTAGCAACTGTTGAACATATTGCAAGAGAGGAGAAAGATCCATTGTCAAGACCTGGTACTGCTAGCACCTTGGATGCTAATGTTGAAGAAATGTTTCAGGTATGACAGTCCAGGTTACCTTGATATCAGTACAGTGTTAGGTCAGTAATAGGTGCTCCCACTGAGCTATATTAAAATTCCTGGAGGACTTGCTCTCGGCCAAATTGTGTTCGCAAAAAGATGGCGGCGAAGTTACAGGAAAATGACGAGCAAGTCCTCCAGGAATTTTAATATAGCTCAGTGGGTGCTCCTGATTTTTCTCTTTTGAAGGATGTGAATGAGCGGGTGAGTACTGCGTGTTCAATAAGTGCATGTTGATGTATCTTCACTCATAACTTGTCTGCTCATTCACATCCGTCTAAAGAAGAAAGTCAGGCATAAAGTTGCAGCATTGTACACTGATTGACATAATATTTTAACTACTTTCCTCCCAGGAGTCCAGGACAAACAGCATCCAAGCATCATCTCAAAATGTCAACGAAAATGCGTCCGAAGCTAGCACAAGCAGAACAGAGAAAACTGCCAAAAAGTTTGTATTTTATTTCAGCAAAGAAATCCCATTGCGATGAAAGCTATTAAAGCCCGGTTCTGTGTTAAACATGCTGTTTATTGTTGATTCAGTTCCGTCGTCAGTGGAACAAAGTCGACGCTGGATGACTTGTTTGAGTCCTTACGACAACTGGAGGAAGAACCAACTGATATTAAGAATGAAGAAAAGTCGAGTCGCTACGGATGGAGTGAGTAAAATAAATAGTTCTATGATACGTTAGTTTCAAACAACTTGCAATTCCCCTTCTGTTGAAATGCACCTTCGAACTTCGTTACATATTTTTATATTTTTATAGTCGATGCTTCTGGTTCAAAACAAAACGATTTCAACCTAACGAAAGATGCTGTCCGACAATCTACGTAAGAATCTATATTTTTTCTCGATAAATTGTACGTTTGGAGCCGTTTTTTGTGTGCAGTGATTCCTTAACCGATCTTGAATTTACCACTTATTTTTTCCACAGCAATTCAAGTGTCTTGTCCCAGGAAAAACTGAGGTAAAAATCTTTCAATTCTCATCGACTTGCTACTGTATAAACCTACTGTATACTGTACTAACTTCTGAAGAAACAATAAAGATACAACCGTTACAGAAGTTCTTTTATTGATTTCATTTTTTTACTGCTATAAATTATAGTTTTTGTTTTTGTTTTCGTTTTGCTCTTTAGAACTATCATGTCATTTCTGGACGAAGTGGAAAAAACCGACCAAGATACAGTCGTTAGTCGTGTCAGAGATGCGAAGACCTTCGCTGAAACATCTTCAATCAGTGCTTCTGTTGTTTCACCAAGAGTGGACGCAGAGTTAGTATAGATTTAGTTATGTTGTTAGACCACCTGACCAGTGCGTTGTCCTTCTTGTGGTGTGACGTAGAATCATTTTATATTTTAGAAAGGAAATTGCGTTGTTAGAGTCAGCCTCAGCTGCGGCGTCTGATGTCACGAATGCGATGATGTCCGTCAAAGTTGAACTGGAAGAAAAGAAGAAAACAAATGAACTCTTACAAAGAGCGTTGGTGAGTGTTGTGTGTCGTGAAGTGCAGTATACTGCCGCTATTATTGCGTGGTATAGCATGGTGAATGGTAAATATAGCTGAACAAATTGATTGAGTAGGTATATCTTTTGTTTTCAGAACCAGCAGCGAGAGTTTACGCTTCGTCAGGCGAGAGATATGGAGAAAGATGCGAAGCAAAGACTCGACTTGCAGCGTCAGGAGTACGAGTCGACAATACAACGACATTTGTCTTTCATTGATCAGTTGATTGATGATAAGAAGATACTCAGCGATCGCTGTGAAGAACTGGTCAAGAAACTGAAGGAAACTGATAAGAAATACGTGGATAAGATCTCCTCGCTTGAACAAAAGTAGGTGTTTCTGGGGGTAATGTAGTTATGTGTGTGACGGCCAAATTTAAAGACTTGTTTCAGGGCATCCTTATAGCTTATTATAGTTGTTTTCATGTTTTTGTTTCAAGTCATGCAGCCGAGATTAAGAAACAGAAGGACGTCATGCAAACGGCTGAGAAACTACGCCGAGAGAAATGGATTAAGGATAAATCACAGCAAATTAAAGTTAGTTGTGTCAACATAGAATAATAACTACATTATTGTTTGACTTGCTAAAGATTATCGCATGATTGCGATGTCTTTTTTAGGAGTTGACTGTTAAAGGACTAGAACCTGACATTCAAAAGTTAATCGCCAAACACAAAGCTGAACTCAAGAAACTAAAGTCAGTTCATCAAGTAAGAATGTCGAGGGGATTTTTTGTCCCAGGGATGATGTAAACATTATGGTGAGATGAGTTTAGTTTATTATGTTAAATGTTCGTGTACATTTAGGCAGACCTGTTGGAGACCGACGAACGCGTGGGTAGAAGATATATACAACAGATTGAGGAACTTCGTGAACAGTTGGAGAGGGAAAAAGAGACGGCTTGTAACAGAGAACGGGACCTAGCACAAACCAAGTATGAATAACAACCTTTTACCTCGTACTATATCTCAATGTATATACCTGCCATCCTTCACTACACCTTCCCATCCCTCGCTATCCCTTCCCACCCTTCACTATACCCTATCATGCCCAACTGTACCACATCATCTCTAGCTGTACCACACCATCCCTAAGTATTCCATACCTATCCTGTACTATACATTACCATCCCTCACTTCACTATGACGTTGCTTCACATCTCTTGATATCAAGTTAAGGTACATAAATGGATGCAAATATCGCTGCAGGTTTCAAAAGCAAATGGAAGAAGAGGAACAAGCGTTTCAACAGCAACGACGCCGTCTTTATGCTGAGATTCAAGAAGAAAAAGAGAGAATGGCGACTCAGGCACAGAAACAGAGGAAAGAACTCGATGATTTGAAAGAAAAACTTGAGGTTGATAAACTGACTCGTAATAACTGAGTTTACATGCATTTATCGCGATTTTTCCGAGTGGATTTCAACAAGATTGCCTTTTGATGTATTTCACAGGAGTCTCACAAGACAGCTATGAACAGCGTGGAACATTCTAGTAAACAATCTCTGGATGAACTCGAACATAAACATCAGGTATTGAGACAACGAGATACGGTCATTTTAATGTTTTCCAGTGTATTCAAAGAACTCTTATCTTTATTCACAGACTGAAATGAGAGAACTAAAAGAACGCCTGGAAATCGAGAAGCAACAATGGATTGAAAATTATATGAAAAAACAGGTAAAAAAAACTATGAAATAAAGTAATCTTTTCATTCTGGATATTCTGCAGTGGTTTGTGTCGAGGTTTCTTGCAGTGGTATTCATGCAGGTTCTGACATCCACGATAGATTACGGGCGAAGGCGAAATATTGATTATAAACCTTAACCATACTTGTATTTATTACCATTCAGGATGCCACGTTGTTGCAGAAGGAACGAGAACTGAAAGAAAGTGTCCGGGAATCCAGAGACAAGGTTTGAGCCTTGAGGTTTAGATTTTCCTTAGAAAAACCGAAACTATATTCCCGGATCAGACACACTTGACTAGAGCTATTTATCTCACAAGCGACTGAGATCGGATTCAAATGAGATTTGGCAGGAATTTTATCGCATTGCAAAGAACTTTACTATTTTATTTGAATTTCTTTCGAAGGAAATTGAGTTGGTTATTCGAAGACTTGAAGAGGAAACCTCTCATGCAAGAGACGAATGTGAACGAGCTGCTGAGAATAGAATCAAGTATGTCTCTTGGATGAGGTCTTTGGTGGAGGCTTTGCCTCGAGGAGATTGTTGTAAGATTTACTAAATATATCTTTGAATTTGTTACAGGAGGGTTAGAGACAAATATGAGTCTGAAATGCAAGAATTGGAAAGATCTGAAAAAGTTATGCACGAGAAATATACCACTGCCAAGGTATGTATAGTCATTGCTGTAATAAAGCTGCTGTATACGATACCATACTATACCATAGTGTACCATATAATACCATACCAAACTGTACCATGCTATTCCATACCATACCATACTACACCTCATACCATATACCATACTGTACCATGCTATTCCATACCATACCATACTACACCTCATACCATATACCATACTGTACCATACAATACCATATCTATACAATACCATACCATATACCATACCATGTCATATCATATACAAATCATCATACCATACCACACCGCAATTAAATGCATAATTGATTCTTATATCAGGAACAATGCAACGAACTTGAAGAGGAAGTGTCCAGGTTGAAAACCTCGGTGAAAAATGAAGAAAGGAAATTAGAAGATCTCAACAAACTCACGAAACAATTACAAGAGGAAAGAGGCCAAGTTGTTGATATCATAAGACAAGAATTTGCCGACCGGTATGATTTGTCACGATGATATATTGAGTATTTAATATTTACTACCTTTTGTCAAACAATAATTTGAAGTGAGATCTTTATTTTGTTTCTTTCGTGTAGACTTGTGACGACAGACGAGGATAACAAGAGGCTGAAGATTGAGATGAGCGAACTACGGGCAAAACATCGACTGGAGGTTGAGAGGATAAACAATTCTAAAGAAGAAGAGATGGAAGAGGTTCATAAACGGTACGTGATCTAGAAGTGATAAATTACGCTATAGATAACACGCTTCTGAGCTGGTTTCTCTTGATATAGGGTAAAACAAGCAATCTCAAAGAAGGAAGAGACATTGAACGCTCTGAGACAGCAAAAAGAGGTGATGATGGAAAAATAGATTTGAGTTTCATCTTTACTTTTTAGTGTCTAAATCTTGGCATCTTTTGATAAGGATTTAGAAATCTTTTTGGGCTATTTTTTTTCGATATCTTTTTGTAGTCTGCTGAGAAGCGATCAGATCATTTGGAGTTCCTTCTCCACGAGCAGAGGAAGAAATTGCTATCGTGAAGACACTTGGATGCTACCATTTATTGAGATGGAGGAATTGGGAATAATCATCACATCTGTGCCTGTGGCTGGGTTTGCTTCGCTTGTTCAAGTTGTCAGTCAAAATATAACTTGAAAAGGAGCAGGAATATGAGTTTTAAACGCGGTTAACAGTCGATGTAAAATCTGGTACGAAATCTCTTGCAGTTAAATCGCCTGCTATGGGCGTAGTCGACAGTGAGCATAGATTTCAATAGCCAAAGGTACTCTGTTGCACTCTAAGGAAAATGCTTATAATGTCTGTTAACGTATGCAGATATAAGATGTATTTTACAATGAATTATCCTAACTAAAGTTACTTTATCGTGCCATGCCTTGCGTGATTCCAATCCAGGACATCCGTACATTTTGGCGTAAAAAATGCGCTCGCTAAAAATATCTGGCAAAAATTGCCAAAATAGGGGAATCCCACGTGTAGTTATAGAAAGTTACAAATATGGCGAACAACATTGAAGAATTTTCTTTCATTTTACAAAAGATTAGTGCCTGTATTGAAAGAGATGACGGTTGTTTAGATTTGTCTTCTTTGGAGAACGATATTACCGAAATACCGGATGAAATATTTCAGTCTTTCTCGGAGGAAAGACGTGGTAAAATTAACGAATTGATTTTAGACTTTAATGATTTTGAGTTCGTTCCCGCAAGCATTGTTACTCGTTTTAAAAGCCTGAAAAAATTGTCTGTTGAAGGAAATAATCTAATTGAGCTTTCTTCGAGCTTTGGAGAGTTGGTTGGCTTGGAAGAACTACGGTTGAACGAAAATAAACTATGTGAAATTCCTGTGTCATTCAACAGATTGAAAAATCTAAAGCTTCTATCACTTGTTGCAAATCATTTGCACACACTGCCCTCTGAAATTATTGAAGGTTTGAGTAATTTATCAGAACTCTACTTGGATGAAAATGAACTTTCCAGCTTACCAGATAATTTCAAAATGCTGAAATCTCTCAAAGTTTTGGAACTAAGTGAGAACAAGCTGATATCATTGCCTGAAAGCTTTGGGGAATTGAAAGAACTAGAAGTTCTTAATCTCAGTCGAAACAAGTTATCAAGCTTACCAAGCTCATTTGGAGACCTGGGAAGGTTGCAGAGTGTTGATCTCAGCGACAATGATATCTCAGTCTTGCCTGACAATTTCCATTCTGCAGCCGTCATAGAGAGCTTGTACCTGGACAATAATATTCTTGGAGTTTTGCCAGGTTGGTTTGGACAATTATCCAGTATTATTTGCCTGTCTCTTAATGATAACAAACTTCAGGGTTCACCATTTCCCAACATTTTCCCTATGGTGTCAAAAAATACTCTTAAGAAATTGGAAATGGGTGGGAATGCAATTTCACACCTTCCAAAATCAATTGGAGAGCTTTGCCAGTTGGAAGAGTTGCATATTGGCAGCACCATATGCGAACTGGAGCGTCGGCATTTCCAGAATGGCAACTGGATTAGGGAGCTACCAGAAAGCTTTGGTCAACTCTACTCTGTCAAAAAATTGTACCTAGATGAAAACCAGATTGCCAAATTGCCTGATTCGTTTGGTAACCTGTTTTGCCTGTCCTGGATTGATCTTGGTCAAAACATGCTGTCACATTTGCCTGATACTTTCTGCAATCTTACTTTGCTGGAATATTGTCAGTTGTCAAAGAATGAACTGGCCTGCCTTCCATCAGATTTTGGCAAGCTCACAAGGCTTAAGGATCTAAGACTTGATTCAAATATGTTAGAGAATCTCCCGGAGTCATGTGCAAACCTTCATGCTCTCCACACGTTAGATTTGTTTAACAATAAGCTAACACGCAAGTCCCTGAATGGTTGTCAAAGCTTTCATCATTGAGAAGGCTTGATTTAGACAGCAATAAGCTAAGTCTTAAGCTGAAGGATGTACCCCATTTGGCTTCCAAAGGGTCTGTGTATGCGGAACGGGACCCCAATCTAAAGGACAATTGGCGTGGAAAGATGAGGGCAGATAAAGTTAGAGCTGAAGTTGTGGTGATTAATTCTGAGGATGGTACAAATGGTGATGATTATGAGGAGGAACTGTATGCAACTCCATCAACCTATAATGAGAATGCTTTGTTTGCCGCTATGAGAAGGGGCTTCAATGGCGTTCCATGATGGTAAGGAAATTTATTTATTTAAATGATGTTCTCAGGATATGCTGTTGATTCTATGAATAATTTTCAATACATGTACATGTCATTGTATAGGTCCAGATGAGAGGCAAGTGAAACAAAGTGAACACAATACTCCTGATGTTGTTTTCAATGTTTTTGAGGATGCCTCAGATAATTCTACACGTGTTTTCTCAGGCTTCTTTGCAAAAATAGGTGAGAAAAGTGGCTTGGGTTTTTCACAACCAGACATGTTGCATAATTTTAGCAAGATCTTTTCTTTCATTTAGACAAAAAGGAGGATGGTGAAGATTGGGACAGAGAGATCAACGAGTCGTGGGGTAAAAATCAAGTCAATGAACCCACATCTGAGTTGAGTTTTGGAGTTCATGTTGGAGAAGTTGAACTTGAAAAAAGAAATGAATTTCTCACTACACTAAGTGCTTATCCTCCAGCAAGTCAGGCTTATTCTGTGACTGCAATGTATGAATCAATGGCGTGTAGAAAATTATTAAAAAAGTATGATCAATGCAACAACTTATATGACGAGCATCCTACCCAGGAAGTCTTGATTCAAGGCCAGTTTGAGGATGCTGATTGATTGACTCAGACTGAAATATTGTGTGTAGCATCATAATGCTAAAATTTAGTAAACGCAAAAGAAAATTTTGCATTCTGTGTAGTGTTAGAGGTAGAACCTATGGTAGAACTATGTGCAATGGTAGGCAACCCAGTCAATGCAGTTATGTCATACTATTCTATGCATGGGATTGAAATTTTTGCTAAGACAAATTCAAAGCGATTGCATGTACAAAATATGAAACCCTCAGTTAATTCTGGGCTACAAAATGCATCTATTTTACGGTAAAGGCTTTGGTTTATTGACAGGTGCAAAGGATTACCATTTTAGTAATTTTATCTAAAGGCAGTCAGTCAAACTTATATATATAGCTCAGTGTCAAATCCAATATGGCCGCCAAAGTGGTGGAAAGTCAGAATTTCGCTTCTTCAAAGAACGAAGGAGCAATAACGTACAAACTTAGAAAATTCACAGAAACTGATAAAGTAAATTGTATTTTGGATTCAATTGCTGCTACTTGCGAAACAGGCACGAAAACTGAACGAGCCATCGAGGATTTGAGAGGTAGGTTTTCTATTTTGTCAATCTTGACAACTTTATACTCGCTCTCAAAGTTCTGTATGAATTGTGTGTGTCCCTCTGTGTTTTCACTTGTTCACCTAGAATATGAGCTGAGATGTAAAAGTTATCACTCTCGTATTTTCTTGCAGAAATTTTAGATAGATATCAGGAACAACCGCATCTTCTTGACCCATATTTAGGTAATTAATTAAAACCTATTAACCTAACCTATTTTTTGTACAACAAGTACGAAAATGTACAAGTATGAATATTCAGTGTAGTAAAAAAACTATTCATAGTTGGTGTCAGGTAAATTTTACTAGTAAATATCGACACCTGGCATTGTTAGTCTACGACTAATTATGACATTATATTGATTGAGACATTCAAATAATTTAACGGAGGCATTTAAATAATTCATCTTAAAAAATAATGCTTTCTTTAAAGAGTCGTTCACCAGCAAACTATTAAGTGTGGCTCAAGATTATTCATTAAGCCAAAAAATAACATTACAAGCATTCAAATACCTCTATCTCTTCACAAAGGTAAGCCTAGCAAGATTTTAACATATTTTCCTATAAGTAATACATATATTTGAGCATGCAAATTATAAACAAAAATCATTGGTTCAATGAATCAACCTTTGTGTAGGTACGAGGTTCAAAGTACATTGTAAGATTGTTCCCACATGAAGTGCAAGATGTGGAGAAAGTTCTATCGTTGCTGAACAAACAAAATCCCTCGGATCACGAAGTACGTCTGTATTAGAAACACATTATGTTGTCATTGTTGTGGTCAGTCATGGCCAGAAACCAGCTCATTGAAGTAGATAGTGCTAGGTGAAGTTTGATGACTTTATGTTATTTTGTAGTCTTGGGAAGCCAGGTACATATTATTACTGTGGCTATCAATTGTATGTATGGTACCATTTGATATGTCAAGATTTGATGGTAATATTGCTGAAACATCTGAACAAAAACCTATAACTCAGCGAATCATTGATCTAGCCAAGGTAAGATGAAAATTTAGTGAATGCACATCACTTATAATAGACTAGTCATTATTTGTTGACCTTATGCAGAGTAGTTCCACCTCGTCAATTGCATTTTCTAATTTGTAGGTTTATCTGAATGTCGTTGATAAGTGCAGAGATGCCGCTGCATTAGTGATAGCAAAGTAAATATATCACTTTATATCATCTCCACAATTGACAAGTGTAAGAATATATATTTTATTTCTTTTTTAGATTTGTGACCAGACCTGACGTGAAGACTCAACATCTTCCAGACTACCTAAAATGGTCTTTAGGCCAACTTCCTAAAATAGAAGGTGCATTTGTGTATAGTACTGAAACATGTTGTATAACTTTTAGATTTTTGATGTATTCTTGACTTTCATTTGGTCATTTTAGTGATGACACAAGCTGGTACAAACACAATGACTGGTATTTTTAGCTCGTTGGTAAGTCCTTACTGTCTAACTCTAATATATTCATTGAATTAATACGTACATCATTTTCTATTATAATGATGGCTCTGAAATATATTTGAAATGATTTCTTTTTAGGCACTTCTTTTTAAACATGGAAAAAGAGCAGACTTAATAGTACATGGTAATAAGCAACAGTTGTTATAAAGCAGACAACACAGTCTGCTCTTTAGCACAATACACTTATTATTTTCAAATGTTTCTGCATTATAAACACTGATTCCTATAATTTTATGTATTTTAGCCAGAATAGTTCGTGAAACAATTGATTCCTGCAATGTCCTGACGCTAAATAACAGTTTGCTAAGAAAACTTTATATAAAGTTAGTTCAGGTCTGTTTCATGTAATCTTCACATTTTTCATGTTTTTTTCCCTATCATAACTAATATACCTGGTAATTCTTTTCTATAGAGACTGGGCCTCACTTTTTTGAAGCCAAGACTTGCAGCTTGGAGGTGAGAATTGATACCACAATGTACAGCACTTTATCATGTAATGATTTTGATTTGTTACCATCGACCTTCATCACTGTAACTTTGATATTGTTTTGCATAAGAATTAAGAGAGGGGGTAATATAGTGACCTAGGGTACATCTTTGTACAATTAAAACTAATTGGTTGATTGTTATCTATTTTGTTTAGGTACAAGAGGGGAACTAGATCACTGTGCCATAATCTAACAAAATCTGAGCTGGTATGAAAGTAGTTGTAGTTTTTGAAAGCTATAATATATGTCTGTCTGCATCTGATTACATCTTTAAGAGAATGTTTTATCATATCAGAGATAGCACTCATGAATTTTCATTGTCATTTTAGACTGATACAATCACAACTAATAAAGATGAGGGACTTGAGGAGGTATTAAAGATCATAATCAGAAGAAAAAAGGAACAAAAAGATCTTATCCTTAAACTAAATTGAATCATTTGTAGGAATTGGATGAGAATTTTGATGTCCCAGAAGATATTGAGGATATTATTGGTGATTACGAATTTACGATTGCTTACAAAGTCGACTTTTTATTGTTAGATTTATTTTATTTTATTATGTTTTTGATAGAGATCTTGCTGGTGGGGTTAAAAGAAAAAGATACCATTGTCAGATGGTCTGCCGCTAAGGGGTAATGCATCACAGTGAAACAATATTTTTCATGTGTCTTTGAAGTTTTGTATTCAACAGTGTAATCATGATGTGTTTTCTCTAGTGTTGGAAGGATCACTGGCAGGCTCCCCAAGGAACTTGCTGATGATATAGTGGCCGCTGTTCTAGATTTATTCAGGTATTTGAGTCAGCATTAATACAAAGAAGTCAAATGTAATTCAACTATGCCTAAGACATCTTTATATGTATATTGTTTGGGTTGTTTAGCTTTCAAGAAACTGACAGCGCCTGGCATGGAGGTTAGCAATATTTCAGTTTCAACATAGTTTACACACAGTAGATTGCTTTAGGCTTTTGCTAGATGCAATGACTGTTGTTAGGTTGTCATCTCAACCAGCTTTTGCCAGTCAACTTGCATCTGAATCAGGCCTGCAAATTGCAGAAATTTCACAATTTTTCATTGCCTTCTTACCCCAGGATGCCTCGCCCTGGCTGAACTTGGTCGAAGAGGTCTTCTATTGCCCCAGCGATTATCTGAAGGTTGGTGTTTGACAATTCCACTCATTGATTTGATGTTTCTCATGTAACCCCTTGCATCTCAAGCTTGAGTTGAGCGGCCGTCCTTCCTATGGCTATGATATCAAAATTTTTGTTTATTTCTAGTCGTTCCTGTCGTCTTGAAGGCCTTGCTTTATGACGAAAGAAGAGGAGCTATAAGTGTTGGTATGTTTTCACGTCGGAAATTTATCAAAATGTTCGAAAGTTTACAAAGAATTGTGGAGGATTTTGTTTCCTAATCTTGCTCTTGCTCTCTGCGGCAAAACGTCCGAAGTCAAGCATCGTCCCCTCATGCGTCCACTCGCTTGACATGTCTGATCAAACCATCAGAATGCAGATATCTGAATATAACCTCAGCTTAGTTTGCCTAAAGGAAGATTGCTTTTCCTATTTGACTTCACTTCATCAAACATTACAGCTGAAGTTTCCTGTTGTTTAAGTCCCTTCCAGTAATAATGTATATACTCACATTACATATATTTCATTTACTAAACTCAGGTTCCAACGTGAGGGATGCTGCTTGTTACGTTTGTTGGTCATTTGCAAGAGCCTACGATCCTGTAGAAATAAAACCGTATATTGAAGAGATTGCAAGGTATTTTACACATTGGCATGATCTTCAAGATAGAAAACTCAGCGACTGTGGTTGATTAAATATTTAAAACCTTACGCTTGGCCTTTTTTCAGAGGTTTGCTGATCGCGACGTTATTCGACAGAGACATAAACTGCCGTAGAGCAGCTTCGGTAAGTCACGAGGTTATCCACTCTAAATTTTTAGTAAATCATTCTGATAATTCGTACAATTTTGTACTTTGCAGGCTGCTTTTCAAGAGAATGTTGGAAGACAGGTAAGGACACGCCCCTCCCCATGTTTTATCCTTGTTCTGGAGTTAGAAGAATACAATTTAATTTGATTTTAAATGCGTCTATTTTACGCTGTTGTTACACCGCATTTGCTGAATTTATTTGTCAGGGAACCTTACCTCATGGTATTGATATTCTGACGAAAACAGATTATTACGAAGTGGGGAATAGAAAGAATACCTATCTCACGATCAGGTGCGTTTCTTCCCAAGAAATATTACTGCATCATGTATACATAATATTCTTTAATTCTTTGTTAACTATTTATCAAATGATTCGTTTTTACTAGTCTACTAATTTGTTCACAAGAATTAATCAGTTTAATAAGGATTATCAGCTCTTAACGCTGATTGTTTCTTGTTGGTAAAACAACTGCAGTTGTGAGACTTCTAATGTCATTCATAGCAGGAAGGTATCTCCATGAATATTGTCCCAAAGTGAAGGCTTCGACAGACCTAGTACGCCTTTCGCCGCAGCGTCCGCCCATAACAACAATGGTGTCGCCTGTAATAATGGCGCAACTTCCAACTCTTTCTTCTAACATGGGTGGCAATTCAATGGTTTTACCCGATTTTGAATTGTACATGTACACTCTTTTTGAGTAGCACCCATTAACATCCCCTCCAAGCAAAACTGCTTCTTCTCCCCAACGAACTACAGCCATTTCTTTTAAGCCAGTGGGTAACGGAGGCATTTCTCGAAATTCGTTTGTGATAAGATCAAACTCCAGCACCTTTCTCAGGTTTTTCTCGCCTCTAGTTCCTCCAAAAATCAACACTTTGCTCTCAAAACGCACCACCCTGTAATGAATCAAAGCTGGTCCGGGCAATAAACGCAACTGCTTCAACTCGTAAGGTGCGATAAGACTAAGTTCCAGACAGACATCATTATTATAACCACTCTCGTCAAGTGTGCAGAAAAGAATCGCGCGGTTCTGATAAACAACAGAGACAATACGTTCGCAGGGATACGGTAAAGTAGCCGCCAATTTAGCCCATTCCAAACAGTCTTCATTGAGATCCAACACCTCGATTGTCTTGCTGCTCGAGCTTCCGCCAGCGATAAATACTCGATTCTCGTGAACAAACGACGTCGCTCCTACCCGGCTAATTTTCATTGAGGACACTCTTTTCCATTCATTCTTCCACGAAAATCTCTCAACCGATTTTAAAGCTGTATTATCATAAACGTTTTTCTCCCAGCCCCCAGCTACTAAGATATCTTCCATTAAAGTCGATGCGTGGCTTGTTCCAGTGGTCGTTAACATGGTGCTCTCGAGAGGACGTAATTTCTCAAACATCTGAACTATCATCGCTTTTAATTGCTCTAGGTCTTCTTTGGACGCAAGTACTTCCAATCTCTCCTCAATTCTTTTTACATCATACTCGATTTTTCTGCAGTTATGACACATGGCTTTCCTGTACTCGCAAACACTGCTCTCATGATGAACCAACTCCAGCTTGTTAACAACAGCTGCGCATTTATCGTTTGAACACTTCACGGGGGCAAAACCACACTTCTGAACGTGAGTGTCCAGCTCTTCAAGACGAATAAACTCCTTACAACCTCTGCTGGAGTAATCGCATTTTATCTTGAGCTCAGAAAGATAGTTGATCACCATACGCGGTCCTCGACGCAGAGTCTCGACTGTTAAGTCTTCGTTACATTCAGGACAAGTGTGCGAGTTCACAGTCAAATGCTCAGTGATACAACCACGACAGAACACGTGTTCGTTATTCCTGCACATCATGGGATCCTTCAGGACATTGTAACAGATAGAACAATGAAAATGAGCATCAACAGCGTTTTCGAAACGATTATCATCGTAGCCATATTTGTCTTCCTCTTGGTAGGAAGCCATTCTCCAAAACACAGGAATGTAGGAAGTCTATTCGTTTACATATTCTTTATTCTGGGCTCCTACTACACTGACGATAGTTCTGGAATTCTTTCAATATCGTCTTCTTAAATCCTTGCCTTTTCAGGCGCATTAGTCTCACAGCGTTTGTGAGACAACCAACGCCTTTCTGTTCGTTGTACTTTCGTTTTGTTGCGAAGTTATCGTGTGACGATTCCAAAATATTCTGAATATGCGTCACAAGGGTCACGAACTTTACGGTTCACCAATGCCGAAATATATTTGGGAAAAGCTCGTGGGGCAACAGTGAACTCTTCGTCTCTTCCTAACTTTGTTGCTACTTGCCAGGACATTATCTTTACTCTCACGACTCCAAGTGTCGTTGAGAAACAGAAAAATCTCAGGCTACCCAGACTTCACGCCAGAACGTATCGTTGGTACTTTCCACTTAAGCATTTTTAAATCCTACATATTCTTTATTTCCGTGCTCTCATACACTGTCACTGACCATGAGGATTTCTTTTACAACCGACTTTTGATAGTGATTTTTCCAGGCTCTGTAGAGGTACAATCGACGAAACAACCTTGTTGCTTCCAATGGGAAGGCGTAATGTAGCGGTTGCAATGTTTAATGTTTAAGTTATGCGGGCACAAGTGTCACGTAATCCCCATGTATCTACATAATATATTGATCAGACGCTATGAGCAACTTCAACATGAAGTTATATGTGATTATGTTTCGTGGTCATGCAAATTTTTTAATTTTGTTTTTACTATATTTGACAAATTATTCGTTTAAATTTTTAACTAGTTTACTCTATATGTTAGGTAGTAATTACTCTCCTTGTGGTTATATATTAATATATCTAAGAATATATATTGCTTCATGCTGATTGTCTACAGGATTCTTACTTTTCAAAGCTTTATTTTCAACAGTGCTGCCGTCCCAGCCTCCGGCTAGAGTTGCAGACTGGACTTCTAGAGAAGTTTTCGTCCTATATCCTACCCTACATCAGCTCATCCCACTAATGATTGTGTTTGTTTTCTAGTGTTTACATCGCTCAATATGATGAATATCGCCAATCCTTGATCGATCACCTTTACAAAGTTAAACTTTGCCATTGGGACATGTAAGAAGTCTCAAGTCTGTGACTTTTGCGTATACCGTCAATCATCACAGTTGCTTGTTTATTGTAGATGTTGCAGCCGAAGTGTTGCACTTTGAGTTCAAGAAATAATACTGCATGTTTTTCTTTTGTAAAACGAAATTTCTCCGGGGAAGAAAAATTAACTTTTGTAGATCATAAAGTTGACTTTACTTTTAGCTCGACCTTAAAACTTTAGCTTTTAAACACTGCAGTTGCAAACTCGCGTTGTATTTTTCTTCTCAGGGCTGTCAGAGAACTCGTATCGAAAGCTTTGTTCAATCTCACTGCTCGAGATCCAGAGATGATGGCAGAACTAGGTAACATGTTTGGCTGGGAGAGAAATTGTAAAATTGAGCTGAAGTTATGAAGAAGACGAGAGACTAGAGGAGGGTTGGAGGAAGGCGCTTTGTGGGGGCGAGAAAGGGGCCAACTCGTCGAAGAATAGGGGGGAGGGGGTTAGAACAGATTAAGAGGGAGGTTGATCGTTAACGCTTGATAGGAAGGAAAGGTGTATCAAGTTTATCATTCAATAACTTGTGTTTTCCGTTGACAGTTCTTCGTACAATCTTACCCCAGACTGTTGGCTTGGATCTTCACGCCAGGCACGGCAGCGTCTTATGTGCAGCTGAAATAACGCATGCCTTGTATTGCTACGGTGTCGAAAACAACAGGTAGGTTTCTGTCTAATACTCCGGCTTTTACCTCCATGTCCTTAACGAAGAAATATCATGATATCTTGATTGATATATAGGAGCTTAGAGGATATACTTAGTGCTTCTTGTATTGGGACATTGGAAGAGATTATACCCAAGGTATGTGAAGTACTTTTAAGTATTATTTCCAACCTGATAATTCAATGTTAATAACTGCATTCCCTTCGTTTTATCTTTAGTTAACAGAGGCTAAATTATTCAGGTATTTATTTTTACGTTTTTAACCTTCAACAATTGCTGCTTTGAATGCACAGATTTACTTACCAAAGCCTGTCGCATTGATCTTGTTTTAGAGGCCAGGGTGGAGAACTTATGAGACCTGCAGGTATATTTATGTATTTCATGTGAACTTTAAATTTTTCACTCAAATTTGCTCGGGAAAAGAACAAAATATTCGTAAAAATAGTCATTCTACTGAAAGAGCCATCTTTTATCCTCCAGCTTGCCATTTCATTGAAAAGATGTCTGTCTGCAACATGGATTGTATCAAAGACGAGACTATAGGTAAGATTTTTCAAGGTTTGTTTATTGCAATTCTTTAATATTAACAATTGATTTATGTGTTTATTTCTTTAGTGTCGTGGCGATCTACCATCGACGATAACATCAACCACCAGCAAAGACCAATCCAGGTTGTTTTCACTTTCCGTACAAACTTTTAATGCAATTGTTGCTTACAACGTGTCTTGTCAATAGAGCTTTATTACGTTGAACTCTGTGCAACAACCTTGGGGTCTCTTTTAGCCCCTCAATCAAAAGACCCTGACTGAAACACCCTCAAAACGCCTCCGTTTTGTGATTAGATTCATTATGGTTAATGGTTAAGAAATGATGTTTTAGTTGTTAATGAAGAAACTTTTAGAATACAGAATCATTATTTTTACTTCTTTTTCCAACAGGAGAAAGCGGTCAGTGCATTACGTCATTTTACAATCTGTTTTTACAAAATGAAAAATGGATCTGCAGTGCCTGATCTTCAAGGTATCTCCTCCCTGAACAAGTCTGCTTGCAGGTTACACATAACCCAAAGGTTTCTTTTCCTGATCAAACCTGTTTTTTTGTTTGCAGATTCATTGATTACCACGTACATAAAAAACTTAAAACATTCATCAGAAACAGCGAGGTGGGTGGAATCATTCGTGCTAAGCCCGTGTTCAAACTGTTCTTCATCAAGTTCTGTCTGATGCACTCAGGTTTTACCAAAGGATTGAGAAGAAAGCTTTTGTTGGTAATTGAGGCTGGGGGTCACAAGCTCTCGTATTTTAGGCTAATCATAAATCAAACACACGGATATTGTTTAGAAATCAAAACATTAGAAATCAATATCTGATTAACTTCACCTGAGCTTGCCTACATTCTTCCACTCTGATATTCAATCATGTTCACTTTATAGGGAAGGATTTGCGTTGGCCTTGGGCGTGCTCCCGAAGTTCATGCTGAATGGCTATCTCGCAAAGGTGCGTTGTGTTAGAGCGCTAATTCTGAGGTATTCTGAGTTTTGTCTTCCTTGTAATAATGGGGGTGTTTTGGATCTTATCAGGTTATTGAGGGTCTTCTTGGAGTAACAGAGGTTCGTGAGAAGGACGCTGGAAAATTTGCACAATCCCGGGCGGACGCGTTACATTCTCTAGCAAGGTAAAGACTTGAGGAAATATCACCTGGATATGTTCACCATAATTCCCCGAGTAAATCTAAACCAATTGAAACCAGAACTTGTCTAATTTTTCAGTATTGCTGAGACTGTCGGTGTTGAAAGAGACGGGGATTGTAATTGTGCTGTCGATGAATCTACCCTCATTCGACTCTTTCACTGCTGTTTTAAAGCTATGAATGATTACACAATCGACAGCCGAGGTGATGTTGGATCATGGTGAGTCATATTGTTTGCACTGGTTGGGAACTGTTTATAAACGGATTGAGGTATATCCTAGATTATTCTGTAGTAACACTGGATCAATGATACCTTACCTTTATAAACGGATTGGGGTATATCCTAGATTATCCTGTAGTAACACTGGATCAATGATCCTTACTTTTATAAACGGATTGAGGTATATCCTAGATTATTCTGTAGTAACACTGGATCAATGATACCTTACCTTTATAAACGGATTGGGGTATATCCTAGATTATCCTGTAGTAACACTGGATCAATGATCCTTACTTTTATAAACGGATTGAGGTATATCCTAGATTATTCTGTAGTAACACTGGATCAATGATACCTTACCTTTATAAACGGATTGGGGTATATCCTAGATTATCCTGTAGTAACACTGGATCAATGATCCTTACTTTTATAAACGGATTGAGGTATATCCTAGATTATTCTGTAGTAACACTGGATCAATGATACCTTACCTTTATAAACGGATTGGGGTATATCCTAGATTATCCTGTAGTAACACTGGATCAATGATCCTTACCGCACCTCCTTTGGAACTGATGGAGCAATCCAGGATAATTAAGTTGGTTTCCTTCTTCAGGAATGAGAGATGACTTTACTGAACGATGTTATAACTTTAGGTCCCGTAAAGCGGCTATGACATGCTTATTAAAACTTACATTAGTTGTTACAGAGATGGATGCAGAACTTCTCTCTGAAAAGACGTGAGTATGGTGTCTGTATTTCATCAGAGTCACACGCTGATCCTCGCTGATCCTTGTCTTCTCTCATTTTCTCTAGTTGCGATGAAATGATGTGTTGTCTGTTGAAACAATGCAGTGAAAAAATCGATCATACGAGAGCACATGCTGGAGAAATAATGCTGAAACTTATTCACAAACAAAAGTAAGTATTGTCCCAAATCTTCACTATGGTTCAATGAATATTTTGTTGTCCTCACTCTCGTTAGAGGTTCTTTGATATTTGTGTTGATCCAGCCTTAAACAATCCCGTCTTAATTTGTTAATGTGAAACCCATAACATTCATTAACACTGCTGTTTATTTCTTACAGTCCTGGTATTCCGAATATTCCTGAACACAAGCTCTTGTGCGACATATTTCCAAGGTATACCATTGTTAATAATTTGCATCGTCTTGAAATTCACCTCGCATCAAGCGTACGTCCTCACGGAGGTCACGGTATTAGCTGGATTAATATTCACTCTTGTTCAACTCCTGTGAATCTGATGGCTGATTAAACCAGAGCCTTTTTTCTAGAAAAGATTCCGAGAATTTAAATTGGGGTGCAGCAGCTGAAGTTTTCAGGAAAATTTCGCAGTTATTAGAAATACCGTGTTACCAATATGCCGTACTGAGTGGTATAATACTCAGCGCTGGTGGTCTTAGCGAGTCTTTAGTAAGTACACGACTTTCTTATACAAGTTTTCCCAGTGATTTTCAACGGCCTGTGGCTCACTTGCTATTGGAATTATGATATAACAATCCATCTTCTTCGTAGATACGTCAGGCTGGGATTTCGTTAGAGAACTTTCTCGGTAGACTATCTGCAAGACGACAGTAAGTCGTTCAGTCTTTGATATCTCTGCTCTGGTCGTTATTTTTGTTGTTTCTTAATCTTTATCGTGGTGAATGAATGCTTTTTCATTTGTAGGGATGAAGCGTTGACGGGCTTTGCGGAGAATCTTGTGAAGTTGTTTAAGGAATATGAAAAGAATGATAGGTAAGGAGCTGCTGACTATGATCTGGGATCGATTGCAAACCATGAAACTCTTGAATATCTCAATTTTTTTATCTCATTTCAGAGTCATTATCCCGCTATTTAAAGTATTGGATAATCTTCTCTCTATTGGAAGTTTGAGTTTCTTAGCAAAAGAAGGAGGGTATGTAGTGGTACCTAGTTTGTTCCTAGAGGTCCAGTAAGGATCATCTCTTATTGATCCAGTGTTACTACAGGAGGAAACCTAAACTAAACTAACTTTATTTATACTGGATAGCTCTATCAGTTCTAAACTGTTCTTCCTAGAGGTCCAGTAAGGATCATCTCTTATTTCGAGTTTTCTATTTAGAGAAAAAATTTCAGAGGCTCTTTTTGAGCTGACGCAAAATGAGATTGTACGAATACCAGATGCAAGAAAGATAATTATCAGTATTAATGTGTATGTACATTCACTATGTCTTTTGTATACCGACTCCTCAAGGAGAATATTAATTTTCTTGAAAATTTATCCCCACAGGTTTAGCGGTCTTCTGCAATTTCCAGGAAATACAAGACGGAGGTGCTTACAGCGTTTGCTAATTCTTCTCTGCCACAAGTATCCCCGGGTAAGGCTGGTTTTAAATTCACGTTTGGTGTGAACGAAATGTGGTTGTTGAAGGTTTAAATTTTGGCTTTTTTCCCCACAAAAGGTACGCAAGGCGACGGCAGATTCACTTTATACTGCGCTAATCACTTACGAGGATATTGCCAGTGAAGAGAAGATGGAGGTGGTGCTTGATACATTGAGTGAAACATCGTGGTGAGTATCCTGCTTGCTACCTGGCAAGTTGCTTCAGTATTGTGTTACATAAAACCTTTTCCAGCAGACAATTTTGCGAAATATTTTTTTTTACCTTGAATATTGTGTCTTCTTTTGTAACAGCTCATATCTTGAGTTTACAAGATGAGCATGTTTTCTCTTACATTGTGTTACATGATATATTATTGCATCTTTATGTACAACAACATGTAGGGAAGATGATGTTGATAAAATTCGACCTCAGAGAAATATATTATGTGACCTACTGGGTGTACCTAAACCTGTGCTTAAGGTAAATCTTGTATGGAAAGCTTATCATCTGTTTCAAGGATACATACTCCTAGGTGTATTGTTCACAAAGGTCGTTGTTGTGATTTGAAAGATACTTGGGTAACAGCAATGATGTTAAATGTCTTTTTTGCAACAGAATACAGCAAAAAAACAATCCGCTCCACAGACACTTACAACAGAAGACCCCTTGAGCAGTTACAAAGGTAAGTAAAATGGGCATAGTCAACATTAATTTCAAGAGATTTGGCATTTCAACTGTCAGCCTGCTGTCCAAGTCATTATACAAAACAAGTGTTCCCCTAGATGCTACAAAACTTTTATCCTTTTTTCTTTTTCAGATCTTGTGTGTCGAGTTGACTATTAAAGCCTCACTAGTGATATAAACAGAAAATTTTATTAAATTAAACGAAAATATGTATTTATTCTAAACACTTGTATAAATGAGAAATTCTGACGCCACACGGACTGTACGTTCTACTCTGTCAAATGTTCTTGTGGTATTCTTGAGTTTTGCAGCCAAGATCAAAGCTACATGCGATGAAGTTGATTGTTTCTCCAAGGCATAGTATCTCCCTCCAATAGGGCCTGATATGCCATGTCATAAACTTCATCTGGTGTGAATCCTACAATTACTGTCCCTTCCACATCAACACCATCGTCTGATGCTAGCTTCTCTATTCTTTCTTTAATATCATTAGGCTTTGTATAGTCAAAAACATGTTGACTCCTGTCATCATCACCTTCCTGTAACAGACACAAATCTTTAGAAATCAAAGATATATATAGAAATGGCAATGTCAAATTATTACTCTCACCTGAACAGAGACAAAAGCTTCAACATTACATGCAATTTCTACTGACCCTTCATGGTCAAAGGCCATAGCTTGCACACCTCTCAAACCTCCAGGACTTGATCCACGGATGTTCTTTGCAATCTTCTGCCCAATTCCCAAATCCTTTGTTTTGATGGTTACATTACAGTTCATAACATAAGGACTTGCCCCCACACCAGTAAGCCCATATCTTGATGTGGGTGGTTGCCCAATATACAACCCCATCATACGACATACCACTCCTACCCTTGTACCATCCCACCTCTTTCCGTCGCTCCACCAAACTCCCTCCATTTGGGTAATCTGCCGTCCCAAAATAAAAAATGCTTGTTCCCAGAACCTCACTTGTTATCTGCTCTCCAATTGCTTTGGCAATGTCACCACATTTGCCAAGGGATACCATGGGTGAAATGGGGTAAATAGGTATAAGATCAACTGACCCTAACCGAGGGTGCCCCCCACTATGGTCCTGCATGTTTATTTCCTGATATGCAATCTTGCACGCATTGACAATAGATGTTTGTAAATTATCCACTGGTGCCGCAATGGTCAAGACAGATCTGTTGTAGTCATGGTCGGAAAAGATGTTTAGCACTGTTGACAAACATTTGAAGTTCGTTTTAGATTTCTGCGTCAAATAAGTGCCGGAGTTCCCAGCAACCATTGCAATTTGTTCCACAATATTTGGTCGACGAGCTTCTGAGATGTTCAGTAAACACACAGCCAGACGAGATGCCATTTAACATCTGGGTGTTTAACTTTATCACCTGCTCACAGGTTATTTGGTTCAAGGAGTCGTCCGTAACTTTAGCCTGAATACCCAGGCCCCTCACCCCTGATACGCAGACACCACCAGTGAACTGGAGTGTGGACACCCCCCTATCTTGAGTGCAACCTTATTGCCTGATTGCAGGTTGATTATCCCTGGAAAATCACTTTATTAAACATGGCCTTTGACCTCATTTTGATGGTCAAGATCCTCAAAGAAAATTCATCGCCGATCGGCCTATATTAAAACTTTTCTCTATTTCACATTGAGATAAATTATTTTCAAACGTGTTCGAGAGCACGGATGAATTAAACGTGTCACGAAATTAAACATCGTACGTTTCACTCGTGAGTGGACTTTGGACACATCCTGAAGGATGTTATTTAGCACACGTATTCTAATGTTTTTCGATCATATGGGATGTCGTCAAAATGAAGGAAGAAAAAGATGCCTTCTTTAAAGATGTTTTTAAAATTGGACCAAGCTTTAAAACGGACTTTACCGTCTCCTTAACGAGTACCTCAATAACGTATGAAAACGATTTAGCGAAAAGTGTTGAAGAAATTCACTTGGAGGATGTCATCGGCGTCAATGTCAATCATTCTGACAATGGAATTGAATGTTCGTATATTCACGTTTTCTCCTACCCTTTGAGGAAAAAGTTGTTTTTCAAAGAAGCGAAAAGGCAAAGAGTCGAGCATGTATTTGCGGTTTCATCCAAGGGCGACGCTGGAGATCATTTAAAGACAGCTGAAAGTTGGGTTCGATGCATTAAATGGCTCTTAATAAAAGACGCTGATGTGAAACGTGATGTGAAATTGGCGTCGACGCATCAAGGTTTGTTTCTCTGGATTCGTACGATATTTTAAATTGTATTTGAAATATATTTAAAACTCGTAACTGCTCAGCTTTTGAAGTAGACATATCCCAAATAAAGCAAATAGTTTTTTAAGGTGCTCATGTTGCCAGGTACAATTGAGATATAGGTACATGTACAATGCCGGAAAAGAATATCGTAATAGCTAATACGTTTCTGAGATTGTTCAACTGCTTATATTGTATTATTGTTGAGAATTTTCACGCAGATGAAATGAATTAAGGCTTTGTCTTTAGACATTTTCCGCAGGGTTCAAACAGGTGGCCAGTATTTAATTACGAGTACGTATATTATAGAAATTATTATCGTAGAAATTATTCATGGAAGGGTCTTGGTTACCCAAGCTAATATAAGGTTCTTGAAATCGCTCTGGATTTCATAATGTTTATAAGGACCATTGCTAGTTTAACTGGGGCTGATGTTATTTGTATCTTCATGCTTCATAAAACAATTTCTTTCCAGAAAAATCAGTCTGGAATGATATTTATAAACACCATTATTATGCTCTCCCTTCTTTAGCAACAGCACCAAATGTTTACATGAAACAAGGAGTCAATTTTTTTTTGAAAAAACCTCTTTATTGAATTTAATATCATCCATACAATAAAAAAAAGGTCTTAATGAACCACTCCCAGTCATTGTTAGATAATTATTTCCTGTATTTAATAAAAAACAGAGGCATAGTCAGGTATTAAATAATGCCTTGTTTAGTAAAGCCTAAATACACAAATTTAATTCTTGTGATTAGATTGGGATTAGGTCTCAGATTTAGAATATTGTTGATTAGGATTAACCCTAATCCTAAATCAAATCCAACTGAATCTCAAGGATTGAATTTATCTATTGAACACAATGAAGGGTACAAATTGCAAAGTTGGCCCTATCACCGCTCAAACCCTAACCTGAATTTGTGATGTAAAGTTTAATTTGTGAACTGTTGTATTTTAGATTATCCTCCAAAACAGCAGTATCTGGTTGTCGTCAATCCATTTGGTGGAAAAGGGACAGCACAGAAGGTGTTCGACACAAACGTCAAACCAATGTTAGAGGAAGCTGATGTAGATTACCACCTGGAAGTCACAGGTATTTGTGATAATATTCATCATTCATTTCTTTCCCTCTGTGTTCACAAGATCAATGATAACCAGGCTAAACTCTTTCACTCTGAAATTTTAAGAATTTTCATTGATATTTTCAAACCTTGCTTTATAGAACACAGGGGTCATGCCAGGGAAATTATTCAAGAGCTGGATGGGACTATTCTGAGAAACTTTGATTGTATTATTTGTTGTAGTGGTGATGGAATCATCAATGAGGTAACATCATTTTGTTTAAGATTGTATCTGTACTGTTGTAATGGTGGTATACAATCATTTTTTAGGTAGTCAATGGACTTATGAGTCGTCAAGACTGGGAAGAGGCTATTAAGACGCCTATTGGTCATATTCCATGTGGTTCTGGGAATGGCTTGTGCGCTGCTTCATTGTATCATTCTGGGTAATATGTTAAACCTAAATTTCTCTAGACATAAACACTTTGAACTTTTGGCAATTATCAAGGAATCACGGAATCAGAATGCTTGCTCATTGAAAAAAATGTCTTTCATGCAAGCAAGATTTGAAGAAAAATCCAAGGTAATTTATAATTTGTTATTTTCATTCTACTTTTCAGTGAACCGTTTGATATCATAAGCTCAGTGTTTACTATTCTCACTGGTGTGAAATGTCCACTGGATATCATAAAAACACAAACGTCCAATCCTCAGCCATGTTACTCGTTCTTGGCAATTGCTTACGGTATTGGAGCTGATGTGGACATTGAATCTGAGAAGTATCGTTTCATGGGAGAATATCGCTTTAATTTCATGGGTCTTAAGAAAATTTTTCAAAAACAGATATTCTCTGGTAAATTGTGGTATCTCCCTATTGGTGATAATGTTTGTGTTAGTAATAGTCATGAAGATTGTGGTGATGATGTCAATAAACAAGAACAGAATTTGAGAGATGGAAAATTAGAAGATGTTATTTTGAGTGATTGTACATTGAAAAGTGGCGATGTAAACAATGTTGTCTTGAATACAACCAACTGTGATCTTTCAAACGGTGCTGCTGGAACTTCAGATACATGTGAACAGAAGGAGAGTGTTTGTGAACAGAACCTGGGAGATGGAAATTTAAAGAATGGTGTTCTTGGAAACGGAATACTGGATGATGGTATTTTAAAGAAAGTAAAATCAAATGATGGTAGTACAAGCGATGGTGTTTTAGTCAATGGTAGTCACGTCCATGAAAAACCCGTTATCCCTAGTAACTTTTTGCCTGATTTCCAAGCACCAATTCCTGATTCTTGGAAAGTTATGGAAGGAGATTTCATTGGCTGGGTATTTATAAATACATCTCATATCGGCAAGGATGCGTTCTTCGCTCCAGAGGGCGTCTTTGGGGATGGAATTATCCATTGCATGTGTCTAGGTGGAGAAATGACCCGTGCGGACTTGTGCAGAGTGTTAACGCAGATGGATACAGGGGGACACGTGAACGTACACGGTGTGACCATGCTTAAAGCACGTGCCTTTAGATTCGAGCCGAAGTTGGCAAGATCCAAGATCTTCACTATTGATGGTGAGGAATTTAAATGGGATACGTTGCAGGCCGAGGTGTTTAAAGGACTGGGACATGTTCGCTGTCGTGAGCCCGCTGTCGCTGGTCAACCATGCAAAGATCAATAAATTGATATTTTGGATTCAATTTAAACCATTTAAAATTACAAGCAAAAAGAAACGTATTCGTTGTTAACATTCCTATTGACATTCTGTCGCGATATATTAAATTAACGAACATAGTAAACTTGTTATATGAAAAGAGATATTTTTAAAGAATTTTACCTAATTTAAATATTTGTGAAGAATTTAAACTGATTGCAGTTGATTTGTAATTTATTTGAATTGTTTTATTTAACGTTTATTTGTTTGAACATTGTATGACGAAGATTTATCTATATTCAATAAAATGAATATATACTTGTGTTATTTGTGTTTTGTAACACCTTAGTTTGGTATAAGATTGTTAGAACATGTGCTTTATTGGTAAATTTCACAAGCATTCCCATTTATCATGATGAATTATCACACCTCCATAGTTCCTTCATTTAGAAGAACAAGCATGTATATTGAACGCTTCGTTTTGCATCAAGGTACCTGTCGTTTGAAACATTGAACAATTTGAACATCAGACGTTGGTTTAAACCGTCAAATTTCTTCGCTGCCATGTCGAACGCAGGCAGTATTATTCAAGAGATTGAAATTAAGAATAGAAAGTCAGAAAAGACGGAAAAAGAAGTGAAAAAGTGCGAGGATCCAATGAACATGAAAATCATCTCAGTTGAAGTTGCTGGTGACGGGGATTCGAAACTCACTTCTAGAGAACTGGCAGAAATTTTAAAGCTAATGGCAGAAAATAAAAACAAGAGTTAGGGTTGAAAGATAGATCTCAATATAACCCGGAATACTCGATGATAGGATAGCATGATGAGCTATTATATCACTGCTCACAATGAACTGTCTTTTGCCAGGGTTGATTACTTGGAGTTTAGTTGTTATTCTCATTAAAAACTGATCCATACTGGCTGTTTCCCTCACGTATATTTATACTTTTTGGACAGAAAAAAACATTGGTAAAAACACAGACTTACAATTGCAAATACTACCTGTGTACTGTGGAGGAAATTGGGAAGATGAAATTTTACCCAATTCAAATCAATTTATGGAAACAAATTTTAATTAATAGTTGTTATCGGACTTAATACTGAAATACATCGTGAGTCTTGCTATTCAATTGCATTTTCTCTCACGCCAAGACTTGTTCAAATCCCATCTTGCATTAACGAATTAACACTGCAAATGATTCGCATGATTCTGACACACGTTACCTACGAATATCTATTGTAAAATGTACCAAAATTGTACTCGTATCTAACTAGCATGCGTTAAGATAAGTTCTGCCAAGTCTTGGCAATTTATTTGCTGGATAATAAATCTTTTTGTCTTAATTGTAAAACATCTCAACGGGGTTTATCTCATTGGAATTTATCGAATAAGAAACTGAATTTGAAATGTGGGAAAATCAGCTGTCGCAACCCACACCTGGCGTCGAGTTGCATTGTGGATGCTCAGCTGCGGCTATTCCAAAATGCAAACAGCGGTTTAGGGAAGACTTGTCTACAGGAGGCTCTCACGGCTTAACAGTAAGTTTACTTCTCTTAGGCTTGTTTAAAATGTCTGCGATTTACCACAAGGCAGCCAAAGATGGCTTGCTTGAAGTTATACGACATGTGAATAAACGGGATGCGAATAAAAGAGATGAAGATGGAATGACACCAGTCCATTGGGCAGCGAGTTGTGGCAACTTAGAATGCCTACGAATTCTCTGTGCTAAGGGGTAAGTTAACAACGTTACTAGCCAAGACTTTTAAGCAATCTGAACACGCTTATTTCGGCCTATTTTCTCGAAACTTTAAGTTAGAAAGCACTAGACGTTGAGTAAATTCGACGTGTGTAAATAACTGACTTGCTGTAAACTTGGATGACGGCGAAGAATGAAGTTTAATTAAAAACTATTTAAAAGTTTTTAAATTGGGCTACATCTACTCCGCCATGCACTAAAAGGATTTTAAACGGTCCAAAAGTGATGTCGGAAATTTTGAGGGTTTTTTCCGTTGTGAAAGCTATATCCCGTTGCTTTGGTTGAAGACATTAATAGCACACACGATTCATTACAAAATATTTCTTATCGCTCCGTTGCGCATCAAAGATTATTGTTCATAATCTTCAGTATGTTTGCAATTAAAAGCATTGTAGTGAGATAAACAATTTGGTCATATTTAAAACCGTTTTCAACGGCAATACATCTCGGTTTTAGCTGGATGCTGTCGTGGTTTTAGATTTTTACATATGTTTGGGAAGGGTAATAATGGTGTAACGGTGAGAGAAGCAGGTATCGCACGCTAGTTTTGAAAAGTGTTCGCGATAAATTTCCCTGATTTTCGTACGAAACCTGATATTGATCCTTCACTTGCAATTCTGGATATTGTAGAGCGAGTTTTTGGTGAAATAAAACCGTTCAATTCTTTACGAATTCGTACGTTTGAATGTGGTTCGTGCATGTGGTTTCCCGTTATCGTAACAAAGATGAAATGTAAAACAAATTTTGGCCATCGCTATTAGCAACTTGATCATTTAAATTCATAATATTTTGGGGATTGTTTGGAGAGCTGTTTAAATATTCATAATCAGCATTGTGGACACATAACTCTCTAAAAGAATATTCTGTTATAAATCTAACAGTAAGGTGAATATTTCTTATCCTACGCCGAATACTCTCCCACTTGCGAATAAAATAATCCATTAGTGATGACCCAAACAAGTGAATAGTTTATCATTTTTGGCACACATAAGGTTTAATTGAATGAAGTGCTAATCTGTAGGTCAATACAAGTGCGTTCCCAAAATTACAGAATTTTTCAATTTCCGTACACAGAGACACAATCGCGGAAAGTTGACGACAAATTGTAATTTGTAGCGTGAGGTATACGTAGTTTAGACTCCTGAGGTGAAATCATCGTTTAAAGCAAACAGTGGCATATATTATAGTAATTATAGTAAAGCAAACCTATGAATTATAGTATTAAAATGATGAACTTGGCAATGGCTGTCTCTAATGCAAATCAACTTTCAGACAAAGGCACTAGTAATTGCTTACGACCATCAAAACTTCTAGACGCATTTTCAATGTTTGCTTTTACGAGCAAGGTGTCCTACTGAGCAGCATACTAAATGAAATATGTGTTGTTTGTATGCAAAAAAACACGTACGCTTAGCGTGCCTATTTTAGATGAGAAGTATCCTCTGTACCTCCCCCCCCTTTTCAATCTCTCCCAGTCCTTTTCTTTGCCTGTCTGAAGCTCCTAGTAATACGTTATATTTCCCACCAGGGGTGACCCAGACAAACCGTGCTACGACGGTTCAACCAGCGTCCATCTTGCTGCCGCCTGTGGTCAATTTCACTGCCTCGTTTTCCTCACGAAATTTGGCTCGAATATCTGGTCGCTGGACAACCAATATCACACCCCCCTGGAGGAAGCTGCTGCACGTGGACAACTGGACTGTGTCCAATACCTGGACCGCGTTGTGGCCGAACAAATGCTGCACCATCGCGCGCGGGCGAACAAACAGAAAAAAGAGGCGGAAAAAATTGCCAGAAAGCGGATGAAAAAGGTGGAAAGGCATCAAAAAAAGCGCGACAAAGAATACGCAAAACGTGTGAAGCGACAGAATGGCGTCGTCGTCAGCGATAGCAAAGAAAATATCCCGAATGAACGGTGGATGGCTGGTAAGAAACGAACCAGCAGTACCAACAGCAGTAATCCTCCAAACAACACCGGGTTTGAGAGCATTAGACGAGCGCAAAGCTTGGAACATTTCTCTCAAATTACAGGGAAGAAAACTGGAAAGTCGGCGCAAAACGAACGCGCCAAAAGCGTGCAAGGATCCGTGCGTCAAACCTTCCTTGGGTCCCGGATAAGATCCGGCAGTGCGTCGTCACTGAACGGCGGAAAGTCGCGAAGTTTGACAAGTTTAGACAGCGCCAATATCATATTACATCCAAAAGCTATCCGTGCAGGAAATGGAAATTTCGTTGGCCGTCCCAAAGACCAGTACATTGTCCGCTCATCAGACGGTCATGGGAATAGTTTCACCTCTGTTGAAAATATGAAATTCGGCAGTTTGTCCAGTTATAATAGTCGCACATCGACCTTGCCCAGTTCAAGGTTAAGCTGGGGCTCGAGTCGATCGATGGACTCCGACCTTGATACGGACATCGGCGAAGACGAGGTACTTCAAACGAACGATCCAAAATTGGCGCCGCTAATGACCTTTCTTGCATCTCTCAATTTGGAACAATTCACAATAACAATGAAACGCGAAAGCATTGATATGAAAGCTTTAGCTTTGTGTACAGACGATGATTTGAAGTCTGCAGGAATTCCGTTAGGTCCGAGAAGGAAGATCCTGGAAGCGATTGACCGAAGAAAGAGGGCGTGCGCGGAGCCTGGGCCCATGATGGACACGCATTTGTAATCAATGCACGGACTTGTAACTGGCGTAACGCGCCTGCGCAGTGATGCTTTAGGCTTAGTTTATACGTCACAGTTTGGTCGCGTCGAATGCATTTCAAATGATAGATCATGAGACGATAAACCTCATTAAGCTTCATTATCAGCTCACAATCTATTGTTAAAATGACATGTCCGACCACAATGCGACGTATAAACTAGGCGTTAGGAGCGATCCTGGCTACTAGTTAAGATTACTCTAGCACTACTGAGAACCGATAAAGTCTGCAATCTTTAGTGACTTGCTCCAATCAGATTTGCAATATATATAGCTCGTACAAGGAAGTTGGGAAGGGGTTATTATGATGTAATATACGTGCACGGTGCATGGAGAGTGAAGAGTTTAAACTTCCTTTCAACACCATTCCAAATTCTAGACTTCACAGACATATTTTGCACATCTCACTTGACAAATGTCGACTACTTTAGTTGCTGTAAAGAACGTTCACATACATGATTAGGACTAATTTTGTTAGATGAAGATTAAGGTATGTTGGCAGTAATGATGTCTTGCTGACGTTTGCTACGCATATTTTAAATATCATCAACGTGCCTTGATAAACACTGTGTGCATTCTACAACTCTTTACTGTAGAATATTTCGGAGAACGAACGCTTTATCTCTCAGAAAGCGGAAACAAATATTCAGTTGATAAACCTTACCGTTTATGTTGATATATTGTATAGTTTTCAAATATTATATTGAATAAAGGTTTTATACTCTAGAAAGGTTTAATTCCGCAGTGTTGCATAGTGGTATTTTCTCTGAAAAGAAAGGATTCAAATTGTAACCGGTACATTGAGATTTCACCTCATATTTAAGAGAAGCTAGTCGGAAATGAATCGCTAGATGACACGTATTTGAACTGCATGTTAGCCCATATACTGTTGAGTGTCTGTGACTTCATTATGCAAAAGTAGGCAGGTGGTAGGGGTGTGACTATATACTCCTATATACCCTCACCACGAGAGATCAGGGGCCGCTTGTCTCGATACAAACGTGTACATGTAACGGCGAAATATCAGTGAAAATAGGTTCTGTTTCTTTTTGCTTGCTTAGGCAAGAATGACTTGGTTCTTTGTCGTATTTCTGCTGAGTTTTCTACCGGAAAAAGCTGAACAGAACAACGTTAACGGTATTGTGAAATTTATAAATTATTATGATTTATATAAATATTAAGACTATGGCCTCGTGTATGACTGTATGAATCAACAACGTCAAGGATATTGGCTTTTAGTTTTTAACTGTTGTTTTTGCCAGATATTTTACATATTTATTTGACCTATGTTAGGGTTTCCGCGTGTTCGTGTTATATATAAGTTCGTCAATTGTAGAGCGGTATAATTTTTCGAGATTATAATACTACCGTGTTGAGATTTCAAAATCATAATAATTTTTTTTAATCTCGTCAAGTAAGTTACATAATTATAACTGCATGATCTTTACGAAATATTAACTCTTTAAAGCATCTAAGAGACAAAGCTGTATTAATGCAAGGAAAATAGTAAAATAAAGCTGTTTTTAAAAGAATAACTGTTGAAATTGATATATATTCAACTTAGTGGTAACATAAATTATGCATTTCATAAAATTTCCTGTGCATACAATATCAAGAAATACAACAATTGTAATCCGGTTCACAGTTACTACAAGGCTATTATAACTTTATAACCATGTAAAACACCATGGAAGGTTTTAATTTTAGGAATAAAGTCTAGGTAAGAACAGTTGCACGTGGTGATAATTATGTATTATCTTTAAGCAATATTCTTGGAATTATGTATTCTCGCCACAAGATGGCATGGTAGATTGATTTTGTCGCTAACTTCAATCATCTACCAGTTCCAACACCAGTGAAAGAATTGATAATTTATGACTATGACATTGAGATATATAGATAGATAGATGGATAGTGATAGATAGTGTATTAAAGCATTCTAGCATTTAGACAACATATTTATGTTATATACCGACTTATTGAAAGGCAAATTTATTCTGTGAGAATGTATTAGTGATTAGTCATTAATTGATTGATATAGTTCATTACCTTACCGAACAGTCAGCTAATTAATGAAGTAAAATTTGAACTTTTATTCGGCTAAGAAAGCCCGGAAACATTTTTAAAAAGACGGACACCTCTCAAGTTGTGAAGTACTTTGTTTATAGTTCTGTGGCAGTAATCCAGTAACCTGAATAACTCCCCCAATTTCATCACAAAATTTGCAAATTCATTCAAACAGACAATGTAGACCTACAATGTAACGAAATCTCTCAACTTTCTATTTCAAATTGACAAAATTATCCAAAATTGTTTTGTCCGGATACAGAGAAAAAGACAAAGCTCTTTCACAAAAAATTGGCAGTGTGATAATCACTCTTTGTTCAAATATTTTTTTACTTTCCTGGAGTAAAGGAAATAAAATTTTGTTTTCAGCCACCAGCAAAGAGAGATGTGTTATTCTTTGAACTGCAGATGCCAGAATTTATTTTTATTAAAGATGTGAGCATTTCGACGGTATAAACATATTCAAATCTCACCGGATTTTTTATTCAGTCCCACAACATTCCCACAACTCTACTGACTACTAGGGCTGGTTTTACTCCGTCCTGTCAGTTCGGAGGTATTGTTTGCGTTTACGGCGAAGTCCTCTTGGTTGGTTTGAAATCATTTTCCCCTTCAGTGATTTTCAACAATCACTGACTGAGAGGTGCATGGTCACGCTTCTTCAACTTTCATTACTTGTTCAGTCAAGTTCAAGTGAAATCTGTCAATAGCACGGTCAGACTCAAGCATATAAAGACAAAGTATGGAAAAGCGCAAGCCGCAAAGCAGTAGTGCACTCATTCGTTCCCCGATTATTAACATGTTAATTAAGCGGAAAATGTCGGCGCGCAAACACGAGAACGCGAGCACGAAGGCAAGAACGCGAGCACGGACGCAAAAACGCAAATAAGGACACGCGGTCGCGGACGAAGAAAACGTGAATATCAGTCTTCTGACTCTTCTCTATTCAACAAAAACTGTATTCTTTATATGTCTTTTTAAATAAAACTTGTGCGTGCTAAAATAAATCAAAGGTCCAGAAAGAAATTGTTTTGCAATCCAGCGAAGACAAAATAGAGGCGAAAAATCTATTTGTTATATAAACATTTAACTATTTAACATCGCCGCTGTCGATCAGGTCTGCTCGTTGATTGGTCCAAAAATCAGATAGGATGACATTGATGACATTGACTGGTCAAAGTAATATCGGACAGCGCTTTGTAATGCGATAAGATTCAAATTTTGAGTAGATTTAGAGCAGATATACCATACCATCCTTCAATCTTTATGCATCATATGCTTTTGGAATTTGCCATGCATCCTTTGTTCAAGAAGCGTGTTACGTTAAAATTGTCCAGATCACTGGAGATAGCTACTTATACCAGTGATACAGAGAACAAGGGAAACATTAATTTTGATTTCTTGTCAAATTAAATTCCGAAACCAGCTGAACAAACGTTTAGAAGAAGGCGTTTTTTTACCTTTGTTGAAAAGGTACATTCACAATTCATTTCCTTCCTGCTGCGTTTGACTTCGGAGTTCAAAATATGGCTCGGTTTTATAAATTGAATCCTTTTGTTCGAATCTGTCTGCTGTCTCATTTTATCGTCATTGCCATTGGATCCCCACTAGGTATGTTCATTAATCAATATCATTAGCTTTGTCCATGTTGATTTGTCTCAGATGTAGTGTTTTATGGCTATTACAGGACTAGGAACAAAAACTATTTTGTCTATCGTTACTAAAGCCCTGTTTTCACTGGACTGGATTTTTTGGCACGACACAGCCTAAATTGGTACCCGTGGCCGTACGGCGCGGATGCATGAAATACGGTTAAACTGGTTTTAAAACTGAAAAAAATCCCGCTATGTGGGTTGTAAACTGTACTATATATATGATCTATAGTTGATCGCGTTTTTGTGAAGTATCCACTGGGTGCTGGGTGCCCAAGAATAAGGAATACAGAGTTTAGCATTGCAACAGATTACATTAGATTTAGATTAAATTAGGATTAGGTTTAGGATCATCTTCTTCTTCGGAGATTTACGCCTGGCTTTAATATAGTCTATTTTCATTATTAGCGTCACGTTTTAACCAGAGTCGTTAGGCGTTAGCTACAGTCGTATGTCCGTCCGTACTCCAAAATCCGAGAGTATCTTCAGTGTTGAGAAGTTAACGTCCTTTCCACGAGTTTAATTAATATAGATCTAATATTCAGTGTGTGTGCACAGCCTAGTTATTATGTTTGTCATCGTGAGAAAACTAATTACATTTAATGTAATTTTTAGATAGATTATTATCAAACAATTAGTTTATGTACTTATGAACAGCAGAACTATCATTCAGCGATGCAAATTAAAACATTGCAACATTTTAAACACGCGGTTCACGCCAATTACGGCTAATGAAATTTTTATTAATTTTTAAACCCACGCTACGAGTCAATATATGTTTATTATATACGAGACGAACTCGAATCAGTTCTAAACTGTTCTTCCTAGAGATCCAGTAAGGGTCATCTCTTATTGATCCAGTGTTACTACAGGAGGAAACAGAAACTAAACTAACTTTATTTATACTGGATACCTCTATCAGTTTTAAACTGTTCTTCCTAGAGGTCCAGTGAGGATAATCTCTTAATGACCCAGTGTTACTACAGGAGGAAACCTAAACTAAACAAACTTTATTTACACTACATACCTCTATCAGTTCTAAACTGTTCTTCCTAGAGGTCCAGTATGGATCATCTCTTATTGATCCAGTGTTACTACAGGAGAAAACCTAAACTAAACTTCTCTTTTTGTACAGGATAGTTTCAATAGTTTCAAGGCATATAATTGTGTAATTGTTTCCCTTTCCAGTTTGTAAGAAGCCGCTTGGTGTACAAAATGACAAAATCATTAAAAACGAGCAGCTGACGGCTGATTCCTACAAACAATACATGTATATAAGTAAAATGGGGAGTTCATACAGCACAGAGCCAAGATACGGACGTTTGAACAACAATCTGGCGTGGTGTGGTTTTCGTCCGTCTAAGCGTCGTCCAATCTCGTATTTCCAGATTGATTTTCGTCAGTTGGTTTATGTTACTGGCCTGGCCACGCAAGGATTTGTGAATATTTCTCCCTATTACGTCAAAACTTATAAACTTAGCTTTAGTTCTGACGGGAAAACATGGTCAGACCCGACTAATAACAAGGTAGAAAACTCATACACTTTGAGTGTTGATTACACAACAACTTTGGTTAGCAAAGTTTAAATATTCAATTTAGATTTTATTGTCGTTTTATTTATTTTTTCGTTAGTGTACTAATGTTTAAAAAAAGAATTAAGTTTTTCATAAAATCAACGGCAAAATATATATTTCATCTGTAGGTATGGGGGGGAAACAGTAATGGTTATTCGATCCGAAGGAACGACTTTGGACAAGAAATTCAAACGAGATATCTACGAATATTACCACAGACAGCAACATATCGCTTCAGATGTCTCCGTGTTGAGGTCTATGGTTGCACGAGTCAAGATAGTAGGTTTTTTTGCAATTTCTTTATGAAGAATATATTTTTTTGGCTTAATGTGATCACGAATGTTTTGTATTCATTTGTTTGACAGAAAAGGCTGCCACTTCAACACTACCTTCAAAACTAGTTGCCACGTCAACGGTGCCGACGTCATCAATCGTAGTTGCCACGTCAACGGTGCCGACGTCATCAAAACTAGTTGCCACGTCAACGGTGCCGACGTCATCAAACCTAGTTGCAACCTCAACGGTGCCGACGCCATCAAAACTCGTTGCCATGTCAACAGTACCAATGTCATCAATGGTGGTTGCTACGTCAGCGTTTTCAACGTCAAGAACTAGAGAAGAGGCCGCTTTAAGCAGCATGGATATCAATCCTAGTTCAGCGTATACGCAATCCATATTTAGCAACGCTGACGTCGAATATAGCTCTTCGTCTTCGTTGTCAGCGAATGATGTACGGGCGATTCTGGTTGTTGGCATCGTTGCTTTTCTTCTTATCGTGATTGTCATTCTTCTATTTTTGTTGTTGAGACGAAAAAAAGTGCATAGTGTTAACTTGTTTAACAACAGGTACGTATGGCGGTTGCTTTCCTAACGTCCTTCATTTTTGGTCATTTGTTTATCCATTTCGTATTGTTAGTTTGCTTGTCTGATGGTCGTTTGTTCGTTTTATTCGTCAGAGTTATTCTCACTCAAATAAGAGCTTGATTTTCAATGTTTTACGTTGTTATAACGACATCAAAATAGTTTCTTTGCTATTGTAGGAACTTGGAAATGCACTCTTCCCAACCAAGCAAAAAGTAAGATCCTTTTATAATTTCATTTCATAGTCTTGGTGCGTGGTGCTATCATTTAACAGTTTTCTTCATTGGGAAAGGGAAGGGTTGAGGGAGGAGAGAGCGGAATGAAGGATGGGGCGAGGGAGGAGAGAGGATGGAGAGACTGGGAGATGGGGGAGAGATGGGAGAATGATCGAGGGAGGAGGGTTTGGGGGGGGAGAGAGAGAGGGATGGGAGAATGATCGAGGGAGGAGGGTTTGGGGGGGGAGAGAGAGGGATGGGAGAATGATCGAGGGAGGAGGGTTTGGGGGGGGAGAGAGAGGTTTGAGGGAGGGATTTAAGGATGGTCGGAGGGAGGGATGGAGGGGAGAAGTTTAGCAACAGTGTACATTTTAGATTAATACAATTAACTAGCGGTTAATTTTATTTTTTGTTTTTTTTCAGGCTACTTATGGGTAGTTCCGAGTCCATGAGCCCGTGTGTGTGATTCATGGTACAGGTCTTCCTTGTGTTTACTTCATGTCATCGTTGTGTTTAGATAAATGAGTTAAGTAGATCTCGTTAAAGATAAATAATTGTAGAAGGTAGTTAGTGGATAGATACTTGAACGAAATTCTTATTCAAACTGATCCAATCATCAGTCTAAAATTGTATAAAAATTCGTTCATGTATTCCATCTATAAACGTCTTATTTAACTAAAGTTCGTTATATGTGATCATTATATAAATTGCGGTCGAATTTCTGGACAAGATAAATTCCGTATAAATTTTTCGGGGTATATTTTCACCAACTGTTCCGTAATGCTTCTCAAAGAAGCAGAAATAAAGTGCGTTTTCATTGCGAATTAGGAATTGAATAATTGAATCTAAGATTCAGTCTAGAGTTTTTTCAAATTTGTATTATACAGAACTTCAGTGAAAGTTTGTGTAAATATTTTTAGAGATTTATTTTATAATTTTTGCCATCAAAAATGATTGGAATATTTGTTCGTACAGAACGTCAGTGTATGTTTGTACACACACTATAATATTACAGGTATATCCTCTATTTTAGCCAAATAATATACATCCCCCAAAATTTTCAGTGAATCCTCCTCTCCCTTTAGCCCCCGCCACATCACCTCATCACTCCGAGTTTACTGTCCAAACTGCACCCTACCTCAACCACCTACCTCGCCCTCAAACCCTAGTCTACCCCTTATCTTCCTCCCTCGTCACGTTATCCTACATATTTAAATCTCTTGAGTGATAACACTAACCCGTGGTGAAGTATAGCTATCCCATGATGTAAAGGTTTAAAATAGAGGATTTACTTCATTCTGAACTCTATCATACTAAAAAGCATACGCCAAGAATTAGAGACGCACATTACACAATTCCAGTGCGAATTTGTAAATATATTTAAACGATATTTTGTACCCGACAATATCTATTATATAACTTCTGTAACATGGTGTCTTCTCTGTGCAAAGGAAAACTCAGACATGCCAAGGCATTATCATGGCATGAACACCCGCCAAGTTTGGCGTATTTCCAAACACCTTGTCACAGAAGTTATAAAATACATCATTCATTTAAATTCCCCATTATTTATTTTGTATATAGTGCTCCAGTGTGGGCATATATAGAGAACAGTTATATGAATCAAGATTAACATTGAAAATTATCTTGAAATGGATATTTTTATACCTGGATTTCATTAAGTCCGTGCGATTGACTGTTGTTGGTTGTCATTTCATTAGTTTTACAGTTGACACAAAAGCTGATCAAACCGCTTAATGAAATCTACTGGTTGAAATATTAGATTTAGGCTATTGATACAGAATGCCAGTGTGTGTTTGTATATTGTAGTATATTAGCAACTTACTTTTCAAATTTCACCGCAACCGATGTTTGTAATCATGATCATGACTTTGTGGTATAGTTGCCGTAATTTGCATGTCTTAATTGTGATGTAAGTCAGTCCATAGTATGTTGTTCATTTGTCACCGTATATGTTGTAATCAGTGTCCACATTAAAATTTAGTTCTCGTAAATGAACGTCTATGTCTAATTACTTCTTAGAATAGTTGCTTATAGACTTGAATTATCCCTCCAAATATATATACAGTATTAATACATGCCAGGCATCCTCATGATCTGTGATTCCACCTTTGGAACCGTCATGTCCACACGATCCAATTTTGTTGGATCCAATTCACTTCTAATGATGATTTTATGGTTGACTTGCAATGTGTATATGAGAAGCAAATCAACTAAAAAACAATGCAGTACTTGTGCTTTGTTTGTAAACTACAATGCTGTACTGCTTTGTTAATAACAGACTACATACACACAAAATAGTCAGAAATGAATTGGATCCGAAGAAGATTGGATAGCGGGAACCAGCCTTTAGGATACTCTTACAAACAAGCTAAGTCATACTGAGTAAGCGATTGATATAGCAAGACTGCAAAATCAAGGGTTAGAAAATGCATTCTTTCTCGTGTACCGCATGTTTCTGTCAAGCTAACCTTGGCTGCAAGTAATTGTTTTTCACTTGAAACAGGTTTGTTACCCGTTCATGTTTTCATTTGGATTTAATTTCACAGCGTTTATTGGCCAAAACCTGGCACAATGCTTCGTAAACGACAGGTACTTTGTTTATTATTAACAGGTTTTGCCTTGGAAAGTGAAAATCGAGTAATTTAGGGTGTAATTTTACGTGGAAATCGTTGAAAAGGATGAACGGTGTTCGAGCAAAACTCGCTGCAATGCGAGAAGATTTGGCTGCAGCCGAAAAACGAGAGGAGATTGCCAGACTTCGCACGAGAGATGCTCGAGAGAGAACGGCGAGGGCCGAAGACGAAATTGCCTCGGAAAAGCGTAAAATCAAACTCGTTCAACAAAATTTAGACCGAGTAGAGGAGCAGACGGATATAAAGTTGGATAGATTGGAGCGTTTGAACAAACACATCCATGAAAATGAAACTTGGAGACGTCAGTTGGAGCGAAAGGAGATGAAAGAAGACAACACATTAGTCCACTTGGAGTCCAGGCAGAAATCACGAAGAGGTTATGTCGAAGAGGCAGAACAACGTTATCGTGAAGCCTACAACAAAATGAGAATGTTAGAAGCGCGAAATTCGAAGGTAACTTGTAAATATCTTAGTCCAGTTACCTAACATATGACATCACGTGTTAGTATCAGGCATAATACTCCATCTTATATACATGCACGCGATTTTCCTGGTAGGTGAGAGAGTAATTACTATTTACCAGTTGTTTAAAAAACTATCTGTGATCTTGCAATTGGCTTATCGATATCACCGAAAGCAGCGTCCAAATTCATTGACTCGCTAAGTTTATTTTATTTCACATGCAGAAAAAGAAATACAATGCTTGGTGAAGCTTTCGGAAAAGTTTAATTGTACATTTATGAGTTTATCTTTCTCCGTTAAATTCGCTTTTCTGACTTCTTGTAAGGTTGACGCAAGAATTCGAGCTGGTAAATTAAACGTAAAGTATTTTGAAAGAAGACTAAACGACGCCGGGCAAACAGCTTTCAGTCTGGCAAGATCAAGCGAAACTAAACAGGTGAAATGCGACGAATACCAAGAGAGATATAGACGCCTTAGCGAAAAGAAGGAACGAGTTTTGATCACTGCTGAATGTCTAGAGCGAAAAGCTGCCCAGCTTGAAAAGAAAGCAGTCGTTTTGCGAGAAGAGAAAAGAGAAGAGATGAAACGAGTGCAAGGTGTAAAATACGAACTAGGATGCATTTTGAATGAGTTAAACAGAAGATACTAAGTAAATGTTTTTGAAATTCAGTTTATCTTTATATGTATAATTTGTGTATGTTAGAATGCCGGACCTTTTTATATATTTCGTAAAATACCCATAGACAACTTTATATTACACTGTTAGCTAGTACGGTTTGAACACTGAAACGATGATATTTTGTTATTTACTTACGTGACGTCAAGCAAGAGGTGAAGATTATGAAGATTAACTTGGTTTATTTAGTGGTCAGAAATTTCTGTAAAACGCTTCTAAAATTCTTTTAAATTGTATATATTTAACAGAATGATATTTTATTACTACTACAATAACATAAAATTCTAGCAATTTTGACTTTCTATTTTCCCATATTTATCCTTTACCTTTTATACTCAAAACTACTTTATTCCAATAAAGTAATACGATTTCTAACCATGTTCAAACTAGAGCTTTTACTAAACAACTGCCTTTCTTATCGTTATGCTTTTTAACTTCGCTTTATTTCAGTATGCAGCAACGAGTGCTTTTGACTTTGATAATCCAGTTTACTGAACAGGTGATTCTGGCGAATTCACGTTTTTCTTTTGTCTAAAACGAAATTTCGATTCCTTTCCAGTTTTCACAGCCTTTCCCTCTTCCTGTGGCGAACCAATGTCCCTCTTCGTTTTTGTCCCATCATCATTGCCCTTACTACTCTTGTTTTCGTTGCTTGTCTGACCTGCAGGACTGCTCACGGCTTTCTCCTGTCGTTTTGACTGAGATGGCGGCTGATAAACCTCGTAATCTTGCTTCGGCTTTTCCATAAACCACAGGAAACACTCGAATGCGACAACTGTGCTCACAATATAAACGAAATAATACGGTGTTAGCAGTTTCCCAATATTTACGCTCCACACTGAAACAATAATCCCAAAAGACATCGCATAAATTGGCTCCTTCAAGGTTCCTACTATTACTGGAGGCGGTGGAAGTTTCGGCATGGTTTAGTTTCTTTTTGAATGCTTTATACTTTGATTTTTTCTTCAACTTGATGAAATGCTATCGAGGACAGCAACGAACCTCTTAGGTTTAAATTCGTCAAATGCAAGGGATCACACACAGCGCGTCTCAGTTTTGACAATGCTCATTTAATCCTCAAAAATGAGCATAACTTTTCATTTCTCACGTTATGCTTAATGGTGATTGGTCGAGGAGCTTTTTGAAACTGGTGGCTTGAGGCAATGTCATCTTTGCAACTGGTGTCTGTTATTCCGGGGAATGGAAACTTAGGGGGCAATTTTTGGTTGGAAATTGTGAGTCAGTTAACTGAAAGGTTTAATGCTCCTATTTAGCACGCATGATTGTGAATGTGGACTTATTTGGTCTTAAGTAAGAGGGTGGTGCAAATGAGACAAAATTAAGAGTCAGAGGAACCCACTTAAATGCTATTTATTGCAGTAGAACAGTTGGATTTCATCTCAGAACTACCATAATCCACCCACTGTAGTTCCACCTGTAACTGTTCCATCAATCGCTCTCCCAGATCTTAAAATTTACCTCATTAATAAAACCTTTTGCACTGAAGCTGCAAAAAAGCAATGTCTCCAATAAAAACCGAAAACGGTTACTTCGGAAACAGAGAAAGAGACGTGAAATATTGTTACATTTGCATATCTGACAATCAAATGAGACTGGTACCCATTCTTTCTTGTCAAAAACCGCGTAATTTTTTTCAAACTATCATCCGAAGTTCCAGAAGAATACGGAAATGACAGGATTTTAGTTCAAAACTTGCCAAAGATTGTGTTCAGATCATCGTTTAAAATGTTGGACGTAAAGAATTGGAATGTGGTTATACTGGGACTTTCCTTCATGCTTATTTTTACGGCGTTTCAGACGACTTCGATGATAGAGGTATGTTTTGTTTTGGAGGTTGAGTTTTGGAAGTGTATAATGAAAGAAATACTATGTGATTCCATGCGGGATTTGGACTGTTGTCGAAGATAATGAGGGTTAACACTACAATTTAAGGGTAGTTGGCAAGTACCTGACAAAAGTTAATTGATTTTTCTTATATTCTAGCTGAGATATCGTGTATTTACACCAGCGAGATATTAGAAAATCAACATGTTTAACTTCACTGATATATCACGCGGACATCACGAGACATTCTGTGCGCAATCCAGGAAATGGATGCGCAAAATCGCGCAAATGAAAAATTCTTCATTTCATTTCAGATTTTTCATTTCAAACATGAAGAAGCTTTTCATTAGTTTAATTTGAACGAAAGCTAAATTTTTAATATCACTTTGAAGTTGCTGGTATAATCCAAGTTATCCAACTTAAACTTAGCTTGAAGTATTCTCAAAAAACAGTTTTTCTTCTTTGATTATTGTTTTCGTTTCTGTAGTTTTACTCAAAGTCATATTTATAGATGGGGAAGCTGTCCCTCTAGAAACATTAGAATCTAGAAAAGTCATGCAATTTTTACTCAATTCTACCAAAATTCAGGCAATCTTTGTTTAATCAATGATAATTAAATCAAGCAATTTGTACTTGCAATTCCACAATTGAATCTCTCCTGAAATTATCTACTTTCCCCTAAATGTGTAGACCCATACGCCTAGGAGTTTATTCATTTTGAAGTATTTTTAAAATGATTGAAAAAATCATCATCTTGTGATCCCGTAGTGCTATCTGGCAGCCCTAGCTCAGTGGTTTCATTAATTTTTGTAATAGCAGGCGGAGTTGAAATAATAGGCGTCCGAGCATCCGAGCGCCACGGTAGCGAGACTCCTGGAAATGTGACGAATCTCGTAGAGGAGCGGGAGCTGTAGTCAAATCTAAAGCTCCCTATTGTCTGGAGTGGAGGCATGCATGCTTGCATAAAAAAATTTGAACTCTAGAAATTGAATCTCTCAACATTTTGATTTAATTAATCAAGCTTATGCTCAAAATCGTACAACATCAACCATGTTATAAAAAAATAGAAAACATGCATGGTTGTCATCACAAGAAAACATCAGTAAGTTATTTGAATAGTTGCTCATAGCAGTGATCAGATCAAATTTAAACAACAATTGTGAATAGCTATAGTTGTATACCCTTTACTGCTTCTAATCACAGTGTTTATGAAGTATATCACAATAAAAATGAGAACCGCTGGTTTCATATTGGCGCAATTGGTCTGGCGCACATGCAGAATCAGAAATCAGAATGGCAAACAATAAATGCTGGTAGTCAACGCTATTGCCTAGTTATTATATCAAATATATAACATATGTACAAAGATTAAAGTAAAGACCATGTCAGAAAAAATTATCGTGCACGAAAAATTAGGCGGCGGAATAAGTCACAATAGGCGGCGGTAAATCGCCGGTAACCGCCTTTTAATGAAACCACTGCTAGCTTGTCCTTGATTTTAGTTAGTAATTATAAATGATATGTTTCATATACATTTGACAGGAGAGCATCCTGAAAAGTGCTAAAAATGAAAGTCATCCACATAGCAAGTTCAAAGGCAAGTTAGATGCTATAAATACGTTGAAAAAAAAGGAATTTTTGGTTGTGATAATTCATATATCTAAGCAACATGCTGTTCTGATGTTTGTTATTCATGGTAATTATAATAAAGTTTTTATTTCATTATTTTTGTCTGTTTTTAGCCAGCGGATATTACAGGTAAAGTTTAATTTTTTACCATTTCTGCTATTGATTAAAATATTGATTAGATTGATCAATAATATAAATTATTTTTCCATTTTCTTATGCTGTATCATTCTTTTTTTATTTCTTAATAGCTTGTGCATAATATATGCAAGTTTTTCACTATTTAACTGGATCGCTCCACCTATAATTGCCTTCATTGGGTCAAAATTTTCTATGATGCTTGGTGGACTATGTTACTGGCAAGTACCTTGCTAGCTGGCCGATTACTGTTATTTACTTATGGTGCTAGGTTGATTAGGCTAGACTTTGAATAGTTGATGAAGTATAGGTGTCTGCCTAGATCAAATCTAAGGCCTGCCATTTCTTGACAAGCTTTAATTCTAGGATTAATCAGCACCATGAACTTAGTTTGGACAGAATTTTCGCAAGATTTTTGATTACAGTATTATTCATTTTTCATTTCAGGCTATTTATTTTGAGTTTATATTTTGTATCAAAGTATGTCCAAACTGATTTATCAAGTCTACTGTACATAGCTTCTGTTGTTATTGGATTTGGAGCTGCTGGTAAGCTGAGGATGTTGTTTATGTAAAGGGGGGCTTTCTATGGGTGAAGCATCTGGTATGGAATGTATCATGTATACATAATTTTTTGGCCTAACTAAGATGAATTAGATGCATTGCTCAAACTAAATTAACTTTGGAGTTCTAATGTTATATACCATGTATTCAATTCTAGGAATTGATTGTTGGTATTAAAAGTACTTCATCATAGTTGTTTAAAGTTGCACCAGGATCAGAAGATGACAATTGTCGACTGTACAGCATCTGGAGTCAACAAAATGATTGTATTTTCTATAGTGATATGGACTGCCCAAGGAAGTTGTCTAACTGTGAATTCCACAGATGAAACAATGGGACGAAACAGTGGGGTATTTTGGGCGTTCTTGCAGTGCAGGTGACTTTAACATTTGAGTTTTTATCAAGCTTTTAGAGGAAGGCTTTAAATGTTTAGAATTTAGGTGATAAACATGCTCTTTGTTATTTTCAGTTTGCTGATTGGAAGTTTGATAGTTTACTTTTGTTTTAAGCCAAAAAATGGTTCAACAATAATCAGTGAGTTGACTGCAAAATAGTCTAATCATTTCACTTTTTTTCACCTTTTTTTTCCTTTTTTTGCTATTGAATTTTTGCTTTTTGTTTCAGGTCTTAGTGAAAGGTCAACAGTTCTCTATGTCTTCATTGCTTTGTCAGCAATTGGTATGCTGTGTTTCCTGCTTTTGCGAAATGTTAGAAGTGAAGATACGGTATGAATTGTGGGAATACATTTGTAATTAAAAATTATTTCTGAACCAGGCCTAGTATAAAGTACTGCTACCATTTAATGGGGTATTGAGAGTTTCTATTACTTTTGTTTTACATGTAGACAGGAAGCAATGAAAGTCTTATTGTCAATATGCAAGAGTAAGGATATATAGATATTTGTAGTTGTGGAATGAACTCATCTCTGTATGTCAAATAAAGATTGAATTGCAAATTTATGACTTATAAACCTAGCAGCAATTATTCAATTTTACTTTCTCCCAAGGTCGGGAAACCGAATTGAAACAAGCAGTAGTCCTTGGGAATCATTTAGTAAGCTTTTGATTTCAATGTTTCCTCTTACTTGAAGACTTATGTTAATGTTTCACCATCAGCTAAACATAAATAACCTGGATGAATGATCAAAATTTTTCTCACTTTTAGAAAGTTCAGTTCGGCTGCTCTTTACCAAACCGTCCTTCTTCCTATTCATTGTGTATTTTTACACAGGTAAATAAAATCTTATTTTTGTACGGTGCATGAAGTTAGGTGGACATTTGGTCCTATCAACTGGCTAGAGTTGTACAAAAAATCGCTGTGATGATTCATTTGTTAAAGAAACTTAATTCACACAAGCTTGCATTCTTTTAGGACTAGAGTTAACTTTCTTTAGCGGTGTTTATGGAACTAGTGTGGGTCAGTACAATTATGAAAGTATAAATAAGTGTTTCATGTTATCTTCCAAATCATGGAATTAAAGATTCTCTACTTTTTCCCTTATAGGAAATACTTTGCATTTTTTCTGAACAAAGAACTGATTGTCTTCAGTGTCTTCATAGGAATTGGCGAGATTTTAGGTTAGTTTATGGATCTTTGTTTAAATGAGTTTGATTATTCAAATTTTAACATGAACCCCTTGTAATTTAGGTGGTGGGATTTTTGGTATCTTTGGTAAACGTATAGTAGCCAAAGGACGAGACAACATTGTTCTTCTTGGAATGTTGGTTCATTTTGCTACATTCTTCCTCATTTTAATGAATCTGCCAGATGCTTCGCCAAATGATGCTACTCATGAGATGGGATATCTTTTAAAACCAAGGTACAGTATGATTATAGTGGAAATGGTTTCACACCATACCATACCATACTGTACCATACCATATATCATACCATACCATACCACACCGTACCGTACCATATCATATACCATACCACACCATACCGTACCATACCACACCATACCATACTGTACCATATCACACCATACCATACCATACCACACCACACCATACCATACCATACCACATCACACCACACCATACCATACCATACCATGCAACTTAGCATTACAACTCTAGCATTACAAAGCTGATTTTGAAACGCTTTTTAGTGTTCCAATAGCAATGCTTTGCGCATTTTTACTTGGCTTTGGTGACAGTTGTTTCAACACCCAGGTATGGATGAAGAAAATTCTAAATAAACAATATAGATGTGCGAAAAACATCGCATGTTGATAAAAGTGTTTTATCATTTTTCATTTATAATTAAATCGTTATTTACAGATTTATTCTTTACTGGGGAGTTTCTATTCTGACAATAGTGCTTCGGCATTTGCAATATTTAAATTTTCGCAGGTAAGCCTGGAAATTGAGATACGCAGGTAAGCTTGGAAAGATACACAATAATATAGCTGTATAAACCTGAGTGATTGTAATCATAGGTCAGGATGAAACCTCCAGTTGTCAGTTTACTTTTGTAAGAATTCCCTTTTTCATGTTACAGTCGGTAGCCGCTGCAGTTGGATTTTTCTACAGCAGTCATATAGGACTTAGAAGCCAACTCTATATTTTGGTATGTATCGCTTTAGGATTTTAATTCAATAACTTGTTGTCGTCCTGTAATTCAATCTCAAAAGTGTTCATCCCTGTTGCATAATAATGGTTATATGATCATTACAACCTATATCGACGATGATGACAAAATGAGGTTTTTTAACCAGTGCATGGTTGTTTATCGTTCTAGTGTGTGATGGCTTTCTTGGGAGCGCTGTCCTTCTTTGTAGTGGAACGAATGGCAAAGAAAAAAGCCGGAACAATTTGAATCAGACATGATTTCCAAGCGTAGAAAGAACCATTGTGTCGGGTTCTACATAGAGTGAAAAGTTTCGACAATTTCCTATTAATGCACTGCATAAAATGCATTTACTGAGGCGGTTGATGAAAGATCAGACTATTTATGAATTATCTCGTAAAATTTTGCAAATAGATTATCTATAAAATAGCTGATAATAGAAACGCTAGCTAGTTTACAACACACAAACAACTGTTTTGTTTATAATTCTATTCTAATGCAATAATAAAATTAAATAAATATGTCCAAACAGCCAAATGTTTCTGTTATAATCAATACTCTACAATAACTTAACTCAAGTCAAGGTTAATAAGTGATAACATGCATTGATATTAAATCGTATACAATACATCTATTTTTTGTATATATTTTTTCTATCTCTCCGTCTTTGTTTTTAAGTTATTCTTTCCTTGCTCCGGGTTTGTACATCTCCCAAAGCTTTTCAAATTCATCGACGTAAGGTCGAACTATCTCTGCATTGTTAGTAACTAATACGTTCTCCCTGTTCCCCATGACCGCCTGTCTGGTCCAGTTGAAGGATCCAGTTATGAGTACAGTGCCATCAACCAGGACGAACTTGTGGTGCATGTAAAACGCTGTTTTATCGTGTCTGACTTGGATTCCTTCGCGTTGAAAACGTTCAATTTGCGAGCCAGTTAATGCTTCGTGTTCCTCGTTTGTAATAATTCTAACTGGTATGCCTGTTTCGTGCAGTTTTAACGCCGCATTCGCGAGTTCGTGGCACGAGATTGTGAACACGCAAATATCCAGTGATTTCGTGGCAGCGTTTAGAAAGTCTAGAAGTTTTCCCAGTGCCGTTTTGTAGTGGGCATTTCGACATTTTGCAAGATGACATCCTGCAGGAGTGAAGAATTCCGGACAAATTAATCGACTATCAGGAAAGAATAGTACTTCATGGAAGAGTTTGGGCTGGCTTGGGGCTTTCTCGGATCCTAACCAGGTGTTATAGCAGCTTTTGAAGCATTTGCTGAACGTATAAACGGTCTGAAATAAAACACTTGCTGACCAAGTCAAGAAAAATAGCTCAACTGCGGACGCCATATTGGATTTCTCGTGTAGTGCCAGTGCTCGGAGTAGTCTGCGCACTCTGGAGATATATTAGATGGAGTCAGGTAATAAATTATATATATGATAAACGATATACTCTTTACTGGTATAGTACCTATATATATAGAAAGTTGGTAACGAAAGAGTATTTCATTCTTGCAGAAGAGATTTCTTAATAGGCTCCACACTCTTGCATCCATATTCTTTCATTTACAATCATATTTTTATTGCTAAATAACCGTTTATATCTTACAACTGTTACTATAAAGGTTAACACTATCCCTACTCTTCACTGAACAGTCTTTATGTCTTTCGCTCGATTAGAGCATTGAAATGGCCATTAGATTGTCAGCAATAAGTATATATTGAAGTTACTGCAGTTAAACAACTTTTATTGAATGTTAAAACAAAAAAATTAAGGTGAATATTCATGGCGATAAGGATTAAGGTGTCCATGAGAATCATCTTGTTTTGACTCGAACGATTTCCTCCATGTAATCAACGAGTGACGAACAAGCAATCCGAATGTATTCCTCACAGCTGACATGGCCATCGTTATCCAAATCAAACGTGGCCAGAAAATCTTCAAATTCTGCTGGGCTCAATTTGTTCCCAGTGTTACACAGGACATATCGTAGCTCGTCCCGGCTGAGGTAACCGTCTTGGTTTGCATCAAGAACGCTACAGAGATGAGAATACAGCTTCAGTTCTTTGTGCATCATTTTTTTCATTATTGACTGGTATATGGGCATACTGTAGTTACCTTCATTGCAAGAAGTTGTAAACATCTCTATTCTAGTCTATTATCTTTGTGATACGGGGGGTGTGCTGTTGCATAATTGATTGATATACTGTTGTAAACTGTGCTTTGACTATATTCTTCATTAGAACGGTGCTAAGGGCACTTAAAACGCCTATCTCACTCTGCCTAACTTCACCTCAGAACTACTGGCTAAACTAATTGGAAAAACACGTGTTGGTCATGTACCGTTTAATTAACTTGTAATATATATGTCGCTAATTAAATTTTGGCAAGGGCCTTTTTAACCGACTTCTTTTAGAGAGTGCGACGAGAGACAGATTTGTTGAATCTAGCTATTATTAGACGCAGGTTTAGCTTTTTTCTGCTTACTTGAAAGCCTTCCTGATCTTATTTTCCAATGCTTCTTTTCCATATTTGTATCCTTTACCATTCAAATACTTCACCATGTTCATGAACTCTTTAAAGTCCATCTCACCATCTCCGTCCTGATCAAACGAATTCACCATTTGCGAGACTTCCTGATGCGATATTGTGTAGCCAAGGGACGAGATCATCTTCAAAAACTCTGGCTTAGAAATACGGCCATCTCGGTCTTTATCAAAACTGCTAAACAGATTTCTCATCAGAGTAGCTTCGTCTTTTTCAACTCGACCTCCGCGGCCGTAGTTTTGCGAAGCGCCAGTGCTTTGATAACTTGTATTGCCGTAGCTTTGTTTCTGGACAGGAGCTGCCTGACCGTAACTTTTTGATTGATAGTAACGAGACATTTTTGAAGAGACTTGTGTTTAGTTTAGCCAAACTGAAACTTCGTTGGTATTGTTACCGGCAAACTCTGTTGTGTTTATGTGTGTATGTGTAGCTATGAACACCTTAACCGCATTTTAGCAGGTTTGCTGGTTGACAACGGTTACCCGTTGTAACGCAGTTACCCTTTTCTAATAAACCATTATAGGAACGCCTTATATCCACTGATCTGCTATACCCAAAATCTAGTGAGGAGCGATATTCAAAAACCTTTTGAGAAGAGTTGAAGCGATCCAGAGAGTGCTGCGATCGCTGCCTCGGTATCTTAGCGGCGTTGGTTAGACTCTTGTTAGAATTTGCATGAACTTTTTTGCAAACTTAGTTTTTTTTCCATGAAGATCATATCTAATCACACAGCGCAAATGCTGTCGATGAAAAGAATTAGAATAGATCTTGCATTCCTGCATTCGGCTGACATGAATTCATTTTATTGTTTGCAGAAATGAAGAAGACGAGTAACACGAATCTTTGGATGTCATCTTTCTACAAGGATGTAATTATCCTGTAAGTAGACATCTTATAAAATTATTCACAATTTTAAATGTCTATTTCCGACTATACTCAGTCAAACAGCCAATTATTGTAATTAGGATCTGCAAAAGGTTTTTTAAGCTGAAAAAATAGCGTGGATGGATGTTAATTTCGATGGGGATTGTAAATAATAGATTTGGTTGTCATCTTTTGAGAGTTTAATAAAACTCTTAACGGAGGCCACTTCTCAAGATGTTTTGAGTTTTTGACCAACTAGTTGATAAAACAATTTGTACTTTTTGTAAACGCTTGTAAACAAGTTGTTACAATGCTGACTTTATCCTCGAGTTATTGCAAGGACAACTGAAGTCGTCAATAAGTTAAATGGTCTGACAATAACGCCAGGCTTACGTACGTTATGGTATTTACGTAATATGTCACCAAATCAACAACGTTTCACAGTCTGCAGTTCGTCAACAAGGGTTTTGTAATCTTGTTCAAAACTAAAAACAACATTCCCACAAAGGCGACAAGTTTGCTTTGTACAAAATTTTAATAAAAAATTGTAAGAACTCTCGTTGATAACGTCAATCGGGGAAGGGTTCATAATTTGTCTTAATTGAAGTTTTCTGTCCTTATCAAGCAGAGAAATATGGTTATCTTTAGAATACGGTGCGGTCAGACTTTAATATGACCCGAAAATCTCACACGTTGCTCATAAAAGACCTTTTACCTCTAGAAGCATATTTTGCCCTCTAAAAAACCACTCTTAAAGTTCATTTGCAATAGTTATCCCTAAAAACCTTTCGTTTATTGTCGATGCCTCATTTTTTTGCAAAATGAAAGTGACAGGTTTGAGGTTTGATGAATAACCTTCAGTTGCATCGCGACGTCAATTGTTTGCAAAAGAATAGTTTGGAAATGTAATACCTTGATCAACCTATGACATTTAAACATTCAATTCTAACCCTGAAATCTGGTTACTAGTTTAGCTTTTCAGCTGAACAGAATTCGAGTGTTGACACAATGATATTTCATTGAAGAAAAAAATAAGAAGTTGGTGTTTAATATCTGGTTCAAACTCAAACAGAAATTGTGTTTATTCAACTTGAAACAAACAGATAAAAATTAAATGGTATTGTTATACGCGTGGGTTTGAACAAAAACTCTTTATAAATTCAATACTTGATTGCTGTGAAGCATTAAGTGACATATTTTAAGGGTATCATTATAAACATTACCTTTAGTTGGCCTGTTTATCATTCAGCCCTGGTCATTGCATGGTTTAGAAGGGAAACTAGAGATACGATTTCACCACATGCAGAATCTTTTGCGAAGTAATATTAGCGCTGGCACTAACCTAGTTCGCGCGGCTTTCTCGGAAGAATCAAGTCTAGTCTGAAGGACAATTTATATCAATCGTTAAAGCTAGCCAGCTGCGGTGTGGAGCCGGGTTTTACAACTGGAGTCGAGCAAGGAAATGATTGGTAAGTGTGCCTGAATCATTTATCCAATTGTCAGCTTAAATTAGATTTAGCTTAAAAAGTGTAATGGTCGTATAATTGAAGTGTTTTTGGTTGAAGTATTGTCCTAATTATTGTATGTGCTACGTGTGTCTGCTGCCGTAAACACTTCATTATCTTGTAAACACTCGTGCAATCGCCAATCTGCAGTTTTGTTAAAAGGTTTAGCTATGTTGTTTAGTCTCGAGGAGAGCTCAAAGACTGTCTGAAATCAACCTGATTATCCAGTGATCAGAATAAGAAAATTGTTTGGATTACGCACGAAATAAATAATTACTACAGTGTGTTTCTTTCAGAAATAAAGGTTTTGACGTAAAGCAATAATTAAGCCCCATCAATGATAATTATCACTATCAACCACAATCCCGATAGTGATCAATCAGCGCTGGACACGAAATAACCAGGCGAACGGTTCGTGTCTGATAATTCTCAGTTAATTCATTTTTGCGTGAAGCCTTTGCCTTTGGCATGCATTTTTCATATCATTTCATAGCAAGCATCCAGGCAAATCGACGCCACACTCAAATGAAAACAACAGATCAATCTTTTCTGGCTCGAAATATCCGGTTTTTGACCAAAATTATTCCTGTTTTCGTTTCTCTGATCTCTTAAAATATTTGAAAACGCTCATTTTATTTTTTTTTGAAAGCCATTTTGACTTCGTGCATGTTTGTTGATATCTAGGGCTATGAGTCTTTGTAATTCACTGGAATTGGTAATTATAGATGTTGCAGACGCCTTACGATTCCTTTTTTATCTCCGTTTATCTCTTTTGTGTCCGTCATAGACATTGTATAATTGAAAAAAAATGCCTGTGGTCTTTCTAAACTCATCATCAGACTGCTGTGTTTATTCCGATGCTTTCTTTATTATTTATGAAGACGGAAAACCTAATATAGATTTCCCCAAAGTTTAACCACTGTACTCCAGGGAATCACGTACGCCGGCAAAACACCGACTGTTATGCGAAAAAAGAGCAAATTGCCTTCGAATGAATTTTCTTTATCAAACTCAAGTTTAAACACGGGTAGGATTATAAACCTTCCTTTCCTGAGCTGACACGCCTTGACAATAAAGATTTTTAGATTCTAATTTTGATCGTGATAGCCGAATCCGATAAACTTAGAAAATACCGCCCAGTTATACAAGGCAGGATTCCTTTAATATTAAATCCCAAGATTTGAGACTAAAGATGGTATCGACAGCCAAAAACACCGACAGCTCGCGAAGAAAATACCTCTCGTTTCATAGTTAAAATGCCATCATTGTTATAATGGAAAGCAAGTTTCAAGAACCTACTCATTAAATATAGGCATTCTGTCTGTCATTTAGAAATATTGTGTTGTTGCGTGTCCACTGATGATAATGTCGAATTAGTTTGGGGAAATTGAAAAGGCAATTTCATTTTAACGGTTTTTCCAAACTGTGCTTGACCTAACCACGCTCTGTTTGACGTTCCCTAGAGATGTCCGCAACTCCCTCAAATGGTAACCAAAAAGAAAAACATTTGGAAATCGCAGAAGATAATGGAAAAGTTATGGTGGGAACGCTCGAGAGTCAAGGTGACTCGCTTGGTAGCGGGATGCCAGCAGAGAGATCAAGATCTATGATCAGTGTCACACTACACAACATCAAAGAACACGTCATGAACACGAAACCGAAGAAAAAACGACTTTTAGGAAAGCGAGGTGCGCTGAAAGTGAAAGCATTCAACACAGACAAAGGTGGTCTGTATTTCTCAGATCTCTTCACGACTCTAGTCGATGCAGATTGGCGATGGATCATTGCCGTATTTGCTTCGTCGTTTGTTGGATCTTGGTTTATTTTTGGTCTGCTTTGGTTCGCTGTGGCTAAATCTAGAGACCCGTTTCAATGTTTGGATAACGTGGACTCTTTTCCGAGCGCGTTGTTGCTATCGATCGAGACACAAACGACGATAGGTTATGGTGGCCGAGCGGTAACTCCCAGTTGTCCAGATGCGATAATAATCTTAATAGCTCAATCTTTGATAGGTCTTTTGATGTCCGCCTTTCTTCTCGGCTTGGTTTTCACCAAACTAGCGAGACCATCGCGCAGGGCGGATACGCTACTCTTTAGTAAGAACTCCGTCGTAGCACCACGAGATGGAAAGCTCTGCCTGCTCTTCAGAGTCGGAGATATTCGCGAGAGCCGAATCCTTGCCGCTGACATCCGAGTGCAGCTATTTCGCACGCGGCGAACGGCCGAGGGCCAAGACATTCCCTTCTATCAACAGGACTTGAAATGCGGTATAGACTGGAGTGATAAGGGCTCGGGGAATAATAGTCTGTTTCTGATTTTACCCTTGACTATAGTCCATGTTATTGACGAAGATAGTCCGTTTTACGAGATGGGACCCGAGGATTTTGACGCGTCAGCAGATTTCGAGGTGGTTGCTATCTTATCAGGGACGATTGAGTCTACCAGCATGCTTGTTGAAGCGCGTACTTCGTATTTAGGGGATGAAATATTTTGGGGACGTGATTTCGCAGAGGTTTTGAGCGACAAGTGTTGGGACCCGCAGCAAGGGAAGTATTTGGTAAATTTTGGGCTGTTCAACGCGACAGTACCAGTGCAGTTGCCTCTAGTTTGTGCGAAGGAGTTTTATAGAAAGAACCATGAAGATGACGAGGTGAAGAATATCATAAGAAATGCAAGAACGGCCAGCAGACGAATCTTATCAAGAGGATCGTCACAAGAAGGACTAGTAAAAAGATACACTGAGCTCTGGAAGAGAAAGTATACAGTTATCCAGGAAGATAATCTTGCACCAAGCAGGCAGCATGATCATCAACTATAAAACAACGAACAGCGCACACTTGTAGAAAGGCTATTTATTATATTTCGTATAGTCGGGACAATAAACGAGATGAGATGGAAACTCTTTTTATTTACATCGATATCAGATATTTTTAATAAAACGAATCGCACAGAACTATTTTGTGAAGTTTTCTCTTAGCTTAAACGGTGGATAAGTAATTACAGCGATTCAAATTTGGCTTCACACATAACTCTGCCAAGTCAATTCTCAACAGCCGTGCAAACACAAAACAACAAGTTCATGATAGTTCGACAAGAATGCTTTTATTGAATGAAGTGGAATCAGGATTGTAATATAGCTGTACAATGATAATTTAGTTTTTTCATATATAAAGTAGTTTTTAAGAGTCAACAATATTGAAGATTTCTTCGAAGATGCACGACGTCAGTGACAAGCAGAACCTAGAAAATAAGAACGCAGTTTAAATAGGCTGTCTCTTTCCAGAAATAAACGAAAAGCCGTCCCTTTTCTTGGCCCACAAAACATCAGATGTCAGAAGTTAATATCCAATGAATGGAATCATCAATTTTTAATTATGATGGGGGCAATCATTTTTGTCATCATTTGTTTTGACAGACCCAGTTTACAATTAACAGTAAGATTTGTAATTCTCCATCCTTACCCAACAGTATCATCCCATTAAATGAACCTGGTGGCATAAACGAACAACTTGTGATCTTTCAATGAACTAAAACAAAAGGTAAAGAACATTGTTTAACTCAAAGAACCCAGACCATTTGACTAAGTCAACTTAGGTACTTGGAACATCAGAAAGTTCTGGCTATAAAAACACAGCATTGTATCAGCATTTTCGATAAGCTGGGGAAAAAAATAGTCATCACTTGTTCCAGGACAACAAACTTCAATATATAGGTTGAATATCAAGTATTATCAGTACAAATACTGTGAACACCGGGACATTTTATTCTTACCTCAAGTGATTCTCACATTTGCAAGCATTTGCTAAAGTAAAGAGAAGAAAGGTTCATCAGAACTTGCAGCAATTGTTTCCAAATTCAGTTTACACAATTTGTAAAGTGAAGCATCAGTAAGTTCTGGCTTAAAAGACAGCATAATATCACCATGGTCGATAAGTTGGGGAAAAAATTCAGTCATCACTTGCTTCACTTTTAAAGAAAACTATGATGCAAATTTGAATAAAACATTTACCTTAAGTTACCAACTCAGACGCTTGAGCAAATCTGTAAAAACAAGTGGAATTAATTAGCACAAAAAATAGGTAAAATATTATAATTTTAGTAATTGTCATAGTCAGTCAGACATCCAAGGAAGATAACCATCATTGCAATGACAAAGCATCACTTTGGTGGAAACTGCGAATATATGGGTATACATCATCATTCTGACAAGAAATCATGTCTTAAATTGCAGTAGTTTTAGGGAAATGTACCTGTTGAACAAGATTCATTCTTGGTAGGCCATCTTTACAACACAATGCTTGACTACACCATTACTCCTGCGTTGAAAGGACAATATTTGTTGTTAGTACTTGCCAGATTAAATATTTGCAACAGAGAAATATTATGCATTGTCAGTCAGACATCCAAGGAAGATTAACCATCATTGCAATGACAAAGCATCACTTTGGTGGAAACTGCGAATATATGGGTATTCATCATCATTCTGACAATTTTCTTTACTAAAACAAGCAGCATACTCTTACCATGTTCATCTCTGGAGGCCAACCACAACATTCTAGGAGTAAAACAAAGATTCATATAGAAAATCACCAAACTATTATGGGATGAAAGAACACCAGGATTTCTCAGTCTGACGTACATCTCAGCATTTTGAACTAAGTCAGGGATAACTGCGATATTGTCTTCATCATTGGTTGAAATTTAATTGCATCTTGAAGATAAAGAGAAGATACGTACCTATCATGCGTATCATGTTCTATTCATTCTTTGAGATTATGACAATAGACCAATTTTAGGAAACATGACAACCAGACAATCTAAAACATATATAAAGAGATATTTATAACCTAGAAAGATATCTACCTTAATGAAAATAATGAAATTAGTTTGTACTTAGGGCTCAGAGTCAGAAAAGTATTTTATGAATCATAGTGTCATATTTAACACTCAGACAAGAGGTGTCAGAATGAAAATTCATCATTGCCCTAATTAACATAAAGTGCAGTAGCCCAAAAGACACCATACAGTACCTTTTGGTCCTCACAGCATTGGAGAAATTCACCCCTAAATATTAAAACAGAAGTAAGAATTAAAGAGTTTGAATTTCAAGGGAGAAAAGAAAAAGGGGAAATGGGACTACAATGTCAGACAGCCAAGGGTTGTGTCATCAAGTATTTCAGAGACTCTAGTCTAAAGATTTCATCATTCATTGTAGCTTTTTAAAAGAAGGAAACAACATTTATGAATTTCATGTATTGTAAGTAAAAGAAGCACCATACAACTACTTACATTACTACCAGCTTGAACCAGACAACTCACATCACAGGACAGTGTCACCCTTCATCTATGTAAAGAATAAAAGTAATTTGCATAAATTGCCAAAACTCAAAGGTATATTTATTGGTATACTTCATATAGCTGGACTATTGGCTATCATATGGGTTTTACTCTCAGACAAATGCCTCGATTGGTCATCACTAATTAATAACTCAGGCTCGTCATCAAAGTCATCACAGAGTAAAGGAAAAGGTAGCCCAATGAAACACGTGGTTTTGAGGTATAAATCCTGCTCTTAGCTAAACTTAACTTGAGAATATCGCTTAAATTACAAATCCTACTATTGAACACAAGGAATATGTCATTTTTTCTCCTTCCTAAACCATGATAGCAGGTTACTAGTCTTTCATAGCGGCCTTTTAACCAGGGCAGCGTGCAATAAAATTTTTGTATATACCACGTGGTGGCCAAAGTGCATCATCTTCTCAATGAAAAATGTGCCTCGTTTATCTCTTTATCCGCATCATTCTGCGTTTTTCACTCTGGTTTATTATACTTTGTAGACACAATGAAAGAATAATAATCATGCTATAGAAATCATTTTGTTTTACAAGAAAGACCCTAGTTTATCGGTAATAAAGTTGACCATGTGAGCGCCTCAGACGCGACGCGTAAATTTTTCACTCTCAATAAAACCCCGTTTTTTGACCACACGCAAAAACCGCAAACATCGCGCGTTTAACTGTTCTCATGCGCTCATACTTACAATAATGTGCCATGAAATTCAGCGTGAAAACCGCTCAAATTCTTGAGAAAAATTCACAAAACATCGCCACGAACTCTCAGCAATTCAGAAGAAATCAAGAAAAGGACGCTAATATCGCATCACGTGCTTTTATAGCTATGATCACATGACCTCAATCAGTGACACGAAAAATCAACCAATCAAATTCGTTATAGGTTTCCACATTTCCTTCCTAAAAATACACTGAAATGATTAAAATAAATCGATATTTTCACATTATTTTATCAAGAGGAAATTAATACAGCAATAGGCAAGTAAACCTTTAATTTATTTGCAAAAAGCCAATCCTTTTTTGACCGGGAAAAAGGTTTTTTCTTGCGTATAAATTTTGTCCGTATAAACCCGAAGGTAACCGATGGATAACCGATTGTCAACTATCATTTTGAAGGATGTGATATTATAAAAAGAAGATTATTTGTTTTGTTTACATTTTTCATGCAAAGCACAGAAAAAAATTGAGATTGAACTATTTGATTTTAAATGTAAATGCACCGGTGTTTAAGCAAAATAACATATATGCCTTTATTAAAGAGAGAATCTGCAAAAATTCTTGCATAAAAAATTAAATAGTCAGCAAATTTTCAATAATTAATGCCTTGGAAACTTCCTGGTTTTCACAAGAGCAAAACAATGCCTTGCAGTATTTCGAGGGGAAGGACTGCTAAAGATCACAAGAAAAGACTAGTTTCCAAAGATGGCGATATTATGTTTGAAGTACGAAATGTAAATGAGCGTTGGCGATTTTTAGTGGATCTCTTTACGTCTCTGGTCGCTCTAAAATGGCGTTGGGTCATGTTGTTGTTTTGCGCAAGTTATGTTCTGTCATGGTTGGCTTTCGGTGGACTTTGGGCACTTCTTGTAGTAGGATATGGGCCAGGATATTGCGTTGAACAGGTAGAACTGAGAAAAAATATGCATCCACCTGGATATTTTGTTATTTTTGTACAAACATTTTATTTAAATGCGAATTAAGTTTGTGTATAATCACAATTAGTGTTCTGAAGAATATCAAATTACGTTGAAGAACAAACTAGAAGATAGTATTGCAAACAGAATGCTGCTTTAAGAAAAAAACAGTTTTTCACTAGTTAGTAATTGATACAAATGTTTAACACTGGGTTCTGATTTTCCAGGTAAATGACTTTACAAGTGCCTTTTACTTCTCTGTTGAAACCCAACAAACTATTGGTTATGGAGGTCGTCAAGTCACTACCAATTGTGTCATTGCAGGCTTACTTCTTCAGGCCCAGTCTGTCATTGGTAACTTCATTGAGTGTGTTGCACTTGGGTTGATATTCACCAAAATAATTAGGCCAATAAAACGAGCAAAAACAGTCGTGTTCTCAAAGAAAATGCTGGTAAACAAGAGAGGAGGAAAAATGTGTCTGCTGTTCAGGTTAACAGACTTACGAGAAAGCCAGATAGTCGAGTCTCATGTAAGATTACAAATGTTTAATACAATGGAAGAAGATGGTAGAGTTTATCCTTTTCATCAGCAAGATCTTGAAGTGAAGTATGATTGGAATTCAGACAGTGACAAACAAGACCAACTATTTTTGTTGTTACCACTCACAATTGTTCATGTTATTGATGAAAATAGTCCATTCTATGATTTGACACCTCAGACGTTACTAACATCTAGGTTTGAGTTGGTTGCAGTTCTTGATGGGATTGTGGAGTCCACAGGAATGAATACCCAGGCGAAGACATCCTATCTCCCTGATGAGATACTCTGGGGGCATGATTTTGTAAACCTGTTCCCAGAGGATCAGTTTGATAACTTTGATAAGACTACAGGAAAGTTTTTTGTAAATTTTGAACATCTTGATGAGGTTATGTCTGCAGAATTGCCCAACTGCTCAGCAAGGGATCAACATGAGCTTTCATTGACAAGATCTAGTATTATTTAAGCTTTGAAAATATCACTCGCACCAAATTCCTTTTTACTTCTAACCTTACATGTTGAATTTATCTCAACATGTTAATATTTGTGTCAATAATTTTCATATTGCCAGGCTAATATATGCCATCTGTGTGATGAAATGCAAGTAGACCAGCACACAAGTGATAGACGAACAGTTCCTGTTAAATATTTATAAATGTGAGGCACTTACTTAGGTTCATTCCACACAGAAGGCAAGCAAGCAACCTCATTTTACAATATTTGGTATATTTCTACAAAAAGTACAATGTTGCCTATCTATCTGGTGACCAGACAAATAAAGAGCGTTCTCTTAAAACTCGTATGCCGATTGAAGTCCACTCTGCTTGGGTGATCCAGAGTTCCTGAGCTGAATCTAATATGCCTAATATAGCAGCACCTTTCCAGCATATTGTCCTGGCATCAACATCCTGGAAAAAGAAGAAATTGTATTAATTGTCTCTCCTGGAATCTTAAACTGTGAGTGAAACTAAAGATTCTTACTCTAGACTTTGCCATGACTTCTACTGAGTCTGCCAACTTGGATTGCTTTCTGTTAAGTAATTTTGCCTTCAGTCTTTCCTGAAGTTTTGCCAAAGCTCCATTAAACATGAATCCACCTCCAATGAGAAGAATATTATTGAACAGTTTCTGCTGAGTTTCCTCGGATCCTACACATAAAATAGAAACGAGTTTATCAAATTGTCCCATTTACAAAAGCCTAGGTATATTGTTTGATATTGGACTAAGTAAATACACATATTAGAGACTGCTTCAGTGATATTACCACAGGATGCAATGCTGTGGATGATAGCATTATCTAGCCCAAGTCCCTTTTCTGGGTTGATTGAATCTGTTGTTTTCTTCATCATTGACGGTCCAGATGGTTTGGACATTTCATCAGTCTCTGTCATAGTCTGATCGCTTTTGCCAGCTTTAGGTTCCCTAGTGCCAGACTAAAATAAAACAAAGGGGATTCAGACCTCTGATGCTGGTACAGAAAACAAAAATAACTTGGATAAACCGAACTTTCATATTGAGTCTATAAATATGAATCACCTCGAGAAGCTGTTTATCGTCGAAGAGATCCTCAGGATCATCATATTGTAGGCTTGGTTTTTTCACCAAGATTTCACCAACAATGCCGAACAACTGGGGATAAAACATTGCCTTGACAAAGAGGGTAATATTAACACATAGAAAGAAATATTACTGCAGAAGAAGAGAAAATAATTTTGAACAAAATTATAACAAAGTTGGATTGTATATCTTAAGCTAGGACATAATTTAACCAACTGGGTTTCAAATGATGTTGTTAGCAGTCGACCATTTACCATGGGTGCTTGCATAACTTCATCACCAAGTTTCAACTCGTACAACAAAGGTTTTACTCCAGGACGGTGAACTTGAAATTCATGGATTTGACCTGCTGGAATTTCCTGATAATTGGGAGATGAAAAAAGATTACAAACTAACATGTGAAGGTTTGTGTGTTGTGTTGTCTTTATGTGTAGGTATTAAACAGGTCTTAATTTTACCTGGTTCAAATGACAAAAAGTCTCCTTTAGTTCTTTAAGTAAATACACATCTAATTTATTATTGTATGGGTCGCATTCCTTGTATGGGAAATTCATCTAGGAATAAAGAGAATGCAGATATAGGCCTTTGGATGGGGCTCACAACAATTGCATTAGAGCGGCATAGTTTATATACCTTTTTTAAAAGCCAAAAGAAGCATCTTGTAATATCATTTCCACCATATTGTAGAATGAGTCTGCAAAAAGTATTTAAACATTATTATTTCTGTATTTGAGAATCAAAGAAATTAACTCCAATTCCTTTTTCGTAGAAATCCATAAAATAGGGATTTTCATATACCTTGATGCAGGTATTGTTAAACCATCATCCACACAACTGATGTGAGTTTTCTCATGGCCAACATCAACAACACAACCACAACTGATGCCACAGCCAAATGAAGAACTGACAGATTCCTGTGGCAAAATTAAAATGGTATGATATGTGCAAATGTTTAAATGTGTTGAATACTGAAACAACGGTTCACCTTGGCCAATGTGCTTGCTCTTACCAGTTGAATAATTGCAGAAGAGAAGCCTAGTTTACACAGCAAAATATTTAACATTTCTTTCACATATTGTTTGTTGAAAGTGTTGGGAACTACAAGTACTGCTCTGTGGAACTATAGATAACAAGAAACATCTGTCAAAGATAATTAGTATCTAAAGTCATACAGCTACCCATAATCTGATATTAATCAGGTTACCTGAAGACTTGCTTTAGGAATATTTAGATACTTTTCAATTCCATGTGCCCATATTGCTTCTAGATCAGCACAGACTGAGGTCAATGATCCTCCAACATCTGAATGCAGATTTAAACTGCCGCCTTTCATTGGCCAGTGTAATGTGTAAGGATCATTATCATTGATATACATGGCCTTAAATTTGATTAAGAATGTATTAATGTTATATATAAAAAAATTAGGTCAAACCAGCTTCATCTAAGTGTTGTCATTGTATATCATTGTGTGTGTAAATCACTTTACCTGTTCACCAACTATATAAGATGGATAATTGCTGGTATCTGTCCATTGATTATGAGATACCTCATCAAGCTCATCAGCTTCCGATTCTGCATTAAAAGATGCTACCTTTTGGGGGGGAAAAGGTGATTGTGAAACCAGTCTAAATTCTCATTAACTATACAGAAATTTCATTTACAACTACCTGTTCTTGCAATTGTTGGTGTCTTTTGTTGGCTTTTTTTGTCAATATACCTTGCTCAACAATGCTTAATGCTAACTCTTTTTGAGTTTCACTTTCCTTTTGCTAATATTTAAAGGACAACATTAATTGAAGTTAATAATTTTAAATTTCTTCATCTCAGAATGAGATTTTGATAAATGTCAGTACATACATGCAAGCCTGGTCTGGAAAAAAGACTATCAGGTTTCTTTGGTAAAGTAGAAGTTGTTGGGCGTTTCCAAGCAACAACATGGGGCATGCTCTGCGGTGCGTGATCTGTTGCACGGCCAAGCCACAGCGTTGTTGAGCCAGGATGTAACACAATTATTGTTGTCGCATTTACTGGTTGATATGTCTAGAGAAAAGTGTGATAGAGTTACACTGCTTCAAAGATTATGTGCAACACATTGATATTATTAATTTCATTACAGTTACATATGGAGATCATTGATATAATTGAATCTTGATTTAACTAAATTTGGATGTTTAGAAATTTTTTCTCCACTCCTCAGTCTATACCTCGGTTGATTCCATCGGTTCAGAAATTTCTGCTTTCACCCCACGAGGCATGATGTTTCTGGATACAACGCTTAACAGTTATACGTAAATTTATAGGTCTTTCATGCTTTCAATTTAAAGATATTTCAGTTCATATTTCCCTCCCTGGCACCCGCCATTTTGTAAAAATATATTTTCCGCTGACTCAATCGTGTGGACACTGCAGACACTATTAACTTCGATACACAAAAAAAGTTATTGAAAAATTACAAGATATAGGAAATACTGATAGAATTACCTATTTTTTTATTCATTATTGGGATAAAATGAAGGATTTTGGTGAAATTGTTTTAATTTTTGCACAATTTTACAAAATTCGAATTTATACTTTCTAGAAATGATCCGACAATGATCTCGGGATCCGACAATGATACGACCGATTACGAGACTTTCCGATCTCCCTATCTAGATCTTTCCCTGTATCTTTCTCATCCAATATGGCGGCTGAAGAAAGAGTCAGCCCATTTCCTCTTCCACCGAGTGACTACTTTAAACATTACACAGATGAGAATATCAAGGCAGGAATTGCTCCAGAACCACCACCACCCATACAGGGGGAGTATTCCGTGTTTGGGTTACATTTTGAGGTACATATTGACTATATAAATGAAGATCAGGAGTAGGTCATTGATATGAAATAATTTCATTTTAATGTGTAACTTAATACAGATCCTCAATCAAACTCAGTCCGATTATCAATGGTCAACTTCGAGTTTACCACCACTGAAATACTAAGAATTAATAACAATATGTCTGTGAATCTCTCCACAGACTGATGAACCAATTATAAGATCCTTGGAACAGCAAAACATGGACCGTCTGTATCCTGAAGAGTTCAGTAAGTTGCCCTAAATACAGGTTTCTAACAACAAGAAATGTAATTGTTCATCATTTCATAATAATGTTTATAGATAGACAACATGAACTCAAGAAGCTCAACCATTCTCTTTTCATCAATTTTATGGAATTACTTGATATTCTTATCAATGAACCAACTTCACCAAAGGTAAAGTTTGAAATGGCCCTAAACATATTGTGGTTCTCTTTAGCAACTGTCTTAATGAAGTTAGAAATATTAGGTCTTTTCACACAATCCATCTCACTTGAGTCACCTCTGACATGATGACATCTTTCAAATGTTTTCTGGTTGCAGAGAGAAAAGAAACTGGGTGAAATCACTGTACTTTTTATCAACATGCATCATCTTATCAATGAACTTAGACCACATCAGGTATAGTTTTGATTATCACCTTTCTGTTTAAATCCCCCAATGCATCCAGATGGGCTATTGCAAGAGACCTTGCATCCTCCTTGTGTGATTTCTGAGGACAGCTCTGGATGGAATTTATCCTCGTTTAGGCAAGGGAGACCTTAAGGGTGATGATGGAAAGACAAAAGCGACAACGACTTGAAACAGCTGATAAACTAGAGAAGTATGTTATTGACTGCAAAAATTATTAATTTCATTTACATTTAGGAACTTATTTGACAATAAACCTTCTTTCATTAGGTTGGTTGACAAAGTTCTCTCACTTGTTCAGTCTTGCTCAATATCTCTTCAGTCTGACTCAGCAAACATTGATGACAGCAAAATGAAACATGTACGGTTTTTTATTCAGTAACAGTACTGTTCTTTCTGTATTTTTACCTAAATTTTCCTTGTACTTCAATCAATATATTTTCCCCAAAGTATGTTTGTGTATTTTCCCTTCAGGATTCCTCAGGAAATGATTGTGAAAAGGCTCCAAGTTTGATTGAGGAAAGTGAATTACGGACATTGTGTGATATGGTGGAAGACCTAACATAAATCCCAAGATGTATTTTGTGTAAAAAACTAGAAATATTCTACTTGTATATATATATATTTAGTGTAAATTAATGACAATCAAATAAAATTAGTGAAGGTCAAATATGCTGGAATATAGTATACTCCTTTGGGGGGTAATATAAAAAATTAGTGAATGTTGAATTTACCATAACATAGTATACTCATCCTTTTGAGTTTTTGAATTTTTTTCGTTTCATTCAGAAAAGAAAATCCATTTTTAATTTTTTTTCTACTTTTTTAAAAGTTTTAATTTCCGTCCATTCTTTACGTGGTCAAATTCAAAATGGCGGCCCAGTCAGCAGTGTGCAAGTCGAATTTATAAACTAACATTTTCTGAAGCTAACGTTGAATTACCCTTTGCCTAGTTTGTTCACAGAAACTCATGAACCCTGGGAAAAAGGTTTTTCAACAGAAGCCTCCTGATAAAGGAAGCTTCCCCTTAGACCACGATGGTAAAGTATTTATACCTATTAAATAACTATAGCTATGCATTGTCTTTTGTCAATTATTAGCAGGAACGCGAGCGGCTGTGTTTTTTTTCTAGGCGAGTGCAAAGAATATATGGTGCAATACATGAGATGTTTACAACAAAATAACAACAGTAACTCTAGATGTAGATCTGAGTCCAAAAGATATTTAGAATGCCGCATGGATAGGTATGGCATTGTGTCATTAGTCTTGTCACATAGTTCAAATTATATTCTCTGTCACATAGATCAAATGGACTGAGTTGAACTTATAACTAAATCATTATTTCTTTATTATTTTCATCGGTTGTAAACTGGAAGAGTTGATGGGTCAGGCCTGGGTCTTTTTTCCTTGTTCATAAAGGATTCTGTGCTAGCTACATATTTTTTACTTTTTAGAGAACTTATGGCCAAGGAAGATTTTGAACTGTTAGGTTATGAAAAACAATCAAAAACCTAATATCTAAGTCCTTAACATCTGCCATAATATACTACAATAACTCTGAGTCTGGAATTTAAAAATGTGTGTAAATGTACAGTATTAGTTAGTTGCATAAATTCGAGTGAAGAACATAGTATATTGTGGTGACTTGGGTTGCAAAATGGGGCTTGGCATATATTGTCTCCCTCTCAGTTGTAAGTAAGTAAGTAAAGAGGTTACGTTAAAAAATGGCAAAAGTATTCAAAAGTATTCAAATTTTGCAGGATTATATAGACCCATCATGTTGGATTAGATTTTCGAAGAAATGATTACTAAATCTTACCAGGATCTTACTAATCTCAGGGGTAATCTTAGGGATTATCTTTGCTTAAACCAGTTTTTAACGTGTTTCAACTTTCAAAAGACTGGGTCGGATTCTTCCAAAGTCTTCCAAAATGGCGACTCACATGTTGCGAAAAAGCTGCTATAATTTCCTGCGATTTTCGTCGCTTCGGCACTATGGTATGAGACCAATTACAGCGCTAGCAACCTCTGATGTATTTTCCTCTGGTAGATGTAGAAACCTGCCGCATTTAGTGGAGAATTCGCAAGTTTTTAGGCAACCTATATTGGCAGTAAGATGCTTCAGTGAAGGTCTCTCTTTAACCGCAGCTGAACTGGAGCAACGAACAATTGAAGTTATAAAGTCATTTGATAAAGTTGATCCCGATAAGGTGGGCTAAATTTGTAAACTGAAAATGGCAATTGCTTTTGTAAACTACAATTGTACTGTACATAATTTTGCTATTTCAGTATTGCAACCAGCGAGGCATATCCTTTGTTTTAACTCTCTGTCCCCCAATGTTTTATTACATGGTGTTTCAACAGGTTTTGATTTTTGTTGTTGGTTACAGGTGACCGTTGATGCTCATTTTATTAACGATATGGGGCTGGACAGTCTAGATGTCGTGGACATCCTAATGGCTTTTGAGGATGAATTTGGTAAGATAGAGAAATCTATTTGTTTGCTAGAACTCTTGATCATGAAGGTTGAAAGACCTGAGCTAAAACCGTGAGCCTTGCATCCACCCAGCTTCATGTTGTAGTTTTGTCACAGCTGGAGCTACAAGTGTCATCATTAATATTAATATTAACGCAAGAGATTTAATAGCATAATAGTGGAAACTAAGCATAACCATTCTCCATAATTTAGGTGTAGAAATATCTGATGAACAAGCAGAAAAAATATTCACTCCTAAGGAAGCGATAGAGTTTATGAAGAAGTTTCTTGATATACAAGATCATTAAGAGGTGAAAAATGGAAAATTTTAAGTGAAATTTTTGGTGTGATTTTATGTGCAAATTTTATGTGCAATTGTTCAGTCAAAATAAATGTTGATCTAAATTTTTTTTCATATTTTTCATATAGTGGGGAAGATATAGCAAATCCTATTGAAAGAAGTTAAAATTCTGTTGTTGCCTATTTTATACTGTGTCAATGGCACATTTTCTGACCAGAAAACAAATCATCGTAACAGTTTATATCTTTGTAATAAAGTATTTGATTTATTCTATTGCAAAATCAGTGAAAAATGTATCTATAGTTGCTGTTATAGTATTAGTGATTATTATATGAAGAGCTTAAAAAATATGGTACATTTTTATGGTACATTGGTATTCAGGGAAGATGGTGGTTTGGTGGGTGTGGTGTTAATAGACACCTTTTACATCCCCAGTACATCCACAGTAACCCATACATCCCATACAGTAATTATCTCTGATGAATTATCTCCAGTTTACATTTATGGTTCAGTTGTCTTAAGTAACCTTTTTCTTCTCCCCCCCTGGGCCGGGCTGCGTTAAACTCCTGCGATAACTGCTATGCAGCTTGTCACGGAGGGTAAGTAAAATCGACAAACCTTCGACAATTTTCTCGGGAAAGTGTCGAGCCACTGTCACCCACAAAAAATGGCCGCTGTTTAGAAAAACGTGGAAGACAACGGAGTTTTAAAAGAAAGTATGGAGTCAGCAGAGGACAAAAAACCAGAGGAAATAGTTCCTTTAACTTTGGAAAGTATCCTTTGTAGTATGAATTTAGATAAATAGTTTAATTGTGGGTTATTTCGTTGTAAGAATTATGTATGTTTCGCCGTAATTTATCTCGAATTTTCCATTTTTGGTTCGATAATTTAATCCGACAGTCCAAAGGTTCATAATGTCTATGTTTGTCGTTTTCCTTCTTATCTTGGAAACCTTATAAGGCTGTAGAATAGTATGTAATTTTCAAAATATTGCAAGGTTTATGAACTAGAGTATTCTGATTCTGAAGTCTAGGACACGTCATCCTACACCGTTCCTGTTCTTATAGAGGGGTCCTACCACTGAGCTATATAATAATTCCTGGAGGACCGGCTCCTAATGTTTTTTTCTCAAAAAGTGAAGCAAAAAACATGGCGGACTTCGCCCTTCTGCGCAACCGCAGAAGCTCTGCTGACGCCACTTGGTTCCTTTTGGCCATGGTAGTTACCACTGACCAGGCTCAATTATGAGCCCGCTACAGCAGTATTCTCCCCCCTGGTTTTCGTAAATAACAATTCTCCCCCCTGGTTTTTATATTTTTTTTGCCGTGAAATCTTTTTTGTTTTGAAATGTTTTTTGGTTGTTTTTTTGATATTTTTCGCACTGACATACAATAAAGTTTTATTTTAAGATGAATACAAGTCATACACGCTGTTTTTGCCAGTGCGGGAACAAATATATATTAAAATATCGAAAAATGTGGACAAACTAAAGATTTTAATACTGACACGAACTGACAGGTTTATTATTTTATTTTCAATAATAATTTTGTTATTTATACATTTCAATATGAAAGTTTACAAATGTTTGAATGTTTTGGCACTATCCTCGCATATTTTGAAGATAACTAGGAATTTATGGGCAACAATTTGACTTTTCTAAACCCTGAACTGATGAATTGCGCAGGAAGTATGTAATCAGTATTCAGTATGTGATGCTGTCTTCAAGACTTTATATCTATGCACAATCCAAAATCCAAAGAAACAGAGGCCATAGCTCAGGCAAAATGCTGGGCAGCTGACGAATACTAAGTGCAGGAATATAGTTTCAACCAAGAATGATATTGCATAATATACTTTTCATTCAAGTCATCAACTTGTACCTTAATAAACCTGTTTTCAGCATTCTCAAATTGCATCCCTGGACCTCTGGTCATAGTAAAGAATAACTTTTATTCCTCCATAGGCTCCACTGATTAGCCTAATGAATATAACCCCTTTGGAGGTTGATACCATAAACAGAAAATTACAAAAGTTGCTGCAGATTGAAGACACACTGCTCAGTCAATGCATGTTTATATTTATTTCATTAATTAATAAATATCACAAATGGTATAAAAACACCAGCCAACAACAAAATCAGATAACATGGAAATGAAGAATAACAAATTAACAATGCACAGTCATAAAATGCATGAACTTCATCCCGAAAAATTAAAATGGAGATATGATCAAGATTTATTCCCAAGATGCAAGAAGCTAAAAAGCTGTGATAATTGATCATTTCACTTTGGATTTGACAAGGTAAACAAGATAATATATTAATAGGCTTAACAGGGCTCACTATCAGAGGTTGGAATTTTACACTGTTTACAGCATCTTATTATTTTGTATTAGCACCCTCAGATCATGTTAATTGATGCTGGGTGGGATTAATAGAAGAGTGACTATAGTAGACTCACTGGGGGAATGGTTTACCTATTAGCATTGATGTTTGCTATCATGAAAACAACATAGACCAAACTCAAAAGATTGACACTGCCAGGAATATAATTTTTTCCCACACAAGTTAAGAAAAAATGATAAAATTTGGTTATATAACATTGCATTGACTGTTTGTACCACACGTTTTGATGGATTTATTGTCTCAGAGGCTTTGGTAATCAGTTTATACTATAGTCCAACTCGAAAGGCCAAAAACGAAATTATTTATAATAAAAAAAGTTAAAAAACGGCTTACCTGGATGTTATAAAATAAGAGCAAAATGAGAAAATTCACTCTACCGATAAGTGAATTAAGCCATTCACAACGTCAGACGCAGAGCACGAAGCTACGTGTCCTTTCCATTTGTTGAACAGGGAAAAAGAGAAATACTTTTATCCATTTTATATGAAAAACAAAAAATATATACGGAAAGCTGAAAATATTTTCATAAAATCCAGGAGGGAGACGGACTCAATTTCTCACTTTGTATCGCGGTATGTCAGTGGTAACTACCATGAGCAAAAGGAACCAAGTGGCGTCAGCAAACGCCGAAATCCGCCATGTTTTTTGCTTCACTTTCTGGTCAAGAACCGGTCCTCCAGGAATTATTATATAGCTCAGTGGGTCCTACATATTATAGCTCAGTGGGTCCTACTAAAAACCGCCCGAGACCGCCCGAGACCGCCCGAGAGTATAGAAAAACCGCCCGAGACCGCCCGAGAGTATAGAAAAACCGCCCGAGAGTATAGAAAAACCGCCCGAGACTTTAAAAAGGCGGCTGACAGAAATCTGAAGTTACTGTATTTTGTGTTTTTAAATTAAATATCAGTAAATATGAAATGTCCTAAGAACCCGTATGCTTAAACAAAAACATTTGACACTAACTCGCACAGATTAGCGGGCTGAATTGTAATTGTGCATGGAAATGATTCTCCTGGCTCTGTTGTTTTACTCAACATGATTGTTTTACTTTGCCCGGCCTGCATTTAAAACAGTGTCTTAATCAGGATACCAGTTTAATCATAGAATACATTGAGATCAAGGGGACAATAATCGTAACTAAAGTTATGACATCATTTATTATTCAGCCGGCTTCTGCGCATTGGTTCTGCTCATAACATTAGGGATTTAGAAATTTGCCAAATTTTCACATATTTTGAATTTCTTTGAACAAGTGAAGTGAAATAGTAATAATAAATATTTTGACAGGACCGTCGAAGTCCTGCTCCCTGACCGTCGAAGGCGGTTTACTATACTCTCGGGCGGTTTTTCTATACTCTCGGGCGGTCTCGGGCGGTTTTTCTATACTCTCGGGCGGTCTCGGGCGGTTTTTAGTAGGACCGCTTATAGAGTGTTACAAATTTGTTACAGTTTTTGATTCAATGATTTACTATTACCAAGTATTTGATTATTTTACCTTGGAGGTGAACTTACATTTTGGTGTGGGGTAATTGGGGAATTCAGTTGATTGCCTGCTTGTTTGTTGATGGGGAGAGGTCAGTTTTGGTGGGGGAGCTAGGGGGGGGGAACCACATGCCCTGTATCTTGGTTGGGAGATGTTAATGAATATCTTTGTTTGGGTAAGGGGTCAATATGTAATAGTGCAAACATGATACATGGGATAGGAATGTCAAAGCAAAAGTGCTTTTGAAAGGGCGAGTCTTTGATGATTTTCATGCCTTGTGTAGTTTGATGTAGTTTTAAAGTTCATGGTTTGCTTAACAATGTGTAGTATTGCCAATGATTAAGGAAGTGCAACAACAACATGGTTTGAGACATGGCGATTATCAAAGATACAGGTACATAGATCTTCATTACTATATTGTGAAATAGTTTGTCAGACTTGAAAGTATCACCATGAATTTAGCCTTCACTAACACAGCTTATGGATTTCTAGACAATACTGTGCTCGCAGGTTGAGGCGACTGTACAAGGTATTACACTTTACTCAGGGAACACGTAACAGCGTCAAGCCTAAGAGAGTTGGTGAAGATAAACTGACTGATGTCAGGTGAGAAAATCGTACAGAAAATTTTGATGATGGGTGATGGTTGATTCTGTAACCATTCGGTGGTTGATTCTGTCACCATTTAGTGGTTGATTCTGTCATTGTTCTATGGTGAGTGAAGTGCTATGTTTTGAGCTATTTAAAATTTATTTCACGAAGGTATCTTCATGTTGTTCTCATCAATGCTGAGCGAGCCTGGAGCTATGCTATGGAACTGAAGTTGCTTGCAAATACTGAACCAAGAAAGAGGTTTCACATGTTACGAAGGCTGGGTAAGGCTACCCAACATGCTAAAGAACTGAAGAAATTAAGTGAGTCCGAACGATGTGATCCTCGCACAAAGCTTGAAGCTCAGGTGAAGTGTTGCCTTACAAATTCTCTTTAAAGTTGCTATTAATTAATATATTAAAGAATTTTTCCTAAATCCTTGTATATATAGGCTTACTGCTGCTATATGCTTGGCACTTTGAAGTTTGAAATGCAACAGTGGAAGGAGGCATTGGAACTATTTGGTGAAGCAAGGTTAGTGCACTAGGAATACCACATTTATTGTTAAAACTCTTGGACTCTAATTGTACTGAGAAAAGCAATGAATTGGGGCTTTTTGAATTGGAAAATTTAGTTGACTGAATAAAAATGTTACAGGACAATTTATGAGAAACTTGGGAGTGCTTTCTCAGAAGAACAGCAGAATTTCTACCAGCAGAAAGCGGATGAGATCTCCCCAAATATCAGATACTGTGCCTATAACCTGGATGATGGGAATGTGGATATTAATGAGCTGATGAAAATGAGATTCACCCCGGGCTCTGGTGCCCAAGATCTTCTAGCTGATAAACTTGATGTAAGATGGTAGATAAGCTTAGGGAATCTTTGTTTATGGTATACTAGAGGTACTTTTATTTCATTACAACAAATCCTGTTACAATGTTTCAGATGGTCATATCTCAAACACGAGAGAAACAGGCCAGTTCATTGACGGAGATTACGTGGAAAGGAAAATCAGTTCCGGTCAAAAATGAGCAAGTTCGTTCATTTATTCTTCACTCAAATGAAAGTCAACAGGAAGTTGAAAGAGCTGGAGACTTTGAAAATAAAATGGCTGTTTATGATCAATTGTTGATGGAGTGTAAGGATGGCTTGCAGAGTCTAAAAGATGAGATGAAACCAGACCAGGTTGGAAGACTTTAAAAAATGAATTGTTTAAGTTTATTTGATGCTTTAGATGTGTTCTGTTAATCTGACACACATTCTGTTTCTTTTTAGGGTAAATCCAAAGCTCCGAAAACTGAAGCTCACCTGGCGAATCTAGAATTCCTTCATTCATATCTTGTCTACATACGTCTTACAAAGACAGTTGAACGGAATCTGTTGATGGTTGACTCGTTGAAAAGTAATTTCCCTCGAGTTCTGTTGCAGTCAAATTATACTGATGGCTCACAAAGTGGAACTGGATCCTCCTCAAAGAAAATCACCAAGCCTGAAGACCTTGTTCGGATATATGATATTATATTACAGGTTTGCAATTCTGTACTATAGCAAGTTTTGAAAGGTTTTGTTTTGGGATATGAAGTTGCTGGGATGTTGAAGACTCATGTGTGAATAATGCTTGTGGATATTCTTTCAGAATTTGACAGATATTGAGGACCTTCTAGAAGATGATGAGTCAACTTTAAGTCAGAGAATTGCATCTCAGAAAAGTTTGTTCAAAGCTCATAGGTATGGATTAGATTGTTATATAGAACAAGACACTAGGATAGATCACACAAAGCTTCAGTGCTGATGGGATAAAAACCTTGGAGGCTTTCTAAACTTGTTGTTTTTCCATCTCATTGTTTAGATGTTTGTACATAGCTCATAGTTACCTGGTGTCAAAGAAATGGAAAGAAGCAACTGCATTATATGAAAGAGTTTTGAAATATGCTGAAGAAGCCAGTTCTTTATATGGGAAACTACCCAATGAGCAGGTTGGTGATCTGTGAAGCAGGCTGACACTCTTGATAAGAGTGCTTCCCATCTAAACATTGTGCATTCTTTTAGGAACGTATATCAGAGATTGGTGAACTAACTGCTCAAGCACAAGGTCATATGTATGCTGCACACGCTTCATATCTTCTTGGTGAGATAATCCAATCCACTTGCTTTTTAGTTCTTTCCTATATTGTGGTGAATTTCAAAGTGTTTGTTGTCGATATGAATTGGTGGAAGTTAGCATTATATGTGGTCGAGACTGTCTGCCTTCTTTAGCTAATAAATCATTTTATACTCTAGACATTGATGATACTGATGAGAAGATGAAAGGATTGACCATTCATGATACTGTAAGTTGTGTGAATGATTCTCTGAAACAATAGTAATAGGGTCATGCACCTTTTAAATCATATCAATACCCTTGCTTACTACAGCCTTAGCAAACTACAAGCTCATCTCATCTTTGTTTTATAGCCATTGCAAGAACGACTTGATGTGTATGATGATAAACCTATCAATATGAAGAAACCTAATATAACCCACTTCCCTCCAAACTTTGAACCAATTCCTTGTAAACCATTGTTCTTCGATTTGGCCTCCAACCAAATGCAGTTTCCTTCGCTGTCGCATCGGATGGAACAGAAGAAAACTAGTGCTGGCATTACTAATTACATCAAAGGATGGTTTTGGGGTGGAAGTAGCTAATACCATAAATATTATACACTGGATAAATTTTGTACCTTTGTATGGTATAGTATAGTTTTGGTGAATGAATTAGTTACTCTGTTGAATGGTATTTTAGAAATTATTATTCATTTGTCTTTAAAAATGTCTTTCAATTTGTAACTACATAAGCTAGTAAATTGCTAAAAGAAATAAATAAAAGGCAGGTCTATAACAATGTTTGGGTTATTTATGCAGTAACTTACAAATTCTGCCTATGAAGGGGAATATTTGCATAATATGGAGTTATTCCATAACCGGGGTTATTCCATGGCATCTGCTCCATGGTAACCAATATACAAATTACTCAAATAAACATGGCTGAATTTCAAAATGGCGCTCGTAAAAGAAGAAAGAAAAATATAGCGTTTACCACTACATTATAAAGGAGAAAGCATGTCGCAACTGAATAGAAAACCTGTTCACATTCCTAAGACGAAGTTTAATCCTTCGCGAGTTGAAATTAGGCAAAATTCAGACGAGAAAAGGCCGATTAGGTAAGTGTATGGGAGACTGGAGTGATATATAATTCTATTTAATAAGTATTTATAAAGTATATCTACATTTGACATCTTTATCAACTGATTTATCATATCAGAAGGAGTTTAAGTTTGATATGTGCTGAAAACTAGCTGAATATTGAATAATATAAAGTTATTAAAGAAGAGTTATTTATTTCTTTTATCGTAAATATCGTACAGTACACTACAGTACACTATTAGGCCACACATATCACAATCTCACAAAATATTGACTTTGCTTAGTTGAATGTAACTGTGATAATGGTTGCCAAGACTAGTGAAATGACAGCTTGACTTGGTATTTTTGACAATGCTTTTGCAGGGCAAACGTAAGAGTTATTTCGGGACACTCTAAGTCAAATGGAAAACCGTGGGAAAACATGTCAATGGTTGGAGCTCTGCCACCTTTGGCTACCACAGTTACGTCAGTCAATCAGGCTTATGAGTTACAGGTAGGGGTAGTGTTTATCACTCCAGATAAAGAAATTGAACTCACTGGTTGGGTGGGAATATTACGACCAGTCATAGCAAAAATATTCCATACATGTGTGGTGGTATATGGTGCTTTGCGAGCTATAATAATCACAGGTTAAGTGGTTGATTGGTGAAATGTATTGTGTAGAGCACTCGAAAGATGGATACAGGTGAAACTGGTGGTAACCTTACATCCTCTGATTGGTTGGGAAAACATAGCCTAGAGTCTGAAAGACTGACAGTTGAAGACCTTATGAAACAAGGGATACTCATCAGGTATGATGATCAATAGATATCATCATTAAAATGATGATCAATAGATATCATCATTAAATCTATTTGCATTCAGACCTCCTACAGGATACCCAGACAACACACCTCATTTGAAGTTTGAGGCAAGAGCTATAACCCAGTTTGAATTCAAACTAGCAAGAGTTATTGAAGAATGCCAAAAACGTATAAACTGGCTCACAGAGGGGAGTCGAAAGGTGGAATTTTATTCATGCGCATCTCATGTTTCTGTATTGATTTTTGAATATAATTTCCCAATACTGAACTAACTGTATTTTGCAGATATTTGGTTTGTTGAAAGGACAGAGGGTTGCGATTCTTGTAGATATGTCTGATGCAAACTGTAGATATGGTAGACTTGAGCTTTTACAACAATCACTACAGGTACAGAAGATGAATATTACACAAGACTTGTAATGAAGACTGTCTTTTTTTCATTTTGCTATTTGGAAATAATTATTTGACATAAGTAAAATCATCCTTGCCGCCATATTTATTAGTATAATTATCTTTCCAGGGGCTAGTCAATGAGCAATTGGTTAACAAAGACCAGTTATACTTGCTGTCTTTTGGCTCAAGGGTTGAACCACTTTGGGAGACGACTCATGATGTGAACTGTAGAATGTGAGTGTTATGGTTGAAATCAAGGGAGATGCTCACATCAATAAGAGTGATGAATATTATGAGATATTTCATTATTATTTCCAGAATGAACGAAGTACGGAATTGGGTGAATACATTGCATCCCTCAGGAGGATGTAATTTGCTTGGAGCAATAAGACAACTGGTTAAATGGAAGAATATTGATTCAGTTGTCGTTGTCCTTGGGAGCAGGTGATCATCTATTAATTTTCTTCTCTATGGAGAGTTTTTTGATTTTCATATACTTCGGTGTGTAAAATTGTGTATTCCTTTTGGATTACCACTTGATCTAACGTGATCAATTCTGCTTTCAGTCCTGATCAAAAGTCAGAATTAATATGTCAATATGTCAGGCAGTCCTTGGCCGGTAGACAGTTGCCATTTCACACTATTGCATACAACTGTCTTGCATCTAACAATGATGTAAGTACATACCATCTTTCCTTGTCTGCATTGCATTGTAAAATTGAGAAGATACGGTATAATATTGTTTATTGAGCTCACTTGTTTCTAAGGAAGATTGAAGTATGCATGGGTATGTATGGGTATGCAGAAGGTTTTCAGAAGTTTAGGCTGGCTAGATGAGTGAGAATGTTTAATTGTAATGTTCTTTTTCTCTAGGTTTTTCTAGAAGAACTGGCCACTATGACTGGTGGACGTTATCATTGTTATTCATCTTCTTCTAACGTAGGTTTAATTTACTGTATCAAGCCTGTGGCATTCACTTTCGGGAACCTCACAATGTACACCATTACCTTGTCAGAGCTCTATCATTTAACTTCTACAGGAGAAGATTTTCACCGGGACTGATTTACAGCTTCTTACTCATGAAATTGAAAGGTGAGACTCTGTGTAAATTCCCCTCACCCCACTTTCCCTTTCAGGGTCCTACCCCCTAAACACAATGACTCCACCCACCTGGATTAATGCGCGCAACACGCGTTCAGTATAACGCGCAAGGTGCGTGATTAAACACGCGTGGGAATGATAAGCCGAACGGTAACTCAAGGATATAATTCAAAATGGTTCAAATTTTATAATTTTTTCATCGCTTTCTAATCCTGAAAACTATAACTTTTAAACTCTGCTTTAATCCTGGAGAAAAAGTTAATGCTGTGAGTTATCGTGGATCGTATTTTTCACAAGAAATTTATTATCAAAAGACAAAAGGAACATTACTTTTAAGAAACGTGTTTAACATATGGACCTAAATGGCAACAAACGACGCAAAATGGCCGCCGGTTATGGCTTCGCTTGAGACCGTCGTTGAGCGACCTTTAGTAAAACACGTACGAGCAGTCCGTGCAAAATTTACGCCAAGAAAGTATACTAAACCTTTTCAAGATTGTGGTAAAAACGGAGATTGCACTAGCATCGATACAAACTCGTCTGTAATGATCAAAAAACCAAAAACCAGCAAAGCAAAGCCGGCCTTATCCTCCGTTTTTAAAAGAGCAAATGATCGTCTTAAAATCTGTATTGATGTAGAACCAATTCAGAATTTGTTGCCAAACCGACTTGCAGTACAGGCACGTTCACCTGCAGTAGGTGAGAACCAGAGAGAAATGACTAAAATGAAAGCTGATATTGCAATAAATGGCAAAGAGAAGGAGAAGAAAACGACAGGTTCCTTTGGAAAATATTCGCTGAGAAGTAAACGAGAGCCGTACAACAGTAGGCTTTGTGGTTCCCCTGGTAAATCACACACAATGGTCCCAAGTCCGGAAAAAGGTTCTTCATCCGTTTATAGTCCAACAAAACAAGCCAGATCAACACCCAAGAATGAAAGTCCCATTAAGAAACGCTCGTCTATCAAGATGAAGTCACTGAAAACAGTCTCTGCAGCAGATGCGGGATCAACGAGTAATGCTAGCGCTGGAGAACACAACCAAACAACATATGAATGTAACATATGCAATAAGATATACCTAAATCAATCCAGACTACAGTCACACATGTACTGGCATGTCAAAAGAAGGCGATTTAAGTGCAATGTTTGTAATAAGATTTTTAGAGATTTTGGTCATTTTGCAAGGCATCGGCAATCGCATAAGAAGACGCAAAGAAAGTATAGATGTATTGCTTGCAGCAAGGAGTTTGTAAATTATGAATGGTTAAAAGAGCATGCTCTTAGATCTCACGGCATTACTAAACTAAACAAGCAAAAAGCCAGAATAGATGAGAATGTAAAATCAGTTGACAATGGTCAAGATGACATCAATCCTGCAAAGGATGCCCTGCAATGTGGCATATGTAAAAAGGTGTTTAAAAAAAAAGGGAATTTACAGCTGCATAAGCGACTACATACTGGTGAGAAGCCTTTTGAATGCCATGTTTGTCAGGAAAAGATCAGGTGGAGATATCAGTTGTATGATCATTGTAAAAGTGTTCATGGAGAGCTAAATCCTTACAAGTGTTTTGATTGTGGAAAACTTTTTAGATATGAAAAATTTTTGCGACAGCATAAAAAGGTTTGTGAGGTGCTGCTGGGTGAACCTGATTCATCTGGTTCCAATGCAACCAGCAATCAAGATGAATCCGAGGAACCACTTGAAGTTGAAGAAACGTCGCACAAGTGCGATAAGTGCAGCCGGGAATTCAAGTCCAGGTGTGGTCTACGTGTTCACCTTCGTTGGCATGAGGACAGAGTTGAGCTTCAACCTACCTTGAACACCAGAAGTAACATCTCTGATAGTACCACACCCAGCAACATTTCCCCACCCAGCAACATTTCCCCACCCACCAACATTTCCCCACCCACCAACATTTCCTCACCCAGCAACATTTCCCCACCCACCAACATTTCCCCACCCAGCAACATTTCCCCACCCACCAACATTTCCCCACCCAGCAACATTTCCCCACCCACCAACATTTCCCCACCCAAAATTGCTGGAGAGGAGAAGGTCGTAACAACCAGACGACAATCAAGAAGGCTGAGGGTATCTAGGTCACCTCCCAAACCACAGGACCCCACCTCCCAAGAAACCACTTGCCACGTCCCAACTGACAATAACCTCACTCCCCAGGACCCCACTCCCCAGGACCCCACCCCGCAAGACCCTATCACTATCAACAAGTCTGAAGGGTGTACCCCTTCAAAGAAATCTCAAGAAACAACGAGAGGTCCAAGCCCCACACCACCAGATCCGGCTCGGCGAGAATGGATAAAGGTTAGTTCTGAAAACGGAGAACAAGTATTTAGATGTGGTTTGTGTACAAGCAACATGAGACGGTTCTATCGTGTGGCGTCTGTCCGTAAACATGTTGGCATGGTTCATCGTGACTACACGGAGAACCTTGTGGAACCACCAGGGATGTACGACAACGTACAAAGCCAGCCATCTACAAGCTCCTCAACCAGTCCAGCAAGCAGCCCAGCGCAAGCGAGAAACGTGTGCACGTGTAAAGGACGAGGGAAAACCTTTGTGTACAAGAACAACAAATTGACGCACGTAGCAAGCAGCTGTCCTGTTCATAAGGACTCCTACGAACCGAAGAAGATCCGCAAAGATCCTCTCCTGAGATGTAAACACTGCGATGAAGAGTTTGACAGTTCCTTGCGCGAGAAATTTCAGGAACACGAACTTTCTCACGAGCTCGAAGCAACCGAACCGACGTGTATGACTTACGCGTGCTTTGAATGTGAGGTGGAGTTTGCTAGCGCAAATGAAATGATGGATCATTACGAGAAGAAACATTGAAAATACTTCTTATCGATCAGTTTATTCTTACAACAAACTAAGAACCTTAGAACTAAGAATCTAGTAAGAACCTCTGGGTCGTTGTGGGAAAGCTGGTTAGCGCTTTTCACCGCATAGGGATTTTTTTATACCGTTTTAAACATGCACGAAAAGCAATAAAATAAAAGGGAGTCCTCAATTCAAGAATATTAAGGTTTGTCCAGGAACAACGGACAATTTTTGTGGTTGATTGAAAAAATACAATATACAGTGCATAAGCTATCCAGCTTTCGTACAACCGGCCCCTGGTGACCAACAGGTTGCTGTATATTTCAAAGAAATTCTTGACACAGTTCAATTTTTTCCCAGTAGTCTGCATAATGTCATAGTCTATTATTGATAAGGAGTTTATTGTTGTAATGGACAACTTATCACCAGGCACGCGTTTCTTAGAAAATTGTTGGATGCTTTTTTTGTTAGGTATATCTGCAAGTCTGGTCGTTTCTGTATTTTAATATTTACTTTCATATTCTTGACACAAAATACTTGATTGTTTCTTGATTGTATTTCTCCGAACTTTTTCTATAATTGAGTAGCAACCATGGTAGATTCATTGCCAGATTGACCCCACTCTATATTAGTGTGACCATGTTGCATGATTCCATTCTATACTAGTGTGACCATGTTGATCCCATTCTATACTACCGTGACCATGTTGATCCCATTCTATACAACCGTGACCATGTTGATTCCATTCTATACTACTATGACCAGGTCGTTTCCATTCTATACTATTGTGATAATCTAAATCTAATTCAACACTTTTGTGCCCAGATTGATCCTATTATATACTATAGTGTTATATACTGCCCCAACCAAGCCGATCCTACTTTATACCATTGTGATTATCTTTATCCCATTCTATACATTGGGGCCTGTTGCATGTCCCAGAGCTGAGAAAACAATGAGAATCATCAGTGAAATGAGAAACGGACGGTTGGAAAACAAGTTAATCACAATTGTCAACGATAAGGTAATTATGGCTTGGATTTCCTGGTACGTGAACAATATTAACAGAATCCGAGAGGGGTTATGTGACAGCAGTATTTTTCGCTATCCATTTTTAGTTTCATTTTTTTAAGCAAAAAATATTCTTCTAGCCCAAGGTTGCAATGGAGATCCTACCCGTGCCAGACGGTACTATTGTCCAGCGCAATAAGTCTTCTGAGTATACGTTGAACGTGGAGAACCCGTCGTTCCCTGCAAGGACGTCTTTGGATTGGCTAAAACAACACGGTTTAAAAGGTGCATTTGAAAAAATCGCTTTTGAGAATAATACATTCCTCGGGAAGACTATCTTCCAGTGGACCTTCAATTCTGATACAAGCAACAGCCCTTTTAAATCCAAACCATTCATACAGCAAGTATTTCTCTCACCTGCAATATTTTTTTCTAACTCTCCCTCCTCTATTCTTATTTAGCGAGAGGTCTCAATCTTTACCAAGTCCTCGCTCCCAACGCGTATTCCTACGTCAAGGGTTATGTCTCGACAATCAACAAGGATGTGAAGTCAAAAGTTTATAAAAAGGTTGGCAGTTATCATTGAAATGAAAATTCTGTGTGTATCTGTGTTGTGTGTGATGTCAAACTTTAAGTATATGACCATTATATAACTTATATTCTTCAGAGCATGGCGCAGTTTCCTTGGCACGATGGCTCAATTAAGAACGTCCATGTTGATCCGACACTGCTGTTTGTTTACCAAGTAAATAACGTTACGTTTTATCGTAAACAAAATAATAATTCTGGAGAGTTAGGAATCTTTAGACATCACTCTTATTTGAACGTCAACTCTTGTCAGTTTTGTGTTGATTTCACGAATGTTTCGTAAAAGTTTGCTCTGGTGTGATGCGACCATTATCCGTAATGAATACCCAAGTAAACTCTGGCTTGTAAACTTTCGTGCAGTCCTACCTCTTTGTAATATCGTTCATCTTTTCAAGGAACAACTGGACTCGACAGTTCAACATTATTTGAGAAGGATTGATTGGTTGTCGACCGGGTGTCAACAGATATTTGGGACTCTCGTTGAACAGAGGTATAGACAAAGCTTTTGAAATGATTTTTGTGAATCCTCTTCATTTTAATAACTTTTCATCATTTTATGCTCGCCCAGGGTAATCATCATCGTCGATATTTCTGTGTCAACCAGACCGTGTTTCAATGTTCTCAAGAAAGATTTGAAAGTACTTTTCGAGCAACAAATGGCGAACAAGAAGCATTACAATGTCATTTGGTAAGATGAAAAATCGCAGAACTTTTAGACACAACTTAGAATGATCCAGCATCCGACATCCTTGGCTTCAAGCATTTGAACTCTTCAGTTGAAAGAGAAAACAGATAATTTTATTTTTTCATGTTTCTTTTAGTTATGGAAGTTCTGGTGAAATGTTTCGTCCATCAATGGTGAATCCTTCGCCGGAATATCTCCAGGCCAGCTGGAGGTATGTCGCTAACACGCGAACATTTCTAACAAAATTATCATTCCCTTGGCATGGTATTGCTCCTGTCATAAGACTACATTTCTCGCCGTGTTCTTCAGTAATCTGAAAATGGTCTCATCGTCTTTTTAGGTGGTTACTTCAGAAGAGTTGTAACGGAAGCAGGAACGTCCTTGAAGCTTTTAGAATGGCCGTTGAGAACAACGAGGATATCACGAATAACACAGGTGAAAACCATTCCGAACGAGACAGCTTGGTCTCTCGTTTCTGTCCAAGAAATATCACAGATTTGAGTACGATGAATTTTGTTTATTTGTAGAAGTGGAAGGCATTTATCTTATTTCAACTGGACCACCAGATTCCCCAGAGGTAATCCGCTAAAAAACAAATAAACTCTTCACTTTATTCATGACTGAGCTCAGCTTGACTGAACTGAACGAAACTGATATATGTTAGAAACAAGCTGCCTAGAGACAAGCAGCTGTGCGAACAAGTATTGATAACGCGTTGATAAACGGTGCCAATATTCTCGCATTGACCCATTCTCGTAGCCGGGGCTCTTCCGACACACGGCCTTGCTACGCCTATGCACACACCCTACGTAGACCGCGCGTGAGAGCGTCTCTGGGTATGAGACCCATTTTCGCGTTGTTTTAACAGGATCTGATTTGCTCATTCATCAAAGAATCTTTGTCTGGTAAAGACGTAACTCTGAACACAATCTACTATGAAGATGAGATTGACAGTAGTTGCTATTTGCCCGGACGATCCGCGACCCCTGTAGAGACCGCTGAATGCTTGAAAAAGATGGCTCATGCAGGCAGGGGGAGGTTTCATTGGTACAAAATTGGGGGTGAGTACCTTTCATGATATATCCAGTCTTGAAATCCCCTCACAGATGTTAATGTGTTAACCGTACTTTGTTTAGCTGGTATTATGGAGAGCGATGATGTGACTGTTATCAACGGAGAGTTAAACAAAGCCTACAATTATTCCCAAAACGTAAGTGATGTGGTTAAAAATATAGACAAGCATGTTCGAGATATGACCGTCCTTCTCATTTCAGACGGCCATGCTGCTGGATTCTGTGAAGAGAAACAGATACCCTGAAGAAAAGGTAAGACCTTGTTTCTTAACTCTCAACCTTCAATTCGTCCATCCCTAAAGATTTGTTTCCCTTGCTAAAGTTGATCCATCACTAACCTTCTCTTTATGTTCAAAGGAGGACCCTGCATTGGAAGATCAGAAAGCTTTGGTTCCAGCACCACCTCAAGAAAAACCAAAGCCTTTACCTCCTCCGAAACAAACGGCCTTGTCCCAAGCCAGGCTGGTGAGTTGTAGAATGGAATTATTTTCGTATTTATTTCAGAAGAAGTGTATTTTTTTACAAAATTTACCTGTGTATTTGCATTCAATTCAGAATGGTATTCGTAGTCGACCGTCGACAGCGAACGGGCATATCTCCAGATCATCTAAAAAGGAAAAAAAGAAACAGCGAACAAAAAGTGCAGTGTGTTCGTCGCAAGACGTCTCCGTGAAACCACTTTGCTGGAAACCAAATTCCAAGAACAGCAGCACCGGTCTTATTCCTGATAGTAAGTTCAGAGCCTGATTTCAATCACTTCAGCGAGAAGCGAGCTATTGCGTCTGAATGAATAAGACTTGCATCGTTGATTTCATTTCTCGCGGCGAGTTCGTTAGATTTCTAGCACTTGCAATGGACTGCGAGTGTGTTATTTCAAAGATCCAAAAACAGGCTTAAAAGCCGTGTATTCCTCGTCCCCTTGCACAACGAAATTACTGCTTTGATTTACAGCTTTTGATTCCAATTTTCTTCTGCTTTTAGTATCCCGCACAGGGAGTAAAGAAAGAGAAACGCCGAGCGCTCAGAGACAAGTATTTTACACAGAAATTGGAAATAGCGTTGGTATAAGACAGTTCATTTTCCCAGGAACATTGGGATCTATCAGTTCTAAAAAATATCTGTTCATTTCAAGGTGCAATATTGAAAGATTATCCCAGTCTGGTCGAAGATAAGAAAAGCATTCGGAGACCGATCAAAGAAGCGTATATTCCTGAGAAAGATGAAAATATTTCCACGCGAGAGGTGAAGAATAGTTGTGCTGAAGATGTGTTAAAACTTGCATGTGTCAATATATTTTTCTCTCGTTCTGTAGTGGATGAGAAAATACAGCATAGCTAAGCTGAAGTTAGATTTGAATCAGCTTGCTGGCGGTGCTGAATGTTCACATTCTAAGAGTAAAGTATCTTCTCTACACAAGACAGTCCCAGCAAGGTAATGTCTCAAGTACGGTGAGCGAGAGTCGTATAACTTTGTGGATCAACTCAAAAAGTTTACTAAAAGTTGTTGCGGTTTATTTGTAGATATTGTGATATCTTTCCAACGGTCAAAATGAAGGTAAATGAAGAGCTATGATAGTTTTTATGATAGTTTTACATTCAGGAAATAATCCTCAGGACTGAAGCAAACTAACATCAAACTACTGAGAGAGGAGCCTATCCCTTTCTGATCTAATATTAAGGATCGTTTTCTCGGGTAAAGGGGGGCTCTATACTGTGATCATTCTGGGCAGATTGTGGGGTTGAGCTTTGAAAGAACCGTCGTGTGTTTTATTTTCCAGGGTGTGATGAAGCATCTTCATTTGACGCCACGTGAACTTGAGGAATATGAAGAAGAGATTGAGAAAGTCATGAAGAGATATGTAAAGAGACTCCAGTGGTTAATGAGTGGTAGGTTGGGATAATATGAAGATTACTGTGGTCATTCGTGGATATACCCGTAGAGACCTCAAAGGATTGAAATATTTGCATTATTCTTTCAGGAAGTAGAAGAATATTTGGAACTGTTATCGAGAAGAAGGTACAACAAATAGATTTTTATTAACAGTTGTTTTTTCTATATTTTACACGCCACCTTATGCCGAACTATATTTATCAAAAAGGTTGTTATTTTGGTCGATACTTCGTATTCAATGGCAAGAAGTCTTCCTGAGATTCAGACGCAGCTCATTGGCCTCATTTGGGAGCAACTGAGGGAACTTAATATCATGTAAGAGAAGCCACTGAATCGGGGTTGATTGAACTGAACTGGACTGAGCTAAACTTTAGATTAAGCGGGGTTAAATCACGATAAACTGAACTAAACTGGACTACAACTGGGTCTATCGTTTTGATATACTCGTTGCTGCTAAATTGTTGTGATGATAGGCCCATGTCTAACCTATGTGATTGATTGTACTTAACCAGGTTTAATCTCGTCAAGTTTTCGAATGAACCAACATTATGGCGTCCAAGTCTTGTCGCGCCTTCTGAGGAAAACTGCGAGGATGCTGTGGAATGGATTAAAACATTTCAAGCTTTCGGCAGTGCGAGTACCGTCCAGGCAATGCAGGTATAACTCCTCACAACATACTTAAACAAGTGTCCTCTACAACACAGTGTTCTTTAGTGATGATGTCATTTGAACTTTATTTTTAAAGGCAGCTTTCCAAGATCCTGGTATCGAAGGAATCTATCTTGTTACTGATGGTAAACCTGTACGTTTCTCCCTTGTTGTTTATTCTATATTTACCCCATGTTTGAGATTTTATGATAATGTATACCTGTCCAAACTGTACATGAACGAACCAATTCCGCCTTGGTCATACGCTCTTGTGAGGGTGGGCGTCTCACATAAAGGAATCTCGTCTTATCATCCATTTTTCCCCAGGACACAAGCACTACGATGGTTCTACGCGAACTGGCAAAACTAAACAACGCAAGACAAGTCCGGGTTCATACAATATCATTTAACTGCGATGACAGGTTAGAAGACTAGCTTTGCTTTACTCTACCGGATAGCTATACACTGTCTTCATATAGATATTTAGTTTATTTATCCAATGTTTGATTGGAGGCAACAAGCTCTGAACCGTTCTTTCTAGAGATCCAGTAGAGTTATATACGATGAATGACTTGAGAATATCTTGATCTATATATGCTCATTTCTTGTTTAGTTCTGCAAACAAATTTCTTCAATTGATGGCGGGTCAGTCGGGAGGAAGGTAAGATAGTTGACTTTGAAAATTGTGAAGGGAAAGCTCTTCAATGACTTCCTATATCCTGCTTTTCTTAACAATTATTTTCTCGAAGATTTCATCGAAGTCAGTCTGAGGCTGCTGGTCATTTGCTCGCCCACAGATTATTAACTGAAAAAGTTCGTTCAGATGAGGTAACATCAGTGCTGTTGTATATGGGATTTAGATGGAATTACCTTCTTTTTCTTCCAACCAAATCAATGTATAAAACTTAGCTTTGAAAATGGATACCAGAATTGCTGACGATCACTCTCTGACATATTTCAGGCTCTCACAATACCAGTTTTTGATGGGGATGACCTCCGTCGTTTGGGAAGTGAAATCACACTGTGCAGGAAATTTCTGCTTCAAGCAAGATCATTCAGGTGGATATTTCCCCGCTGTGTTTCAAATTCTAGCACACTGATGTTAGTAAAGATGGTTTTTAAAGAGTTATCTACCTTCCTTTTATCATTCACAGGACTCTGCTTCACGAATATGCCAAAAGTGGTCAGGAAACAAAAATACAAAATTCAAAACAGTATTTACAAACTGGTGAGTACAAGTGATGTTTTTATCATGGGATTTATTCATATAAGCTGTGATATGAGTGAAAATGTTTTCTTTATTCATGGTATATTTCTCTTAACGATGAACTGTTTCTACAGGAAGTTCAAACACATCCAAAATCTCACTGGGGAATCCAACAACAGGCGAAATATTAGCAAACTAAGTTGTTTGTGGTATTCGTTTAATGCTGTCTCTCTGCGGTCAAGGAGAACTGTTTTACCAAGCAGGGCTGGCCTGGATCAGTAAAGATTGCAGAGAGCCAGGCTTTCTATTTTGTCCACCCAACTGATGAGTAAACCAAGTTTCAGATAAGACGAAACCTCTCAATACGCCATTACGTTCCCTCTGCTTTTGCGGGCGAAGCAGCTTTTCATGCTGGCGTGACTAACTTCAAAAACAAAGCTTCTGTCATTGGAGGATTACCTTTTTACAACCGTCCTTAGTTTTAATGAAAAAGTTGATCAAGCACTCTTATCTAATAAACCTTGTAAAATATCGGTTGACTTGTAAAGCTGTACTATAGAAATATATCTGTGTAGAACGTTTTTGTAATTATAAACACGAAACTCGTTTGTATTTTTCAACAGAGCGGCTTTTGTTGAGAGGACTTTTTTCACCATGCACTATAACTGAGTATGTGATACACTACAATAGGAATCACATAAAGTAACGTTTGATTAACTGTGGCCAGAGAAATCTCCGGCTCGGGGAACAAGATTGACTTCCGATTGCTTCCCGGATGCTTCCGATCTTGCCGACTTTCCTGGTTCGAGTCCAGTCTTTCTTCGATCTTTTTAAAAATCGAAATCTACAATTTGTATCTGTATAAAATGGCGCCGTCTACTGATAGTTTTGAATCGTAATTCGTGTCGAGAATAATGAAAATCTGCGGTCGTTTCACGATGCTATGAAGTGGCATGAATGCCCGAAATCCAGGCCGTGTGAGGCAAACTCGAAAAGAGCGTCCGTTTAAAGAAAGACAGCGAGACACCTCAACGGAGTCGACCCGTAGTACTAGTTCAAGGAACGACAGCCGCATAGACATTGCAAAAAATCGTAAACAACGCGAAAACAAAGCCGACGAGCAAGTCAGCAGAGCGAGGGATAAAAACTACGATATTCCTAATAGGGTTCCTCCTGCAGACTTGAAAGACCGAGGAAAAAATGAAAATTTAAGACGGTCTGAAAAGAGCTCTGGCTTTCGTGAGAAAAACAATGCCCTGGTTCAGAGCAGAGATGGCTATCGCGATTCAACCAAAGGTATTTTTACTATTCAGCTGAGTTATGTGGCAGATTATTTAATTTAATTTCTAGCTACCTATATATTAATTACTATTAAAAGTGATTTGGTTTCTTATTCATTTTATGCAGATAAATATTTTATGTATGAAATAATGGTTAATTATTATTATTCCAGGAAGTCTTGTAATTGATTTTGTTGATTAACAGTAACTCTAGGTCAAATAGTTGCCCTATTATCTACACCTAATCTTACATCCTATTGTGTTTTTATTAAAAGGATTATGTCAGTGATGGTTGAAATCGGAAAGTAGAAATTGGAAATCTGGCTGTTGTTTCTAATTATTTAGCATAATTGTTATTAAATGTAACTATTTTTAAAGAGGGGTTATGTACAGCAGCTTCTCTGCATCGGTTCTGCTCGTAGTTTCATTGAACATAAGCTCCCTTTCTTATTCATTTAGAAATATAGTGAAATGTGATAAATATTCTGACAGCTAGGACAGGATATTTTAAGATAAATAGTCATATTCAATATGTAAACAAATGTTTGTTAACATTACTGACTGTAACCCACCTTAAGTCGGACTTACTACAGCTAAAAGTTGTTTCTATAAAGTGTCTTATTATTTAGATCGGAGAGTTGGCAACTTTAGTGATGATTCGCCATTGTCACTTCTCATCAGACAAATCAACAAAGAAAGTGACAGTGAAAAACGGCTCGCAACTGCTAAGAAACTTGAAGAATTTGTCAACCAACCGACCAATTTTCAGGTAGGAATTTTTGTACCAAAATATCCCGCAGTCTGTACTGTATTTTCAGATATTAACTCGTAACTCATTGTACCAGGCTGTGATTAAAGTTGTTGATGAAATTTTGAGTTTTGCCGAGGCAATATTCCGTGAAAGGAACCCAAACACATTTGAGCTGAAAGATCAGATTGCAAAATGTGTTGGAATTATTACCGGTCTTCTTGGCGCTGAAGCAAAGGGGTAATTATATTGTAAAAACTATCACTCCAAAATATACTCAGATTGAATTGTGCATATTAGAATCAATGTGTTTTGAAGACTAACAATTGCCTTTCTTATTATATACCAGATTCATATTTTTGCTCATTTCGAAAGTGGAATCGGCTTCGTCAGAGGAACACAAGTCACTACTTATAAAAATTTTAACAAAGGTACGGTCCTCCCTAAATTGCCGTATTCAGTGCATTTAAACATTTGTTTTAATTGAATCTCGGTTTTGTTAATTTCCTAATCTCAGGCAGTGGAGCAAGATGAGAAGAAACATCGATTCAAAGATTTTATTCCGGTTAGTATTGACCTCTGTATATATTTAAGACTTGTGTGGATGAAGAAAGATTTAACCTTGCATGCTTATTCGATTGTAAATCTGAGATAGGAGTTCTTTATCACCAGAATTATATGCAATGGATTTATACAACGTTGGCTACACTCTGATTTTACTTTATTTTTGTCTAGTTGCTGCTGACAAAACTACACAACATATTAGAAAATGCAGACACTTCAGGTTTGACTTGTCTCTGCCTATTGAACATGTGAGAACTACGCAAAACTCAACTATGAACATCTGTATTTAGATCTTCTTCACTCTGTGCTATCAATCATCATGCCGATAGCAGTGGAGTATCCTCAAGTTTTCACACCTCATTTCAGAGTAAGTACAACATTTCTCTTGCTGAAGTTCTAAGTGTCATGAAATCTACACACAAAGTTCAGAAATTCATTATTGACAATACAAATAGCATTGTATATAGCATACAATTAAATATTCTATTAGGGGGTTGTTTACATGATTCAGCTCATCTTGTTTCATAAAGACTTGTTTCAATACATCAAAATCATCTTGCGCTACCAGGCTTATGTAAACAGCCCCTTAGAATCTGGCTGTGTATTTCCACTCATGAAAGACTTTATACTTTTAGGATACTGTAGATATTTTGATTGGTTGGCACATTGATACCAAACAACCAAATCAATTAGTTCAATTCACTTCAGGTAGGTTTAATATTTTTGTTCAATGTGTATGAAATTCTTGTTAAAAAATTCTTATCCACGATTAAAAAACTAAATTCTTTTCGTCACTCTTCAGATTGCTTGATCAGCCTCCATCGATACTGGGTTGCTGATATCAATTTTTCTCTAACACTCCTCACCCAGTTCTTGGAGGATATGGAAGCGTATTCTGAGGTGTTTATCCATTCTTATGGTTTTGTTCTTTCAACTGGGGTCCTCAAATTTCATGGGTCTAGGGATCCCCAATCAATACTGTTTTTATATTATATGTTATGACTTGCAGGAACTGAAATATATTGCGACTGGACAACTTGATGAAAACCAGGTCTCACCACCCTATTCCTCACTGCCAAAGCTGACTGCTTTAGTAAGGTACTGAACTGTGTCTCATAAAATAATATTCATGAACCTTATCACCATAATGTGTCCATTCTGTGTTATTCTACTCTGTGTAACAATAAATTTAATCAGTTAGTGGAAGTGTATCATTTCCCACCATTTATTTTCAGGGTGTTTACCACTGTAATGAACGGAATTGGAGAGTGTTTTACACCAACGAGAAGCCCAACAATAACTCAAGAATATATAACGAAGGTATGTTTGTGTTTTCAGCAACATTCACTAAACTATATGGTCCTTCATTCTTGGACCTCTAGTTCAGTTCAGACCTGATAGAGTAACACTGGATCAATAAGAGATGATCCTTACAAGATCTTCTCGTCTGTCCTAGCTTTCAAAAGGAGTGATTGATTGTGTTCGATCTGGTGGATATTCATTTTTCTACGAAGATCTTTTCAAGACAGGTTTGACACTATGTCATTTCATTTTGTATCATTTATTGGAAAGATTTAACCAATTAGAAAACCTTTCTCTTTTCTCTAGCCAACGAGTGTTTTGGTATAATGTGCTGTTTTCTCAAAAACCAATTTTCCTCCTCTTGCGAAATGACTACCGAATTCGCTTTGGAACAGTTGGAAAGAAAGTCGCTGACCTTTGCGCATACGAAGTCGATTTTAGCATTCGTCAAGCAGGTAATGGCGCGATTTACACTGCAACGGGCGTTAGGAGAATTGGAAATATCTGTGTAACAAACCCTCTAATGTTTCATTGATTAATTTCTCGACGCAAGTAAGCCTTCCTCTGAAGGTACTCGCATATAGCAGCTGAAGCTACGAGGCCATGTTTGCCAGAGCAGCGTGCGAATCTTCTTGTAGATGTCTTTAGCAGCGTGCGATCGCTGGAAATTTTCTTCCATAACATTGCTACGAACTGTTCTTTTCAGGTGATAAAGCACGTGAATGCCGCGATACCTGATTCGTTCGTTATGCTCTTGTTAAATCCAGATTCAGCCATAATGAAGTTGAGATTCTGTGCGGATGAAGAGGTAGTGTGCATGGAATAATCGTAATACCTAAGACCAAACAAATATGCTATAAAATTTATCTTCCAATATGCTTTTTAAGAGACAAGCCTAGCACTGCGGTGATCAACAGTTTAATGTTTACATGTGTTTTCAATCGATGATATTATTTTTATTTCAAGATTTTAAAGCGTTTGATCGAGATCTGCCAATGTCTCATCAACATTAAAAGTGTTTCTCTCATGGAGAGGACGTACGAGTAAGTCGAATTATAGTTATTAACATGCACGTGTGTTCCGGGAATCTCGATCATGTGTCCAAAGTTTGTGGTTCTAATTGCACGTGTTCGAATCATTCTAGAATATTTGTAAAGGATATTCGAACAGCGTATTCACAACTCAAGGAGAACATCAATGAAGATGGGCAAGATGGTGATGATGTCACGTTACTTACTCAAGAAAACGTCGAAAGAAACTCGTCAGCGGTTGCAGTGCGGGAGTCTGGAGACCACGCCGATGATAATATGTCCAGTGAAGTAAAACTGTATCAAGCACAAGTGAAGACTGTGTTTGATCTGCAAGTTTTGGGTAGTCTAAACCTATCACAGCCATCTAACACTAACGTGAGTTTATTGTTTACGATACCATTTGCCAAGTACCTCAAAGATTCACATGGAAGTTTCCAAATAATGGGGGTTGACATGAGTAGCTTCATTTGACATTTAGGTTTTTCTCTAATTCTAGCCCGTTTGGAGAGTCTCGCCATCTCTGGTGGAACTGTTTACCAAGGAGATGAGTCCTACGGATTGGGATATCGCGTTTCGTTTTCCAGCGGTCCAGTACACCATCTTGTGTTCTTTGTACGATCACTGTAAAAGGTAAGAAATGGCACGTAAAATCGTCTCTTATTTCACGGTGAATATTGGTACAAGGTGAAACAACGAGGGAATGGATAAGATCGCGAAATCGGAATGAACTGAAGAGGGAAGAATGAAAGAAAATTGAACATACAATCGCTGGTTCACTCTACTCTTGGCTGGAAAAGATTAAGGATAAGTCTTGTATTTTTTTACAGAAATAAATACTTTCGAGAAGACAGCGCTGCAAATAGAAATAAGAGTGAGGTTGAGATTATTGGCAAAGTTCAAGAAATGATTTTGGAAATCCTTCAAAACGCTTTCTCCTCTTGTGATATCAGGTAGCGCTGGTGAACCAGTTGTGTATTTACTAAGAAATTAATCAAAAAAATAATAACCCAGAATTTGATCGTTCAGGATGTTATGTATCGCATGGATTGTGGATCTCGTGGAATTAGCAAACAGCTCTGAAGATGCGATCAGCATCGACTTCGATGCATTTCTTGAAGGGATGTTACCTCTTTGTAAGTTTTAATCGTCGAGAGTGTCTTGAAATGCTTTGAGTGAGACCTAACACTGCTGGGACGAGTGTAACAAGAGTCAATATGTTTATTCCTAGCTTATCTTCCTGATGAAGATGTTCGTCTTACGGCGAGTGTCTGCATCAAACTTATGATACAGAATAAACTACTTTCCAACGACTGCATCAAAAGGTACTGTGCTAAACGCTTTATGCTTTAAATTATTGTAGGTTTCATTCATGGATGTTTTATTCGACCTACGTTTTTTACGAACTAATCGGACGACTTCACAAGCCGTTTCAGCAACAATGACTTGTTTATTTCTCGACCATAGTTTTGCTTTGTTTTTCAAAGATCATTTCAAGAATGTGTTTTTCACATCACGGATGTATATGAGAATATCAGGGATACGTTCATTCATTTGTTGACCGCTGTGCCAGTTGATCTTGCTATAAGGTATGTGATCCATCTATATCCATATATATCACATCATAATTTATTTGATTAACCATTGATCATCCACCAAGAGTATGTCAGATACCCATAAGTGTCTAGTAGAAGTCCACTAGCTATCCATATTCGTCCTGTAGATATAACTATTTATCCATTATTATCCTCTAAATCTCCACCTGTTATCCATTGATATCCTTAAGATAGCACCATTTATCCATGGTTATCCATTCATCCGTTAACCATTGAACACACCATGCTTCTCTATTTCCTTTAGTTTTGGACCACACAGATCAAGTTGCGACCATCTCAACAGCAGATGCGATTCACCGCTGAAGTTATCAATCATTGGTAGTTGGCTAGCGAGGAAGATTCACATGATGAAGCCATCTACAATCACCTTTCATTCCCACAACTTTCGTGTTGTCAGTTCGTTTATCTTACATGGCGTTCTACCCCCGTGAGTATCGTGTAGTTAATTTACTGCCCCCGGGCGGCGAACTTGATAAAGTCCCCCAACACCTGACGGGCTGACATGGTGATTTCAATGAACCGTATGTCATCACGACTACCAGAAAGTTTACCTCGCCTTGTGTTCCATTTCTAGGAAAGAAGAGAGTCCAGACTGGTTGCTGCACTTGTATCACACCTGTCAGAGACGTTCTCAGGAAAAACAGCACAATCACCCGATGAACGACAAATACTATTTCAGCAGCAAACACGATCCAAACTCTGTTGTTTCTGTGAGTAATCACCATAGAATTGAGTGCGTTTGTACCAGGAGATTCCTGATTATAGCGTCTTTTATCAATTTCTTTGTAATATTTTTAGATCTCCAGCAACTATGCTCTTCTCTGGTTTTGGGCAACGTGGGAAATGGCGCAGTTCTGTGTCTTGGCAAGACTCAAAACACCGCTTGGTCGAGCACAGGACACGTTCCAAGCCATCGAGAGTATGTAACACTATCTATCAAATTACAATACCAAATCCTGAAGGATGATTTATAATGTAAACACTCTCTTTCAGCAGAAGAAATACTCGATTTAAGTTGAACACGCTATGATTTTTCTAGGTGTATTAAGAGAGTTTATGAGTCAAGTTTGTCCAGATCAAGATAAAAAGACGATAAGAATAAAAAAGAAAACTGCTCCTCAAGAACCAGCTAAAACCAGCAAAGGTGGGTTGTTTGACAGTCTGTGTACCATCTTCTGTCCAGACTGGCTTCCTCGTTTTCTTTGCAATGTCTGCCAGCCACACATCTCCTGCCCAGAAAACTCATGTGATCCATTCCACTGGCACTGAAAATCACCAAACTTTTAACACTAGAATTTAAAGTTCAATATTGTTGTCCTGTGTTTTTCTAGAGAGCTCATCCCAGCCGCCAGCTTTCTGTCAACTTCAGGTGAAACTGCTTCTGCAGTTTGTTGAAAATTTGGATAAACTGATGTACAGTGCTTACGAGGGTGCTGCTGTTTCATTACCACCATTTCCCAAGGTTAGTATACACACAGTTAGGTGGTCATTGGTGCTATAGATCTGTGTTCCTAATCAGATATACTTTGATATCCGTCCCTATCATTCAGGCTGTGCGGTTGTTCTTCCGGACAAACAAGTCAACATGTCAGGAATGGTTGTCGAGAATTCGCGGTGTCATCACGTCTGTCTCAATGGAATGTGGAGAACCAGCTACAGCTGTGTACCACGGACTGCAGCGCTTGAAAGAACTGAAAAACGGTGGCAAAGGAAAGGTAGGACAGGTTCTAATGGAACCTGAAATATGTACAGAACAGATTTAGTTGTCTGTTTTATAACGTAGTTCACGAGCAGGCTTTGTTTCGCTTTGATATACTGTATTTCGTTCTTCAGTCAAATTCGCTTTGTTGTTGGCTCTTTTCTTAGGAAAGAGATTTTGAATTGACTGCCCTGGCCGTTGCCAAAGCCTTGTGTCAGCTCAAAGCATCGGAGGCTCTGCAAGGCTTGAGTACTTGGTGTAAGAAACACTGCGAACGGGATTTTCCATGGCTGGAGGCGATTGTACATAAATCAAATGGAAGGTTGGTGAATGAAAGAGGATTTGAGTGAAAATGTTTTTGCCGTAGAAGTCAAACACTGTTGTGACTGAGGTTCTCTGTATGTTGTCTTTTCTTGCAGATATGAAAAAGCTATATGTGAATATGAGAAATGTCTGCAAGTGTTTGAAACTGATGATACGAACGAGGGAACTAAACCAGATACAAGTTCCAACCTGAGCTCAACTGTCCTGAACTTTCTCGTGAATGAGGTAAGAAACCGCACTCCGTTTTCACGGCAGAGGTTGTTGTTTGTTTCAGACAGATGTGGAAGAAGACCATCGTCTTTTCTTTTGGTTAGATTACAGATTGTTACACCAAGTTAACTGATTGGTCAGAGGTTGAACAATGGCAGAAGACGGTCCAGGAAATGAGAGGTCATCTGCCAAATCCTGAATATCAACAGGCCGCGAATATCAAGATTGATATGAACTACGTCAGGTAGGTTTACCAAAGGATGTCTTGTCTCCATTCAAACGTTATTCTTCATATGAATATGGGAGGTCTAAAGTTATTAATATATGTTTAGGGCTTTGCATAACTTTGAAGATGGGGAGTTTGTTGGCGTGCGGGAATGCCTAGAGTTAATTCCTGGTGCATCGCTCAGCTTCATCATCGATAGGATCGGAGGCAGTCCACTCACTTTGGGAAAGGAGGAGTCGAAGAGCGCTGGATACACGTTCACTCCCCCCTGGAGTCCACAGCAGGTGTTACAAGCAAGTGATATTTTTATGATGCAAGCTTTGACTTTGTATTGGACCTCTGGTATGGCCGGGGGTGGAACCAAGAAGGATGAAGTATTGAGGTATCAACCTTGGATTATTTATCATAGTACCATCCTATGTCGAACGATACTATACAAAACTATACCATACCATACCACACCATACCATATCATTCAACCAGAATTAAACTTATCTTCTCAGGAATGAAATACATGATCTACTCAGTCATGGCAGTGATTTGCTCGAAGGTGTGATCACAAATGGTGCAAAAGATTGGCCACCCTCTATTTCTGAAATCCATGCTGTCCAGTACTACGGTATCAACTTACTCTCCAAAGTGCTCTCAGGAAAACACGAGGAGGTGAGACTGTTTAGGAATGTGTTTTTGTAGTTCCTTCGTTTTAACAAGCTTTCGGGTGAGTTTGGCATTTTCCTAGATTGACACAGGCCATATAAGCAGGTTTCATTGTAATTCCTTCTAAGTGCTGTTCATTCTATTTTAGGACAAATCACATTTCATGCCATTCAGCAGCAACCTTCAAACGAAATCCTCTTCGCGGAGCTCTTTGGACAGCGGCGTGATGTGTAAGATACTTCAAATAACCGCCTATAACCATTACCATCACAAACTTCACGGTAAATACCAGGATGAAACGGGAGACCAGCTATCGACCATTCAACTAGCCACGATTCGCACAGCCAGGAAGGAACGAAATTTTCGACTGGCCTATAAACATCTGCGACTATTGCTGTCTGTTCAGAAGGATCAAACGTCCACTTTAACGAAAGAGGAAAAGGCTTCATTGGGGAATTTACCACGTGGGGAACCTAGTGTGTATACGAACATCTTGTGTGAATCCTTGTGCGAAGATCTGACAGCATTGCAATCCACGGAGATGCAGACTACGACCAAATCTTGTATATATAATGAGTCTGCTAAACTACTGCATGCTCTGGGACATACCACAAAAGCTGCGGACGTGTTGTGCTGCAGTCTACTGGAAGATAAAGGGAAAGAGAGTAAGATGGGTTATGCAAAGACATTATGTACGCTGGGAAAATGGTTTCTAGGCGATAGAAAGGTGGTGAACGGTAGCGAACAGTTGAAAACAAACTTGTTGAAAGTTTTGAACTTTGATACGGAAGGCGTTGATGGCGCTGAAGGGATTGCAAGTGTCGACGATGTTGATGTGTTGTGTGGAAGAGTTTTCAGTCTGAGCAGCAAGTGTGCGCCAGATTTGGACAAGGCGTGGTTCATGCTTGCCGGATGGGCTTACAAGGCTGGACGTAAAGTTGTTGAACAAGCGTGGTAGGTGCATGGTAACTCCCTCCCTTTTCCATCGTGCTCAAGAGTAGCGTATTGCTTCCTTCGCCTCGCTGAGCAGTCCGACTTCGACAAGCTTTCAGATGGTTTTTTGCCTGTGAGATCGAACGTCACTTGAGAAATGTTGTAGTGTACAAAGTTGTCTTTTGTCGTTTTAGTTCTGGTGGGAGTGTTGAAATATCGAGAGCGGAACGTGAAACTATCATCGAAACATTGCCTGAGGTTTGTTTACTATATTGTGGTTACTTCATGTGTGCTTGAACTACATCAGGAGTACTGCAGAGATCCAGACAGCTGGAGTCCTAATCTTTCGTCGATGAATTGCTGACCCTACGATGTGTGAAATTCTTTATTTTTAGGAGATGACCAGCAAAGAAACAGAGGAAATTCTTTCTATTTTAAGCAAAGGACATTTCACTACAGTTGGTGCACAAGACGAAGAAATTAACTCTGGTAACGAGGTGAGTGAGTGTGCTCAAATGTATGTTATATACTTACTTTTATATGCCATATTTCGTTAGTCATGAAATTCACAACACTGGTTCATATTGCAAGCAAACTTTCCTTATTTTTTCTAGATTTTGACCCGGGAAGAGGAGACAGTCAGGAAGCAACTCATTGAAGTATCTCAGTCGTTCAGCGAGTCGTGTGTTGAATCACTTGTCGTAATATGGCGTGGAATATGCGAGCGACTCTTCAGTCATTACAGAACCGCTGTGAACGCTTACTTCAAGTATCTGAGGCTCCATGGCAAGGTAGGTGACTGCAGGCGCTTGTTGTCACTCCAGGTTTTCTTACTTGTTTGAATCGCATTCTCTGACGTAATTGATCGACGCACGTGTTCGTATTTCTTTCTTCCAGACTTCTGTCAAAAGTGACGTGGACAGCGATAGACACGTGACCGCCACTCTACGCCTTCTTCGCCTGCTCGTGAAGCATGCCGGGGGATTGAAATACGAGTTAGAACAGGGTTTCCACGCCACCCCCACTGCACCGTGGGAAGGTAAGAACATGTCTTAAAAAACGTGTCGAGTCCGACATCTCAGTGGAAGACGATTCAAGCGCATTTTTAGACACTAACCTTTGAAGATACGTTTCAATATACCCGGAAAGCAATGGCAGCGTCTTCAAACAACGTCGCATTCATGAAGAGAGCCGTTCTCCCTTGTTTTATTTTCATACTAACTCTTCTGACGAAGCCTCTTAGTTGGAAACGTTTAGAAGTGTTTTTGTCTATTTCAGACAGATTGTTTGACCACCACATTTGATAGTAACCTTTTGATACTTCTTCATCTTCAGAAATCATTCCTCAATTATTCTCTCGTCTCAATCATCCTGAGGAGTATGTGCGTAAAGGTGTGACAGAACTCCTGTGTCGGGTGTCCAAAGATTCGCCGCATCTCATATTGTACTCGGCCATCGTTGGATGCTCCGGGAATAACCTTCGACATGATAGAAACACAAACAGTACGTAACGCTAAAATATGAAGAATATGATACCAGGGCTGGGCCTCTTGTTCTCGGGGGGAGGGGGGTATATAGCTGGTATTACTGGTTATTTTTTGGGTTGTCCGAACAGACAGGGCCCTAGAGATTGCTGTAAACGTGGTGTTGTTGCAAAAAATGTAGAAAGATTCCCCTTTTTAGGTTTGATGACATTGGTCGCCAGTCGATCAGATGATCCTGACAATTCTTTCAATCTGGAGGACGAGGAACTCAACTTTGACTTCAACCAGGAGCAGACGTTGCAAAGCGGTTACCACACGATTGTCGAGTCGCTTGCCGACGGCAACTCCCGACTGCTTGCCGAAGTTCAAGACTTCGTCCTTGAGCTGAGACGAGTGACGTTGCTGTGGGAGGAGCTATGGCTTGGCTCCTTGATCCAGATTCATCACGACTTCGAGAAACGAGAAAACCAATTGAATGATGAGATTAAACGAGTTAATTCCAGCACGTCTTTGTCAGGTCAAGAGAAATCTGCGCTGATCAAGGGAAAGCATATTGCTTTAATGAAACCTGTAAGTAGCTTCCAGTTGATCGTAAGACGTTCCAACGGAGAAATAGACGACTAAAGGCATCATGATGTCGATAAACTTCAGGAATTTTGGCGCGTATTAGATGGAAGAAGATTAAACTGAGGCTTACAGTATTTTTCTTCGTCTTTAGATTGTATTTGCATTGGAACAACTTCAGTCGATCACAAACAAACAACCAGAGACGCCACATGAATCGTGGTTTCAGAAAACCTACTCGCCTCTGATTGAGAACGCGCTACACGCATTGAAGAATCCTGAAGAACCCAGTAAGCCTCAGACCAGCTGGGCTAAATTCAGACAGGTTTGTACAAACTGGGCATGCAAGAGTGTCAAAGCTCCTTCCATGGACACCTTCCATAACCCTGGAGGTGAAGTTTTACTACCATTTCTCCTTTGTCCAGCTTCTGCAGTCCTTACAACAGCGATCTCAGAAGAGATCATCTGTCAACCTGAAGCTGGAGGAGATCAGTCCAAAACTCTGTCAATTAAATCCTTCGTTTATTTACATGCCTGGTCAGAAGTTTTCCTTGAGCAAGGCAGGTTTCATTCAGTTGTTGTATTGTATTGCATCGTACGAGACTCACGAGCCCAAAGTAATTCTTCAGAAGTCGTGAAAACATTCAAAGTTTTGTTTTCATATATTTAAGGTTGTGACTGTGAATTCCCTGGAGAACGATGTGGTTATTCTGCCTACAAAAACTCGACCGAAAAAGATTGTTCTGGTTGGATCCGATGGGCAAAAGTACGTGAGCAATGATTCCTGCAGTTCTTCGGTTCTGTCGTCTCTCCAGTCATGACACTTGTCCATTATCTATTGTAATTTGAGTTCTGTTTCTATCCTAGGTATATGTATCTTTTCAAAGGTCTGGAGGATCTGCATTTAGATGAAAGAATTATGCAGTTTCTGTCGATTTGTAATAACATGTTTGCAAAACCTAACAGGTCAGAAACAACGATGAAAATCTCTGGCCATATTTCAGCTTTAGTTCAGGTTAGTCTAGGAAATCGACAGAGAATTTAAAATGTGTTTCGTAAACAATATGATTTAGATGTGAGGAGAACCTCTTCCTGGCTCGTCATTATTCTGTCACACCTCTTGGTCCAAGATCAGGTCTCATCCAGTGGGTCGATGGCGCTGTTCCGATCTTTTCTCTTTACAAACGATGGCAGCAGCGCGACGCCGCTGCAACTGTAGCGCTAACCAAGAACGAACAGGTATGTTCCTCTCTATCCTTCAGTATCACATTTTATCCAGCATGATCCACTAGTTAACTAAGCCTCTTATGGTCGCTATTATATTTCAGGGAGGTGGGTTCACGACCACACCCAAAGCTCCACTTCGACCAAACGAACTGTTCTACAACAAACTGACACCATTGTTGAAAGAAAAGGTAGGAATCTGTCTATTACTTCTTCTCAAAGCAATTCATATCATCCTGTGATGAGATCCAATGATTTAAATGTTGCATGGTGTTGGATATTGTATCATTTTCTATGAAACTGTCCTGAAAGACCTGTACTTTTGATTATAATGTCATTTTGTCCCACGATATTTTTAACCAGAATATTGATGTGAGCGGAAGTAACAGAAAGGATTGGCCTCTAGCGATCATGAGGAAGGTTTTGCAAGAACTTGTCCATGAAACTCCGCAAGATCTTTTAGAAAAGTGAGTACAGGCTTAGCAATAACGCACGGCTCCATATCAACTGTTATGACGCCAGAAATACATATTTCTAAATGATTTTTCTAGAGAGCTGTGGTGTTCAAGCACTTGTATCTCAGACTGGTGGAAAATGAGCCAAAGGTATTCGCGATCTGTGGCGGTCATGTCGATCATTGGTTACATTCTTGGGCTTGGTGATAGACATCTTGATAATATGCTGATAGATTTCACTACTGGAGAGGTGTGTATGTCATTTTGCTCAATCAACTACGGTGTGTAGCCCAGTGTCACGTCTAATGCATCATTCCATGTCTTCACTGTAGATTGTTCATATCGACTACAATATTTGTTTTGAAAAAGGCCGAGGATTAAGAGTTCCTGAAAAGGTTCCTTTCAGACTGACCGCTAACCTGGAGACTGCACTCGGAGTAACTGGAGTGGAGGTTTGTTTTATTCGTGTGTTTATATCTGGTGTAGTCGTTACCATTGAAGCTTGTAGATGGTTTAACTAAGAAAATCATGCTGTGAATACTTGTACACAGAAGTGGAGATTTGTGGAGTGTGGTCTAATCTTTCTCTGTCACGAGTGGCGATATGTAAATGCCATCTACTGGTCTATGATGAAGAGGGGAAAGTATCCCAATTCATACGTATTTTCATCTCGTAGGGAACCTTCCGTAGTTCGTGTGAGAAGGTTCTTCGTGTTCTCCGCAATGGACGTGAAACACTACTCACTTTGCTGGAAGCATTCGTCTATGATCCCTTGGTTGACTGGACGACAGGCAGCGACAACGCCTTCGCCAACGCCTTCTACGGTGGCCAGGCTCTACATCAACAGGATGTCAAGCAAAGCAAGAAAGTTATGGAGAGAACCATCACACAATGTTTGTTTTCATCGCGAGTCGCTGAGATGAGAGCATCGTGGCGAGGAAACAGGTTAGTCAGATGTTTACAAGTGCAGTTAATATGGCCTTCAACTAGTCTTATTGGAATTGGGTGCGTTCTGGGCGAAGATATACAATTAAATACAATTCATTGTTGCTCTAGAGATAGTATGAATGCATCTTTGAACAACTTAAAAGAAGCAGTTGACTCACACTTTTCGACTGTCAGTCAATCCATGGCTGTGTTTGAAAATGATAAAGAACTCCTTGGTCAGATGGAGATACTACAAGCTGCTGTCAAGTCAACCTTGCATCCATTACACGCCGTTCAAGCAAAGTAAGTTGTTCCGGGGGATTCCTGATCCACAATTCTGGGAATAATATATTTATGAAGTGTATAATCACGTTGTCCGGCAATCCATCTTAAACGGATTGTATATTTACCTCTTTGGGTCTAGACCTGTGTAATAATAATACATGAACTATTATCATATTAGATATGATGAACAAGCGAATATGATCAATGACCTCAACAGTGTTCTTCAAACTATCCAAGAAAGATTGAAGGATTGCCAACAATGGGATGTGCAACATCAGGTAATGCACGAGCATTGTTACAACGTCAATGAAAGATTTCATTCAAGCAAAGTTATTCTGTTGCTTCCAGGCTGCGCTCGACACGGTACGTGGAACAAAGTTGGCAAACATTGCGAGCGAACTTGTGAAGCCATTAGATGTCGGTCAGTACAACTTTAACTGCTTTTTATCAAGCTTGAATCATACCATATCATGCTGTAATACTACACCATATCCTACCATATCCCATTCCATACCATACTATTCCCCTCACTGTACAATACGACACCCATCTACCCAACTTTACCATTCCTAATCCTACCATATCCAGCCTCACCAAACCCAACTCTACCAACTTACAGGCTCTTTTTCTTGTACTGTAAATTTAGGTCTGCCAAGTTTTGCACCGGCTATTGTTTTTCTTCAAAATGCTGGACAATCGAACACAGTCAGTCAGGTAGGGTAACATAATCCAATAGATATATTTTGATTTCATATTTCTAACAAATTGGTTTTGTTTATAGTGTGAACAAGTTGAAACAGAGCTGACGGGTTTATTGCATAAAAGACGAAGTCTTCTGAGAGCATGTCTTGATGTTATACACACCTACGCCACGGTTATATCACAAGTAAGATGATCATGATGTATCCGTGAATATCACCCTGTGCCATACTACACCATACCATTAAATACCATCAAACACCATACCATTCTTTGCCATACCACACCATACCATTCTTTACCATACCACACCAATGCTGATCTCTGTTATATTCTTCAGTTTCCAGCCACATATTCTCACAACATTAGAAGCTCAGATTGGCAAACTTGGCTTAAACAGTTAATCGAAAATTCATCAACAGCAGAGTAAGTACTGGATCGTCACACCTCATCAACATTTTGTGAACACCTTGTGACAGTTTCCTCATCGGTATCGTCACCGCTGTACACTAAGATTTCACAAGAATTCACTGACCATCTCTTTCAGATGCAGAGCAATTCTACAGGAATATGAAAACAAGCACAACTCTCCTGTCTCCGTCGATGATGACACTGTTGCACTTATTAACGTCGAAAGTAAACTGCAGAATATATTTAACGAGCAGAAAAGCAAGTTTGCTAAGGTAGGCTGTCTACTACTGCCATCGCTTAGTCATATGAAATCACTGCAGTTTTGTTTGAACATTCGTGTGCAAATGGTTGAAGCAAATTTATTTCCAGCATCCAGAATATATCTTCATCTGTTTACTATGATCATTCTACGGATTCCCCCCAGTTTTTTGATGTTTTTATTGTAGTTTTTTGAGAGACGAAATCAGGAGAAAGTTGAGACAACGTTTTTAAATAATACAGCAACTGAAGCGTTTCAAAAGTTGAAGCAATTTGTCCACGGTATGCAACTGCAAGATGTTTACTATATTTTGAATAAGTTCACTTATTCTAACCACATCTGTGTATTCGTTGTTTGTTGTTCTAAGTTAGTATTGAATCATCTCGTTGACAGAGAATGGTAAGGAAGGAAGACTGGCCACTATGCATGTGATGGTAACTGGACTAGCATCACTCCATAAAAGATGTCTCGTCATGGAAAACACGGCAAGAGGTAGAACCAAATGATTTTGAAGCATATTAAAGTAATTAAACCACAGCCCTCAGATATCATTCCTACCCTACCTCACTCAGTTCCTCTGTCAATCATTCATTCACTCCACCATGCAGTGATAATAAGACTGTTCAGGAACTTGACTTAACTTTGTTATTGTTTATTTTAGTGGCGGGAAGTCGGTTATTGGAGCTGGTATCGCGCGACGGAGATTGGTTCTTAGAAGAGCTGTGCTCGATGACGGGAAATGTGATGCAGTTTGCAACATTTGCACGAACATACTGGATGGTAAGACAACATATTCGAATACATAGCAGTGCGTAGTAGTTCAATCTATGTGCATGGTCTGTGTGTTCAATTGATCGATGAAGCCAGATTTACCCGTGTGGAGTCACCATATCACTGGGCATGAAGCAATTCTTTTGAAAAGCCTTCATTCACATCCCACATTTTATCTCTTTTCAGGACGCTTTGGATCCGTCAAACCCGTGTGTTCAAGATGCTGTAAAGTCTGTCCAGGCCCTCGCATCTGTTTATCAAATGTACAAATCATTACAGGTAGGCTGCTTCAATCTTGCTCCTGTTTTGAGGGATGATCACTGGCAACAGATGATGTCCTTTTCAACAAGGTTTCTCTTCACCTTCGGATTTCTTATTTATTTTGATGTGAATCTTTTCTAGGACATGATGACAAACTTTCGTAATATCATTGTTCCCGAAACAATGAAATGTTTGGAAGTTGGCGATCCAACAGTCTTGGAAGTTTTAGGGAATTTCCAGGAAATAATATCATCTTGTGATTTAAGTATTGAAGATATGATCCAAACAGCACATTCCGTGGCTTCCAAGAAGGCCAATGTAAGAAGATCTTATGACACCGCTTTGTACATAAATTCTTAGGTCGATATAATTCTTGCTAAACCAAAATCTATCTTCTGTTTCAAGGACTCACTTGACATTCCAAAGATAACTGCAGCAGCCATTGACTTGGAGGAAAAGATCATGAAACTTTTAAGCACAGGAAAGCACGAACATCCTCATGAGAATGGTAGGCTATGGTCTATAAAATTCTTCATGTAAAACCTTGTGCAACGTTTCCACAAGCTTTCTCAATCACCTGACGATATTTCTTAGGTGAAAGTGAGCATAAGATCCAGATGAGTGCTGGTCAAATGCTACTGGCTGGTTTTAATGGATTATTTACGAAGCTCGAAAGCGAGGTTGACGCGCTGCTGGTCGCTGTTGAACATGTTGATCCTGAGTTTGATGATGGTATTGATGTCTATAAAGAAGTTTGTGAACTCCGGGTTAGTAGAGAGAGAGGGTTAATATGGCATATCAATTGTGATACTGTGTGGTATGTATTGTGTTGGTTGGTGGTACTGTGTTGGAGTGATATGGGGTGTGGTGAGATGTGGTATTGTGTGTAATTGGTTCATGTTTTCCTGGCTATCGTTATCCCAAATAATCCTATCGTTATCCCAAATAATCCTCTTCATTTCTATGACATTGACACGTTAGGTTGATAACAGCGAAGACAATGGTATTCTCAAGACGCTGTACCTTCTCAAAAGACTGAATGTCATGAAGATGTTTTTCACAGACTGTCTTCGTCACGTGAAGAATTTATGCGGTATTATTGGCTGTTATAACTCCGTTTATTGTTCCCAGACTATTCTATAAACTCTGCCTAACATCGGAGGAGTTAACTCTCGATTGCTGTCTCTCTCCTGTCGTGTTCAACGATTGACAAGGAAAGCTTGTATATATCTATATTTTGCCCTTGTTTCATTCTACAGACAGTTCTTCAGAAAGGCAGCCAGACCATATCCTAAGCGAGGATCAACTCTCCGTGTATGTTCGTCGTTACATTGCTGACTTCGTACAAGAACGTATGTTAGGTTTGCCCTCTTTCGTACTCACTAAAACTATCGTACAATGGCTGTCCCTGATCGGTCTTGATATCCCGAAAAACCTCAAAGAAAACGCGAACACATTGGAGAATCTGTGCAAGAAGGTCTGTAAATAATTACTTCTGCAAATTACTTCTGCATATCACTGTTAAATTATCAAATGAATTCGCTGGCTGTTTACGCTTTCATTGTTCATTGCTTGTGTTTCATTCCAGACTGTTGATCAAAACATTCGTCAAGAACTGTTTTCAGCAACAGTATTATCGCAGGCAAATGATTTGACGGGTTCATTCAATACAGCGTGGAGGAAACATGATTTTGCAAGGTTTGTGCTGTCTTGTTCCTGATCACGATTTTCATAAAGATTGCCTGACTCGTTCAGTCTTATTCCCCTAATTCTCTCGTAAGCTAACGTTTGACTTCGTTGTGCTAATCCTCTTCATGCAGACGTCTTGATCTCAACGTCACATTATACCGCTGTGTGGTTCAGAGGGCTCAGCTGTCCTTGGCGAGGTTTCAATGGTTTCACGAGGATATACTTCATGTAGCTCCTGTTCGTGGGAACACCATGATCACACCAACACGTGCTACTGTGATGAGCGACTTGAGAAAGGTATGAATACAAGACACACGTCTTTATAGACACGAGTCTTTGTGGCAGCCATAGGCCTCTGAGTTGAACCATAAACAACTGCTTGTTCTTTACTGGCTTGTTTGTCAAAATACGAGTTGTTTTCATATGATTCATTCTCGTATATTTACAAAGCGTGTTCAAAATCTGCTGTCGCTCGATGTTGCGATGTCGTCTGTACAAGAGAAGTTCACACAGCTGGAGTCGAGTATCGAACAGCGGCTGAAATGGGCCGCTGGAGCCAACCCATCGTTGAATCCAATTTTGAAGAACTTTGAGCATACGTTGAGGGACAGAAAGAGATTGATTGTGGTAGGTGTGGTCAGCCTCAGGTTATCTTCAATCATTGCTTTTCTTCAACAACATTTTCTCTCTAGGAACTTCCCTCATGTCATGTCATATCCTCGTCTATCCTCTATCTTTCCCGCTCACTCAAACTACCTGACAACCATCTTCCCTAATTATCCATTATTCTTCCATATATACCTCCCATTTTCCCTCCCTCCATTCTTTTCTAACTTATCCATCTGTTCTTTAGATTGAGAGCAAGTACTCAAGTGATATTTGTGGAATATCCAACGCTATTCTGCATTTTGAAGCGTTCCGTACCAGAACCCAGGAAGCTTTGGCAGCCGACCAAGCCTTGGCCGTTTTAGTTCATAGGTTTGTTGTAGTGTAGAGATGACAATGTGTGGTGCACTTTAGGCTGTCTTAACAGGATATGTCTAAACTGCCTGAACAGGTATCCCAAATTGGGTAATCCAATGAAAATACAGTATTCCCCTATTCTGCAATTGTAAATAAGCTGTCATGGTTTATATCTGGTTCTCCCCCCTCATTGAAGGGATATTTGTTGAGTGTTGAAGACCCTGTTGTATAAAGAAAGGGTCATGTTCAAAGAAATGGTGAAGTTCTGCCGTGAGTTGTGTTTCAACTACCATCTTCAATCAACAGGTGTGAAGAATGTTCGTCTAAAGTAGAGAAATCTCAGGATAGCTTGAAGGATGTTGAAGATCTTATGGCAAAGATTAACGTAAGCTTCTCTCTCATATCCTCGTAAAACTATCCTCGTTCCTCGGGACTGTGGATAAGATATAAGATGCGTTTGTTCTTCCTTGACAGGTGACGAGCCCACCCAGTGAACCAATCACGTTAGAATGGATGAAAACTCGACTGTCAAACATCAAAGAAGACCTGGTCACCAATCACACTCAGAAATCACAAGTGGATAAATATATTGCTGAGAGCAAAGTAAATAAGACTGAACACTGTTGTACTTGGACCACTGTTCACTAAGCTATATAATAGCGAGCTAAGAATTGAACCTATCCACTATACAACCTCTTGAGATGCACAAACACAGGTTTATGCTTTTTTTTAGGAGCATCTTCGTTCCCAGATCGCCGTAGTAAAAGCAGCGTGGACAGCTCATCAGGTTCTTATGGGTGAAGTCAAATCAATGCTGCAGTCATTAGCAAAGGTACATGAAAGTATTTCTTTTTTTATGCGTCAGCTTCGCAATGAAATTGTTGATGAATCTTGTCCAGATTTGAAATGATTTCTGTCGTTTGCAGGACGAGGAAGCCGTCGAGTCTGTAGGAGCACGTACCTTCATCACGAATCACAACAAACTGAACGAGGTTGCAACCAAGATGTTGAAAGATATTTTGAACAGTAAGTGCATGACTTGACACGTACGAGATTCATTGCATCATTTTGACAGTCTTCTAAGTTCTAACCTCCGAGTTTCTTTTCCAGTTTGCAGCTCAAACGGTGGTGGAAGATCAAGCAATGATCTTGATGAAACGAAGAACAATTACCAACAAACCGAAGTGCTAAACTCCATTAATTCCGTACATGCGATAGCGACATGGTGGGTATAAACCTTGAACACTTCCATTACCGTGGCGATCACATTCTTAATCGTGTCAATCTTCTGTTGCAGGATCTTTGAACAACTTCCTTCGCTCGCCTCGCCATTGGTGGTCGATGCTGGCGCTGAACTAGCCGAGAAACAGTCTGAAAGCACAACATTAACATTTGCTTCAGGTAAACGAACCCTTCATTGCTTCACTCTCTTTTGAGTGATGCAATAACGTAGGAGCTACCACTGTATCTCTGCCAGGAAATATGTGATTGTCATCTCAATCTCTTTTCATTGTCTAGCTCTGCGACAAGGTGGACAGCAAACCGTTGCTAAGGAAACAGTGGCGTCAATGCATCTCGATTCAGGCCCTCCTCTTACACCAGCTCTTAAAGAAGCTCTCAGTCCTCTCCAGGTCTCATCTCCAACAAGACAGACAACACCAGGTAATTATTGCACTATTACCAGGTAACGAGTATAATGCTTGATTGACCTGGAACAATCTGTTTATCCTAGCTGCGAACATTAACAATTATGTTTTGAATCTTCAGGTTCTATAGTGAAGAAATCTTCTACCATTCGTGATCCACGGACAGGAAAAGGTACATATCTATAAGTTAACCTTATTCATACTGGATACCTCTATCAGTTCTAAACTGTTCTTCCTAGAGGTCCAGTACAGGAGGGAACCTAAACTAAACTAACTTTATTTATACTAAATAGCTCTATCAGTTCTAAACTGTTCCTCCTAGAGGTCCAGTAAGGATCATCTCTTATTGATCCAATTTTACTGCAGGACCCAGCTTTATTTATATTTTTACCAAGTAAGGATCATCTTAGGGCCATGTTGTCCAATTATTATGTTTTAATTCACATAACATTGTTTCTAAGCTGTACAAGAACGCAATATGTATGCTATTGGTGTATGGAAAAGAGTGAAGGCAAAACTGGACGGGCGAGATATTGATCCAACAAAAAGAATGAGCGTCGAAGATCAGGTTAGTGAAAAAATAGAATATCATATCATTTTGATACATTGATATGTTCTGATTCGTTAATTGGTTAATTAATATGTTTTGTTTGGTTAATTGTTCTAATTAATGTTGAACAATTGGTTAATGTTCAAATTAATGGAATAGCATTTGTTCCCGTAGAAATATTCATAATTTGTAAATGCGTTTTTCATTGATCCTCCAAAGGTTGACCACATAATTGAGGATGCAACAAGTAAGGACAATCTTTGCCTGATGTACGAGGGTTGGACGCCTTGGGTGTAGGTTGTATATAAACCCCATGAGGCTTATGGGGTAGCCTGGAAGTATACTAGAATGCTCTCGCTGTTGTTACCTTGGTAACTATACGTGATACCCGCGCGGCTCCCGACAGCTGCACGATATAGAGAGAACTGGAATCTCGGATTTAAACTAGTGATGACATAGTTGTTGTTCATGGAATGGCCAGAGTAAACGACATGCAACGCTATAGTCGTAGTTTTGAATGGACGTTCAAGGTTTTAAAGTGATGTAGACGTCGTCAACATATCTCGCTGGCATGGTACAAGGTGAATAATTGATACGCCAAAATCTAAGGTAACTGTCTGGGCGTTAGAAATCTAAACTTTGTTGACGACTAAAAAAGAGAGAGAGCTTGCCTGTTTAAAAGCTATTTGCTGGCTTTTTTTAATATGGAATCATCAATATTGGTAAGCTCTCAGGCATAATTTATGGGTTTTTTTGTTTTTTTTTTCGAGATCAAGCGAGTCAACAGGGCATATAGAGAGGATAGGATTTAGAGGATAATTTGACTTTTAAATCACAGCGCTCTGACAATTTCGCGTTGTAGGGAAATTTTTGTCAGAATAATTCCAATGTATTTCATTGAAGTCTCTCTATATTGCTTTGTGATCCGTTTGAATCAAATTTGACTGTTATGATCCTTTGACAACGGGATAGCTCTAGGCTACGACGACCAATCAACGTCAGGTCATAACACTCGTTCCTATATACCAGCAAATCATTATTATATCAAGTGTTTTTAATTGTGGCTTACTTTATCCCGCACGATAGAGATATGATATCATACAACCATTTTCACTTCAATTCTTGACTTAAGCTTCATCTTAACGCCAAAGCAAATATATCAGGGTTGGAGAATAGCAATTGGTAGCTTTCGAAAGGATCATGTGAACTTGTGGAGTGCTAAATTGAAAACTTCTAGCCAAAACAAAGGAAGCATTTTACCAACGAACGCTATTCCTCCAACCTCTAATTGCGCACAGTATAACAAAATTTTTCTTCGTCTTTCGTTGGTTCTGTGTGAACCAGATTACTCATCGAAAGATATTTTAAAAGTGTTGGCTTTGTGAAATTTACTCAGCCAACAACTAAACATAGTTTCGTGAAATTTAGTTAATTCGTTTGTTCAGGGTAGAAGACGATTGATTTGTCTGTTTGTATTAACGTACTTCGTATTTCATTTGAAGTAGTTTTAATAATTGCTTTACCTAGCTCTGATGTGATGTACTGTAGACTTGTGTATATTAATTGTAATTTGTATTTTGAACACCAAATCAATACTCAGGTGGCACCTTAACCTAAGGCTGTTTTGCGTCGGTCGGATTCTTACTTAAGTTCCGTATGGGAAATCCACTTGCAAAGAATTCCAGCTGGTGCAAAACCACCCAGGTTGAAGTGCATTCTGAAATATAACCGACCAATTTACTTCATTCATGTGAACATAAAAATTAGGTAACATAAGATGACCGTATAAAACGTTTCTATGTTTTCATATATTGAATAAATGTAGATTTTTGTGTGCGATATTTTGTATCATTGTGCTTTAACCATATACTTCGTAGAACTAGGGTAAGGTAGTCTTGGCCACTCTCAAGATTATAGTAATTGAATGAATGCATAAAATATTGTGAAAGGTATATTTACGTCTGTTTGTCGACAGCTGAAACCTTTGACAATTATTTTTCATTTCAAAATGAACAGGATTGTTTGGAATGAAAAGTGAGTATCTATTACGCAGAATTCGTTGTAGTCTCAATGATTTTCATTTACATCTTAATACGGTACCAACAGCTCTGACAGGTTTCGCTGACAACGTAGTCCACGCTTTTTATAGATACGGTAGATGTCTAGTTTGGATCGATTCAAGAACATTTCATTCACACGGTGTGCCGTTTTCACCAAAGGAACAGTAAGCCACGATTTCTGTAAAATAAAAAGAAATAACGAAGGTTGAACTCTGGTGTGAGCGAGCTAGGTGAGTATGAGAGGTGTGTATTGACGATGGAGCTGAAATACTCACTTTGTATAATTTCTTTATAGCATTTAGCAGCAGGAGAATCCGGGACTACTGTTAAAAATGATTTACCCTCGTCGCAACATCGTCCTAAATTGTTTAGTTTAGTCATTTCAGATTGTGGAAGATATCTTTTGGGAGATGTGATGTTGTCACCATGAAACATCGTCATAATGAATATGGTATGAGGAGAGTGGTATGGTAGTTTTATATTGTTGTTTGGAAGGCTTACCTATCCTGGGATCTAATGGTAGTTTGCCCAAGAATGGTATCTTCATATCACTAGCTAGCTGTTCCGCACCACCTGTTGTCGCTGGAAATATCTGTGATGTGTTCTGCAGAATACCATAAGATGAATTTGTTAACTCAAATTGACCTGACCTGCCTATATATCTTTATGTTTGTGGTATGTACCTTGCATTTCGGACAGACAAAGCCACTCATGTTTTCAACCACCCCAATAATAGGAACTTTAACTTTTTTACAGAAATTTATTTCCTTTCGAACATCCAGTAATGAGACTTCCTGAAAGGTATTGTTCTTATATTTACTATTGTCAGATTGCCGCATAATCACCAGTGTATTAAGTACCACTGCCACCATGACCTTCCTCACTGTCATGCTCCACTGTGCGGTTGACCATCCACTGTCATGGATACCACCACCACTATGCCTATCACCGTTGACCATCACTAGTATTGCCTACTTTATAGTCTACCATCCAACGTCATACCAATACCCCTATCACAATGACCATCACCACCCTTGTCTACTGTGTATTTAACCATCCACTGTCATGAATACCATTATGACCATGACCATCTTCATTACCAATCCCTCCTATCTAATCTATTATCATAACCACAATCAGCCTCACACATACCTGTGGGGTTGTAATAACAACAGCTCCAGTGATACCAACTGTCTTCAAATATTGTACGATAGATAAATGTTCATCCGAGGTTCCAGGTGGTGTATCCACAAGAAGGTAATCAATCTCACCCCAATCGACATCACGTAGGAACTGCTTGATCAAACCTAGATATTTATAACCACATTATTTAGTTGTGAAAGACTTTTATCTTAAAAGCCTGCAAATTATACATCACCATTTTTCTTTGGTCCTCTCCAAATGACCGCATCATCTGGACTGCCCAAGAGAAACCCGACAGACATCACAGCAAGATTATCTTCTACAAACTTAAAAGTATTGTCTAACATTTAGAACATGCTGAATAAAGCCATGACCTGGTGATCTCAACTAGTTCACACAGAATTATCTACGCACCACTGGTGACCACCCAGAACCACTCTGATGGACCTGGTTAAAGAAGAATGGTAGTACTTTATATGTAAACACTGGAAATCTTATGGTAATCATGGACCAGGATTCTGGCTGACCTGTTCACCATCAAGACCCATGATCTTTGGAATTGATGGTCCGCAAATATCAATATCTAATATGCCAATCTAAAGAAGATTTGAAATGGTAAACCTTTGGCCAGGTGAGGTTCATGGAAGAAAATACATGTTTGAGTGAAAATCATGTACTTGTCTGTCTTCATCTTCAGCCAGGCCATGTGCCAAGTGGGCACTTAGAGTAGATTTCCCAACACCACCTTTACCAGAGAGAATAAGTATCTTGTGTTTTACACATGCAAGACGTTTCTTGATTTCTGGAAGAGCTAGGAATGAAATGAAAGACCTGGATATATCATTGTACAGAGCTATGAAGCATATGCTACCTAAGCAAGTCTGTTAAAGAGAGAAGCTTACTAAATATTGTGCAAAAGGTGTGTGAAACCATTTACAAAACCGTTTAACAAAGCTATTCCGAATAAAGTCTGTCAAAAACCGTTTAACAAAGTTATTCCGAATAAAGTCTGTACAATTTCACATTGTACACAATTGCACATATTACACATTGCATAATTTGCCATTTTTTGATATGAACAATTTCGTTTTCCTAGACCGTCAGTCACACTGTGGTACTTAATGGTACACATCACTTAATGGTATCACAGGATATGCCGGTAAAGATGGTACGTGATACCTGGATCAGGACCATTGGCTTTCCCAGACGCACAAAGGTTCTGATTTGGACAACCAGCACAAGCACTGCTCTTCCCTGCTTGATCGCTCTGCACCCCTGGACAATCTATCACAAATCAAAAGCACAAACATGTGTAACATATATCAAGGTAACACGCAACTAAATTTACAATAAAATTGGCCATAAAAGAACTCACTTTCAGGGACATTTTCATCTAAATTATTTTCCGCCATATTGTCGAAGTTGTCCTCCCCAGGTCGTTTGCGCATTACGCGCCAAATTGCGCGTTTTCAAGCAATCGAATTGTTCATTTTGAATATTGGACTGCAAAAATCAAAATACAAAAAATCTGTTCAGTTTTACATCTTTTTAGCGGAACAACTGTTGTCTATGATAGTATAATTGTTATAATCTTGCTTGCGACTAAGATAGGGTTATCTAAAACTCAGCTATTTTCCCATTCTGCCCAATTAGTTCGCCTTGCCACACAGGTTTTTTATCTTTTACAATCGAAACAAAAATGATTAAATGAAATATTTAAAGCTAAACACAGCATCAAACGTCGTCGTTTTGCGATTTTAATGAGCTTAATTAGTATGCGGGCACGTCATCTTGAGTAAATAAAGGAGGAATATGTTTTATACCCTCGAAATGAAAGGGGTCGTATAGTCTTTTAACTTCCTAAATTTTTTGTTGCAGAATGTCTGTTAGGTCAAGCAATGGCTCAGTCCGAAGACAAGCAACAGAGCAATTTGATTTGGCTTGCAAGGTATTATCTGAAGTTTGATCTTTTTGTTTCCAAATCGATATCTTGCTGTTCTGCTGAACATTTCAACTTGACACATTTTTAAGAGCTTGACAAATGTGTCTTGCAATAAAATTGTACACGTTTAATGCTTTTAACAAGTGTACTTTCTGCTAACGTGGAAAGTTTTATCTGAAACGTGCAAAAATCATTCGCAAAGTAACATGTAATTACGTTAGACAGGTCAAATGTGTTGTTTAAACATAAATTTGTGGATTATCACAATAAAACATCCGGATATATACATACGACTTACTATATAACCTATTTCGCTTTCATATTTCGGCGTTTGGGCTAAAATAATTCTTATTTTCAGCAGATTTTTCGTTTGTTTAAAACGCTATTAACAACAAACAAACAGCTTTCTAAAAAAGCGTAAAATTTCACCTTTGTTTCATACAATAATAGAATAATACATCGTTAAAATGACAGACGGTTTTCTGAGACATTATTTTATGCATTAACATTTAGTACATACATGTCTTATAAATCGAATTTCATTTTTGTCCTGATTTTTGAACATGCTTAAAGTTTTAATGTTTTGTGAAGTAAATTATCCTTTGTAGTAAACATATGACAATTTTCTATTTTTGGTATTGAGTGAACAGCTGGTCATACAACTGTATATGAAAAATCATCTGCATGTGAAAATGGTTTATAATTTTAAGAAACATTATCTTAATGTACTTTTTACAGTTAAACAACAATATTCCTTGACTTATTATTTAGGTGATGCTTCTTGGTGATTCAGGTGTTGGCAAGACCTGTTTGTTGGTTAGATTCAAAGATGGAGCATTTCTTTCTGGGGCCTTTATTTCCACTGTTGGAATTGACTACAGGGTAACTATTGATCTAACCATTGCAAGTCTCATTCATCGGACATTGGCTGGTACTTGGTCAGTTAGTCCATAGCTGTTTGGTCAATCAATTGGCTATAGTTGGTCAGTTGACCAAATGGCTGGTTAATTGGTCTACCAGTTGGTGCATAACCTCAGCCATTAGTCTCTTACACAAAGTTTTCTTTTCTTTTAGAATAAGGTAGTTGAAGTTGATCAAACTAAAGTAAAATTGCAGGTAGATTTGAATTGTTTCTATGACAGTATCATAGTCATTCTAGGAGGATTCATTGTCAATACGCAATATATTCCTCTATGGCATTGCAGATATGGGATACTGCTGGACAGGAGAGATTTAGAAGTGTTACACATGCATACTACAGAGATTCACATGGTAAGTACCATGTAGATAATTCTGTTGGTTAGTTTTAAAAAATGATTGAGGAAAAATTGTTGCTTATCTCTCATTAGCTTTATTATTACTCTACGACATCACAAGCAAGCAATCCTTCGATAATATTAGGGTGAGTAAATATCTTTTGAGATTTAGCATAAGGGAGAAAAAAGGAAGGGGGAAGGAGCAAATCATGCAATAGTAATGAGTTAATATGATTGATTCCATCCCAGGCATGGCTTTCTGAAATCAAGGACTATGCTCCTGAGAATGTTGTCGTCATGCTTCTAGGAAATAAGGTAAGAATATGATGATGTACTGGATGAATAAGAGGGTTGGTGAATCTTTAGTCTTTGCTGGCCATATTTATCTGCTTTACGATGTTTTACTCTGTAAATTCAGGCAGATAAGTCCAACGAAAGAGTTGTAAAAAAGGAAGATGGTGAACGTGTAGCACAGGTTAGTCAACTGTACAACAAGATGAACTGAAGTGTTTACTGTCAACCCTGTGATCGAATAAGAACATCGGTATGTGAGTGGGGTTTGCCTGTCTGACCTTTTCATTTTTCCTAGGAACACAATGTTACCTTCATGGAAACAAGCGCTAAAACTGGAATGAATGTTGATCTTGCATTTATGGCTATTGCAAGGTATACATCGCTTTTGCTCAGGATAGTCCTTATCTACTTTTTCTCAATCTTAATTTTACTTCTTGTTTTATTTTGCTTCATTTCAGAGAGCTAACGTCTCAACATAATCAAGCGAAGGATATGTCAAAGTTTGATATGAAGAAATATGTAAATGATAAAAAGGAGGGACAAGGGTGTTGTTGAGACAACATTCAGAGTTGATGATATAGACTCATTATTTATGGCCCACTGAACAAGATGTTCTGGGTTCCCTCTTGTTAACAAACTAGTTAGAATAAACGCAAGCTATATCAAGCGACCAGCAATATCAGTCCAACTGACAGACGTCTTTCACAAACATACATTTTACTGACAGAGTGAGATAGGTAGGTGTAACTATCATTCTGGACATGTCATTTCCAAAATTGGGCACTAATTAATTGAATTCACAGCTGTGAAGCTAGGCCAGACTTTAGAGATTATTACTAAAGCAAGGCTTTAGGGTGGCATTAATGAATCAAGTTATCACTTGCTAGTTTACTAGCCTATGGCAAAATGTGGACTTGTGTCCAAATTTTCAAAACGTGTACATTGTCATTAACATATATTTACCAAACTTCGCAATTATTCTAAATTTTCTTGAATTTATTGATATTTAAAATGAAATGTAATTTAATAGGTATTCCTTAGAATTTGCTAAATAAAAATATTGTAGTCAGGTATTTGAGTAGTTCGTAATTTAGTGAATTTATTTTAATTTTCACCCTCTCAGGCTCTCTCAGATTGTGGAGTGCTGGGTGGGCCCACAAAACCCTGGGGTTGGCAACGCCCAGCCCCGGTACAGCCGATAAAGCATCGCGATAACCATGTCTCGAAACTCTTCATTTCATATAACTTGAAGTATCCTCTTCCTTGACAAAATTTCCAATATGGCTGACTTTGGTGAAGGTTTTGAATTGTGTAAAATACCGAAGGAAGCTGAACTTATTGGCGTTGAAAGACATTCTGAAGACAACCTTGTTATTCTGACGTTTAAGAGTAAAGTTGTTGTGTACAATGTGAGTTATAGTTTCTTTTTTAGTGCTATTAAATTATGATCATTTAATACCTTGTCTTAATCCTTGCTTCATCGCCTTCATGTCCTATGCAGATCGCTGATCGGAAAATTGTGCAAAGTTGGTCAGTTGAAGCAAAGGAAAGATTCACCTGCCCTGTAGTGCACCATGATGAGTCGTTCAATGGAGTTAGAGATGATGAAGTATGTACTGTAAAGACAGTATAGTTGAATTTGTCACTGAACCTGAAATCCTGGTGTTTCCCATTTAGAGAGCCTGCCTGTTAATGGGCCATTAAGCAATATATTTTCATAGGCGTACGAGGCGGGGGGGCTGGGGGGGCGGCAGCCCCCCCAGTTTAGTCAGAAATATAAATTAGTCGGGCAATTTGTATTTACGAGTCGGGCAATTTATACTTTAGTGAATTTGGTGTCTACACTACATAAAATGTTTTAAGAATCCTCAAATATGATAGAATATGGTCGAATGTATATGCAGATTGCGTAAATCCGAATTAAAGGAAACAAAAATAATTGAAATAAACATGCTTTATTCTGCAAAATCTCACGCGGAAAATGCAGGAAATCACATTTGCGGGTCGTTAATTTTCAAAAATGTTCGGGCGGGCATGCCCCCGGACCCCCCTAGTATGGCACACGCTTTCAGCTTTCGCGTCTCGGCTCTCCAAAACACTGAGGAGGAGCAGACCCCTGGACCATCCTTGTTTTTCTCGGTCTTTGGCGCTCGTCGGGCAGAATATCCCCCGCCCCCCCAAAATTTCTAGGCCCGTACGCCTATGTATATTTTAATAATAAACTATTTAACTAAAGCAATGTTTATTGGTGTTATTTTACATGATGGTGTTGTATTACTATAGTGGTTACTGGTATGGGATAACACCACAGCTGAACTGTGGCAAAGCAGTCATGTTATGCTTCGAAAACCACCAAAAAGAATACAAGTTTGCTCGTCAAGATTACCTGTGCTAATATATCATGACAACGAAGCTCTTCCTGTCCAAAAAGCTGGAAAAGAAACGAAAGGGAAAAAGACGAAGGAAAGGTTTGTTGAGGATTATGTGACAGGTGCAATACTATGGTTCATGTGTTTGAGAATAAGTTTTAACCACCTGTAAACCATGGTTTGTTCAATCGGACAATTATCAAATTTAATTGTTATCACATCAGTCTTATAGGTTAATAAATTCTCTGCAAATTGCCTTTACCTGCTAAACTATTAATTGCATGTCTACTTGATGAGTACAGCATTTGTATTTTTCTCCAGGCTGCTTTGGTGCGGAAGTCATGGGTTAAAAGACAATGTTTGCTTTTCAAAAGTAACAGCTTCACAGGTAATGTCAATTATTGCTGTGGTGTTTCATTTCCATTTGAACATAAATAGTTAAATACATCTTCCTAATTTGTACATCTATAGGATTGCACAAAAGTGTCATTAGTAATGGACTTGTTCAGCAAGTCAAAACAGCAAGTGTATAATGTTAAAGTCCCAGAGGTTAGTGAGGTAAATTTTGATTGATGCAATTTGATTTAAAGCAAGGTGAAACAGATCTTTAATGGATTTGAGGTGTTAATTGAAATTCTAGGAATCTAAAATATGTTCTTGGTCTTTGGTGGATGAGGATGGTGCATCACCTTTTTTCGTTTCTCTTTGTAAGTTATAAGTTGTAAATTCTTCCCCAACTGCAACAAAGCTAGTCGTGAATGTCTCTTGTTATACCTTCTTTACTCTTCTTGCATTGTAAATGCATTGATTGCTTTCAAAAGTAGTCAAACTCTTTTTTCTTCTTGAAGGGTCAAATGGTGGTCTTTACAAAACAGAAATTCCATCAATAGACCAACCGGAATCTGAATTATGTTGTGAACATTTGTTTAATGTTTGTGAAGGTCCTATAGCAAGCTCTGAGGTAATCTTAATTCCATGCACTCAATTACAACTTTATGTTCAGTAGAAGTTTTCTTCACAAATAAAACCATTTCTTTTTTAGGTTTTAAAGGTCCACCTTAGTTATGTTGCCTTATCTTTTATATGTGTTGCCACAGCAGGTGTGAATGATTGATAAAGATATTCAACCTAAAATCTACCAGCTGGAATCATCAGTTCCATGTAGTAACCTCATAATGAAAGGCCTCAAAAAAGGCATCAATGTGACCTCATGAAATCTCTCTTTTACTCAATTTAGACACCCTCAGCTTGTGGGATACAAAATTCAGAACATGCCATTCTCAGAAAGCTCTCGATAGTTTCATGAAATCCTCAGCATCATCTGGTGTTTGTTACTTGCAAACAACTCCAAGTTACATCATTCTAGCAAATTACTCGTGTGTGTTTGCATGCAGTTATACTGTGGAAAAATCAACTCTAAAAAGCTCACTGGGAGTTTTACAACAAGGAAATAAGTAAGTGCAAACATGGACATTCTGAACCATTACAATGGCCTATTTGATGAATACCGTGATAGAGAACTCATTGATAAATTTTGATATTAAAGTTGTAATTGTTTAATAAATTTTGTATTATGAATTGTATGTTTTAATGTCTCTACAGAAAGTGTCTTGTTAGTTTAGGAAAGTTCAGCTCTAGATTAGGTTAGAAGCAGGTTGATAATGGATATTCTGCTTTGCAATGGTTATCTAATGGAACCAATGTGACACTATGTTGGAACTCTTCAACTGGATTGGATGTTGTCAGTGGTGTGCTTCAATAATACAACCTTGTTCTGTTTTCACTTTAAGGAGAATGATGAATATTAAACCTCAGTTTCTCACCATGCCTAAACTAATTGAACCAAATCAGGTATGACAAATGCCCAATAGCCAATACTGACCAATGCAGTTGCAGAATAAATGTAATGAAACTCACAAACAAGCGATTATGTGCACAATCAAAATATCTTTATTTCATTTCTCTTAAATGTGAAACTGAAATCATTTGATTTGATCTGATAGCGAGATATGATATTTCTGCAATATTACATAACTAAATATGGGGAGACCAGAAAGTAATATTCTAAGAAAATTTTCTTCCAAAGCAGTGAATTTTAATCATTTGTTGCAGTCAATTGGAGGATGGATGAATGATGTGGAAAAAGATGATGAAATAGAAAATGAGATCCTTTGTCATTTACTGGATTCAAAAAAGGTTTATTCGTGATTAGTTGGACGGAAGTCACTCCATGATTTTTACTAGATCGTCCTCATAGGACCAAGGCAAACTTCATAATTAGTTGTGTTATCAACAGTTGTGTTTCATTTTAGACAAAAACTGCCAAGAAACTTGCATCAGAACTACGGAAGCATTTAGAAAAACAGACCGCTAAAGAATCGGATGATGGTTAGTAGCATACGTTTTACTCAACTTTATTTCAGGATTTTTGAATTCAAAAGTGATGTAGTATTTCTTTTTCTTTAGAAAAGCCAACAGTCTCCGAGTATTTCGTCACAGCTGTCTTTGAAAGGTGTATGAAAGAGAAAGATTTATGGTCAACTGAAACTGGCAGACTATTACTAAAGACACATGTCTTACCTCAAAGGTAAGACTTTCCTTGTTTAAGTTTATTAGCCACCTTTCATGGCTTTTAAAATTTTAAAACAAATCTGTTACATTTTCAAGGTGCATCTCCACATTTTTTTCCCTGGTTTTGGAGAATAATGACATAGTATGTACAATGTATTTTCAAATGAAAAGAATTTCATGAAAAAACCTTTCATTCTGTTTGTTATGTTATATTTAAAATCCTCTACAAAATGCCATATTTTTCTTGTAGCATCTTCTCCAAGATTGTTTTCAACATCTTAATGGTATTCCTGAATTGACATTAGTTGAGTGTTTAAAATTTCTCTTAAGGTGAGCAATATATTCTTCATCATGCACCTAATATAATAAACTCACAATTTATAAGGAATTTGTCATTTCTGAACCTTATATTTTCCAGGTGTAAGGAAGATATTCTTCCAGCATACGAAGATGACGGAAATTGGACACAAATCAACTCACCATGTAGTTTATCACGAGCAAAATATATGTATCCTTTAAATATTATTTTTCAAGGGTTTCTTTGATGTTGTATATTTTGTCGCTGATGATACAATAATCTGCCTTAACTTAGAATCAGATCCCTTGTGCTTGCTCATCCCATCAATGATGCATTTCTACAGAATAGTCTTAGGAAATTACAATTTGAAGAAACGTTGGTAGGTTCTCATTGTCCATTCATTGCTTTCTCAAAGTTCTTATTAACAGCTAGGAGGAATGAAAACTTAGCAATTCATTTTTCTTTAGCTTTTTATGAAATTTTTACTTCATCTTATGAAATGCTGGTCTACCACTGTGCAAAATTTACTACATTTGGAAAGCTGCAACCATAAACTGTCTTATGCTCAGGTAAATATGCTTTAGTTATAATCCTGGGAATCCCCTAATCCATAATCTTTAAAACTAAGTAATCTTAGCCAATATCTTGATGCGTTTAGGTTCTAGACTGGGCTGCTCTGACACTCAACGCACATTTCACAGAGTTAATACTAATTCCTGAAGCACAGACATTATTAGTCAATCTTCATAAAGTGGTTGCAGAACAGGTAAGTGTGAAAATATTCAAGATTTCTCACCCTAAATATCTGGTTGTATCACTACCATTAACTGGTGTAAGTGTCTGGTGTTAGAAGGAGTGAATGCTAAACTAAGGCAGGTTGTACTGTACATTGTCTTGACAACCACAACTCTACTCTTACAGATCACCACATACAACCTGTTGGGTGAACTAGATGGTTATTTAAACCACTTCAAAGAACATGAACCATTACCGAAAAGCGATCGTATGTCTGCATATACCATTGAGACCATGGATTTGTAAATAACTGCTCTTTCTGAATTGTACATTTTCAAATAATTGAAATAGTAATAAAATATAAGAAATATTATAATGTAGTTTATTATTGGTTTGTCAATGTTTCAGTTAATTTATTGCGATCAGTGGCCCGTGCCATCGCAAAATACGCCGCCAAATAATTCGTTGAACGGGTATAATTTGTCGATGGTATATTTGATATATCAATCTCAAACTTCTGGACACAGTTTTATAGATTTTTTTATTTTATGGACTGATTTACTGCCGGAAAAGTCTCTCAGATATACTTTTTTAGCTATATTAGAGATTAACACTGTCTTTTTTCCACGTAAGTATGATTGAAGATATTATTTGTGGTTGCAAAGTGAATTAATTTTTAGCAGTATTTATACAATATAAACCCAAACAAATGCACGTTGAAAAGTATTTAAAGTCGAAAAGAAGATTTGCATTACAGCAAAAGTGTATAGAAGGGCTGGAAGCAGTGCAGGAACTAAAATGGATTAAATTTGACCATAGAAATGATTTCCCTACCATATTTCAATAGGACCATGGCATGTGAAATGGTGGTCCCAGTTTATGCATGAATTTTAGTACCAGACTTTAACCTTGCACAATGAGAAAAATATTAATTGTATGCATGGTGTGGGCTTTTTGTAGGGTGCCATACTTCAGGCTTTGTAGGATTCTGTACATTTTGAGTTGTGTGGCTAATTCCTGTATCATGACAGTGGGACAATGGTCATCTCTGACATTGGTGCAAGAAGATGGCCATTATTGTTTTAATCTAACTTGGTTTCATCTGTGCACATTGCCAGAAATATAAAAGCCTAATTTTCCAATTTAATGCTTGGATTGTTTTGCAAATACCTCTGACAAGGCAACTTAACATTTCAGATTTATAATATGGAAAACTTCAAGCGTTACTACTCTGAGAGAGGTCCTTCATTTGAAGAAATTGACTGTATGGATCCGGTCGCATTTTATGAAGCCAAAGGCCAGTGGGCTCGAGACAAAGCTGTCCATATTGAGAAAGTTAAAATATATCATGAAAGATTACGAGATTGCTATCAGAGAGAGGAAGTGAATTTTCGTGACAATTGTAAAAAAGAAATTGAAGACTATTGGCGATCTTTTCAACTTTATAAAAGAGATGGTAAGAGCTTCCAACTTTAACATGTTTGCGTTAGAATGGGTTCTGTATCCAACCCAAATATCTATTCTAAAGACAGTAGAGTCAAAATAAATAACTCGCAACAAAATATTTATATACTTCTGATTCAAGCAATATTTTGACTTAAATAAGGCATAATAGACTACAAGTTCACAGTTCAAGATTACAGTTTTAAAAAGGTCAACAGTTATTAAATTATCTGTGTATTGTAACAATGAATTTATTGTGTAAAATGGATTCCTGATCCTTCTTTTCGCAGCGTGGGGTTACACTGACGGTGGTAATGTGAATGGTTTCAAGCCAAGACATGAAAAATTTATTGAAAAAGCTGTCAGAGAAATGAAACAATAGCAATATACTTTATGAGGTATTATCTATGACATTGTTTAGTGTGAAAACTGCTCATATTTATCATTTTTGCTTTCAAAATACTGTTCAATATTAAAGTATTTTATAAACACACTACAAGTGTTTATGCACTTGCTTTCAAAACCTAAAAGTCATATGGTCAGATTATTGTGATTGGGGATTCTCAAAATTCTGGGCAGAATCAGGCAAAGTGAACAGGAGTCATTTACTTTCTTGGTGTAGAGCCAGAGGCCAGCTCTTTATGAATGTGATTTCTATAGAATGACGTCGTATATAGTAAAATTACGTCACCCTAACCCACCCAAATATTACCGTGTCGAGACTCGAGGGCCGAGAGGCAGTCTGGTGCAAAACGCATGCAGTATTTGCTATGTTTTAAAAATGAAAACTTCGCAATCTTCATCGAAAATTGCTTCCGTTGTGGATGTGAAATATAGAATAACCTTGAATTGGCGGAAATCATAGCGCAGCTGTAAATTGCTAAATATATTTTTGACGTACGCTGACACGTACCGGGAAGTTGATTCACGGTTGATAATTTAAATGAACGTTTTATTTAAATGAACGTTTTTGAAATTTGAAGACCTATATACAATAAAATCCTCACAAAATTATGCAATAAAACCAGTCGTTTTGCGGTTATTTTGATTAAGTATTAATGGTTTAGCTTACGTAACAGCGGTCAAGTTGAACCTCGTCTTAACTCTTAACATTGTCTTGCCTATGAATGCATGGCTTCCTCGCTACAGGGGTCTGTGACCCACGATTTTGCGTTCAATTTGAATACTTTACAAATGTAAATGACCAATCGTATGCGGCTGTCAAAACAGTTAAAGTCGCCCACGTAAAACAGCAAGCGTAATCGCGTAGTCGGCAAAACCGTTTGTAGTACAAGCAACAGGATCTTGCGATATCTTGACAGCATCAAACGATGTTGTATCGGAGCTGGTAAGGGTGTCATATGTCGACCTCGTTTCTAAGGTTACTTTGGCGTGATTTGAGTGGAATATAAAAGCTCAGAACGTGTTTGCCGTACGAGTTAATTGTTGTGCGTATCAACCTTCTGTGGAATAAAAAAATTGCGATGGGAAATCTTTTGATGGTTTCCTTAGACCGACTTGCCTCGGCTGTGTCGTCTCCGTGTCATATCGTTATGCTTGGCTTAGATAACTCGGGTAAAACCAGCCTTATGTACAAGGCAAAGCTGAAGGAAAACGTGAAAGTTCATCCTACGACAGCGTTCAACGTGGAGTGTGTGAACGCGACTAAGAAACTAAAGTTTAAAATTTGGGACATCGGTGGTCGCGAGGCTAACAGGCCATTATGGAGAGCGTATGTACGTAAAACCGAGGGTATGGTTTTCGTTGTCGATAGTACGGACTCTAGTCGCTTCGACGAAGCTCGTCATGAGTTGTTTAATTTGTTAAACTCGGAGTCGGCACAACTCAACGATGTTCCCATATTAGTTCTTGCGAACAAACAGGATTGTGTTGGCGCAGTGTCGCCCGACATGTTGGCGAGAGAGTTGAACTTGGCGGAGCTAAACGACCGCCATTTATGGACCGTTGAACCCACTTCGGCGTGCATCGGCGAAGGCTTTGCCGATGGTTTGAAAACTCTAGGGAAAATGATCGCACGTTGTAGGGGAGATTATTTAAGAGAGCCGAGTGAAGAGAAGACCCCAAAACTAACGAGGCGAAACCGCAAAAAACGAAGGCGAAATCGCAGAGGTTCCGCGGGTAGTTACGAAGGAGTTTTAATATAAAATATATGAAAATATCCCTTGTGTGATCACGTTAAATTCATCGAAGAATACAGTATGAAGTAAAGAGAAGTTTCGATGTGCGATCGTTGTTATAGTTTTCTTATATCACGTTACATCATCTTCGGCACGAAAATATTCAACGCTTAGTAAACATGGATGTAATCCTAATACTCACGGAATTGTTTTGCTTGTAAATATTACATTAAATAAAAGAACACACATCCTGTCGAAAGAAGATGCCTTCGGGCTGAAGGATTTCTTCGAAATGAAGAAGATATATTTATTTGCGGTTAATTTTCCAAGGAGGATGGCAATGCAATATAATTCAGTGGACATTGTAATTGATATATGCACGGCTCTTAAGCCTTCAAAGATGTGTCCAAGTTCAAGAGCTTTTAGCAGGAGAATGCCATACGCGTGATGTATTTTTGACAGTAGAATAAACGCAGGTTCTTAATGGAAATGAGTGTTTTCGGCACAAGTTTATCTCGTGATTCTGTGACAGGATGGAATTTAGATTGCAATTTAATCATATTTGAATACGCCTGCAGACATATCTTACAATGTCATGACGATATACCTGTTCTGATAAAGAAATATATTATTGACATTGTGCAATTTGAAAGAAGAATATTTAGTTGATGGAAAGGAATACGAGATTGATTTTGAAGGTGAAGATTTCCTAAACTGGAACCATTCAAACGCCGGTTCTGATAGATTTATTCGCGTGCTTCGTACAAGAAATTCTTTGCTCAATAGAGGATTATCAGACATTGTGAAACCAGCCTGAATTGGAATGCAATAAATCGAATTGTGTCTATGCTATAATTAGGTCGAAATATTCCATTATTTTAAACTTCTCAATTGTAAAAGGATAATTATATATAAGCTGAATTATTCGATGAATAGTGATACAAAGTTTTATTTTAAAAAGCCTCTTTCAAACGTTGTCGTACTCGAAGCAATGGGATAATCAGATGAAATAACACCTCATCTTCTCGTGATTACAAAAATCCCCCTACCTACTTCCTGAGCAAGGGCATTTTGGTAAAGAACTCTCTTTGTATATTCTACAAGTTGACCATCCAATTACACCACGTTATTTTAAAGAAATTCACTGTACTGATAACCCACCCTTTTCCTAAAGTTGTTTGTGTTCATTGCATTGTGTGTAGGAAGGAAAATAACGTTTGAATCAGGCTAGCCTGTGATAAAAAAGAAATATAGACGTTTTTGATACAGTGACATATATATCCATAGACTATACATACGTATGTATATTTTCAAAAGTATTTATATATAACTAAAGAGTGGAATTTATTAAATGATTTGAATGCTTAAGCTGGTTTAGACTTGTTTAAACATCATCTAAAGACTTAAAGTGAATTTGTTGCTATAGTCGTGTTATGGTTAGTGAAATAATGTATTTAGAAGTGATCATATGTGACCCATAATAGAAGTGACCTCTTGTCTTGCCTGGCTTGAAAGAAGACGACAGACAAACATTTTTGATCATTTAACGTGGCTGAGTATCAAAACCTAATGTTTCTCGCTGCACAACTTTCAATGTGTGGTTATTCGTTTTAAGAAGTAGCATTGATTTGGTTTCTACTTTCTAGGCCAGGAATTCTTTGTTTAGAAATAAAAAAGTCCTCTGATTAAACATAAAAGATTTTAAAGTATTAAGGCGGGGAAGTCTGAAGCGGCTTTGTGTATGTGTAAAAAAAACATCGACTAAATATCCAAAGTACTTACAGCTTAACTAAAATGAAAGACAAAATGCAAGATGTTGCATGCATGCCATATATGACCTTGTTTCTTTTACCCATTTTTGTTTTGAACTCGATATTTTTTCCTCGTGTTTCGCTGGTCGAGTTGACAACGACGGTCACATGAGATTAGGTAACTATTCTTAAGACAAAACCCTTTTCATATCGAACAGGATATAGTATAAGGAACAGGCTTGATCCTATATTTGTTCCCAGACATGTAATAATTTATCATCCCTAATTCTGAGATTGACACTGAGAAATTGTCTGAATGAGAATTCTCTGCACGGAGCCGAGCATTCCAATACCACTGTAAAGATTATGAAATGATTCTATACAACAATTTATAGCCCATAAGGCATAAGTATTCGTACAGAATGTGTGTATACCAGTTTAGTATAATTGTATAAACGGATGTGGTTTTTAGGGTCAAGTATTTTTGGGAGATGACTCAATCGACGTTGTCATTTGCCTCGCTAATGACTTAATATATGTTCTGCAGTGATTCAGGTTTCAGATTAAGTCTGCTGTATGTTTATAAATATATCGCCATGACTTTTAATACCTTGTTTATTATACAACGTCTGTTTCTTAGGATGAATAAGAACATTTAAATAATTCCTCTTTTAACCAAGGTCTGTTGTAGCCTACACAACACTACACTACTTGCTCCGGTCGCTGTCGGAGAGGGCAGACTGTAGGTATTAGAAGGCTAAGTCAAACACCCTAATAGATATTCCAAATCTGCCTGGATACTAGCCATTTGCGACTAAATATTGTCTCTAGAAGATGTCGTGATCAGTGAATCCAATAGTACAATCTAGGCGGAAAAACTACATAGATACAAAATTTTTGAATGATTTCATCTTTACGTGCGTACACGTATGTAGCCTTTGATGAGAGACGTGGTTCCTGATGGGAAGACAAGATAAAGGATTTACGAAATCAACTTGAAATAAAAATAGTGCATGTGTTCAGTGAAGCACACGCAGAGCCAAAAAGAATCATCTAGGACATGCAAAACAAATTCATTCACCTTATTCATCCGTTCTTCCCTTGTTGGGTAAAAGATAAGTTACAAACAACAAAGTATTTTTTAATTGGAAGATGGCTTGCTGGGATGTCTTGCTGTGAACACTAGCTGTGTTGTGATTTATTGGGTATTCTAATCATAACTATGTTCTAATTTAATGGTAGACTCTGCGCTCTCAAGCGAAGCCTCGCCCTGAAGAAGTGAGGCTGCCACAGGAAAACAAGCCTACTTTAAATTTATCTTACGGTTGAGGAAAATCTAAGTATATGACTATATACACAAGGGCCAGTATCAAGTCTAGACAACTATTGGGATGTCGAAAGTGGTCTAAGGAGGTCTGAGGATGTCTGGAGAGATATAAGGATGCACAAGGAGGTTTGAGGATGTCTGGAGAGAATAAGGATGCACAAGGAGGTCTGAGGATGTCTGGAGAGAATAAGGATGCACAAGGAGGTCTGAGGATGTCTGGAGAGATATAAGGATGCACAAGGAGGTCTGAGGATGTCAGAAGTGGGGCATCTAAGGAGATATAAGAATGCCTGAGGAGGTATTTCTCACACTGAGATAATTCTCTGCGTTGTTTCGTAACGCCAGTACCCGTAAAAAGTTTTGAAAAACTTGAGACATCGACGGAGTGATGGAAATACTAACGCAACGTTTTTTTTTCAATATAAGATTTACATCGCGTAAAGAGGTAACCCAAATCAACATCCTTGTAATCACAAAGAGAAACTGATGACAACCAACTCAATTCAATTATATCGGCTCTTTCAAATGGCTTCCTTCCTTTCTTATCATTTCTAATCACCTTGCGACATTTTCTCAGCCGAAGCCAAACAGGGTAGCGTAGTTTTATCAAATCTTTTTGTTTTCATGTTATACTAACTACAGTAGTTTATCACGAGAAACGATTAAGAAAGTCAATTCATTTCAACCAGCTCAAATTGCTTCAAAATTAGATTTGGTTTAAATGATTCGGTCTCCTGAGACCTTTTTGGCTTCGGCTGCATGAAAACGAAGAATACAAATATTATAGTTCTGATCTCTGACTATAAATATTACTGTCTTTTAGGGTCCTTTTCTGTGTCAAATCATCCCATCTAGTTTCATATTTTTTTTGCATATATCGTTCTGTAATAGGATGAAGGACTCCCCAAATTCTATTCCTTCAACTTTAAGACTTTCCCAATTGCAACGGTTTTTCCTGAAAAACATCATTGAGAAGGTCACACTACCAGCGTAGAGCATCACCAAATTATTGCGGTTGTGAAAATGTTTTATAATATTGAATATGGAAACAAGATTACCTTCGTCTCGAAGAGTAAATCTTCCCATTTGAGGGAATGCTGCAAACGTCTCTATACACACAATCCCTGCTGTCTGAAATTTAGCTACACATATCTGATCCTGCTTCACAAATCTGAAAATGAAATTACACAAGAAATGATGGACGTAAACACATTCAAAAAGGTACATTCCACTACTTCAGAGTCAACTACAGACTGAGGTAACTTTGTGGCGTACGAACTTTGCATTTTTATTCTGAACTATTATACCTTGGATGTGTTTGACTTTTCTTGCCCGTTTTCTTGTCTATCAGCGCTATTATACCCTGCAATACAGAAATATTTATTGACTATAAGAACTGACGCAGTTTTTCTCCTAATAATAACGAAAGTCAAATGATTTTTATCAATCTAACTGCAACGATTCCATTTGACAACACTGGTTCCACAGGCCGGATGAAAGTGAAGATAACGGGTTGAATGTAAAGGCGAGTGGTAGCTAATACAAGAAAAATATACTGTACCAGTAACGTGACTTCTTCTACGACATTATGAACATGTAGAACACAACTGTATCCAGGACAAATTATAGATTTATGTTCCAGAATAACAACCTACGGAGAAAAAAACACCGACTATTATTAAATCGTCACAGCGGCTGGCATCGTAAAAAAACACGTAGAAGAAAACAAACAAAATGACCGAGAATTCTCTCTCAGTGCTGCGCTATTAAAAACATCTTCATTCAAAACAGGTTTTCTCACGAATAAGATGTTTTTGAAAACGAGACCAGAATATTTTGGTCTGCAGTAAACTATAAGACTGTACCTGTGCGTTAAATGTTTTAACGGTATGACAAAGCGATGAAGGGTCACATAATACAAAACCTGGCGATATATCCTAAGAAAAAACAAAAGGAATTGACCTGGTTGAGTTTAGCTTGACAGACCTGTAGTCATTTGCAACGTCTCTCAGTCTACGTGGCTTGTAAGTTGTAAAGGCGAGGCCGGCCACCATAAGTTGTTAAAACAACTCTGGTAGAAGACTACGAGTTTGTCACCGTTTTGTTAACTTGTGTATGTTAACAAAACGGAAGAATGTTAATATGTTATTTGCCAGGAGGGATAAAAATAGCAAGATCCACTGAAGAGATCAATTGAAATATCTTCATACTTCCTCCTCTATGCCTTTTAATTTCGCTTTAACATTCTCGCCACAATATGCTTGCGTTGTTTCACAGTCATCTGAATATAACGTCATGACTTCCACTGAAACCTGACAAGAAAAGATTGATGTTGGAATGAGATATTCGTCGGCAAAGAGTTTCTCTTTGGGAACCTTAAACAATCGCTCGATATGTGATATTTGTGCCTTAAAAAGCTGGGTTAAAAAACTAAAGTATCTCACTAAATGGCTGTACTTTTGCAGATAACTATGCCTGTACTTTGGTTCATAAGATTACATCTCAGATGAAAAGTAAAGATCCATTTTGTCCTTTACAATAGTCAGAAAAATGCTGGTTAACTTCGGCTCATCAGAAACAGTACCATCCACCATAATATTGATATATCACTATACAGTATACTCACCTTATTTGGCATTAGTACTAGACTCTGTCCTTTAGATATTGTTCCTGACTCTAGTTTTCCAAGAATCATTGTACCCATTTCCCTATATCGCTCCGCTACTGGCAGCCGCACTGGACCAGAGTTTGATCTTTGTAGATTAGGCAACTCATCAATATAGGTTAAGAATGGTTTCCCACTAAAAAATGGAGATTTCTATCAGTCGAACCCTTGAATACTTTCCTAGTTCATCTGGATTTATACAAAGTTAATAGTAGCATATCTCACCTGAACCAATTACAAACATTTGGATCAAGTTCTTCCTTTATATTAGCACCTGTTAGTCCAGAGCATGGCATAAAATGTGTGTCTAAAAATACAATAAAACAGTATGTAACTCAATTGTTCAAACAAATATTGTTGTTTGAAAATGATTAAGTTATATTACCTGTTTTAGGATTGAAGCCAACTTTTTTGAGAAAAGGGATTAACTTTTCTTTGCATTCCTCATATCTATGTATAGAATTCCTAGATTATATAAAAGGTCTTCATTGTGTAAAAGTTTTTGGTGGTTTTTACCTTGCTTGTTCCCACTGCACTGTAGGATCATCCATTTTATTTATGAGAATAACCAAATGCCTGACACCAGCGGTCTTTGCCAACATTGCATGCTCTCTGGAGGTTAAAATAGATAGAAATGTACAATCATTCATTGCATTATTCATCTTCTGAGGAATTCAAGTCAAAATGCAATAAAAATTAATAAATCCACTTTCTTATCCACCTTGTCTGTCCACCTCTTTCAAAACCAGTTTCAAATTCACCTTTCCTTGCAGAAATTACCTGAAATGAAAATTTTCTTCCATCATACATGCAAACAATAGACAGAAATATCCATAATGTTCCCCTATTACTCACCAAGACTCCTAGGTCTGCCTGAGCAGCTCCACCAATCATATTTGGTACGAAACTTTTATGTCCAGGAGCATCGAGCAACGTAAATCTTTTCTTGGATGTTTCAAACTGTGCCCGACCAACTTCAACTGTTTTACCCTAGTAATACAACAGAGGCGGAGTCTTCCATTATCTATTTGATCATCATGGACACCCAATATATTCTTCCTTACAAAATCCTCAATTTTCAAACCTTTTACACAAGGATTGATGCTTGTATTACCTTATCTCTCTCCTCTTGATTCGTATCCAGAGCCCAGGATAAATACCTTGACAAGAAAGCAAAAAACATCGGTCATATTTCCTTTAGTTCCAAAATGACATCATTTAACTCAATTACCATGTTTCACGATTTTTTTCTTTCGCTTCTCGTTCATATTTTTCAAGAGTTCTCTTATCAACCTGCCCTGTCAAGTATCTACAAAGAAAGATTAAATTGTTTCAAGTGTTTTGACCAAAAAAAGAGAAAATAATTCAATTGAAAATTTATCTTACAAGACTTGTCCTCCAATTGTTGATTTACCAGCATCTAAAAATCATAAAAATATATAGATATAGTCCACAATTGCGAGTTTCAATAGTATACAACTTGTGTGACAACTGACAAATGTTGGTCTGCTCTTAAAGATGACATGATCTGCAGTAAAATTCTTTCTTCAACAACCATACCAACGTGTCCAATAAAGACAATGTTGACATGCTCCTTTGAATCATCTGTCTTCTTCATTGCAGGCTGCTCTTGGTCTGGTTTTTGTTCATTTATTGCATCATCTCTTGCTTCATCTGCAAAAATACCAAAAAACGCTCATTTATTTTAAAGGATAACATTTACTACTCTCTTACTTCAACCAAAATATTCATAATTACCAGAAATATTATCACCATTCACAGTTTCTTCTTCATTACCAGCTTCCTCTTTTGACACATCATTTTCTATTTCAAGTAATGCAAATATAACACTTATTGTGTTCATTTATTATCAACCCTACAAAAGCACTCTATTTTGAAGATATTACCTTCAGTTTTATCTGGATTTTCATTCGTCTTTTCTCTTTCATTTGTATCATCTTTTTTATCAGCCACATGTTCACTTACTGATTCTAAAGTAGTGAAATTAAACTACTCTGTCAAAGAGTACTATTACTTTGATGTTCATATAGTTAATGTTTCTCATAGTGTCTTGGTTAGAGCACTTGCTTTTGGTGGGTACACTACTGGGTTCAAATCTCTTTATGTATTTTATGGATAAGAATAAAAATCTCAAACTTTTTTTTCCCAATGTTATTCCATTTTTTATGATAGGTTAGTTTTGGAGTTGCAGTAAAGATTAAGATCTTGGTTAAGTTGAGCATTATTTAATCAAAAAACACTAGATCATTCTTGTCAATGGAGAGGGATAAGTAGCAGGGAGGTGAAAAGATTTGTGGAAGAGGTGTGGTCATGTAATGGCAAGGAGGGGGGGTGGTGTAAAGGAAGATGCGTATTTATGGGAGTGGAGGATTTTCATGGAGAGTGAAGAGTGGGAAGGGGGTGTGAGGATCAACAAACTGATAAGATATGATTTAAAAAAATTACTATATAGCGAATTTCACGAGACAAAGGGATCATGCCGTGTTGAAATATAACGATATTTATATAAACAATTAAAGTTGCTTTAAGGTAAACTTTTAAAATACTAAATCATGTTTTACCATTTGTGTTTGTCTTTGGCGCAAACGATGGGACAAAAACTGGCGCATTTACGTTTGGAATAAAAGGTCTGGCGTTGACATTCAATGACTGAACACCAGCCGAGAGATTTTCGTTATTTTCTGGGCTAGAATCATCAATTGCGTCCCATGAATCAGGCGTGCCATCGTCGTCCATTACGATTATAAGTTTCCAGAGTGTTTAGCGCAAAGTAGAAAGTTTTTGATGAAAAAACTGTACAATTCTTGGGTTCTTTTCAATCAAAACGTGTGTTCATGGTGCAAGGTCACGCACATGTCTACGTCCCGCGGGACCTAGTCCCAGGTTCTCCACGAATCGCGCGGAGTGGAAGATATGGAAGGCACGACAGTGGGGGAAGAAATACATAGAGAGGGACCTACGTCTTCCCCCCACGCACCTTTCATCTTCTGTTCAAACCTAACTCCTTGCTCTTCCAAAATTGTGAAAATCCTGGGAGGAGATGCGACCATCTCTTATGCCATACCCCATTTGAAATTAGGTGTGTCAAGGCAAGGTTGAGGCACCCCCTCCCCTAACCTTGTGATATGTACGGCCTGTGGACAGTTCACTCTCCACACAATTCAAGCTGGCTTCGCCTCTTGGTCTCCAGCAAAGCTTGACCAAACACAGCACCATCTACCTGGTTAGCTGAGGTCAATATTGTTGATACTTCCCAATAATTTAATTTTCAAATTTTGCAAATGAAAATTACTTCTACTTCGTGTATCAAATACGTTCACACCAAAATCTTTCCTTTTTCTCCAAAAAACGGGAAAACCCAACAGCCTGCCCCTGATTTTATTGTAACTGTAGTATGCATATTCATTTTTCATATTCGATTAAATAAGGACCACCTACGGCTTCCCGATTGTGTAAATATTTAATTGTTTGGAACTAATGGAAGGTCACAACAAATGAACAATTTCTGCTCATTTTCTGTACGAGAGTATGTCATTTTTTGAACTTGTGGTCTTGAATCGTGCATGAGTTCATCTAAAACTTTGGTGTCAGGTTTCTGAGAACGTAATAATATATTTACGAAAATGAACAAGGGACATATCGAAGATTTCAAGTCTATCGCTTCCATCGATAGCGACATGTCTGAGGCGACCCGTCGCCACGGAGGAAGAGGCCAACAAACAGTTACTCCCATCGGAGAGTTCAACCCAGCTTTTGGTATGATTTAAACAAACTTATAATCGATTTACTCAGTAGAAAAATCATTTTATTCCCTGTGAATCTTTCGATAATTTTTCCGCTGTGTTCATGTAGCAAATTAGTGTACAAAAGTGGGCTATTAGTATTTACATTAATTATTTAAGAGCAAATGTTATTATACAAAATTTTTGATCTGATACGATTTAACTTTATGCATTCATTTGGTTATTGACTTATTGTTTTCAAATTTTCACTCAGACATTCAGAAAGAATTTGCTTTTTGAAAAACATACATAATTTGTTATACAATAACTTTTATTGATAAAGAGTTCGAAATTACGTAAAGGATTCTTTGATTGAAGCCATTTACATTTTGAGTTCAATATTTTGAAACATCTAGAAGGCTTTTGTAAAGAATAACTTAAAAATGATTTCGTTGCTACGTGAAACTAGTCATTCGTTTCGTATATTAAGCCTTCCTGCTATGGCTGCTATGAAGTTTTAAGTCTGCTTTATAAGGTGCCCACGTACTTAAAAAAAGCCCAAGGTATTGTATTTTGATGCCCTTGTGGGAATGGAAGGCAAGAAAGCATAGCTTTTCTGTGTTAAAGCTTGATTTTTGTTCCATAATGGATTCCAAATTGTCAACAAGGCAAACAAAACGTTTTGAAGAAGGTCGTGTTTACATTCCTGTATCAACAGGTAGAATTATTTTGAATATATTAATTGGACAATATTTTGTTATGTAACATGCTGTGTTGACAGCCCACATTAGGCACATAATTTTCTCTTCCTAATGTTTGTTAAACTTTCTAATACCAAGTTCAATAAACTAAAAAGGGGATTTAATAGACAGTACATTCAAATGCACCCAACTTTAGTATCTTTCCCTGTCTTCAAACCAGACAAATTTACCCATCAACAAGAGTTTAACAGATATAGTTGTTAACATATGAACTATTTCCCTTTTACAAGATTTCTTCCATTGAGTAAAATTGTTTGGCAAAAACCATTGTAAAACGCTAAGTTGGATCTTGGATTGAATATTTTAAGGCGAGAGTGATGAAGCCTTTGAAATGAGTCCAGCTAGCAGCAATAACCGTGAGAGCGAAGGTATTGATGGTGATATCATGATGACAGATATGATTAATGGGAACGCTAACCAACATATAGAAGATAGTGGTGATAACGTGTCGGTCGCTTCAACAGGTATTCTTAATCACCATGGTCCACCACACCATGGTTGCATATATATGGTTCATATGGTTTGCATATTGTTTTGGTTCATACAAATGAGTAATGGTCTTCATGCAGACACTTCACTGAGTTCTGGATAAAAAGTTACTCTTAAGAAACAAAGTTATCCTCAATAAACTTCTTTATATAGATTTAAGTGTAATAGCAATATCAATTTGAAGTCAGGATAACTTTGAAATGTTGTTCTGCAATAAATTTGATATTGCTAAATTAAACTGTTGGTAAATGTCTTTACTAGATACTTATAAAAGTGGGACGAGTATGTCAAGTGAGCTGGAAAAGAGTTTGAGAGATCAGTTACCAAGTCATTTGTATAAAGAGATGCGGAGTATGCCGTCAGCCAGAGGCCGGATGATACGTGGGGAGGGACCCACCCCCATAGGAACACCGCATTTGGGAGGAAGGTCGGTGAGAAACCGGCGTAGCGTGCGTGGCCTGGATGAGCGAGGTTTTGACCTCGATGTCGAAGGCGCTCAACAACATGATGAGATACGGAATAGGCGCATCTCGAATAAGAAAGAGAAATTTGGATATGTTCGTGCATGGTTCGTGCAAGTTGTGAATGTGCATGGTTTCGTGCATGGTTCGTGCTCGTGCATGGTTCGTGCATGGTTCGTGCATGGTTCGTGCATGGTTCGTGCATGGTTCGTGCATGGTTCGTGCATGGTTCGTGCATGGTTCGTGCATGGTTCGTGCATGGTTCGTGTGCATGGTCGGGATGATTACCAGAGCGTCTTCAACTGTTCTTCAGGATTGAACCAAGATATATGGAGACCATTCCTAAAATTATATGATACGCTATTGCTGTTTTGAATGGGAAACTTCCGTTTTGCATCAAACCTTTCTCGATTATAACTAAATTTCTCAGGGTGTTTGCAACAACTCTTGGGAGTTCCTATATTCAAGTCTTTTACTGCGTCTACCACCAGACGATAATTCGGTTTAATATTTATTAAAAGACCCGCAGCGATTTTTAACCTGTTTGCTGTACAATATCATTTCATTTTTTTAAGAAAACAAGTAGATGATCAAATGAAAGGAAAGGAACAAAACATTAGCACATTCAGATATTTTAGGCTCAGACTTGCTACGGTAAGTGACGCCCGCTGATTCAAGTGAATGTATTCATAAATATCACGACTCGAACAGTGATGTTTCTTCTCAAAATAGCATTGGCAACATTTCAAGAAAGGGGTGTCCTCAGCGATTCAGGACAACGAGCTATGGAGCGGGCCACTGAAACACATACAAGGTTGAATATGAAAATTTTGATCAAATTACAGCAATGCTAAGCTAAAAATGTCAGTGAGAATCTTTTTCGTGGTTTTAGGAAAATTTGGAACTGGCGTTCTGTCGTATTTTGTCTTCTTGCGCTGGTTGTTTCTGCTGAACGTCATGATTTTCTTCCTCGTGTTATTTTTCATCTTCATTCCACAAATTATTTATCGTCCCAGTCTAAAGTACGCCAACCTCACGAGTTTTCATGGCTATGATCTCTTGGATGGTGGAGTAAGTCGTTAAATGATTAGATACATCTATTAGATTATCCTTACTGGGCCTCTGGGAAGAACAATTTAGGTTTCCTCCTGTAGTAACACTGGATCAATAAGAGATGATCCTTACTGGAACTCTAGAAAGAACAGTTTAGAACTGATAGAGCTATCCAGTATAAATAAAGTTAGTTTAGTTTAGGTTTCCTCCTGTAGTAACACTGGATCAATAAGAGATTATCCTTACTGGACCTCTAGGAAGAACAGTTTAGAACTGATAGAGCTATCCAGTATAAATAAAGTTAGTTTAAGTTTAGGTTTCCTCCTATAGTAACACTGGATCAATAAGAGATGATCCTTACTGGACCTCTAGGAAGAACAGTTTAGAACTGATGGAGATATCCAGTATAAATAAAGTTAGTTTAAGTTTAGGTTTCCTCCTATAGTAACACTGGATCAATAAGAGATTATCCTTACTGGACCTCTAGGAAGAACAGTTTAGAACTGATAGAGCTATCCAGTATAAATAAAGTTAGTTTAAGTTTAGGTTTCCTCCTATAGTAACACTGGATCAATAAGAGATGATCCTTACTGGACCTCTAGGAAGAACAGTTTAGAACTGATGGAGATATCCACTAATCCAGTATATATGGAGGCATCGTTTATTCGATGTTTCACCTGAGTCAATTTATGTTTATTTCTTTCCAGGGATGGTTCAATGACACGGAGTTGTACTATGGTGTTTATACAAGCGAGACTATATCCATATCAGAGGGTTATAGCTACCAGATGCCTTTGGCGTACCTACTAACCTGTGGAGTTTACCTTCTACTGTGTCTAATCATATTAGTTTCGAGGTAAAAAAGTTGAAGAATCTTGATAGTAGTGACACATCAGCTGGCACTATATTCTTCCACTAAATGCTATAATATCTGATGTTAAGTGAGTTGCATATACTATATTTTAGCATGACAAGTTTGTACGAAAAGAACTACCTTCAAGGCGGGGAAACAAGTTGTGCTCTGACTAAGAAGATATTTGCGGCATGGGATTACAGCGTAATTGATAGAGAAGCTTGTCTTATTAAGCAGCAGAGCATCGCAACAGACATTCAGGTATAGAATATATGTTGGTGATGACGGTTTATTACCGTATGAGAGTAAACAGCAGCCAGCGCTCAGTCAGATTTACGTGAAAACAGTGCAAAGCAGTAAGTACTACTGTACTAGACTAGTCATACGAGGTTTAGTAGCAACAATAGTCAGACACCAGCAGTACTGCAATGATCAATTGAAACAATGCTGGCATACTAGCCCTGTACTATATAGGCTGTTATTGGTAGCAACTACAAGCACGAAGTAGTCATGAGAACATTGATTCATTTGCAGGAATGTTTAGCCGAAAGCAAAGACAGGCGAGTCCTCAGTCGTGGCGATTTATTTCAACTGATATGTTTGAGGATTGTGACAAACTTCATAAGTCTTGCTCTAATTGCTTGCGCTACCTACCTTATTGTAGAGGTCGTTGCAGGATATCCAGTCGAGGTAACAAACCATTGATTTGAAAAAGCAATTAAGGCCAGGGTCAAACATTCCTCTACTCATTTACCGAACACATTACAACATTTAACTTTATTTCTTCAATCTATTTCCATCTGCTTACAGTATTATATATGTACAATAGTCGCATTGTTGTATTTTTTGCATTTATAGGAAGACACGACTGTGTTTCAAGAGCTACTCATGCCATTGTTGGTTTCATTTTTGAACCTGCTTCTGCCAGGAATGTTTCGTATTATCGCTAGTTTTGAAAATTACGCCGACGGAGCTACGGTAGTGAAGGCGTCTCTTGCAAGGTAACTATTGCAGCAGTCTTTTCAAAGAAGAGGTGGCAGTATTTTACCGTAGGGGAGTGATTTAGTACGATTTAGTATACTTAATGATAAGTCTAAAAACTTTTGGATCTTCGTTCACGTTCTAGGACAGTGATTTTAAAGTTGTGCACATTGGCTGGAATCTTTGTGTCTCTCTACCGAGACATCAATTGTACTACCGAAGGAACCTCTAGTAATAACTGCAGGATTGTAAGTTTTAGTGTAATATGATTTATATTACTTGTATGTTGAGACCATGTAAGATTTGTTCAAAGGCAATGGTCTTCATGATCGTATGTAATTGTTTCCAGATCGGATGTTGGGAAAATTACGTTGGTCAGACATTTTATCGTCTGGTTTGGGTGGATTTCGCTTTTATATTGCTTGCGACTTTCTTTGGAGAGTTCGTCAGGAGGTGAGCCAATTTAGGTGGGGGCATTTGGGTGGGGACTGTTGAGGTTGGGAGGGGGTTGGAGAGCTATTTAGAGGGTGAACTAGTGGGGACTGTTGAGGTTGGGAGGGGATTGGAGAGCTATTAAGAGGGTGAACTAGTGGGGACTATTGAGGTTGGGAGGGGGTTGGAGAGCTATTTAGAGGGTGAACTAGTGGGGACTTTGAGTGGGGTCAGACCAACTTCAGGAGGATGTTTATCATGGGGTGGCCCAGCATAGTTGGAGTCTCAACTCTCAAATGGTGGCGGGGGGAGGCTTAGGTGTGGGGCTTACCTCGTTCCTTTTCTTTAGATTGTTAACCACTCACGTCAAATGGTGGGAGAGACATATTGGTAATCCTGGTTTTGATATCTCACGAAATGTTCTTGATCTTATCTACGCTCAATGTTTATGTTGGTAAGAGCATGTGAACGGAATAGACATTTCCTCTGATTGAATGACATGAATCAACTAATATTAATCTGTGCTCTGTATCACATTGCACGCTATAACCTTCAACTCTGCAACTTGAGAAAAGTATATTCAGTACTGCCAGTTTATAGGTTATATTATACGGTGTTTGTTTAGGTTCGGGACCTTCTTCAGTCCATTGTTATCATTCATCTGTCTCTTCAAGCTCTTGGTTTTGTTTTATGTAAAGAAGGTCAGTGAACGTATTTTCAAATCCCAGAAGTATAATTAATTGCACATGCATTGGCCTGCCATTTGCGGACAGCAACACTAATGCAAATTCATTCTTTTGAATTTATTCTGCCTTTACCCATTGTAATCTATTCGGCACAAAGTAAATATAACGTATGAAACAGGCTTTATACAGCTGTAGTGTTTGCAGTTCTTTTACGCCTAATAAAGTATTGATGTATTTCATTTTATTAGACCAGTGCGTTGCGGAATTGCAGGCCAAGTGTCCGGCCTTTTCTCGCGTCAAAAATGAACTTCTTATTCCTAATATTACTTGGTATTTCTTATGCTCTAATTCTGGTTGTGTTTGGATACGCTATCACGTCAGGAGGGTAAGCATGTTTATACAAGCGATGGTATGATTCCTAGGAGAGTTTCTTGCTTCCTTGTTAGCTTGGTACATGATGCTAATATATTATCACTTCTAGGCGACTAAGTCCATCTGATTGCGGTCCATTTATTGGCAAAAGCACAGTTTATCAAGTGATTTTGGACAGTATCGAAACCTTTCCTCGCGTTTTAAAAGAGATTATTCGCACAATCGCTTCCCCTAGTGTCATCGCTCTAATATTCGTTGTTATTGGGTACGTTTTCATATTCAGTTGACCAGTCTATGTATTTAGAATTGACTAAACGTGATCCATTGCCTTCACTATTATATTTGCCATAAGTACAAATCAAGCCCGAGGGAATTTTACTGTTTTCTCTTTTGCATTCGCTCTACTTTGCAAGATGGGATTGCTAGCCCTAAAGGCGTATTATAGACAGCTCAGTCATTTCTATGTTTACACGGTTCTCAACAGAGAGTGCAATTCAAAGAAATAGGTTATTTCCTCTGTTCGGTACACAGGCTGAACCTAACGATGATTGATCATAGAAAATGACTTGAATTTTCTCTTTTAGTGTTTTCATTTATTACTACAAACTTCTGAAATCATCAAATGAAACGAAAATGAAGTTATTGCGGCAACAGATTATTCTGGTGAGTTGGAGTTTGTCGTGAAATATTGCAGGGGATATGGTAGACTAGAGTCAGCCCCAAACAGACTACGAGATTTTCTGGGGGGTTTTCTGGTATGCATGTGTTCGTAATAACTTTGATCTTTTATTCGTGTCAGACTGGAAAGGATAAGTTATATCTGATGAAACAAATAAACCAGAACAGACGAAATTTGGAGGTGGAGCAATAAGGATGAAAATAAATGCAATCAGGACGAGGTACCAGGGACCATTCGTAGGAACTTTAGCATAAAATATCAAGTTTGTTGATCTGTGAGACCTTACACGCCAATCATTTTCTTCAGGACAAGTTTCGTTCTCAAACTGAATTTTTGTATACGATCAATTTTGATTTATACCTGACGCCGTAATTATATAATTATGATATATAACAATTTATAATTATATAATTTTTTGTATGATAGACTTAGATTGTTCGTATTAACTAATAATAATCAATTTTGTCATGTATATTTTGAAATTGTGTTTAATATAGAACTTGTAAAAAATCATTTCGTATAGCAATGTTCTTAGTGATTTTTTTGAGATTTATAGTGTGAGAATAGTTGTACCGAATACTGGAGCCGAGAAATGTGGAGATTCTTACAAAGGTAACACCTTCATCCATATTTATTTAACCTTGTTTGTTTTCTTCGAAATATGACACAAAACTCATCCTCTTTATTATGCACACTTAAAATATCACTTTTATTTAAATCTTTTCAATTTTCCTGCCCAACATAAACCCCCGACAACAAAGCCAAATATCTCCCACCCCCCAGTTTTCTTGATGTTCAGCCATGTTGCATTGACTAAGCTAGAAGCACACGTGATTCATGCACTCGTATCACTAGGCAACGTCAGAGGCGGAAACTCCGCTTCGTCATCAAGCTTTGTGTTCATTGGTTCGTCCGTGTACCACGTCGTGTTCTGGGGAACTTGTGATTGGTTAGTTTCTGTGCTTTGGTTATCTTGTGTCGGTGGCGTGGATGATTGCGTTCCCAGCAGTCCACGGGGCGCGTGTTCTTCGTCTTTCTTCGGCTGTTCTGTTTCCGTCACTTCACATTCTGTCTTCGTCTGCAAAGTTGTGTAAAGAAGTGAAATCAATCAAATTTCACGCAACATTTTCCTTTTCAGGTGTGAATGATCCGTGGAATTGACTTTCGCCATTTTTGGCAAAACATGGCGTGATTCAACGGAAACCTTAAAAGATCTGTTCCATAGGTCAGGAGTCAATTGGATTGGATCAGACCTTCACCTGGACACAGAGTTGGTGCGACAAAATTTTACTTCACTTACTTCCGTTTGGCTTTGAGCTTCAGTTGCTTCCAGTATTCTAAACGAAGCACACGACCAAAGCATTTAAACTCCGTAATTTGATTGGATTACTTGAGGGATGACTGATCTTGATATGGTAGCTGAACAGTACCTGTGTTGTTTCAGTAGTGTACAGTCCCCTCCTTCCTCAGGATCGATGTTATAAATGTACAAATATCCGTCAGCGGTCGCTACCAATAGACGTGGCAGCCTGCTTATACTAGAAAATAAACGATAGATGAACTTCAGGGCGCAACGCCTAAACCGGGGTGAACGCCAGTTAAGCTGGCCATGGTGGTTCCACCTGCAGAGTTTTCTCGTATAGGTTTGCCTGCTTTCTGCAGAATTACGACTGAACAAATCAGTTCAACTTGATTGCTTACAATAAATTAGAGGGGTTTTCTTTTTGCGAGTGGAAACTAAGCCTTTGTTTTTCCAGAGGCAACTATGGCCTAGGGAACTGATCTCCCTTCTTCGATCCAGGCCTTTTCATAGCGGTCAATGGAGGTCTCTGGATAGCGGTCTATCCAGGTCTTTGCATAGCGATCTATCCAGTCCAGGTACGTTGGTAATACTCACGTTGATATTCCACAGACGTTCTTTAAACCAGCCATAGGTAATTTGACATTAGCAAACGCTCGGCCTTGACTAAACACCTCTGCTACCTAAACCAGACCACGAATACAAGAGTTGCAATCATGTTATGACAGTTATGTACATTAACCAAGGCCGTATGATGTCAACGTGATTACCTGGGAAGGTAAGTAACTGCTTGGAGATAAGGCTTTACCAAAATATCCCATCCAACCACTGGGTTCTTCGACAGGCCTAGAACATTCAATTATTTATACTGTAAGGATAATCTCTTATTGATCCAGTGTTACTACAGCAGAAAACCTAAACTAAACTAACTTTATTTATACTGGATAGCTCTATCAGTTCTAAACTGTTCTTCCTAGAGATCCAGTAAGGATCATCTCTTATTGATCCAGTGTTACTACAGGAGGAAACCTAAACTAAACTAACTTTAATAATTATAATAACTTAATCATACAAGAAAATTATTAAACTAACTTTATTTATACTGGATAGCTCTATCAGTTCTAAACTGTTCTTCCTAGAGATCCAGTAAGGATTATCTCTTATTGATCCAGTGTTACTACAGGAGGAAACCTAAACTAAACTAACTTTATTTATACTGGATAGTTCTATCAGTTCTAAACTGTTCTTCCTAGAGGTCCAGTAAGGATCATCTCTTATTGATCCAGTGTTACTACAGGAGGAAACCTAAACTAAACTAACTTTATTTATACTGGATAGCCCTATCAGTTCTAAACTGTTCTTCCTAGAGGTCCAGTAAGGATTATCTCTTATTAATCCAGTGTTACTACAGGAAGAAACCTAAACTAAACTAAGGTAAATAAATTCTAACAATTTTCTTGTGACAGCTCAAGAGGGGACAGCTGGAAACCTACTTATCCTTTGGCATTTCCAGTTTGAAGACATGAACTGTCTCTGTATTGCTTGATGCAGAGAGAAACATGGAATCCATACTAAATGCCAAGGAACTGATTACAACACATCTAAAACAAAGGTAAAGTTTTGAAAATATAATTGACAAAAATATTTCCAAATATTTTCTTTAATGTTTTAAGTTCACCATAGTTTACTTAACAATTTAGGGTGTCTGTGAAAGGAGTATCGTGCTTGGATAACCACAGGTCAGTTTATATTTTAATGAAGCGATAATAGTCTACCTTTTGACCCCTCTTCGGAATTCAAAGAGTTTTTGACCGTCCGGAATTGAGAAAACTCTTATTATTGTTCCCTACAAGAATGTGAAATTACTTCAAGATGGTTGTTTAAAATTAACATTTGTAAAGTTGTTGGTTGGTTTTGATTAAACTAACAAAATATACATGTGAGCACTGGACGTACCTTTTCTGAGGCACTTGCAAGTTTAGTGCCAGATGCATTGAACGTTAGCGCTGCCATAGGTGAGTCATGAGCTGATATCATCGTTACTGCCCTCTGAAGGGAAAATGTCCCAAACATGAGTGCATATTTAATGAAAACAAAAAAAGGCCAGCTATTTAACAATGAAATGTCACAGTAAGCATTACTATGAGGAGAAAAATAACATACCAAATTAACAGCATCAAATATTTGAACTTCTCCAATCTACAATTAAAAAAGACAAGCTTTTTACCATCTGGCCATAGCAATACATACGTAGCTTATTACTGATATAGTTTTATTTACCTGATTGCTACCAGGGTAAGCCAAATAGCAATTATCGGAATTGGGTGATAACGCACACAGACCTATAAATATAACATTTAATATAATATCATTCATTACATCATCATTGACCACATACCACAAGAACAGTTTACATCTGTGGTTAGTTTAAGATGAATGCTTACCTAATGTGTTTGGTGGGGTATCTCTGATAGTATGTAGGACCTAGAAATGTATGATAATTATATAATTTTATGCACTGCTGTGAAACATATTTTCAGCCATTTTTGAACAGAAGGTATAGATCTTTATAGATCTCAAATACCTTCATATCTCGAATGTTGTGAATGTATAGACTTTCCTCAAGAGTCACCAGCAGTCTCTAAAATAGTACAAGTCAAGTTGTTACCAGTCATGGTTAACCATCCAGTTACTCTGGATGTGGTTATGTTGAATATTAATACATCCAAGGGAAACAAATAATGTGACAATGGCTTACCATTCTATTAAGTTTTACTGATAAAATAGTGTTTGGGTAACTATAATTGCATATTTCAGTTCCTTTCTGTAAAACATAAGAAATATTTAATAATTCATAAAGGATCCAATAGAAAAGCACATATTGCAAGGAGAATTAGAAGAGCTTACTTTAAAATGACAAACTTTTAGCTTTCTTGGTGCAGATAAACTAACAACAGCAACAAGACTACTGGAGAATAATCTCTCAACAATGCAAATATCCTCACTTTCTATAAATGAATATAATTTAGAGTAAAATATCTCTGTTCAGTCTGTTGTATGTTTCATTTTTGTGGAGGTAAATAATCCGGAACACAGGAAGACTAATTTCTATTAAGTGATTGTTTCACTTGTCAATGAATGATTTCCACTTTAGTAACTTTCTGTTTTTGAATAGATATTTCACTTTTCACTTTACAAATATTGACTCGAATCAGTCTGATGAAATACAGTTACGCTAGCTTGAAATTATTTTTCGTTTGTTGAAACATAGTTTATCAAAGAACTGGGTTTCTCACTTAATAAATATCAAACATTTTAATCCAATCTAGTTAATGATTTACTCATTTATATATTGATCGTATGAAAAAAAAAACCATTTATATTTTTACAACTCATTTAATTAATAGTTATAGGTGTTATTATGTCAGAAAGTTTATCCAAAATTTGTTTACAAAAGTCAGGTATGTTTTTATAAGCAAAAGACGTCTCGGACAGTAAATGCAAAACATATTTTCCTTGGACAACAAAACGTCAAAGAACAACGACAAAAATATATAAAACCTAGAAATATGAACATTCGTTAGAAATAAAAAAACAGACTACAGAGTAACTGCACTCACTCACCGTATGCGTATATTTCCTCAAGTTTTTCCACCGAATTTAAAGAAAACAGCTTATAGCCTGTCTTGCTGCCGATAGCAATCGACCTGTGTAAACAGCAAAAAAAACGACAAAATATTTTGGCTAAATTTCGATGTATTTTCGCAGTCATAAGTAAGAAATTACATCACATACGAGACGTCCTGATTGAAGTTCACGAACAGTAGGCTGCCGCCAAGCTCGCTCGAGCTAGAAGCTAAATTCATGGTTCATCAAAAGCCTTCTCCAAAGAGAAAATGGCTTCAAAACAACATTATTTATCTGCCATTGTTTTGTTGTTTATGATTAAATGGAAATTTTAATAACATTGGAAAGAAAACGTTATGCGCACGCGCAGTACATTATAATGACGTAATCCTAACTAGAACCTCGTCTTCTCTTATGATAGCTCGTACCTGCGCACTCTGGGAAAGTCGAACCAGTGAACTGGTGGTCAATGAACTGGTCAACTGGAAGAAATGGTACAATTTTTGGAAAAACTATTGTTTCAAAATGCTTTGAAACGGAGATCTAGAACTAGAGACCGTAGTGGTTAGTTTTAAATTAAAGATCGTTTTTTGGCTTCCATTTTAAATTTTACCGGTAATACTTCCAGCTACAAGAGACTGAAGAGAGCAAACAATATATTGACATTATAAACTTTTGTCTTCTTAGGTCATGCAAGGGAACCAGTCTGAAGGTTTGTAAAAAATTATCTGTACTGTATGTATAGTGATAGATATGACTCAATTGTATGAGTTAATATTGTGATTTTTTATCTTGCCCGGTTGCATGGTAACTAATTAGAATAGCACCATCACAATGGCACCTATATAAATATTATAATACAGCTCAACTTTACATACTGAGGATGATACTACCTCCATGTGAAACCCTAGGCGGCCGCCACTTTAGTTCGGACATGTCACATGTGTTTTATTTGGGCTAGCTAGCTTAGCATATATTATAGTATCTGTTTTCAAAAAGATATGAAGCCAGTATGCTACATATATCATACGCGTAATATAAAGCCATTCTTACTACAATAATTTCATACAATTAGCATTACCCTAGTTTGTGTAATATGAAGAGATCTTTTACAAGTCTCTCTTAACCATGTCTCTTCCTCATAATACTTTATACCCAAAGCATTTTGAGAGGTATGCCTTCGCTATTGATTCTAAGCGTGGTGGTTCAAGTTCCCCAAAATGGTCCAGCTTAGGTGATAAATCATTGACGTCTGTTGCTGAACTCTTGAGAGCAAACCAGCGGAGGCAAATTAAGTAATCAACAATCTTCTCTTTCCTAAATATCTCTCTGTTCACATCAACTTTCACTAAATGACACAGACTGAATAAACCTAGTTTCTCAGCTGGTGAAAACATGTACTGGGTTCTGGTCTTCCTCGTATCTGTATTGTTCTTGGCTTCGCAACTTTCCTGGGATTTTTCTGCAGTGCCATTCAGCACCTGGCCACATTTAGGGCCAGACATGGCTAATTTGACAAAAGGGATCAATGTTACCCAAGTAAAAGTATTTTCTTTTTCAAAATCGCCGATGTCAGATGGCTTAAATTTTTGTACAAACTCTTCTAAGACTTGGTCGATGTTTTCAATTTCATCAGACTTGAGCACGTTTTCTTCAGGCAATGTTAAAATATTAGCCAAGGAAAGACAAAAATAGTACCTGAATAAAGGAGTACCATTATATACAGGTAGAAAAACGTGGAAATCATTGCCCCAGACTCATAATTCGACAAAGTCAGAGATGCTTCAGGCAGTAAATGAATTTCAGAATTTGAACAGTCTGTGGTGTATACTTACACAACCATTGGTGAATAAGAAGGATCATCCTCAGATTGAAATACAGCCATTGCTAGTTGAGCTTCTTCAAGCATCGAATGGTGGCAATTGTTTTCAATCATATTTACTGCAGCCTTGGGATGCACTGAGCAACTAAACAAAGCATTAGCTGCCACAATCTTTTCATAATCATCTGAAGCATTTGATGTTAGCCACAAGAATTTGGATAAAATTTCTTGATTTTTAGTGACTGTTGGTGGCATATCTGGGAGCTCAATAAAGCTATAAAACAAAACATTGATGGAATTTCTTGAAGGGTTTTATAAATGACTTAATAGGACCGATTTGTAAGAATGATTTCGTTTAGATTAAAGTTGAGGATACTGGTACAAGTTTATAAATGTTTAACTTACGCACACAAACATCCAACTGCAGCTTCATTAATACTGATAACAAAATATTCTTGATCTACGTCACTTGAAACTTTGAGAAAGCTATTAATAAACGGCTCAAGACCAATCATCTTTAAGACAATAGAACGGTCCTTTTCCTTCTCCATGAAATTCCACAGACAATGAAGACATGATATTTCTAGGCGATTGCTGTTGTGATTCATGTCATGTATGAAAGAGCCAAGATTATATTTTTCCCTATTAAAAGAAAATGATGAATAAATTTACAGCTGAAAACGAACATGTTTTTGGTCATAATTGGTCAGTTTTGAACCAATAGTAAGCACCAGAGGTTGGTTTTCAATTTCCGTAGGGAATAATGCTCCAGGTCGAATGATGTAGGCGTGGAAGAAGTTTGTTTATCTGAATTATCTCCTGTCAACCTGGTCATGAACTTTTCTACATGTTTTGTATGTGAATGCTATTACAAGTTAATAATAAAAGGGAGAGGGAAGTGAGGGTTACCACAATCTATATCACCCAGAATTTGTTATGGACTGGTAATATACCAATTTTTGATTGAAAACTTCCTGGAGGAAAAGTCGTAGCATTTTGCCAACAACTCCAAACCTCCCTCTTGTACAAAGAAACGCTTGTTTGCGTTTGTTTTCTTGCTGCGCCATGTCATGAAGATATCACACATGCATTTTTCCAAACTCGTCAACACTGTTTCATATAAGTGATAACAAACAGATATGAATTCATCATCATCATTCCAGTTGACGTCAATCACTTCCTCTTTTAAAAAAACCTTGGAAAATTCATCAACAACTTTCTTTATAAACGCTTTCATGTCGTTAAGACATTCACCAATGGACTGCATATCACATACACTTATAAACTTAACAATAAACGTGTCTCCTTCTTGTACATACAAGTTTGATATTTGCTCGTTGTCTTCTAATTTTCGGTCATAAATTGGTGTTTTACACAAATATATCGACATGTCACAAATGGCAACGCTCAGTAAAGGTTGCAGTTTCTTCTTTAACTCTCCAATACATTTCACGTTTTCCAATGTAATTTCAAACAATGTTGGTGTGTCACCTGGCAATGGGCATTCACTTTCAACGCGAATTTTAACTTCCATTAAGTAAATAAGTATGAAGACCTCGATGCAATGTTAACTGGTATAAAGTGTTTAAAAAAATGCGGATGTAACTTTGTTGCATATCTTTGGAACACGCAATATTTGGGTGGGCGTAGACGGGGCCACAAAGTGAAACTTGGAAGCCCAGAAATAATTTTTTTTCTCTGAGCCTAAGACAGTCACTGGGTGTGGCACTGCAGAATGTACATGTTTCATGGAAATTGGGAGGAACACAACAGAACTGTACTATGCAAAGTTAGAAAGTATATTGATGGACATTGGTGAACAGAAGAAGCTTATTTACTTTAATACATTATGTTATGCCCAAAGCATTTTGAGAGGTATGCTTTTGCTATGGATTCTAGACGTGGGGGTTCACGTTGGTGAAAATCTTCAAGTTTTGGTATCAGGTCATTAACGTCTGGACACTGTTTCGCAAACCATTGAGCACATATTAAATAATCGACAATTTGTTCTTTTCTAAATAGCTTCCTGTTCTCTTCTGTTGTTACCAAGTGACAAAGACAAAATAAACCAATTTTTTCCGCTGGAGAAAATTTGTAGGGAGACTTGTGACTGTCCTTTATGGATTGTGCGTCTACATTGATTGAGGTCTGGCAACTTTTCCTAGGGCCAGACAAAGCTAGTTGAAGGAAAGGGATTAACGTAATCCACACATAATTATGTGTTTCTTGGAAACTGCTAATTGTTACTGGCCTACAAATCTGCAGAAATGTTTCTAAGACGTGGTTGATTCTCTCAGTTTCTTCTTGTGTGATTATGTTTTTATCAGGCAAGGTTAGAATGTTGGCCAAATACAGACAAAGAAAGTACCTGTGAATGTAAAAAAATGGTTGCAAGTTATGCAGGCTTCGCTCAGACTTGCACACAAGGTGTTGCGAGGTACAGGAATGTATCTTGGTATGCTTTTTATCGAGAGATATATCATTATACTCACGCAACAGCTGATGAAAGATTTGCCAAAGCATTTCTATCCTCTGTTGCTTCAACTGTTTTAAGCACCATTTCATAGCATTTATTTTCTATGATCTTTTCAGCAGCTCTAGGGTGACTTGAACAGCAAAACAAGGTATTGGCAGCTACCTCTTTCTGATAAGCATTTGACCCTTTCATTGTGATCTGGAAGAGCTTTGACAGAACTTCCTTCTTTTCAGCTATAATAAGCTGAATATTTGGCAGCTCAACGTACCTTGAATGAGAAAGATATTAGTTTTAAAGCCTCCAAATATCATATCAGATTCTCTCATGTGAGCATGGTAACCCTTTCCAGAATTGCAACTACTCTATCTGTAACCAAGTTAATACACAAACATACTGTACTAAGCATCCAACAGAAGAGTCATTGATTTGGTTGAGACGAGATTTTTTTTCCAGATCCTTGACACTGCTTTCATCTTTCAGAAGGGAGTAAAGAAATGGCTCTAGGCCAATCACTTTTAATACCAATTGACGATCTGCCTTCATCTCGGAAAAGTTCCACAAGGTGTAAAGGCAAAAAATTTCCAGCTCTTCTTGCTTCTCGTTGAAGTAATCTGGTCTACCCTCATCAGTTACACTAAAGTGAAAGAGGATCATTCACTGGAGTTATTTAAATGAATGTTCAATGTTGCAAATTAATATCTATTAGAAAACCTTAAGATGCAGTGTAGCAAAATTGCACTGTTATGTTGCAATACCAATCACTGTAATATTAAATGGACTATCTGGCAATAACATAGCTTGGAAATCATTGTCTTGTATATATTGTAACATACCCGACTGACTCAAAGTGACTTCTGGAAGCAAATCTATATATTCTTCCCAACAACTTCAAACCATCCTCTTGTGCAAAATAATGCCTGTTTGCATTGGTTGGTTTGTGTGTCCACGGTACAAACGTTGACGAGGAACAATACTGTAAGTCTAAAATCACACTTAGATAAAACTCGTCGTATTCTCGCAACTTTTCATCGTTTTCCCAGTCCGCATTATCCATGGAAATCTTCTCCCCTTGCGAAAACACGTCGCAAATATTCGTGACAAAGGCTTTCATACGGTTAATAAACCCAGACAAGAAGTGCATTTCGCATGTGCTTTCAAATTTCACTACAAACGTATCTTGTTCTTGCACGTATAAGTTTGAAATTTCCACTGTGTTTTCTAATGCTTTGTTGGAAGTCTGTCTCGTATAAAACACGGACATATCGCAAGCAGCTACGCTCAGCAAAGGCTGTAGTTTCATCTTTAAGTCGCCAATACATTTCACGTTTTCTAAACTTATTTTCAAGTCTGTTATATTCACTGGGCATTCACTTTCGATATGAATTTTAACCTCCATGTTTTTAAAAAACGTTTTTAAAAAGTTTGTTGACAATTGTTGACAATGAAAACCGAGGAAAAAGGGAAATGCCCTGGGAACCAGCCGCGAAAAATGCAAAATTGTAGTTTGTTCACTGATAAGTGAAATACGCATGCGTAAAACCTTCGACAATAAGTACATCTGAATATCATATTTCTAGTCTTAGCGAAGCAAAAAAGTGCCAAAAACAGCTTGTAGTCCGAAGTTATGACCAGATTATCTTTTTAAATTACACTATTTTGTTCTGTAATTTTGTTATTTTACTTATTTTTCTGCAATATCTAATGCTGCAAAACTGTCCACAGAAGGCGTATTGCCAGCGCCGTAAGCTGGATATATTTGACACGCTTTTTGCAGAAATTCACTGTCTGAAATGCTCCGTCAAGCACACTAGTCCCGAAAACTCCAATTCATAGCCACAAGTCCTCTCTTGTCATAAATCATTTGCCTAAAACCGAATATGAAGTGTAAGAGAAAGGAAGTGAACCAATACTACAAAGGTGAATCACGCCTACCTATTTTAAACCACTTGGGAACAGATTTCTTAACGTTTTGTCTCGTATTCTCCTGACTTTCATCGGATTCTTGCACCGGTATTGTTAGTGCAGCGTCTTCTCTCTTAGGCTGATCGCTCTGAACACTGCTCTGCGATTTACTGGATGTGCCTGTGTTAACTTCCATTGTTGATGAGGATGTTAAAGGTCTGATGAAGAGAACCACGGAATTAAAAGTGAACTATCCTTGACGGCTTGCAAAAAACTAAGCTTCACACAACGCAAGTAAATACCGAGTATTTGTATACCTTTGGCCTAATTTCTCGTTAGCGGCGGTGAAATCCGCCATCTTTTGAAGAAGATGTGTGTGTAAATAACTCTCTGGAAAAGATACGTTTGGAAGAGTTTGCATTCGAGAATATTGTCAAAAGATTTCACACGAATTCTCAATCAAGTTTACCCTGAACTTGTGGACTGCCAAAATGGACTATTGCTGTGGGGAAAAGTTTCGCCTGTGAAAAAAAAAAAGGTGACTCTAAATATAAGTCCAGGTTGTGTTTGATTTATTAACTCAGAGCGATCTCCTCTTCCAGGAGGGTCGAAGCGACACTGTAGTGGATCTCTAGAGCTAATCCCAGACCATGGTGGTCTCGCTGTGACTTGTGAGATGAAATACTTAAAAAGGCTAATTACCACCGGAATACTCACTTCAAATAAAGTTAAATTTGGTTTATCGAGTATTCTCTTTGGTGGCGTTGTGTCTGAAAAGTGAATTATTAAAACATTAGGGAACTTTTATAAGACGATACAAGTCATAATCAACTTCACTTACAAAGATAAAAGTTCGTGTTTCTTTGATGAAGATTTTCGCTCACAAACGAAATGACATCTGAAACTGTGAAAGAAATGACACATATTCTCACAGCATTGAACAATTTCATGGCTTAATTTCCATTCAAGAAGTTTTGTTTTACCAGTTTCTTGCGGTGAGAAAAATCCTTGCAGAACAGTCCGATCAGGAAAGTGGATTCTGATGGCAACCTGGAAGTTGAGAATGAAATATTTCGCTCATTTCCCAACAGTTCACTGGAACTATCATGTTTAAAACTACCTTATTATATTTATGTATTTTGCTTTTCTCTTGTTCCTCTCTCATTTTCGTTGTCATCAAAGGTTTCTCTACCGTCCTGGGATGTTTCAAGAGAGCAAGTCAGATTTTGAGATGTTTCAAAGGCAGGAAAGAATGGTTTGGTGTTTACATAAAGATCAACTACCTGTCATTCTTAAGATCCTTCAACATCAATCGCAAATCATCAACTGTGACCTCAAAGAAATCGTCAGATATCTCGTCTGGAGAATGATAGAGTTGTTCGTTGAAGAAGAAAACCATTTACATCAAAAAGTACGAACTGTGGGTCTGGTATTGCCTTCCTGCACTTACCTGAGGATACGGGCACGTTCTCTCCCATGCGAAACGCTAAAGGCTCTCTGTCAGGCAGGGGAATATCGCTATGTAAAAATACACAAGGGATTTATAGATTTCAACAATATCGTTGTCGTATTTCATATGATTCAGGACATTTAGGTACTGTACCTCTCAATTGAGGGTTCATTGGTTACCTAAATAAAATTACTTTAATCAATCACTTGTGTTTGACTGTACTGAAAACGACCGGCTTCTCAGGGTAAAGTAAAGCGCTTCACAGTTTTCTTACTTTGTTTGAAGAAGGGGGTGATTGAATGCGGGCTTTCTTTACGTCAGGACCTGGATGACATAAAATGATTATCAAATGGATGTACACAATCAGTTCTAGGGAGGGAAAATACAGATTTCTACTAAATGTGAATGGCTCAACGGGTGGTAATTCCTAGTGGATCTTAAGCTCTTGTAGTTCTACGGAGGAGTCATCAGTTACCCACCACTATCACTTAAAGTTCTTCCAACTCCGCTGAATGCTCGCACTTGGTTTGCAGTCCTGCCATCTGATGTTGACGCTACAGACTCCAGAGGGGGTGGATGTAAGTTCGCTTCTTGTACACTATCCTCTGTAACTACAGAACAAATCTCTCCACTCCCCTCTCCTGCCTGGGCGTCAGACTGTTCAATGTCCATGGCATTTTTACCTTTCCCGCTTTTACCCTTTGGCTTTGAATGTTCAGCCTCGGACTGGTTGAGCTTGACCAGCCTAGCCTCTGATTGGCTGAGCTCAACCAGCCCAACATCTGATTGGTTGAGCTTGTCCATCCCAGCCTCTGATTGGCCGACCTTCTTAGGTTTGCTCTCACATAGTTCAATGTCCATAGCATCGCGGATATTTCTGTCTATTTTCTTTGGCTTGTGAGATTCTGTTTCTAAGTTACCAACTTGATGTGCTTTATCTGAAATTAGAAATTTTAGGTTTGAGTAAGGCATGCTTTCAAATCTGTTAGAAAAATCATATACACCAGGAGGAGACTTGGCTGACGTCAGGCATACTACCTCTGGCTCTGATCTCGCTACATTGCATGGAATCATCTTCGCTGATTTGACTCGCCATTGAAATATCACTCGTGCTTGCTGATGCTACCTCCATATCTTCACTGGATTGTTTTCCATGAGTTTCAGACATGACCGTCTCTTGCGTGGCTGTCGCTGTTTCAGCAGCTCCTTTGAGACAAATTAGAGCATCAATTCTAAATTCTCACATGCGTGAACTGATTAACTGATCGTGCCACTGAGAAATTAAATGATTACCCCAGAGCATACACGATTGGAGCTCTATTCAAACAATATTCTTAGATTCATTTTCTGATATTGTACCAACCTTCCTCTACGGCTTTATCTTCCTCTGGTTTTGACAAATTCGGTTGAATAACTCTAAAACATCACATCAAAAAAATTGAGACAAGAACTTCTTGCAAGCGTCTTTTAGAGGAGACAGAATATACCTTATCACACCTCGACCATCGTTTAAACCTATCATTGACAGTGTAGTTGTTCGGAGTTTTTCTAAACCGCGTATCTAAAAAAGTGGACGGATCTTTCAGAGGATTAAAGCTATCGTATCATAATCTGGTCTTGACAAGAATCACTTTACCTAATATAGACACTCGCATCGATAGAGTTCGTTTATAAGTTTCCACAAAAATAACTCAATAATTTCATTACCCACCTGTTGGTTGGCGTAGATGCATACCACGCCGTCTAAAGTATCCTCAAACGTCAGACTATAGGAGGAAACAATTTAGAAAAATAGTGATTTTATGTTTCACTTCTTTCAATGGACAGAAACTAAGGTTTTGACCATACACCATACCCTTTACTTTGAGATTTCCAGTGCATTAATATGTTGAAAAGCGTATTATCTGAATTAAACTCTTGGACAAGACGTTCACCATTCTCAAGTTGTAGAGCAACGACACACTTCTTTACTAAAACAATTGTAAACAGTATCATGCAAAATACTCCATCTTCAAATAGAAAAAAAAACTGAATGAACATGTCCTTGAAACTTCAGAATGCAATCTAATTTATATGGTATATGGTGGTTTTAAAGAAACAGTCAAAGTTTATAATCTACGTTTTAATGGTATTGAAATCTATCCATTCTTTAAAGACCTAGCAAAATTTTCATTCTCACCAGTATGCTGGTGTCCATCAGCTGATTCGATTAATTCAAGATGAGCATTATTTGGAAGATTTGCAAACCGTATTGTAAGGCTACTGTCCAATGTTTTTCTTTGATGTCTAGTTGGTTAAAGAGAGGGTTATCTATTGGTTTTTGATGTGAGATGTAATATATATGTGTGGTAGCTAGGGATCTAAGGGATTGAGAGATGAAGGTTGGGTTGAAATAAAGGTGTAGCATTGTTATGGTGGCAACTGGGAAGGTGTGCAGGGGGGGGAAGAATGTGAATGTGGGGTGTAAAGATGCAGGAATCATTTGGGTTGCGGTGTGGTATAAAAATAGTTTGTGAAATTGTTATATGCAGATGTGAGAACATATAGTTCGTTACACACAAAATATTCAGACATTCTTTACTCACTTAAGTTTATACTTATTTGAATCTAGATCCTGTTTCTTGCACACTTCTTGTATAACCTAAATAAATATTGTACGAAATGATATGTTCCTGGCGGTGACATACACCAATCTTATACAGCATTAATATTTCGATCAAATATTGCTGACGTCAGCAGTATTTATATCACGAAACGCGAACGAATATGAAACATTTTATGGCATTCGGAGTTTTGACGAAGATCTAGACATGCAAGATAACAACCTCTGTCGCTTTCGTAGCTTTCAGAATACACAGTCAGAGTAAAAATATTTATAAAAGACCTTGTTAACATAACCGAGGTTTATGAGACAAGATTTATAAACCACTGTGGTCAGATTTATGGGAATGGAAAGAAAACATTATAAAGGGGTAATTTACCTGCAATAAAGTCATATGCGCAGTCAATTTAACTTTTTGTCGCCGGCCATTTGGACATTGAATATTTACCACCGAACAAGAAGCCATCTTGGAAACCGCGCTTGTGTTTACGAACATAGAGGACTGGAGAAGACAACAATTTCAACAATATTTCTTTTTGGTTAAATTTTTTAATATCAACAACATTGACATATTTCAACAGAAATGTGTGGTATTTTTGTACATTTGTTCATAAAATAAACCCAATCTTTTTTATATCAACAACATTTACATATTTCCACAGAAACATGTGGTATTTTTGTACATTTGTTCATAAAATAAACCCAAACACATGCAATTGTTATGTTTGTACTGCTTCTTTAAAAGATAACACAACATCTTTAGTCCTGCACATAATATACATGTAGTTTCAGGTTGCAAATTCCCTAAATCAACATTGGTCTTGACAAGAGAAGCATGGCATTCATTTGATGAACAACCTTCAACAGAGTTAGTTTCTTCCAATCATTGATAATGTTTTATACAATTTGGTTTCATCCTCTTGATGTGGATCGATTAAATTAACCTGGCGTTGGAAGAGACTTAACTGCTCTTTCAGTTCACGAAAATCTCTATCTCCTGATAACACTGTGAATGGAATATGCTTCGGTAATTGCAAGTCCAACCTTCCTGCATGAATACACAATGCAATGTCTGCAGCGTTTTTCCCTTTTCCACACTTGGGATGCTTGTAAAATCGTTTTTCTTCCATAAGTTTTCGTAAATGCCGAGACCATGATGATTTTTTCTCCGTGTAATCGCCACCGCAAAAGCCCAAAACAAATAGCTTTGGATGAAGAGGATGAGGCAAAGATAGGAATCTTCCCCAGTTGTCAAGATCAATAAACAGAATATGTTGAGCTGCCGCCAAGTTTGTCTCACTAGTATAAGAATTAGCCTGTTCTGTACAATGTCTTTTAGGTTGACTATCAGGATTGTTTGAGCAATTTTTCCTTTTTAACGAACCATTAACACAATAACTTCTGCTCTTGGCTGTGCAAGGTATATCTTTGTGGTTTGCCATTGCCACTGATAAGTTCCCATTGTTATTAGTTGCTGAGAATGAATGATTTGAACTGTTCTTATCCGTCAAGATAGATCTTTTCCCTTCAGTAAACTGTGGCGTGTTTAATATAGCTGGGCTTGTTGATGTCGAGGGTTTACTTTCGATTCTGTCAGGGGGTAATGACTTAACGTTCTTCCTATTAAAGTGGTTTATCCAGGGTTTGTTTTCATTTGAAGATGATGGTTGGACTAGTTGGTTTGTATTAATGCTCGTGCAGTTTCCCTGGCACATATTCTTCTCTTCTGCATCAGAAATCTCGATCACCCCGTCTTCTCTTACGTTATATACAGTTGACTCATCGCTGTCATCTTCAATGATGATAACCACTTTCTCCTTCATTTTTTAACTTAGTTCTTTGATAAAATTCAATTCTCAATCATACATCACCCCCCTTGCGAACCGCTATTTTGTCGGACTTGAATTATGACGAAACTCTGACGTCACACTCTTGATTGAGAGCTCTCTCCCAGTTCCCCAACTACAGCTGTTTAGGCGCCGTTTATGCTAAAGTGGCATTCGGTTCCATATTTATGACGCAGACTTTTTTGACGCTTCTGACTGAGATAAAGTCTAGTAATAAAGAAAACAATAAATATTCATTGATGGAAAATATATTATTAGCTACTGTCTGAATACATTCATTGCTGAGACGTGAGATTTTTGCTTCACGTAGTCACGTAGACAAAGAAATTAAACAGAATTAATTTTACTTCAGGCGTGTCTGATTCGCTGCAAAAACCTAACGCAGACGTGAGCTGTCTCTCGAGATGTTGCCATGCACGTTTAGTCGTTAGTTCAGAAAAATACGTGCGCGCCAGGTATTGTATTTACCATACCAAAAACCGAACAAAATTCAGTAGAGCATGATAGCCTAAATCAAGTTAACCGTATCCTTAATATCTCGTCAGACTCTTAGAACTTAGAAGTCCATACTAAGCATCAATCATTTTATTTTGGAAAGATCATTTCACAAAAAGAAAAAAAAACAAGCTAATTAGCTAATTTCTTTCATATCACAGCTTGGACAATCTCCATGTCAAATGATGTAGAAAATGTTACTGTCAGTAACTATATGCACTCTTCATGTTACATGGAAGCTTCAGTTCATATAGGTTATTTTGAATGTTGCGGCAAATGATTCTCCATGCGAGCTTACAATTAATGGTTTACTATGATAGCAATATATCCTAATATTGTTGAGGTCCTTCACTTCAAGGTCGCTGTCTGAATGCCACAGTTTCTCCGAGGCATCATTCCCCCAGCAAACCTGCGTTACCATGCAGTGATCGACCTCAGTATTTCTATCACCTGAATCTCTCACGCGCGAAGACTTTCCATCGTTTTCCCGAAAGTAAAAGAGAAACTGAGGCTCGAAAATCAGTGTCGAAACTGCAAGAAAATTCTAAATTCTTTTCGCGGTCTTCGGGACACCGCTAAGAGACTAACGTTTTGGCGATTATGGCTTATTCTGGTTGGCAAGGTTCTAGTTAGTATCCACGTATTGCTCAACTTTGCGTGTTTTGAAATCTACGATTAAGCAGCCATGAACAATATCGTATATTATTTTCATAGTTTATGCAATTTCACCCGCTGATTAATTGTTTGGAAATTGTAAAGGTTCTTTCTTTCATCTGATTAAATATTCAAGTGAATTTACATTCGAGGCACTAAGCGACAGCGATTTGAACGTGGAAACCCCAAGTTCATGTAGCAGTCATTTGCAGGCGCTAGAAGTGAACTCTTGTGATTATGAGCGGGATAGCTGGAAACCATGTTAGCAAACTTCAAAATGGAAGTGAACAAAAAATCGCTTTAATAACAGGAATAACTGGTCAGGTACGGGGAAGACGTTCTGTCATTTGGTTTATACTATTGTAACAAATGATCGAGGAGATCTCTATAGAGTTGTGTAATTGGTTTAAATTAGTCCTAATGCATTCACCAGGGCTTACACCATAAGCCAAATACTGCTTCAAATATACATTCACTTTTGACATAAGACGGATTTTATTTCAAACTGAAAAAATAAACAGGTATTCCAACTGCACGTTGTAATATGTATCGTAAAAAAAACAAGTAATGCAATTCATATAGTAAGAGTCGTTCTGCGTTATAATATCTTTTCATTTGAAATATATTTAACAAGTTATATAATTTTGCCAACTTGATATCGTACATGCATTATTTGACTGCTTTCATTTATTTCACGTCAAGCAAATATGTGAGAGCAAGTGTTCCGTGTTGACAGTGTCATTGTAGTTTGTTAACACACTTCAAATATTTTAATTTGATCGCCATTTCTAGATTATTTCATATTTAAATGTGTAATATTTGCATTCTTGTTGTCCATGCCAACATTGAAGTATTTCGGAATGCATTTTTTTGTAATTTTAATATTCCTGAAACAATGCTGGTAAACTAGTTAAAAAAGACTGGAGTCGTGGCATTTGAGACCTTGCTCCTTACGACCTTTGCCTTAGGATTTTTCACGGCAAACGCTAAACCGCTGACGAATTTTTAACTACACTATCCTAGAGTGTGCTACAATTCTATAAAAGTTTTTCATAAAACTCGTGATATTCAGCAATGATGCAAGAAAGCAAAGTCCAAGAGTAAATTCTGCTAAGCAGTATATTCATTTGTTTACGTGGTCACTTTTATTGCCACTTAAGATTCGTATTTCCGGCAAGGCCGAACTTTCCTGGCAAGATTTTTCTTCATCTCTTTGTTTCATATTTTCTTATGTGAAAGTTTGGAATGTGCCTGGGATTTTTAAATAATAGAGTCCATCTCGTCTTTATTGCCTTTCTCCGGGCCTAACGTTCTTCTTTGCTTGTCGTTATAAATGATGACACGTGAAGCTTAAAGTTGAATTCACTTTTAATGCTTTAACAACTTTGAATGCATGTTTACAGTCGTTCAAGCATTAAATTTAATTCAGTAAACCTTAAACACAAACTTGTTAGAACACAAAGTTTCTTAATGCATAGACTGCGAATCTCAAAGTCTCTATATTGTCTGGACTATATTGTCTGCACTTGCAGCTGAAAATCATAGAGATGGATGAATATACGATCGATAAAATAAACATAAAATGACAACTTAGATGACGATGGAGATAGATATAAAATGCCTTTTAGTTGATTTTTTTCAAACTTCTCATCCGAAACATATTGCCATAACAACTCGGCCTAAAATAGACTAAAAAAATGCGAAACGTGTCCTGGTCCTTAAATATAGTTGTAAAACGACACAGTGACTAGAAGAAACTGGAAAAATTCCGTTTTATTTCCCACGTAGACAAACGAATGCGAACGGCAATGATATCCATATTTATTTTTGCTTTATTCTTTTCAGGATGGCTCATATTTGGCAGAATTGCTTTTGTCGAAAGGATATATGGTAGGACTTCATGTTATCTCCTCGCAAACTGAATTAGGGTGCCAGGAGAAGGTTGTTTGTAGATTGATTTGATCAGGGGGAAGCCCGGCCCTCACCTCCCCCCCCCCCCACCCGCTGTGGTTATTCATGAAGGAGGTGGTTAGGCAGATATTCTTCCAATGTGCCCATGAAAAGGAAATATTGATTTAATGATCTGTAAGAAATTATTGAAGTCATGGAAAGATTTCGTTGTGTTTAGGTTCACGGAATTATTAGGAGGTCCAGTTCGTTCAATTTGGGAAGAATTCATCATCTTTTTGATGATCAAAAATCTCATAAACATGACAGTAAGTTGCCTGAATAATCGATTCTATCTTCAATAGAAACACTAAGGGTTTTACTGATATTCTGCACTTATGTTACTGACAAGAGATGATGATTCTTTGTTTTGTAGATTTGAAGTTGCACTATGGCGATTTGACGGATAGCACAAATCTTGTTAAAATTATTTCAGAGGTAAGCTATTGAGGTAGACTACTATGACATATCTCTCGAGCATTTCTCAAAAATATCGTATTCCTCAAAATACATCACAACCAAGCATGGATCTGTACCTCCGCTCACAACTTACTGAAGCTAATTCGGCTGCTTCCGGTCCTAATTCGGTATAAGATCGGCTTCGTGTCGTCCTGTCTCGACGTGCTGTTTCTTGCCCTATAGATTAAACCTGATGAGATATATAACTTGGGAGCAATGAGTCACGTTAAGGTAAGAATCCTGCACGGAAATGATGAAAGCTACGTCATAACGCATACTTGTTAAGTTCCAACCAGTGCGAGTTTCCTATCAAACATTGTACAGAGCAATACGAGGTGATAGAGCTTTTTGTCTTCAGGTATCATTCGAACTAGCTGATTATACGGCTGAGGTTGATGCTTTGGGAACGCTACGGATATTAGATGCAATCAAAACATGTAACATGGAAAAAACAATTCGTTTTTATCAGGTGAAGTTTGTCACATACCTCAATAAAGCTAAAAGTCTTCATAATTCATAACCACGCGTAAAACTATGCACTTAACCTAAAACTTCGCACATGCGGATAGACGTCACGATTTAACTTAATTTTATGTGAACTTCTTGTATTTGATGGTAGGCATCTACAAGTGAAATGTATGGTAAAGTTCAGGAGACCCCACAGACAGAAAAAACACCATTCTATCCCAGGTCACCCTACGGTAGGGAAATTTTATTATCTCATCCGTGAAAGAGATTTCCGACACGCATATAATATGAACATTATGGAAAGCCAAATTTAAGTATATTATACGAAAATAGAATAACATTTAGCAGGCATAATTCCAATATTAAGACGTGGTGGAAATATGTTTTTCATCGCTTTTTAAAACCAGAGTTTTTTCAGCTCTCCCGCACATTTATATTCATCAGGTTGTGCAAAGTTGTACGCATACTGGATCACTGTGAACTTTAGAGAAGCTTATAATATGTTTGCTTGCAACGGGATATTGTTCAACCATGAAAGCCCAAGACGAGGTAACTCATCTGTATGTTAGCAGAGCATGGATCACTGATCTTACAGTACACTGGAAATAGCAACTCGAAAAGGAACCGCAACTTTACTCCCAAGCTTTGGCTCTTAGCTTTAGCTTTTAAGTGTAAAACTTTGCTAAATCTTGTTCAGGTGAAACATTTGTTACCAGAAAAGTCACTCGAACAGTGGCGAAAATAAAGTTGGGATTACAAGACGAGGTTTGTGAACGAGAAACTTGTTTTTACTCCAGAATGAGGTAGATATTGAATAAGGAAACGAAGCCACTCTATATCTTCACCAGCCGTTGGAAAGTTTAACATCCTTAGCGTTTCAACACCCTTAGTGTTAAAGGTTTTATATATGATGTGAATCATTTCATCACTTCTCTTCAATGTTTAAGGGTTGAAAACTTTTAATATCGTATTAAATATAATTCCTGCGGAAAGCCTCAATGGTGAATTACCTAAACTCCCAATTCTGTAGTGGAAAGAATATGTTTTGCGCCAATACAGACCCTGAAAATCAATATATTGCTTTTCATTTTCAGCTCCACATGGGAAATATCAATGCTGTGCGTGACTGGGGACACGCGAGAGACTTTGTCGAGGTAACTTCTTTCTCTTGTGAATAACCATTTCAACGGGACCGTTTCTCAGGGGCTGTTTACATGAGCCCGGTTACCCGAGATTCAACGAAGCGTGAGATGATTTTGAGGTATTGAAATAAGTCTTCATGACACCAAACAAGCACATGCTATTGTTGTGGTCATTATACGACTGTCAGGATCATGTTATCTGCTCGTTTCAATACCTCAAAATCATCTCACGCTTCGTTGAATCTCGGGTAACCAGGCTCATGTAAACAGCCCCTTAGTTATAAATGTCTTGTATTCAAGTTGTTAAAGGATTAAATAGAAGTCGATGATCATTTTAGGCAATGTGGCTAATGTTACAAAGTGAGAAACCAAGTGATTATGTCGTGGCTACGAACGAAGTTCACACCGTCAGAGAATTAATCGAGGTTTGCTTCAAACAAGTGGAAATGCCCATTGTGTAAGTTTAAGAGAACGCGGTCTGACATCAGCGGCTGGTTGTATAAAACTCTTAACTACATTTGAAGCAGTTAAATCGTAGTTAACTAGAAAATACATTAATCTGATTGGTCAATTCTGCCACTAATTATAGTTGAAAGTTAACTACCTTTTCATACAACCGGCCCCAGGAGCGCTGAGATAGATAGACTACCTGGAAATCCAAAGGCAGGCTCTAGAAGTTACTGTTATTGACTACCTTAAGCTTTCTTTAAGCTTCAAGTTACCAGAGTGAGAAATGGTTGATTTGTTGTAGTTGGGAAGGCAAGGGACTTGATGAAGTTGGAAAAGAAAAAAAAACTGGGATCATCCGTGTTCGAATCAAGGAAAAATATTTCAGACCTTCAGAAGTGGTAGGTTGCAAATGGTTGATAGTTTATGAATTTGACGTTTTGTACAAGATCTGGTTAGCAATTAGGAAATGAAGGAGCCTCTCAGGAACTAATGGGATCTAAAGCAAGATTCCATCTGAAATTATTTGTTTCTTTTTCAAGGAATATTTACAAGGTAACCCTGAAAAGGCTTACAAGGATTTGGGATGGAAGCCAAAGATCACCTTTCATGTAAGTTGCTACAACACTCTAGGCGTTCCTCAAGAGGTGGAGCGGTAGACGAGGGACAATGAGGGGGAAAAGGGAGCAGGAGGGGGAGGAGGAGCGGGGAGTCAAAGGGATGCATGGGAATAGGGGATGTCAACTCAATATAGTTTCTGCTGTGATTGATTCCAGGCTCTAATCAAGGAAATGATGGACAGTGATATTGAGCTTATGAAGAGTGATCCAACAGCTTGAGTAGAATGTTTTTTAGACATATTAGAGGGAGGGTTTTGTATAGTTATTAGAAATATCTATATATATTTGATGTTCTATACAATGTTCATAGCCAAAACGAGGAGCTACGAGGTCCAAGACCATTTTGTAATTCATGAATTTAAATATATTGAATCGAATTTTTTTTTGTATGAATTAACGCTTTTTTGCGATAAGAGTTGGTTAGTTCTTGGATTTGCGAACTTCTAAAACGATCAGACTGAGACAATCGTATCGACCCTAATCTGTGGTAATGCTTTGACCAGCTTTGACCAACCACTCGGTAACCACTGACCAGCCAGAATCTATGCTGGTAACCGAGCCGTTTTACAGTGTCTTAAACAACGTTCCGCAGCTGTAGCTGACAGTATTGGATCACTGGCTCAAATGAGTTGCAACATTGGCTTTTTTCAGTTTTTCTTGTGTTTCTTCCGTGTTGACTGTCCAGAGTCCGCGGAGTTTTTAGCGATTTTTACAGTAAAAAAGATATTTTAAAGCTTCAGTATGTCTGGAAAGAGTGTTCATGAGCTAATTGTTGGACCAATAACCTGTTTCGCCTTGGACAAGCAGAGACAAAGTAAGTTTCTAGCGATTGTGAATGTGACATCGCGACTCAAGTTACTCAACCAATCATGGTATATTCTTCTAGCTCAGACCGTCTTTTTCAATTTCATAGTTTGCTTGTCATCTATTAAATTAGAAATAAGAACGTGTATCGTTATAGAATGAAAGAAACGCAAATTTTAGGACGGTTTTTTTCGTTTAAAAGTTGTAAATTCAAGTAATTTTGGGGAGTTCATATACAGGAAATGGTTGAGAACAGGGAGTGCCCAGTTTGAATTTAAATACTTTCGTAAAAGATGGAGTGAACTTACAAATTGAGTTCATTAATCTCTGTCATTACAAAAAAAAGAAATTTAACAACAGTCTAGTGTTTACACCTTCAAAGCATTTTAACTGCGTTGATTAAGCAGAGATTTGTACACAAAACTTATTAAATATGTTGTTTTGATAGAACTGGCATTCTCCCCAAATGACCACACTGTCCATATCTATAAATTGGCTGGGAATAAATGGCAACCTGATTGTGTTTTAACTGAGGTAATTTGCAATCACCTTGCATCTACTAAATATGTCACAGCATCTTCAAAAAATCTTATCTGAAGAATATATGTCTGTTGTATCAAATGCAAATTTGTAATGTGAAATTAGTTATCATTTATGTCGCATACAAGTTTATCTGGTAGTGAATATTTCTATATCATATGATTAAATAATTATTGAAATGTAGATAAGTTCTAAAATAACTAGGGAGCAGTGTGGCAGCATCTTCAAACAACTTAGCATCAAATGTGGTATAACAACATTATTGAAATGTTAATATATTTCAGCATGGTCAGAATGTGACTGGCATTGATTGGGCAGCTGAAAGCAACCGTCTTGTCACATGTGGAGCTGTAAGTTGACTCAAGTCCCAAGTCTGGAGGAAATTAAACATAAATAATTTATTTTCATTAACCGCTCTCGCCACAGGACAGGAATGCGTATGTGTGGACACTGCAGGAAGGAAAGTGGAAACCAACTTTGGTTATTTTACGTATCAATCGCGCAGCAACATGCGTGAAGTGGTCACCCAAAGGTACTGTAAGAGCTTTTGAATATTTGTAAATATTCAAAGCACTTCAAAAAAAATGAAAACCATGTTCTTTTGTGTGTTTTTTAGAGGACAAATTTGCTGTCGGAAGTGGTGCAAGGCTGATCTCAGTTTGCTATTTTGAAGAAGAGAATAACTGGTGAGTAAAATAAATAATAACTTCTCGACATTTCAACCTAAGGCCCCAGGCAAGTTAGTAGAATTCATGGCAAGAAATGTCCACACTTTAGAGATGTTAATCTGGCCTCATCTTTGTGTTTAACATATTTAATAGGTGGGTTAGTAAACACATCAAGAAGCCACTGAGATCAACTGTTACCAGGTATTCATAAATAAACTCTTAAGTTTTGAGGTCTGTTCAGACTTCAAATTAATACAAACAGAATATTGATAGATGAAAAGGGTCAACCTTTCACATTTTACATCCTAACATGGCTTTTTCCTTATCTAGCCTGGATTGGCATCCAAGCAATATTCTACTTGCTGCTGGTTCGACCGACTTCAAAGCCAGGTTTGTTGCCCAACCTTGCACCCAGATCCTGTTGTGTGTGTGGATGGCAAACACCCTTAATTCTTCTTCTCAAAATGGTCATCATATCTAATGTGTTTTCTGTTGTGTATTCAGAGTTTTCTCTGGTCATATCAAAGAGGTTGATGGCAAACCACCGAAGGAAACCCAGTGGGGTGAGAAACCTTCATTTGGTACATGCCTTGCCGAATTCTCAAATGGAAGAGGTAATAAGCATTTGTGATTCACTAATTTAGCGCACACCAGAGCTCAAGATTTTGACTGGAAACTCCTAAACTGTTGTTGTACCTTACCAAATCTTACACTACTAAAGCAATGGTAAAAATTTGAATTTGACTTTTTTATGTAAAACTCTAAATGGGTGTGGTTTTTCTCCAGGTGGCTGGGTTCATGATGTGTCTTTCTCTGCTGGTGGTGATAAACTGGCCTGGGTTGGTCATGACTCCAGTATCAGTGTTGTGGCATCTTCAAACCAAGCTCAGATATACACCATCAAGGGAGAATTCTTGCCATTCATTTCCTGCACCTGGATCACAAACAACAGTGTTGTTGCTGGAGGTGAGCTTGCTACACTGAAATTACATGCACAGAGTAAAGCCTTCAGTTTCATCTTCGTAGTTCGTCGTAATCTGTCGTCATAATTCTTCGTAATGTGTTGTAATTCGTCGTAATCTGTCGTAAGATCTTAACCAGATCTTAACTAGTTTTTAACCAGATCTTAACCAGTTCTTAACCAGATCTTAACCAGATCTTAACCACGGATCTTAGCCAGTTCCTAACCAGATCTTAACCAGTTCTTAACCAGATCTTAACCAAACTTGTTTAAACTCCAGGTCATGATTACGTGCCTTTGCTGTTCAGCGTTGACGATGCTGGTCAACTGACTTTCAACCAAAAACTGGATGTTGCTAAGAAGAAGGAATCTGAGGCGATGAGCGCTATGGCAAAGTTCAGAACTATGGACAAAGAAGCTTCGACAGGGGACTCCAACAAGGCTGTGAATACTACTCATCAGAACTCCATCAGGTATTTAGGGCTCTCTTCTGCAGCGTCCACTATAACTGTCTCTTACATTAAGTTTCCCTGAAGTTCCGCTAGCCTCCCATCACCGCGCGCTCACATTTATTCTTTCAGTACTACTATAATCGGTAAACTTAGCCCTGCGGGGGGAGAGAGAGGCTAAACTTAGCCCTGCGGGGGGAGAGAGAGGCATCTTATGCGCATTTATGTCCGCTCAAAATCAGCAGAAAACTTACGATCGTTTATCAATTTAGTCAAATTTCCATCCACACTGGTGACAAGGGAAACACGAGCAAGTTCGCTTCTGTTGGTGTCGATGGTCGCTTTGTCATCTGGGACGTGAAGGTGAGTTTACACAGCAGGAATGGGTTCATCTCTACCTGGAGGGAGGGACTAGCGCATGTCATAAATTTCGCTTAATCCACCCCAGTTGCACAATAACAGACGATCAGACACGCTTACCAAAGCATCCTGCATTTTATCTGGTAACTTCTTCTGAAAACCTGATGTGATATTATCTCACTTTCAGGGGCTGGAGGCTTCAATTGCTGGTCTGAAAATTGCTTAAAATTTCAACGTTCGCGAGAGAAACGTAATCGATTTAAAATGTAGAAAACAATTTCATTTTTTTCTGTGTACTTTCTACAATACTCTTCAAATATACAGTTTTTGCTAACGAGGGTTTGAAGTCAGGTTAAGTGAGAACATGTTGGGCAGCGTTTGCTTTCTAAAACTTTGCGCTATTCTTGGATTTTTAATTTATATACTCATCAAGAACAAAGGAATCAAAAGCGACAGGCAATAACTTCATATCATCCGTGATCTTTGAATGTTTACTCTACTAATCCATCAAATTTCACAACATATGTGCATGGTGCGCGGCTTTACGGTGTAGCTGATCACGTATTTCCCCTCATGGCATAGAGAGTCGGTTATTTTATTATTTTTCTTTGCTGCCCCATTTTCATCTATATTCACTAAGTAAAAATATCGAAATCATTCGGTACAGCAAATTAGTTTTTCGTTAATTAAACTTTGAACGGTCGTTTAAAGAAAAAGTACAAAATTTTGATCGCTCAAATTTCAACTGATTCAACACCTCGCGATGCCTCGCATTCTCGTGACATTCTTCAGAATGTCCTGTACTTTTTTTGACAAAATTTGACCGAAATATATGTTGAACAGGGTATTCAACCACTTGTTTGTCTAAATGATCTCCAGCAGTCACATTAAATCATTAGAGATTTAATTTATTCATTAAAGAGTCTGGACAAAAACCCAATTAAGAAATAACTTGACTATGTCAGACCCCATTGCCACCAGCAAAGCATTTTTTCTGGCGAATATTTTTTTATTTTAACTTCTTTTGTCCCCCTTGGTTGAAAACATTTGTGAAGAAGGTGTTGTAAATGTCGATAACATATATCTCAGGAAATGGCAGGTCTCAAGGACTAGCAAACAATGCATGTTTGTCTGGAAAAAACTCCTCAAAGTTGACTGCTTTATTCAAGAAAGAAATTGTTGGATTCACGTGTAGTGCATGATAGAAGTCGCGAAATTTAACTCATGCACAAATACAAGCATGCAAATCACTTGGTTTATCGTGTGGTCATGTACGCTCCCCTAGCTCATGTTAATCATATCTAGAAAGATTCGTTTGCATTGCTAATCTCAAAGTGTCAAATTATCTCAATTTAGCTAAACGAGCACAATACACAATTAAAACTGCAGTCATTGTATGTTTACTTACACCTGCCGGAATTCATTTTATATTCAGTCTATTACAGTAAACTTTGTTTGAAATACTGCTGCCGCTTTCAGATATTGCATCAAGATTACGTTGCTTAGCGCGTTAAGTGTTGTAACATATATATCACTAGTTTCGTCCTTAAACGAATAAAAACACTGTCCTTTGCTCGCGAGAAATGGCCGTGAATGAAACCCAAGTGACATTAAAAGACAACCAACTCGATGATTTCTCGACCAACGCTATTGTTAAATCGTTGAGTATGAAAAACAGACGCGCGGCGGGCAACTGGAAACAGCTGGTTAAAGCAATAGACGTCCAGAAGACGGAGAAATCCGCTGAACTTAATCATGACCGAAACAAGTTGCTTGGAAAAAGGCAACAAATTCAAACAAGAACCGTGTCTTTGGCCAACATGAAATCCTTGTTAAACTCGCAGGAAGAAAAGCCCGCTTTTTTGAAAGTGTACGACAGCCTGATGGCGTCAATGGGAAAGGAAAAACGTATCAAGTCAAGCAATCTTAGAGATGGTATCACAAAGCAAACACAAAGTTCTGAAAGGAAGAAAGTTGTGCGGAAGAACGTCAGCTTGTCTTTGAACGAGTTGCCAAAACTCGGACCAAAAACAAACGACCTGAGATGCAAGGAACTGGAAAAAATGGACACTGATGATACCAGCTGTGGCGAGGCTAATTCTGATAAGATTATCCCCGTTGAGAGACGCACTAGGCCACAAAGTGCTTTTGATTTTACCGAAGAAGAGCAAGACATGAATCGTAAACTTTACTGCTCTCCACCTTCTTTGCCTAGGATACATTTGCAGAAATCTCATAGGCCCAGATTTCGGAGTTTTGAGAAGGATGATGCGGATTATAAAAGAAAGATTTCTTGCAACGATGAGTCATGGACAAATATGCATCAATGTCGACATTTGCGTCTTCGGAAACGCTCTCATACAATGCACGACTTCAAATATAACACTCGTAAAACAGCAGGGAATACTACCAGATGAGAGGTTGAGGCTGAGCTTCCCATTCTTCAATAGTACCGTGATAAAACTTGACTTAGCGCAAGTACGAATTGTAAATATGATTCCATAGTGCGAATCATGTGTCTATATTATTCATTATCCAGATATGGGAGGCGACACAGTTTTCAAAGTTTTTCTGCTTTGTACTCATTTGTAAGAAACATTTTAAACTGCAACTGGTAAATTTGATTGCATTTGAATCCAATTAATTTTATTGTAAAGAACATAAATATATGAAAACTGATGGTCTAAGGTCCGCCCAACCTCGGGCCGCCTTCGCTCTTGCAAAAAGGGTGTTGGTATTCATGGTCTAGATCTAGGGGCCACCACCTTCACTGTCCCTCTAAGTTTGTGGGTTACATACTAGCTGTAACTTGACGGATCACCCGGCGGTATAACCGAACAAAAGCATCGTGATGCCTCGTCTTCGGGAGTGTTTCCTTTGATCATTTGATTTTATATCATCGCAGACTTGACAATTTGTTTTAATATTTAATATTAGAAATGATTTTCGCGACTCAATCTGTCCCAGATTATGCAATATTTTTTCCGGATAACGGGATATGTTATATATAGCTCAGTGTCTGTCGGGGGTGACGACATCCAATATGGCCGCACATGTGCAAATTTTAAATTTTAGTTTTAGTTTGATGTTTTAGTTTGAAGTTTTACTGTAACTGCTTGTTTGTAATAGCAAGACATACATAGAAAGACTTTGTGAATGGCAGTAAATGGCGTTTAGCAGGTTAGTCTGTGTTCTTAAATATTCTAGCATATAAACCAATAATAATCATTTGACATGTCTGAGTTCTGTCTGACATGCTAGATGTTTTCCACTTCTGGTTTTAAATTATATATTATGTCAAATATAATCAGTTTTACTTGTTTTAGTGCTCCAATATTGTGCAATGATAAAGAATATTTTGTTTCTAAAAAAATCCGGACGTTGCTACAAAGTTTTAGAAAGATGGTACGGTATTATATGTCGTTATGGCTCTGTTTGCAAGACCGCTCAAAATATGACCATACGACGTAAATCCAGCCGCATTTGGCTGCAAATAATTCAGGCTGGTCAAGGAGATACTTCTCCAGGTCTTTATGTATTCACTGATAATAACAGGTAAACACAAAGAAATGTTAATTGAGTTTCTAATATTACTTAAATATATTATTAATATTATTAGGACACTAAACTTATGTCTGTCATATTGGTTTGAATTTCAGATACCTTATCAATGCAGGAGAAAACACCTTAAGGCATCTGCAAGATAGTGGCCTGCCTATAAAAAGTCTGAACCGAATTCTTTTGACTGGTTCTTCAATAAATCATATTGGTGGTCTTACTAATATGCTTTTGGCAACACAGAACCCTGTTGAATGCCCAATCACTGTCTGCGGTCCACCAAACATTGAAGCATTCTTGCAAACCAATAGAAGGTCCTTTCAATATTTGTCAAAATTTGAATTTGTGAAGGTAAAGACTGTTGATGAAAGAGTATCTTGGAATGAAGTTATCGGTGATGATGACTTTAGAGTTTTTGGTTGTGCAATCAATGATGAGATGGACAGGGGTGATCTTAATCATATATACCCAAGACTTGCCATATCTTATGGTTTTGTGTTATCCCAGTCGCTGCGAAGAGTCTGTGTGAATTCTATGAAGAAGCATGGTGTATCTCATGATGTGTTTCAAAAAGTTGTACAGGAATGTCAAAAGGGGAATTCTATCAGCTTGCCATCTGGAAAAGTGGTAAGTTTTTATTGTTGTTTCAATGTTTGATTATTAATTTACCCTGATGTAGATTTCATTCAAAAAAAGCAGCTTCAACATTTTTCTTCTCTTGTTTTTATAGATCAATCCAAATGATGTTCTTCTTCCTCCTCAACGAAGACAGTCATTCCTTGTTATTGACTGTCCATCGAAACATGTTTTCAAAATACTCTCCAGATATAAACAAACTGACTTTTTCAAAGAAGATTTGGACACTCACATTGACCTGGTGATACATATGACCTCACAGGATATTTGGACGACACTGGAATACCAATCATGGATACAATCATTCAGCTCTGATACCAAACACATGCTGATGAACAACACAATGGTTGCTAATCCTTTTCCTACAGTTTTCACTTTTGATAAGATTTTTGAAAAACTGAACAGGGAACACCCAAACGTATTTCCATCCTTACAGTACTCTCTCCTGGACGAAGGTATGGTGAAGTTGTTGAATTCTCCTGAAGTTGTTACCATCGCTTCTCCTTCATTGAGATACATTTTTCGACCATTGAGATTGGAAGGGTTTGAAGAGTCTGTGTTGCAAGCTAAGATGGATAATTTATTACATAAATTGCGGGATAGAGAAGTTGCAAAACCATTTACCAGCTCTGATGCAAGTAATGATTTTGAAGTTGTCTTCCTTGGTACTGGCTCAAGAGTGTCCTCATTTTTACGCAATACAAGTGGTATTCTATTGAACCTGAGGTGAGAATTGTTTTATTTTGAGGTGTTTAAAATCTTGTAGCTTTTTTATTTGAGTGTTACTGGATCATATGAATTAAATAAAGGTTCCAATTCACATATCCCAGTATATTCTCATTTGTGGAAATACATCAACCAACAATGTTTTTTCTTTTCAAGAAACAAAATATCATTGTTGATGGATTGTGGTGAAGGAACGTACAGACAGCTGTGCTATCATTATGGAAATAATATTGATGTTATTTTGAAGCAACTTCGAACCATCTTCGTTTCTCACATGCATATTGACCATCACTTGGTAAATGTCCAATTTCTAGTAGTTATAATGGTGTTAAACTATAGTTATAGTTAGACTAAAGACTTCCTTTGAAAAGTTTTATGTCAACATGCAACAACAGAAGACTGTGAAGAAAATGAGATTTTTAAATAAACTTTTACAATTTTCCCGACAGGGGCTCGTGAATCTCTTACTACAACGAAAGAGAATTGTGGTACAGTTATATTTTTGTCAAGACTTTCCTGTCCTTTCCCATCCGAACAATCACATGTAAATTTGTATTGAATGCTTTAGATAACATAAGTATTATATTTTCATTTTCATCTTTTAGGGAAATTCAGATCATGTACGAATTATTGGACCAGAAAGTTTAGATCAGTATTTAAGATATTTTGAAATGCTAAGTGGAGAGTCACTCAATTTCAGGTAGAAAAAGTTTTCGTTGTGGTATTATAGTAGCTTTAAATACAAATCACTTGCTGTAGAACTTGTTACTCATTTAATATACAAAGATGAACCAGAAGCCATAAATTGATAATTCACATGAAAATATCCGCAAAAGAAAAGTTTTACCAGCCTTGTGTGAAGCTTTGTACAATTTGATTATAGATTTTCCCAATTTTGGTGGATAAAGCGAAGCGATGGAAAAAAAGATGGAAAATCTTTTAGCCGTTCTTTGGGAGTTTCCAAGGTAGATTTTATTGCTTCGGCTAATGACAAATAAATCAAAGATGATAAATGTCTAATATTTTCTCCATTTGTTTCAGATTTCTGTTGTTCCGACTAAACACAGCGACTATTCCCATGCGTTGGTTCTTGAACGTAATTCATGGAAGCTGGTTTATTCTGCAGACACGAGACCTTGTAAACAGTTGATCGATGCTGGTAAGAATACTTTAGAAACTGGATATACCTGGGGGTAGTAGGGTAGTACTTGTTGACTTCAACAAAATCAATGTCCATTTCTTAACCTTTTCTACCTTCTTCCACTGTGCTGTGTGAAATTTATTTATCATTGTCAATTGTAGGGCAAAATGCAACATTGCTTATCCATGAAGCAACTTTTGAGGACGAGTTATTGGACAGAGCTAAAGCAACCAGCCACTGGTAAGGTTACACTGTGCCTACCTATAAGTCTTGCTATTGATAAAAACCTACCAGTGTTGTATTTTACTGTTTTATGAGCTTTATTTTAGTTTTTTTTGTTTCGTTGGCCTGAACGGAGGTTCTAGCCTGCAGGAAATATAACTCAAAGCTTTGTTATTGTTCTTTAGCACAGTATCAGAGGCGATCAGATGCAGTGAATTAATGAAAGCTGAACACACAATCTTAACTCATATCAGCAGCAGGCATTTGTTTCCCTGTAAATCGTCCAGGCTTCCTGATCAAGTGACCTTGGCCTTTGATCACATGACGGTATGTTGCAAATCATGCGTTCCTAATTGTTCTAATGACATGGTATAGTTAGGATTCCTGCTGTCATAAGGTACAGCTGTTAATGATTTCTCTGGTTAAGAGTATTGTACTTATTTTGGAAGAGGGCTTACCCTAGTCAACGATAATGCGAGCTAGTATAAAGTTATATTAAAATATTTATTCGAGAGTTTAGAACTGACGTTAACGGATACTGTTAACCGGAAACTACAAACTTCAAATCACATTTGAAAGTAAATCCTGAAGTTTTAGACAACTTAGTTCACATTTCATACTTTAATTTTCATGGTCAAAATTTCCCAACATCGAGATTGCTGAATGTTAAATCTTAATGTGCCTTTGTATCCCCAAAACAGATTCCTTAGATTCTTTCTCATTCCTATAGGTCCAGCAACAAGAACTGGGCACATTGCAAAGAGTTATGCCAAGTGTTGAAAAAACCGTTCTTCACTCACAACAAGGACGAAGATCGCGGAAGAAACAAAAGAATGTAATATCGCCTAAGAACAAGAAAACGGTCGAGTTATGATGCACCTTTACTTGGAACAACGGCGGATTCATATAAGACAGGTACACAATTTATATTTTACAATTATTTGCGCAAGCTTAAACTATGAAATGAGCTTGATCTACTTCTAATGTTAAATAACAATCCCATTCGAAAAATGTGTCAGGACCATAGCTAGACCGCTTAATTGGGGATTTATATTGTTAGCAAACCGTAGGGAACAATCGCTTTAAAGAGAAATCAGTCGCTTCTTGCTACGGCCCTGTATCCAAGATTTCGCTTCATTCTTTAAATCGTTTCGAAATTGTGTCCTTGCTGGGAATATAATGTAGTTGTCCTTCAAAGAACTAGTCGGTGCGCAGTTTTCTGAAGATACCACAAGCTATTATCCTAGTATATCTTCGCGTATTTGAACTGAATCTTGAAAGGCATAGTCAATTTACAACGACGTAGTAGTAATTGTCCTCTTTAATTGAACAATTGTGTAGTTTCGATAACGGATTTCACAGTTGATGTTGGTGCAATGAGATAGCTGGGAATGGATGGTACATTTGACGTTGGTCTCGGGAGGAGAATGGATGGTACATTTGACGTTGGTGTCGGGAGGAGAATGGATGGTACATTTGACGTTGGTGTCGGGAGGAGAATAGATGGTACATTTGACGTTGGTCTTGGGAGGAGAATGGATGGTACATTTGACGTTGGTCTCGGGAGGAGAATGGATGGTACATTTGACGTTGGTGTCGGAAGGAGAATGGATGGTACATTTGACGTTGGTCTTGGGGGGAGAATGGATGGTACATTTGACGTTGGTCTTGGGGGGAGAATGGATGGTACATTTGACGTTGGTCTCGGGAGGAGAATGGATGGTACATTTGACGTTGGTCTTGGGGGGAGAATGGATGGTACATTTGACGTTGGTCTCGGGAGGAGAATGGATGGTACATTTGACGTTGGTCTCGGGAGGAGAATGGATGGTACGATTGACGTTGGTCTTGGGGGGAGAATGGATGGTACATTTGACGTTGGTGTCGGAAGGAGAATGACAGTCGGTGTAGCTGTAGTCATGGGTATAACCGAGACATTGCTTGGAACAATAGACTGTGATGGCCCGGGAGTAAAGGAAGGTGTTTTGGGGTAAGGGAATGCTGTTGTTGCGGTTTGATTTAGCGACGGCGCTAGTGAAAACATGATATGTTTAGTATAATCTTCTGAATAGAGTAATATGCTATATGAATTAGAACTGAAATACGAAATATTTGTTTTAAGTCATAACGGTCGTTATATTACCTGTTGTAATAACCTGGACTCTTCGATTTCCCAGTTTTTTCATATTTAAAAAATGATCAATAATTGCTTCGTTCCCACTTGGTGCAGCCATGAGAATTATGATCTTAACCAAAATACTGCCAGGCCTGATATATGAATTGTAGTTTAGTTGTTATTTATATTTAGAAATCATTCATCTTTTCCGAACAGGAAAAATCTTTAACGACGTCGCAACCTCGTTCATTGTGAAACATTCCTCATTTTTTTCTTACCTGAATTCGGAAATATCAATTGACTGGATTCCTTTCACGTGTTCCAGCTCCTTACTCAACTATCAAGAGTTAAAAACACGAACATGAAAGGTTTGAATAGTTTTACACTATTTTCAACCACAAGAATTATGTAAATACGTCCACTTACAGTTTGAATCAACTCGTTCTTTAAACTTTGAAATCTTTGGCTGTTTGGATCGGCCAGCTCTCGTGTGTATACTTCATCAAGAAGCCGTAGTGTAACTGGATAACTGTAAACTGAATTATATAAGTCAATAAGATGTAGGAACTGATGGTTTCCTTGTCGTGATGCAAGAGATAGCTTGTGTTTCTGTGTATCGTATATTACTGCATGACATCAAACTGAAAAGAGCTAGACCTGCCTTCTGATACATGTGTATTGCGCCCCATTTTATTTCAATATGATGATAGATAAATTAAGGAATCTTCCTGTTTGGATCTGAATACTATTCTAGCGTTTTTTCACCTGCTATCGCGTATTTATTTTGAAAATTATATTTATCCCCATGCAGCACATCGACTCAAGCTGTCTTACGTTTAGTTTGGCCAGAGCAATCAATCTTACAACATCCCTGGGAGAAAATCAGGTGTCTTGTGTTTGTTTCATCTTGGTGTAATATTCCTCCTTCCTGTGTCTTCTCTTCTAACGTTCTCTTTCGCCAGAGGTTTGGTCTCACCTTTACGACATAATCTCGTTTGCCTGATAAACTATACGAGGATATAGAAGAACGCTTTTCATACAGTCTAAGACAAAGTACTGGAGTTACAGGCCACTATGTTGATGTCTTGGATAATCCTTGGCATCTTAGTTGAATAAAAACCCTGAATCAATAAATCCTAGCCTAGCTACAATCGCTGGTTCAATTTTGAAGTGTTCTTACATGCTTTTCGCCATTATTCTTCGTGCGTTTTCAGCATCACAATGGCAGATTGTCTTCGTTCCTCCAAAATAATCCCTTCCAACGACGATATGTTGAGAGAAACGATCTTTTCCTCCACGATAAATGTTGTTGTTGCATTGTACGTTTTCACCACGTTGCGTGGCACAAGTTGCTGGGAGGATGTTTTAATGAAAAGTTAGATGGTTATAAATATGTGCCATTAGCATGGAAAACATAAAAAAACTATTGTAAATTATCGACCTGTTTAAAGTCTCGAGAATATAAACTCATCTAGTTCTCTGGAATTTAGTGTCTTAGTTTACTTACTTGTTAGAATAAAAGCAACAAGCGCCTGTAGTAATCGTTGCATGACTCAAAATTAAGTTGTCTGAATTATTATGACACATGAATAAGACACTCCTAGCTCATAACGCTTGATTTAACAATTTTAGGTTCATCTTGATGTGTGTAATCGGCCACAAGATGATTGTTATCAAGCTCATAGCTTATAAACTGGTGGTTGTGATCTTTTAAAACAATTATCACACTCGTTTGGTTGAATAGCCTTATTCCAGTTGACAATGATAGGATTTTTATTGTCCTTTGCCATTTTATGACTTTACATGCAAGTCGTTTCGTTTTGCAAGTCTTCCCTTGCAAAAAAGGTACCAACCAAAAGGTTTTGATTCCCCATCAAAACTCTGTCTTCGGAAAACCTTCCCTTCAGTGAGAAGCTATTTTATAAGATATGATACGATAAAGTACGACTAAAGTCTATATACGGTTTTAATAGTACAATTTTTTACACTCATTGAATGTTTACAGTATTTATATAATATTATTAAACTAAAGTGAACTGTTCATCTTACGTTTCTACACATCAAAATCAAATCTCGCTACCAGGCCACATGGTGCAGCACATGCGCAACCTAATGTTTCAATCAACCCAGACCGCTGTACCGCAAGCAACAGTCCCCAATATATGTTGTGTAGAATTTACAACGATGTATCTGTCTTTATTAAACGTCTTCACGTTTCGTAATGTGACTACATTGTCATAATTCAACGTTACCGATCCGTCCATTGCCGGTGAAATAGACTTATAGCAATTATTTCTCAAACGAGTTCGCCTTTGAACACATCAATCTTGTTACGTGAGGCCATGAGAAGGTACATCCGTCCACTCATCTCAAAGAAACTCACATCTCGAGCGGATCTCGCATCGATATCTTGAAGTTTTTCAAACTTTGTGCTGCTGTCCTCAACCCAGTAGTAAATTTCTGGCGTCACCAAGTTGATAACTGCGAGATATGTTGTTTTCTTGCCCATCAAGAGACTGGACATGATTGTGACACGACGTGCCTAGAGAAGGATACATACATCGTAAATGTCGCAGGGTGATTCGTCCCCGCAGATCACGTCCCAAAAAAACCCACGAATGCATTCTTACTACTTTTAACTAAACTGACATGCGCAACTGACATACCCGATGTGTTGTGATATTCTGGAAAGAGACAAACTTGTTTCCGGTCCACTTCATCAGCATCAACTTGTTTTTTTTAGCCTCGTCGGGCGAAGTTTCCATCGTAGCCACAGAAAGAAAATGGTCTCTTCCGGCTTCGAATGCAACCACCTCGTACGGACGATCACCAACAAACAAACTTTGCATCAAAACGAACCTGTTTCCATCCCACTTGTAAATGAACACATACGAGCCTTTTCTCGCAGAGCCTGGAAAAAAAATCGCCATTCAATTTGCTGAACTACAAAATACCACGTTGAGGCACGGTGCGAGTTTCTTGATCGAAGAGTGAATGTGTCTTGTCCCATTCCTTGTTTTTTTCGAGTTCTGGAAATCTCTTAAAATGTTCCACGTCATATAAAACGATATGAACTTACCTGAGATGGCAAGAAAGGTGTCGTCGTCCACATTGAACGCTTCAACGTAGGTTGCTGTGTTGTTAATATCTTGTAATTTCGTGAACCTTCGTCCATTCCACTTCCAGATGACAACGAAACTACCACTGCCCTGATTTGCAACAGCGATATACTGTTCGCCATTCAGTTTAAATGGTTTTAAATCAAAGGTATGCTTGCATTCCAAACCGTCAGATTGGTTTGTGAATCTATCGCTGATCTTGTCGTATCGGAAAATCGGGCAAGTATTCGCAAAAAGGTTTGCGACTGCAAAGTATAGGTCGTCACCAATCTGAAACGGAGCCCAGTTTCGCGCTCCATTCAGTTTTAACTCCTGGTATTTCTTGAAACTAAAGTAAGAGAGACATGATGATAGATGATACAGAGAATCTCGCAAGTCACAGACTGAAATTATTGCTTAACAAAATGCTACTCGTGAACTGAGTTGTTTATTTTGAGGGTGGTCAGGCCTATATTTAGTCAGATGGTGGAGGAGTTTTATTTCTTAACAGCAGAAAAGTACTGTGTTGAGAAACTGCAGTAAACAACCTTCATTATAGGGAAAAGTACATGTGGATAAGTTTGAATAGAAAATGTTTTGAATATCGTACCTGCCGTCCAACCATTTATATAACTGAAAATTAGCCAAACCCAATTGAGAGAGACCAAAGAACAGGGAGTTACCCGCTTGAAACACTTCTATATCCCAGGCATCTGTGCTTATCGTCTGGAACATATTCTTTATCATGAATTTCACCATTCTTTCTGGAGATGAAATGGAAGAAGATCAGATCTCAAAGAAGTAGAATTAAATGGAATCGTGAATGCATCTAGCGTTACCATGCATGCACCTGAGGAAATTTAAACAACGTACCATTGTTACTTGCACCTGAAAACAGAGAAATATTTCAATCGATTACTAGGTGTTTATCACGGTACGTAAAGGTTTCAAAGCTAGTCGTTTTAGGATGAAGATTTTACTAGGGTAAAGGATGTTAGTTATCCATGTAATATGTGAATAATAATAATAATACCTTCTCCGGGCTTCTTGTCATCTATAAAAACACAAGAGACATTTCATTACAACTCGCCCAAAAGCTAATATGTTTAGTTGCTTGTTGGTACTAGTGGCTGCATCCCAAGACCCCAGGACCTGCCTTTTCTCTCAAGCACAGTTTACCCCCATTTCTGTTCATTTTATCGTATACTTTTGCCCCATCGCCTTTGGGCCTGGGTGCGGGGCGAGATCCCCCATTGCCCTCTCCTATCCTCCCTATAAAGGGCCTGCTCATAAGGTTTATTGTGACTTACCGATGCGACATTCTTGTTTGGGACTGCTGGTACAAATTACATTCACATCTGTAAACGATTTTTCCAAAAATGTTAACATACAATATCTTACCCAAGGTTCGCCAAAACAACACTACGGCTGTTTTTTTTGCTAAGAAATTTTAAGGATGCGGTACGGGAAAAACATAAAACTAATCAGAAATACATCTGAAGAAGATATTGATGAGCAAGCATCATCAGGCAAAACACAGCTTTCTTTTTCATGAATGTTCGGATGGGTTTTGAAGAGCTATACTGGATAACGTACGTACCAAATTGCTCACAACGCAGGCTTGTGCCATCTGAGGTTAGATATTCCCCAGGCTGACAGGTTGGAAGTCGTATTGACGAACCCTGCGAGAATGAACAGTTCATTTCATACGAGATTTATGCACATTTCACAACATCTATTCAAAGCTAATAATATAATAATTTTTGCTAAAAAGGTAAAAGCGTTGAACCAAATATTTATTTTACATCAACAGCAAGAGTGTGGGTCCTAAGTGTTTGCGAATGCGTGTGTTCAATATTTTATAGAAACATCTCATCTTCACAGATGTCATTTGTACAACCAAAAGCGACAAGGTTTATCTAGGAAAGCCTGTCAGAAAGCGTTTAACTTTTTAATCATTCGTCCGGCATTTTCCAAATGCTTAAGAAGTCTATATATCGTTGTGTTTTTTAATTCTGTCTTAATTCTTTTTATTTAAAATCTTGGACCAACCGTAATTACATTTATTCTGAACTTCGAAAGATTAACGAGGGACATGTGGTGTCTAAGAGGGATACCATGGGTGGCCATGGGTACCGTCCACAGGGACTACACCTCATATGGGGACATTCGCTAGGACACCGACACTCGAAGCCGTTTACGATGCTGCATTATCCGGTTTATTTCTACACAGTATTCACAATATATCCTATAATATCCTATGATATCCTACCTCGGGGCCAGGGTCTCCTTTTGGTCCTTGACTTCCCTGGGGTCCTGGGGGTCCCGGAAGTCGTGGTCTCTAGGAGAGATTAGTTTGACGATGATGAATTATTTTGCAATGAGAGAAATATTGAATGAAAAAGAGCAATATTTTGGTTGTTAAGATGTGTCCAGCTTTGTTGCTGCTGGTAATCTAACGCGGCAGAGTCGATATTCTCGAGTTTCGATTTTTTTTCGTTCTATACAATGCAATCACAAATTATGGCGTTTAGCGCGAATGCAAACACTCACGTATTGAGTCTTAACCATAAGTCTATAATGATATTATTCTCCCCTTTGAGGTACTTTCAGGGTGACGAATCGCTATGTCTAGACATATAACTGTTTGGCTACACATGAATTTTGTTCAAAAATCTGTGTAAAAAATTGTAAAAAATGAAAATATTCGTTTTATAATCTGAGCATTAATCCATCAGTAACGTGCTTATAATCTTTCACCGAAAAATTACAATTGTTAACATCTGTAGTTTTGTTTAAAAATAACCATATCTCTCTCGTGGTCTTCTTTTTCTCAAACTCACAGTTTAATCTAGAAATGGGGATTACAAGAGGGCGATTGTTTTTCATCGGCTTTTCATTATTTATATCACGCATATGATAAGAGGATTATTTGAAGATTAAAGATCTTTTAGGTGGCTGTACGAACAGGCTTTCGCAACTGGAAATCTCTTGTAGGTAAAAACAGAACGTTCTCGCTTGTGAATACTGTATTTCCGCGTTAACTTTCCAGTTCGATGCTATGCAAAAGTGTTCATTCATAATTGTGAAGCCGGGGGTTTGCACCAAAAGCTCTTTCTTTCTCAGATGTTGCACTAAAGTTCTCTTTCGCTCAAAACTACTTGTCAGTGTTATCGTTGTATCGTTTTAACAACGGTCTTTTTATAACACTAACGTGGGGTTTTTAGGCGTTTTTCAACTTAAGAATCCCCGAATTTCTTTAGCTCACAGTGTTTACTTTCAATTCTCTACCATTCGAGCTTATCTCGTCAGTTACGAAGAAGTTATTTTTGTTTATCATACGGTAAGACTCTTATCTTTTTTTTTCATCTTTAGGAAGAACAATCCAGAAGAAACAGCTCCAATATATTCTTTGTTGTTTCAAGTGAACGCCGGAAGGCAAATGAAGGTAGGAATTAAAATAATTTCCGTGGTTTATAATAAACCACTTCATTTTGCCTCGATGCCATGCGCCGTGAGCCAATCATCTTACGTCTTGGACTATTCGTGACGTGATTTTCAAAAGAGTGTTTTGAAGAAATATTTCACTTCACGATCATGTTTGTTACCGCAATGGGAAAACAAATTTGAAGAAAGAATCTTTGTGTTTTGAGGTTGCTATTAAACACTTAAATCTTTCCTCAAAGACCACTTAATTTATGACGAAAAGACAATCATTTTCAAATTAGACACGCTTTCTGTATATCGTAATTTTCTCGGTCGAAATTCGCTGGCATGCTATATATAAGTTGCCACAACAGACCTGTCAAAGTAAAGCTAGATTATAACAACTCGTGTAGTTCATTGAAAATCTTTTAAACAAAGATTGACCCCCTAGCACCATTTCACGCATATTTCACATTTTCCACAGTCAGCGACAGAATCGGCCAATCAGAATCGTGTGCTTTAGAATTAACAACGATTTAACCAATCACAATTGAGTTGAATGTGAGCTTTACTACAGTCCCACACGAGCGTAACTTTCACTTCGCTAAGTGTAGTATATAGACGTGACTATTATCAATCATTTCATCCCAACTCTTTGTGAAATTCAAATAATGCATCCGAATCAGGAATGTTAGAATCAAGAAATGCGGATAATTTTCGAGATTAGGCGATAAAATGCGATTTTCTTTTTCTGGCGGCACATTAAACACTGATAAATGATTTAAATAGAAAGACAAACAGATTATAGAAATTACAATGAAAATATTTTGTTGCCAAGCTATTTCTTACGATTCACGCAATACAGAGACGACTTTGATACGCTGATGTGAGCCACAACTTTATAAACTTTTCTAAAACTCAAAGTCTTACCCCGAGACTCATGAAACAATCGATATCTCAGGATTTAGGTTAATTAAAATAGTTGTCGCATGCATAGCCACTATATAAAGATAGTCTCAAGATACTGGTGTTGAAATAAACATCGTTAAGTAAAGATATTTCATCATATACGCAATGCAACTCGTAATTAACATCCAAAGATACACCAATATACGAGGTAATCGCATGCAAACATAAGTGAGTCGGATGTAAAAAATTGTACATTGAATAACTCAAGGAGCTAGATGACTAATTGAAGATAAGTCGCTATCCATATATACTCTTCGTTCGTTTAAACATAAATGAAGCCACATAGTTATGTGGTTTCCGCTATTTGAAAAGTTTCAATTATCAAGTCTCGTTTGAGATGTGATTTGTTAGTTTATTGCAAGGTTTCTTTAAGGCTGTGACGTATGAAGGAAAAACTATCTATCCAATTAAGTCAGATCGGATTTTCTGGTCTGAATTTTTTATGCTAGCTGTCTTAGAGAGACAGCAGTTATCCCTTGTGATAAATTTTTCCTAGTGTTTTACGATTTGAAAAGATATATATAGGTTTAGATCAACCTAAGTCTCATACCTAAGTCTAGTCTTTTACAGGAATCATAATAATAAATGCATTGCTGTATCGAAGTATATTTAAGACAATGTATAGATTATAGAAACTTTTAAGTTTCAAGCAAATGAAATTCTTTTGAAAAGACTTCAAAAAAGTTGAAGCTTTACTGTGTACCAGTCTCTCGAGCGGCCCAACTCGGGATTAATTACTCAGGGATGAAGTTTAGTTTCTTGTTGCAAAGATTGAAATGATTTTATTTGCTTTTCAATGTTTGCTAGAATGCAGTTGTGGGATTTTAAAGGGTTGTAGGTCAAATTAGTTTACTTAATGTGCTGCTAGCCGGTATAGTCAGGACTCGACAACTGAACCAGCTGTCATCTATAGGACTTACTTAAAGTAACGATTTAATTGGTGATTCCCAAGTTAAATCTTGTTCAAATAGCACGAATGATAACGGCAACAGATTGATAATTTGATCGTGCATGCATGCAAAATAATCAACGTCAGTTTCACTCATTGACATATAACAGTGAAAATAAACACATCAAGTGGTATTGTTCGCCGTCCCTGAGAACATTTTTCACGAGCGATTAACAGCACTTAATGCAATAATGCGCTTTATGAATTATGTGACAAATCTGGCACAAAACGTCTCATTTCATAACCGTATTATCTTGTATACGATATTTTTTTCGACGTCGTGGGCAGGGAAAGCACAATGTCAATGCCAGGATTTTCGTGCATTTGAAAAATGTCCTTCGCGAAAAGTGACAAGTGAATTTTGAGGCTATTAATGATAATTATCGTACAAATATCCTGTTTTGTGCAAAAGTTTTCAATATCTGGTAGTACAACACTTAGTCATGCCTATTTTTTATGCATTCACGTGCGTAGGTATGTAGAGTACTGATATTTGAAAATTAAACTTTGGCAAACACACGTATAATTACGCAAAGACTGAGTCAGTGATATATTTATCGTTTCGTAGTTTCAGTGCAGTGATAGCTTTAATTTCTCTTTGAATATCAAGTAAACGAGTGAAAATTTTGGCGTTTGCAGTAAACTTTTTTAGCGTTAAATGCTTTTAGTTCAAATATATATATTTTACGTGATCTGGTATAGTAAGACGGAAATGGAAAAATTTCTTATCGTTTCGTGTTAACCTGTCATGTGAATGTAACAGGATTTGTTAATACGAGTTATGAAAGTTTGTCGGAGTTATTTTATGACCTTTTGACATCGGGAACTATTCAATATACTATAAATATATTGTATTTTGAAATACAACAGTGGAATTTTAGAAGACTTTGGTATCGTTTTAAACCAGACTCCAGTGTTCATATATATGTTCTAACATGATTATACGTTTAATACGTGATCAATCATTGTTGCAAAATATCAATTTCCCGCAAGCATGCTCAGTAAATCACCGATAAAGATGCTAAAATTAAACATCGGGCATCCTATAAACGAAATCAAAATATTAGTCTAGCCTCTGGGCCTAAGTGGGCGAAAATAAATCAAGAATAATACCCTAAAAAAATGACAGCGAGGAAAGAAGAATCTCTCGAAAAGGACTCTTCAATAATCCAAAGTGATTTGTCATTGAAAGGCCGTATAACAGCTCAAGTACAACACGATACTCGGTGTATAAGGTACCGTCTTGGTGAAAAAAATCCACTCGAGATTGTTTAATTAACTTAAACGCCGTATTAAAGTCATAATTTTAGCGCAAATTGTTGTCGGAACAAGCGATTTCAGGAGACCGCATCAGTAAGCAATCTCGGCAACGTACCTTAATTATATACATTATATAATACTGTGAACAATACAAGTTGAGAAATTAGAAACAGTTATCAACTGAACGCGATTCCCGTTCCCTCATAACGAAATGAAGCAACTGATCTATCTATGCATAACCTGAAAGTGTAATACGAATGATATTGCTTTGCGCAACCCATTCCTGTCTTGTCTCATCCAAGTGCCCGTCGTCTGTCGTACGTATATACGCAAGTCATCATTTTAACAATACAATACAGCAACAACACACACGTTACTGTCGTTCCGCACGGGGTAGCAATCAGTATAAAGACAAAACAACATTTCACTAATAGCATAACACAGAAAACGAAACATGTTAGAATTTCAGGAATATACACGGTACATACTCGTTCAATTTGTCTGATTTTTCGTAGGCAGGCGTTTGGACACTTTCTGCCGTTCCTTGTGCGGGATTTCTTTGCCTTTGCCTGGCAAGACACGGTCAAGATCACGCTCGTTAACAAGCATACGGCAAACGCCAGTTTGATAAACCGTGACATGTTGACAGTTCCACAGAGAGGAGTTTATAGACAGTAAAATGAGAATTATGTTGAAAATTCGTTCGTGGTTGTTACGTCCCCTTCGCTTGTTATCAATGCTTGATCTATATGACAACAAAGAATAGTGTGACAATTAGTCATTAGTCCCGCAAGTCTCATTTGAATTTCATAAACTGCATAATCAGGATTAGCCAATAAGGAAATAGCATCAGATCATTCCTGTTTTGACCTGGTTCAACGACCCAGTGGAAAAGCGCAGCAGGGGTTCATGTTAACTTTATTCCCAACCCAAATACATGTCAGAAAGGTCAAATATCATTTCAGGCACAATATGTACTTACACGGTCCGAACGCTGTTATCATCGTATATTATTTGCCGGGAATGTAATTACAGCAAACATTGTTTTGTGGGAAACCTTGTGAAGTTTGCCGAAAATTGCGTCGTATATTGTCCTCCGCATTTAACAAGAGCCTGTAATGTGTTTTATTTGCTTATTTCATTCAAATGGAAGAGTTTCAGGTCCACACTTAAAGTCTACGCGTTTAATTATTCCCGAAGATATTCAATTGGCGGTTACACTTTAATTTTTGTTATCAAGCACCACGTTCATATTCCTCGGTGATTTATGTTCACCACCATACACTAACGACAACTTATTCGGTAATTTATGATCAAGCTATTGATCAACTTTGTTTGATTATCTCACAGCTGCTCAATCACGAATATTCAGTTAAATTATATAGTTGAACTAGACCGAAAAAACGCGTACACTTCCAGCGCTGTTAAACGATGCAAAGAATCCTCTATATCATTCTTGTAATTCACCTCATTTAAGTTAAAGTTTACGAGAATAAGCCTCAAACGCGAACCTCGACCTCTGTTGTCAATAATTTTCACCATATTGAGTGTTGGTTATTGCATTTCCTTCATATCATATGATGCAATCTATAATATATATTTCACCAGCAGGCTACCGTGCATGATCATGTAAAGTAAAAAAAGAGAGAGAACGAAAATTGATGAAGAAATGTATGTTGGACCAATGTAGAGCAGTAGAGGATCTTCTCATTTATAAAACTCCCCAATTCTTAAAATATTTTGTCAGGTCTTTGGAAGCAGAAAAAAAATAATTCGCTTTAGTTTTCCTAAAGAAAATGTCGAAAGATAAGGAACTACCTGAGCCCACTAGGAATGATCATTTTGCTTCTCTTAACCAGTTAACCAGTATATAGTTCTTTTAATGCCCACACTGGAATATTGCCGAGAACGATTATTTATAAAAAGGTTTCTTATTTATTATATAATATATAGCCCTAGTAACAGATATCATTGATAGCAGATGAAACTGTCGATTGATTAAATTAAGATTCGAGTTGAGTTTATATGCAGCAATAGGTTGAATGGTGTAGTGGGTTTGGTAGGCTCGCCAGATGTTGTTGTTTTCACAAGTGTCTGACAACTGTTCGAGTCGATCTCGTGAAATCATAACACAGACCTACATACTAAAAAACCAAATATGGGAATGTTTACAGCAAAACCAAAGGTGGGATTCAAAATTAGCGCTTTCATTGTGGTCGGTTCTTCTCAAAAAAGCTCTGCGAGTATTGTCCCTTGTTGTCTTCATTGTCTGTAAATTCAGTTTGGACGAGCTTTTATTATAAAACCGCCATGTGGCTTGTTTAAAATTAGCAACAACCAAACAAATTTAGCTTTTATGAAAACAAGCAGCTTACTTTAACAATAGAATGCACTCGTTATTTTGAGCGCATATGTTTTGTGGAGTGCCGTTCAATGAACCGGATGTCAAATGGTATATGATACAAAGTTGTATATACAAATGCAACTTGCGCTTCCATTGAACTAACCACGTCTTGACGTCCAATGACATGCGCAACAGAGATGGTCTACTATCTTAATCACATAGAGAAGTTCGTATCCTTATATCTCTCATATCTGAGTTTCGTTGAATTACGATGCGATTTTGGTTTGAAAATCTTTCCGGAAATGATAATACCTTAGTTATGTTTACTTACAGGAGAGATCATGCCCTGATAATTCCTGATAGCTTACGATAACCTTTATACATCATAGGAAGACATTTTTACGATTGCATTTGATAAAGGAAATATTCATGATTTGTTAAGCAGATGTAAAAGTGATAACATGCTACAAACGTGTGTCGCCAGTTAAAAATCTCTTTATCGATATCATGTACAGCAAGACCAGTTTACTGGTTATAGCAAGAAACAGGTATTAATCCCTGGTGGCTGTATTGGAGTTGCTTACAAAATATATGACTCTCTTTGGCGTTTTACAAGGGGGGACCCAAACGAACTGTCATAGCTTGAGGGGAGTGGGGTTAAAGTAATTCAAGCAGGCGGGGGGGGGGTACGCCCGTAGTTTTGATAGGGGGGGTACGTTTTCGAGAGGGCATGTAGAGCTGATGGTCATAAACGTCTCAGAGGTTTGAGGTGCCAAAGGAGCTGACAACTGCTTATTGTGTGAAAAGAGACCGGAAATCATTCTGTCTGATCATGTTAATAGAAAGCATCTTTAGTAAGCAGTCAAATCAATCAAATTAATGAATGAAAAACACTTTAGGATTAAGTCTAGCGCACGTTCACTTACTGACAGAAACTTTAGTCAATTCAAAAACGCTCCTTAAGCGAACTTTCTGCAATATCCGAGCGATACGTTCCCCATGGTCTTTGAAGTACCACACTGAAAATCACTACTTGAATATGAAATATTCTAGGAATTTGGTTTTCTGTCCCAACACATTTCAACAGGGAAAAGAGAATATAGAATTTGGTTTTATGGTAATGATAGTTTTATACAATCAAGCTAGTGCTATATCTTTGTTTTGTGGGTATTACGTGGCTCACACATGCAGTAGAAACTATTTCTCAACCTGTGGTCTGTTTATTATATATAGATGTACAACAGAACAGTAATTAGAGAGTTTATTGTACAAAGTTGTTCAAATTACGATTATAACAGACAGTAAAAAACAAACAATATGAAGGATCGATGGTCCCGTGTGTATAATCATAGTTTAAAATAAATTTAACACTTCAGTATCCTCGTGGGAACGTACGAATATAGTATCTGATTAGATTGAAGAGAATGTGAATATCCTTACACCGGATAGCACGATCTTGCCAGCCTGTCATTTCATGAGGTTCACGCGTGGGTGCCACGCAATTCCTCGAGACGGGAGCTGGTAAAAACCTCATAGAAATGAAATGAACCATATGAAATGAACCATCATGATCACATGAAAAATTACATTGTCAAACAGATGATTTAGGCTTTGAGTAATTTGTTTAATGTGCACGCAGATGTTGCTTAATGAAACGCATCCTCCCCCCCGTCTTTCGTTTAGAGTCAACCCCACAAAACCACAATATAAATGTTAGAAAAAAAGGACAACTGTTAAGCAGACTGCGACATTGCAATAGGTGGATAGAATGGGGCCGGGATATCGATTAATATATGTTGACCATCAGATGAACACAAGTGAAATATAAATAATTAGGTCTTGTTCACATATCAGCCTGTGTTCGACTCATCTTCGATAGAGAAACACGCATTATAATAATCAACAACTTCTATATAAGGAATACTTTAAGTTTTGTTCGTTGTTTTGATCTAACTTTAACTGTGTAGGTCTGTGGTAAAATTATACAAACACTCATTTCATCAATTCATCGTTTTCAAATGAAGAAGTATAACGTCAAATTTAGCAGTTGTTTTGCAAAAAAAATGATTGCGTGACATGCTTTTGGCAGCCATGCATGAAAGAATATATAAACCAGTAATACTACTACTACTAATCTCTGTAATTATTTATGGCTTATTTCATATTATTTGACTTAGGATAAAATATAGTCTTTAAACTCGGTATGAAATAACTAACAAGTCAAAGTAAATATCCTCAAATGTATAAGTAAACATTAAGTTGATGAATTTGAAAGTAAAACCCAAGCTGACACGCGTGCATATATAGGCAGGTCTTGATGACGAAGTTTGCCATTTGCTGAGTCATATATTTAATTGTATAGTTTACTACGGAATTAATATGTTTTCGAGCCTTTTCAAAGCCTTTTCAAACTCTAAACTTCCGTTCTCAAATTTCTCATTTTATCATGCCATATTTCTCAACTTTATAAGAAGATCTATTACACACAGGATTAGGAAACACGTCGTGAATTTTCAAAAGCAAATAAATTTGTTCCTGAATGGAAAATTAAATGTTATAACGGGCACAAAACAGGTTGTTGTTGTACTATCGTTGAATAATCTTCAAGAATATTAAAACAGGATTATTTTTTTCTCGCTAGCTTCTCGAAACGGAAGAATTCGGAAAATCGCGTCGCGTTCCTAAATCGCGTCCGGTGCTGTGTACAAGAACCTTCACACATACGATTATATCAACATATGGTATTCATCAGTTGTTTTCTTAATTGTATATGGTATATGATTTATTACTATAATATGAATACCTCTCACGCATAAGAGGAAAAAGAGAAACCTAGAATATAACTCAACAGGAACTGTTTTTCTCGATGAAAAACCAAAATCAATGTGAATTAAGTTTGCTAATGTCGTAAATAACTCCTTACAACTCTCATAGCGGACTCATTTCATATTAAAATCCTTACGAAAGTAGTGAGAATTCACACTCGTTAGTCGAAGTAAGATCATTTTCTTTACGTTACCTTTCTATATTATACTTTTGTATCAAATTTAGACCTTTCACTCCGTAAAAAAACGCTGATTCTTGAGCGACGAGTAGGCACAACCAAAAAACAACGCGTGGACTTTGTGTATAATCGTTCCGTGTGTGTTGATATTGAGCATTAACGATACTAACTGACAATGGCGATGATATTGAACTCTTAAGTAACCGATACGTGTCAGCGAATCAATTTTCTCTTTCGTTTTTGTCCTAAAGAGTCTTAATTATCATCAATAATATTTGTGACATGTTTGGATTGCGTTCACCACGGTTGTAATGAAACGAAAGTCCTATCCTATTTATCATATTTATACTGTCGCTCAGTTAACAGGATGGGTGATTACCAACAGTTGAATTGAATGGTTACTGACTAAATTACTTCCTGCGATATTTTCATCGTCCCCTCCAAAGGTTTGCAAAGAGACCAACTGGCATCCAAGGTTCCATTTTTTTAGCAAAATTTCGATTGACCAGTCAGCACTAAAAATAAAGACAACGAACACTATCGTACAACTATATTTGTGTTTCCTGTATAGATCATTCTGTAACAGCCTTTGGCGTTTAAGTTCTAACTTTGAAACTCTATGAGCAAAGCTTCAAGCTTATAGTAAAATATTGCTTTTTACAAACGAAGGCAATGTTTTCCTTGTATTGTTTCTACCATATCTTCAGGAAACAGTCTGATATTAGCATTCTTAACTGATCAAAAACGTTCTCCTAGTGTTCTAGGTATGCTCAGAGTCAGTACAACGGTCAACCTTTTTAGTTGAACTATACCGATGCATGCAGAACAGCAGAAGAAATAACTCAACTCGTTTCTTAGCAATTTTACAAATTTACAAGACATGTGTAATTAAAGATTGAAAATATTTTAATACCTCCTTTCTTGGTAAGAGGTCCAAAATTCGCCCTTAGGATTGCGCTCAAGCAGGTATGCAACAGTTGCCAAAATATCGTCAAAATCTAAAGACATTACATTGTAAACTCTCACAGTCTCGCACGGGGAATCACACTTTCATTAGGTCATTCCTAGTTAAATTTTTCTGACTAGAGAAGGCCAACTTCGCATCTCCGAAAGTCGGAGGTTTGGGTCCTTTTAACCCAAGAAAGACGTTTCCTAATTGCAGTAGCAAGGAAGTTGTCGTAAATATGATACGAAAAAGGTACTTTGTTTCTTGACAAGGTTTGTTGCCGCAGAATCAAGAGGTTCAAACAAGGGCCTCAGGAGATCGGGAAATTGGAGAATTAGGAGCCTCCCGAGATATGAACTCGACTACGATTGAACAGAATGTTTAATTTTGTTCGAAAAACTCGTAAATAAATATTTACAACCAGATAATTCGTCAATTCTTTGTGAAATTTCGTGATGCTATACATAGAATTGGGAGCAGACGATTATACCTTTGGGATCATAGAAACAGTCTGAGCCAAGAATAATATCAAACGTGGGCAACTCTAGAAAGTTCTTAGAAAAATTGCCCCAAGTCAGAGCTGTCGTTTTAACATTTTTTAGTCCATTTGCTTTGCAAGTTTCTTGGCAGTTTTTCAAACAGTCAGGAAATTGTTCTCCATCTGTCAAGGTAACATTGGCACCACAGAGGGCTGCTACCACACCAGGTAATGCAGTTCCTGATCCAAGCTATATTTAACAATGTTAAATACAGACTAATTAAGAAGTGAAGATTGTGATGCATGATGGGAATCTTGATCATTCCCATGATGCTCTATTATGGAGAATTGGTTGAGGAGGTAATAGAGGTTGATAGTAAATTCTATTGACCTAAAATGTCTCAACAATTACCTCAATAATTTGCTTGTTTTTCAAAACATTTCTGTTATACCAAACATATTGAGCTAGAATTACAGCACTTGGCCAAGTAAACAAACCATATTGTGGGTCTACTACCTAAACAAATATTATCTATTAGAATATTTACTACACGTTACTGACATTAGTATTATTAGTAGATGTGTCAGAATTCATCTGAATTCATATTAATTCGACACCTCATAGAACAATGATTAAACAAGTTTATTTTCGGAAGGTCAGTTGCTGTAGTACAACGTGATTGTACAAAGTAACCACTGTATTAAAAGACTATATATATGCATATGTACCAGCACTACATCTCACTGCATAAAACCTAAATACATTTACATAATCATCCAGTACCTCGAGTATAATCACTTCTAGTTCTCGATCCTCGCTCTTAAACTGAAATATTCTCTCACTTCTCATAGCAAAGGATCCAATTTTGTAACAAAATATTACCCTAATTATGTTCATATTTTATCATACTTATCATATATCAACATTTATAAATTATGGCTTGATTTTATAATCAGCATGATGGCACAAGAATAACAAAAGTTTTTATTTTTCGATTCAAATATCATTTTTAAGCGCCTAGTGTAAATATAGCATTATTTTATTCAAGAAATTCTATTTACAAAGTCAGAAGCACTGGTTAGAAAATGGCAGCCAACAATATGGAGGGATATTATTTATGGTTTTCAGTGCTAGTATCTCTCTTGGCCATTATAATCGCCTGGTGTTGGATGCAGATGGGCAAAAAACGCGATCAAGCCATGCTAGATGAGGTATGATTTATTATTATTTAGAGTACTATATTCTTAGAGTACTATATTCCGCATTATGAAGACGAAGTTCTGTCTGCTACAATAATACTACTGTAATTTTCATGCTACATTTTCTTCATCAATATTCCATGTAAAGGATAAACTGTTGACAGAAGAAATAAGAGCTAATTTCAATCCTGATGCGTTGCATACAAATTCCAACAATGAGCAATACGAGGGAAGCAATGATGATAAATGTGAAGAAGTTGAAGAAAGGAAGGTTGAAAGAAGGTAATTTTACATTTATAATGTCAGGCTGTATTTTGGATGAATTCCACTCCTTACTTGTAATTAAAAGCAGGTTCCACAGTTGACATAATGAAGTTTCATTTTACAAGATTTGTACAAGTTCGATCATATATATTGATGTTGAATATTTATTAATTTAGAATACAGCAAGAACAACTGAAACAAATATTTAAACTGATGGAGAAAAACAAAGAGAAGTACGGGATTACTTCCATAGATGATATACAAGAACAAGTGAAGCGTTACAAAACCTTATGATGCAGATCAACCACACAACCTTTGTGGAGGAGCTGAACAAAATCTTTCCAGCCTCAACCTAATTTTTGTTTCAATTGAAGATCCAGCTTCAAGGTATTGGTGAAAGGGCCATTGACATTTCCATATATGTGAACATGCAAACCAGTTTCAGGGTGGAATTGTGGAAATGAGGGAAAGCATTGATACACAGGGTGCCAAAAAACTAGTGTACAAAGTCCTGTATTAACAAAATGAATAGGAATATAGAATGTTTTGAAAACATAATTTGACTATTATGCATTTAATGCTGGTAAAGACTTTTTCATCGTAAACCGTTGCTGGATTACCAAGAGTGGTTTACATCACAGCCAACAGGCTTTTAGAGATCTGTGAGGGACTAGGGCATAGAAAGTATCATAAAAATGTGCTTTATCATTTGCCTAAAAATATATTGCTGTGATAATAAAATCTATCTGGCTTTTTCAAACTGTTTTGTTAAGTATATATCAAGCTGTTTTTAAGGCTGAAAGAAAAGTCTGGTTAAATATTGTCTTCAGCTGGTGCCCATTAATTTATAGCAGTTCCCATCCAATTCCCCTTCTATTTTTAGCAACAATACCTACACGAAAATACGTCATATCGTGCGAGTGGAATAAATCTGCAAAAACGATTCCCTCCGTGAAAACTAATCTCACGTTCTCTGCCACAAAATCCTATTTAATTCCGGTATGAATTTGTGCATTTGAGAGTGAAAAACAAGAGTAGTTCTAAGTAATAGGTATTAATTTAACAATGGCTGTTCTATGCCCTCCATCTTCGTCGTTAAAAAACTGGCCAGAGTCGTTAAAAAAACTGGTTACATATTGTTTTTGGCTGGTGTCTTATTGACTATACAGTCAAGTGTAGTTAGCTCGAACTTATTGCTGGGAAACGATTGGACTTATCCTTCACATGTATGCAAAGAGGTCTTTCCATTCCCCATTCAAAATCCCATCGTCGGAAGTTTGTCTTTCGGTATAAATTTAAGAATGGGGTGTGTAAAACAAAAGATGGTTTAAACTGAGAACCCCAGAGTGGTTAATGTTGTCTCTCCTGGCGAATGAATGCTTGACCGGATTATAGATATAGTAGCACCACCTACAGCGAAAATTAACACAAGTCCTTGTCATGGAGTGTGAGTGATTGTCAGTTCGAGGAAGAATTTGTTTCCAGGCTGATAGTTATTTATGCTTTGAGGAAACTTTTTCAAGCGCAAAAAAAGCCTGCACAAAACAAACACCTTTGTTGTTCTGACTCTGCTTTTTCTTATTCTTATGAAAAGTTTCAGATTAAGGAAAATTCTTTAGTTTAGCGGATGACGACACATGCATGTTTGGTAGTTTAGATCATCGTCAGTATATATTCCATTTACAAGAAACACAAATGGTCACAAGTTGTTTAATTTTTGTGCTGCGTAAAAGATTTGGAACTGAGAAGAGAAATATGAAGTTTGTTGCAGTTTTTGTTTTCCTTTTCGCGTGTATCGCCATGAACAAAGGTGATAGTGAAGAAGGATCAGCTGCAGACTCAGGTAATTGGAATATACATCCTTATTTTAACCAAATTCATGCGAAATTTCTTTAAACCAAAAAAATCATTGTATTTGCCACAGACCCGTCTATTTACGGTATTTATATTACAATGCAATTTTATATAATTTCAACTGTTCTCCAAACAAGCTGAGTTTATCTCCCTCTTGCATAACTAATTCTTATTGATTTTCTTTAGGGACTTGCAATGCATTGAGTGGACATCTAAGTATGACTTTGTGCTTATCCATTTAGCTAATCTGCTTTGCCTTTGCCTGACTTCACTTTCTAATTTTTTCTTTTAATTTTTTCAAGGCGAATGCACAGGGCAATATTCTCTTCATTATTGCTACAATGGTGGGACATGTTGCACCATTCCAGGTCAGTCTAGCCTTGATGTGAAACATGTGTATCTGTACCACAGGATATACAGGACCTCGTTGTCAGTTTGTGTTTCCTAATTCCAAATCCAGAGACTGAAGATTCTGGCAAACACGAGTCAGTCTCAACAGCCTGATTGTCGATGGCTTTAAAAGAAATTTGTAGTATTATGATTCAAAACAATATTATGTGAAAGTAGAAACAGTTATTTATGTATATCTGAAGAAATAAAGATTAGTATTTCTTGCACCAAAACTATCGGCTATATTTTGTTACACGACTTTTGATTTTCAGTGAATCAGTGGGATTGTAATCTGACAAGTGCTAGAAAAATAGCAGAAGTTGAGAATAGCAGAAATTAGAGATCTTAGATTATTAAAATCGTCAGTTTCTTTGTCAGAGCCAGCTCAGCATTTATAAGTTGTACGACTTGTATCCACCCTATATCCACCCTGTATCCATCGAGTTCCCTACCAGTTCCTCACGTACCCCCACTGTGTTTACAAAATTACCCGGGCTTGTTAGCAGTTGGCGCCATTTTGATATTTACTATTTTTCTTCATAAATCTTGTAAATTTTCACCTGGTGCTTTGACGATCGTCATGTAACATCACTCAGCTACATTCCTGTGTGTGGAAAAACTACGAAATATGGATAAATTAAGTTGCATTCTTGTTATATGCAGGATGGGATCAGATGGAACAGCGCATCCATGGAATATTTTGTAAAATTTTTGCAAGGAAAGCCTATTAAATTTCGATATTATAGTAATTATACACATCTCTTAAACACCACCATTTTATACGGTAAGGATACATAGAGTCGTAGATCTCATAGCATTAACTACAGCTGTGATGATAAGTAATATTGTCTAGTTTGTACAGAACTTAGTTTGAAAAATGTAGACTATAATATGTACACGATATTTTTATTCCCTTTGTCAGCGAAATGGAGCGTATAGCACAGCTTACATATAGGTTAAGCAATATTTTTTCTTTCGTGTTAGATGGGGGATACAGGAGTTACACAAAGAGGAAGCATTATGAATTACTTTCAGAAAGAGAAATCAAATGACCCGTTGAAAACGGATAAAAAGATTGATGAAAATCCAATTATGGTGGAATTGAAGGAGGACTCTGTAGATTCAGGTAAATGAAGACAGTGGATATAGCAGGGTGAATACTTGAAATGTCAGAATCCATTCAAACATCTCTTCATAATCTTGCTATAAGCAATATTCTTTCATGTGCAAGTTCAATTGTATGGTGGTTATTTTAGGTGATGTAAGCCACCCCATAAGCATGGACAAAGGTGATCAAAAAGTGATGGAGTGTGTATCATCTTCTGATAACAAAGAACTAGACCACTGTGTCCGTGATCAGGGTGATTACCACAAAGATGGTAAGTGTAATGTCAGAGATGTTGAACTGGAATATGCTGGTGAAAAATGTCACAGTGAAAGGAAAGAAAAGTGGAACTTCAGCTGGAAACAAGGAAAAACAAGGAAAAAGGTAAAAACAAGTGCAATAGACACTTCTGATAGTGATCAGGATTTTGAAATGAACCCCAAGTCAAATGGAAGTAAGTCAAGTGAAACAGAAGTCAAAGACATTACCAAGTCAAAGACACAAGGAAAGAAACGAATAAATAGGACAAAGGCATCTGGACATTGTGTAAAACCTGTTATAGAAATATTGAACCCATCAGACCCAGAGGATGGGTTAAAATCTCTTAGTGATATCTCACAAAACACTGAGGCTGAAATCTTGTTCATTAATGAAACTAATGATAAAGGTTTTGAAAATGAATCCAAAAAGAAGAATTTGGACACAAGGGGTGAGATTGAAGATGTAGATATTGTGAAAATTAAGGACTCTTGTAAAAGTCTAAAAACTCCCAAAGATAGGTTGGAGAATTCTAAGAAGAATTACTTTGATGTTCTGATGCAAAGTTCTAAACAGAAAACTTTGGAGAAACGAAAAACAGAGAGTGATACTGATAATCACAATGGAGATCTCGACTGTAGTAGCTCTTGTAAAGAAGGTGACAGGGTGGATGATTCAGTAAAAAAAGGCGAGAAAAAGGGTAAAAAGAATAGAGCTTTGAGGAGAAAGAAGGACAGTATTGATGACAAAGATGTTGGTAGAAAAGTTGATGGAGAAAATGCTTTGCTTCAGCCAAAAAAACAGACTGGAAACCACAGCAAGGGATGCAAGAGGGACGAGTGTAGTGTGAATGAAACAGCTGTTAGGTCATCTACTAGAACTCGGAAGAAGTTTGTTCCTACTCCTGAAGTTATTGAGGATTTAAATCAGGAGGAAGCTATGGATATTCCAGTTGTAAATGAGATCTCAAGTAAACCTCTGACCAGGAAGAGAGCATTGACAGCTGCAAAGAAAGTGTTTGCTGTGGAAGCAACAGTGCTCATCAGTCCAGATAAACAAGTTCAGTTGGAAGAGAGGAAACAGGATTTACTGAAGGAACAAGTGGAAAAACCTGAACTTTTTCAGACAAGTCGACATGGAAACACTGAGTCAAGAATGGAAAAAAGTATTGATACATGTGATGAAGATAAAGATAGGAAGAAGGGAAGGAACAGTAAGTCTACAAAACCAAGGAGGGAAAGACGTTTAAGGTGAGAAGTGCAGAGATTTACTGGATTAAAAATTGAGTGACAGGACATATTTATAATATAGATCAACATTGTTGGTTAAAAGGGTGATAATGAATGCTGTTTTTTGTTTAGAAAATCATGTATCCTTGACAGTAGTGATGAGGAGGAACAAGCAACTGAATCAACAGTTGAAGCAAAACCATCTCCTGTTGAAACAGAAGATAAAAAACCTCGAAAAGGTATTATGACTGCGCTCACAAAAGAGTAGCTGTGTTGTGTTTAGGACAAGGTTGAAATAATCTCGCTGATTTCGTAGTTTCAGGTCCAATTGCTCCGATATTCCTCCCTGGTGCATGGCGTCGTGCAAAATCTAAACTAGAAGAAGCTGAAATATTAGAAGCAGATAAAGAAATCGTTGAAGTAAAAGAAGATCGCAGTCTACAACCAATTGCAAACGCCATCAATTCACCCGTCCATTGTAACTCGGATATTCCCATTGACGATTCCAGCGCAAGTCTGAATGCTTTCTTGAGCATGTTTAAGAAGCCAACGACAAAAGCCAGTCCTGTACCAGTACAGTTTGTTGAAGCTCCGTTCCCGAAGATCAGCCATGTTCAGCAGAAAGATGAAGCGAATGATATGAAATGGAATCTACCGATAGTTTGGAATCGATTTGTCAAGGAGGACTATTTTTTCTGGCCTGGTGAGTTTGAAGTCGTTTTAGCGTGATTGTGTAACTTTCTTTTAAAAAATGTGATATGTTTTAGATGGAAGTGGATCCGTTACTGAACGAACCATGTCTTTAAGCTTTTTAAAGACGGATATTTCTTGTTCAGAAAAGAAAACAAAGGTACTATACAGACTCTATGGCTTAAAATTGTTCTTTATGAAAAGTTTTGCGATTATTCTGCCATATTTGCCATTTTTGTAGAGCAACCCACTGAACGCGTTGCTTAAGCTGGACAAGAGTCAAAAGCAGGAGATTCTGTCCTATTTGAAGACGTTCTACGAAGGCATTCCAATAAAGAAACTCTTTAAACGCAGCCATCATCAGCTGCATATTTGCAAAAAGTTATTGATGGAGAATAAAAATCGATCAATTAAGATGAATGAGAATTTCAAGCCAGCTCTGACCTCTGGTAGCAAAGGTAGTCTACATGTTAGTTAGCTCGTTCGTAAAGAGGAAATTATAAGCGATTGTGTTTCGATAATTTAATACAGAACCACTGGTATCTTCCAACGTCACTTTACCGTCAACACATGTTCCTGGAAAGTCCGTGGCCTTCACCAAGATTTCGAAGAAGAACAGAGCAACAGCTCAGGGAAAGACTAAACCTGAAACGATAAAGAAAAAGGAAAGTCCATTGTTGCTGGCGTTTCAAAATCAAGAAAATGCTGTCAAGAATAAGAATGTTGACGTCGTCACGACCAGATCAAAAAAGGAAAAAGCGAAAACGACTTCCATTGTGGACTTGATGGGAAAGCAGACGAAACAAGTCGAAGATATTCCCACAAAAAAACAAAGGTAGTGTGATCACTTGTGTGGAGTTCAATCTCTGCTGTTTGTCGTCTGTCATAACCTGTTTTTCGATAGTTATTTGTTTCATAAGACAACTAGGTTTTTCTAGAAAAGACTCCATAATGAGAGATGTTCTGTCAAACTGCAGAACCATCCGGCATTTGGGGACACTTAGGGACACTATTCGTTAGCTCAACCTTCGTCACCTTTGATCCCTTCTTTAACCCATCATTTTTGCACATTTAGTGGCAAACTGAAGAAAGGGAAAAAGTCGAGTGGAGTGAGCAACAAGATAGAGAATTACGTTGATAAGAAACGATCGCGGGAGGGTGAGGAACAGGATGGTAAACCCAGTGGAAAGAAAGCAAAACTGGTCAATAATGCACCGGAGTTTAAGAAACCAAGAAAAGGTTAGTTACAATGAAATAAAGAAGGAACTGTTCTAGAAAGGTGCCCGTGTTAGCAAGGTGTTCTGATGTCCTTATTAAAGAGGTGTCCTTTCTCAAAAGACGTTTTCTTTTTAAGGTCAAAAACGGAAAGCAAGAAGCATGGAAAGCAAGGAAAATGGCAACACCGTGGAAACACAGGGTAGTAACTCGGATCCTCTGGGAAAATCTCCAAAATGTCGAAAGATTTCAAGTGATGATGACTTCATCAAACCCTCCACACGTAGTTCTCGGCCCAAAGTGGATACGAATAATGATGCGACAGACGATTGTGGGACTGGGAAGCAGTCTTTGCGAAAATCACGAAGATTACAAGAAAAGAAAGATGATTTGGTAGGATTTTCATTATTGACGAAGCTCATGTTTATACATAGAAATATATATAATTGTGTGGTATTTTGCAGGCGGACACCAGGATTGCTCTTGTAGAAACAGATGATAAGAGGGCAGAGAACGCTGTTATTGAAGTGCTTGAAGTGAAAGAAGATTGTTCCAAACAAGATGGCAAAGTTCAGGCACACGAGAACGATATAAAAGGTATAATTTGCAATTAAATCGTTTGGTCTTAAATAAGGGAGTGCATTTAAAGTCTGTTTCAAATCCAAGTATCCAATCACCCCGTTTCATGTCCAGTTCGGACACGAGCCCAGAATACACAAAAACTTTATAATCGTCCACTTTTAATACGATAAGGCCAGGCCATCGAAGATGTCTACATCTGTTTTAAATCTCTTTCTAGTTGTTGAGGGTGAGCCATCGAAGGTAGTCGAGGCAACCACGGAGCCAACATCGGAGGTAGTCGAGGCAACCACGAAGCCAAAATCGGAGGTAGTCGAGGCAACCACGAAGCCAAAATCGGAGGTAGTCGAGGCAACCACGAAACCAACATCGGAGGTAGTCGAGGCAACCACGAAGCCAACATCGGAGGTAGTCGAGGCAACCACGAAGCCAACATCAGAGGTAGTCGAGGCAACAACCAAGAATATGAACGAGGACTCTGACGTTAGCTCTTCTGCGGTTTTATGGAGCGAGTGTTTCAAACCGAGGAACTCAACAGAAATCCTGGGAAACACCAACGCTGGTGGAAAATTAAGGAATTGGCTGTTTGAGTGGAAGACGTTGAGAGAGAAGAGATTGGAAGCTTTGAAGCGACACAAAGAAAAGAAACACCAAAAGTAAAATAACAAAATACTACATTGAAAAAATGCCTCGTCTCAACAAGATAGACCTCAACTTCTTCCACAACGAAGAAGGAATTGAATTGAAGAATTTATGCCGTCGTTGAATCTATACGTTAACTTGCTATTTTTTTAACAGGCTCGCTGCTAAGAAAGGTAAAAAGGAAACATCAAGTTGGTGGCAGGACGATGATGATGATTCAGATTTTTATTCAAGTGATGACAACGAGGATGAGAACTTCGATGATGAAGATATTTTATGCAATACGATGTTATTGTCTGGTCCTGTTGGCTCTGGGAAAACATCTTCTATTTATGCTTGTGCTGAAGAGCTTGGATTCAAGGTTCTGATTTCAAACGTCACTGGCAAATCAAGCATTTCTACCCAAAACTTATAGTTCTTGATTTGTCGGAGAAAGCAATTATTTCATAGCAATTCCTAATAGCTCTCAAAGCCTGGTTCTGACCTAATTCGCCAACTTTTCTTATCTTGTTTCGTTGCAGGTTATCGAGGTAAACTCGTCCACGAAGCGAGGTGGTAAATATATTTTATCAGAATTACTGGAAGCCACACAGTCCCACCAGGTTTCCACGAAGCGTGGTATGCAAACTGAACTATTTCCTCGGGCTGCTCCGTACGAAGAGAAGAAGAAAGAGCAGATGAAGGGAAATAAAAAGAAGAAAGGACAGTCAAAGAAGAAGGAGCAGCTTTCTGATGAAACTCAACTTCAAGGACCGATGTCCTTGATTTTACTTGATGAAGTAAGTTGGTATTTTACGTCGCTGCTTGTGTTGCAGTGTTTACAAAGTTCTCGTTGTTGGGATCCATTTGAGATTCAGGACTGCATCCAGACAAAAAAAATTCACGAGATTCCTCACATTGTGCTGCCGGACATCAGCAACCATATTGCTTGTGTTTATTTTTCTCTGTTTTAGGTCGATATCTTGTTCGAAGAAGACAAAGGATTCTGGGTGTCTGTGAATACTCTTCGACAGAATTCCAAGCGGCCTATTGTCATGACTGCATCAGGTGCGTGTGAAGTGTCTATGATTGTAATTTCGAAGCGATAGGATTATCACCATAAAGACGCATGAATTTACATATAGGCATGAACAACAAGTAAAATAATAGTGATGAAGCAATTGTATTTCAGTGTTGTTTTCTCTGATTTAGATCTTACTGCAATAGACATTGATGGCGAGTATGAACATATAATACTGAAATCACCTTCACTCAAACTTTATGCTGCGTATTTCCAAACCGTTTGTTTAACAAAGGATGTATTTGTCAATCCGTCTGACGTACGAGCACTTTCCTGGCTGAATCACGCAGATATTCGTCGTTTGTTGTTGAACTTGCAGTTCTGGATCGACTCTGCTGCTGGTGCTTGTGATAAACGTGGAATAACAATTAGGAATGACATTGGAACTAGTGCTGGAATTCTGAGTAAAAATGACGTGGAATATGGTCAAGCAAACACCACTCAACTTAATGCTGGAAATGCTATCGAAATGGACTCGACAGTGAGGACACAAGAAGAGTGTGATGGCAAAGTTCTATCTGTTAATGCAAATGTTGATAATGATACAGCCAGTTCTTGTAGTCCAATTGAAGTCGAAAGTAGATTAGATAAGAAAGGTTCCATTCAGAATTCCAATGATGAAATGCTGGCATTGGACAAGATGGAGAAATTGCAATCATTGTCTAAAAAGAAGATTGATAGCACAAAAAAATTTGATGTGATCAATGACAACAAGGATTGTGAACGGGGAGAAAACGACGAACTAGGGAAAATGAAGAAACATGACACAATTTCATCACAGAAGGCACCGATAGAGATGCATAATCTATGTTTAGAGAGTATGTTAGGAATTCGAAATATTGACAACAACGTTGGAAATGTTTTTGAGACATTGAAGTCTGATTTGAAAACTAAGGTAAGACACTTGGAAATGCAGATTGTCATGAAGTGAGTCTTGCTCACTGAATTCTGTGCAAAGTAGAAAAAACTATGCAAGTTTGAATTAAATAATCCTATTGTTTTTAGGTTTCTTTTCGACAAAAATGTTTGGTGACTTCCCATTGTCAGAGTATGAACATGGATATATTGTATTGTAATCTTGAAACAATACTGCCTTGTGTATTCTCTTCTATAAACAAGGCTCGTGACAATCCTTTGAATCCAAAACCTGGTGATGACAACGGTCACTCTTTTGATACGGAAAATGGCGCAGAATCCCCAAAGGATGAAAACGACGTCGTGAATGATGGAATTGAAGATGATGCAAGTCATGCAACGGTCTCAGATGAAGGTAGTTTGACGCTCTCGTTTCGTTTTTTTTTCATCATGCATGTATATATCAGTAAACTAGAAAAATATCTAGACATAACTGCTGAACTGTTTAGATATACTTTCCAAGAAACTTGATGGGATTTCGTTGACATGTCTCGGAAATTTCTATGAAGTTATGTCATTCATGGATGCAGAACTTTACCGGTATGAACCAGGAACATCTGAAGAAATATTTGGTGCATGGTCAGCTAGGATATCACCTGGGCTCAGTGATTCTGCTGGGAAGCACACCGCCAGTCAAACACCTTGGAAAACAACGAATCTTCAGAATGAGCTTCGAGGAGCATTAGAGGTGGCAAGTCTGGAACACTCACGTCGAAAGTTTCATAATCTTTGCAGCCGTAATGGAGAGCAGATGATGAGATATGCCAATAAGTTAATGTCCCAGCCTTGTACTACGCTATCGTGTTCAAGTGATATCAAAAACATCGATTCAAGAATCTCGCCGAATTGTTGCGATGAAATGGTAGCAGATTCAACAAATGCTTTCAGTGATCTTGATGGTGAAAGATGTCTGCAAGTGACGACCCTGTCAGAAAACCTTGTCAGGTATGGAGGTGGTTTTCGTGTTTTTTGTGAACAGTCTACCATAGATTGTGTGCAGATTAGTTATGTCATATGCAGCTGGAGGGAGTGGAAAGAACAGAGAAGAGAGGATGGAAGGAAAGAGAGGGGAAGGAAAGGGGGAGGAGAATATTTAAAGGAGGAAGATAGAAAGAATGGAACAGATTTTAAAATGATTTTGAACTTTTCTTTAGTAAAACAAGAAAACAAGAACAAGATTTTTCTTCTGTTTCATCGTATTTGCCCGAAATGAACTGTCTCAATAGAAGAGTCATTGTCATGGATTACAGACCAGCGCTGCACAACATCTGTAAAGACGAATCTCTGAGGAAAGCCGCGCGCATCAAGCGAAGGTTTGTTGCTATTGTTGTCAGTTATTGCAAGATTTCCCAGTAGAACATTTTCTTAGATTACTTCTCCATTCAAACGAGCATTTTTCTAGCTTTAAGTAGCCGTTTTCAGGTATTATTAAATCCATTTCTATTTCAATTCTAGATTCTATCACTACTTTGATTCAATAGGACTTCATATCCCTTCGTCTGTAATTCAATCCCTGACAGAGGATAGTTATTTTAGTTAATCAAAACTACTAGTTAGACTAAATTAAAGCACATTTTATTATATTCATGTAAAGTAACTCCTTATGCTTTTAAGATAGTGATTGACAACAATTCACAGCAGGGGCCGCGGAAGATCGGGGGGGGGCATTTATGCATACATTCCTGTTAGCAAATTCACAGCCAAGGTGAACTGCAGTGAACTGGGGCATTTTCTGTGGCTTATGGCATTATGGGTAATCCAGTGTGTATTGAGTTCATCGCCCAGGCATTAATCAGTGACTTCAGCATAATCGTTTATCGCCAAAAGCACACTCAATAATCATCAAAACACGAATTCTTTGAAGCAATATCCTTGGCTGAATAACTCCTTGAAAAGTGCAATATCATTTATCCAAAAACGACGAACAAGAGCATTTATTTGCTTTCCAAAATGACTGACAATGACAGTCAATACAACTCCCTGGTGAGTTTACTTTTCATTTCATTTTTGCCACATATTATGAATGAGAATGAAGATTCTTTAATCGGAATTGAGAGCATCATGTGATTAGATATTTTGGACTATAATTGGGAGGCTCATGCATTAGTGTAATTGTAAAACGTTTTTCTACATAGACTTTAAAACATATCTATTGGGTATAATTTAGAGATATACAAAGTGACGTGGCCAGTCTGATGATTATCTTCTATGAAAGTTTCAAGTAGAAATAATTATTCATGTCTTTAGACATTTATTGTTTCACAGTCAATGAACTCCAAATTATTCGCATTGCAGGACAAATTGTGAGGCTGGCTACGCTACTGTTGATATATAGTTGCTATTATAGTTTCTCTGCTTCAAAATCACTTCACTTGTTCATACAAAACACTGGCATGTCTTTTGCCATTCGAATAACTTAAGTTACCTCTTACCACAGTATTAGGAACATATCACTGACACAAGTTGAAACCTGTTGGTGTGCCTACACAAGTTGCACCACACTTTCACCTTGGCCTTTATTTCTCTGGCCATTATAAAACATATTCATTAACTTTCCTGCCAATAAACATGCTGAAATGCTTTGTCCAAATAGCAGGTATAATGTGATACACTAAATTTAATCATCCAGTAACTGCATATATGCTTTATTAAAAGAGGAAGTGCAATATGTACTTTGAGTTTTGAGTTGTTTCAATTAATTTGTACTGAAAAAATTAGAACACAAATATGAAACAATTAGAACACTTTGACTGGTAGAGTATTCATTAACTGATTAGCTCAGCTCAATATTTAATTAAAAATTTAATGAATTTAAAAAAGTGATAAAAATAATTTCATTATATTTGTTATCTGTTGTCGTCGGGGCCAGGACATCATATTACGCGTACATAAAGTACCTCCGAATTCTTTACGTCATAGTTGGAGTATAATTTTGGAGGGATTCTATAAACCAAGGCCTTCGAAATGAAATATTGTATCGCGTTTAATTGCGAAAGCAATTCTAAAAAGGCCAAACCAAATGAATTAGAAGAAAAGATTGCATATTTTCGTTTTCCTAAAAAAAGAACTTTGCGTAACCGTTGGGTCGATAGAATCAGGCGAAAGAATTGGAAGCCCGCACAATCCTCAAGATTGTGTTCGAGACACTTCGAAGACGCTTGTTTTGAGCATAATCCTGCCGTTTTAAGATCGATTGGATGGTCAGTTCAGAGACTGAGGCTAAAACCTGATGCGGTGCCGACAATTTTTGATTTTTCCTTTACTGGTTCTAAGTCTAAAGTTGAGCAAAAGGACAGGCCAAAAATTGAACGATCAGCCGTCGTGAAACGCCGAAGAATGCAGGTAAGCTGGGTGGATTTTGATATTCTATGATTATGAATCAATGGAGATTAACTAGAAGGGAATTGGGTCTTTGAAGTACTGTATTCATATCTGGAATGTCCAGGGTAACCCTTGCAAGCCAAGGCTATGGTATACCACAGGCAAATACCCTGGGTGTGGCTGGACCCGAGGGGTAGGAACAGCCTGCCTTTATTCATGTCGTTTAATTGTTTAGATTTTTCGTGAAATCGAAGAGAACATTGATCCTGATGCGATTCCTGAACCTAAAAAGAGTTGTAGTTTTGTATTAAATGGGAAATTATCAGAGCAGGTTCAGACGGCCAATCATGATGTTGGAGTACAGACTGACTGATCTTAAGTTCTGTTGTTAACAACCTGGATGGACAGCACAGGAGCATAGATTCCTCTCCCATTGTTTCATTAAATTTAGTGTGTTTTGTTAAAAGACATTGAACATTGGTCATTGTTGGTTTTTCAGTGAAAATAATTGAGAAGGGAACCATTAAAATTACACAATTATTATAAGCAAATAACCTCCAAAGTATTTGTCAGATTTGCTGTTAATATGTGCACCACAATGTGTGGCATAGATTAATGTATCTTGTATATAAAAATTAAAATTTTATTTGATTTGATTGTCTTTGAGTATTATGATATTTTTGAATATATTGGAATTTGTCTTTAGGATTCTCTCTAATGGAGGAACCTCCTTAATATGGACTCCTTTCTAATTAAAGCATCTCTCTAATAGAAGCACCTCTCTAATTTAGTACATTTTTCTAATAGCATAACCTCTAATAAGAGGTTATCTCAAATAGAAGCACCTCTTTAAGTAGGATACCATGAGCTGCTTTCTGATAAGGCCAGTTCTCTAAAAAGACTATTATTAATTTTTTTTAATATTTTTTGATAGGCTGGATTTGTATATATTTTTAATTTGATTGTTGGAGCTGGTGCATTGGCTTTACCGAAGGCATTTAGTGAGGCAGGATTGCTTTTATCAGCCATCATCATTGTTATCCTTGCTTTCTTGAGGTAAAGTTAATAGACATTGTGAATATAGAGAGGATATACACATGTAACTCAGTAATGAGGAGAACGCCCTAATAAAGATATCTCTCTAATTTAGACATCTCTAATACAGAAACCTTTCTAATACAGATGTCTCTCTAAGGGTCTGTTCATATGAGACAGGCCAGTCCGGTTTACCAGGGCTAGCTTGGCAGTGCCGGGATCTCGCCTCGCATATTATTTTACTATATTTGTAAAATTGCATCCATTACATCCCAGTTACTCCCACAAACTCAAAATGGTGGCTAAACAACAAGGAAAAAATAATTACACCGTATCTGTTGGGCCAGCCCAGCTCATATGAATGCGAATAGGCCCGGCTAAACTGGGCTGGCCCTCTCATATGAACAGGCCCTATAGGATACAGACATCTCTCTAATACAGACATCTCTAATACAGACATCTCTAATACAGACATCTCTAATACAGACACCTCTCTAAATAGGCACTGTTCAAGCCGTTTCATCTGTCCCTAGAGACACTTCTTTACTACAGACAGCACCTTAATACCGCTTAAAGATTTTGATTTCTATTGTATTTGTAATAAAATACTTATTTTGAAACTTAAGTTTTATGACGTGTTCCTTCATGGTTGAAGCAATGGCGATTGCAAACGCTGTCTTACAACAAAAAGAAAAAGCGAAGATTGAAAATCATGAGGTAAATGAAAAGGTAAAAATAGTCAAAACGATGTGGTTGCATGTCCCTGTGGATTGTTGGAAGGACCACGTGAAAATTGCCCGGTTCTGCACCAGCATTTCCGGGTTATCATCTGTTACTGACACTTATTTTACTGCTGATATTTTAGATTGAAACTTTGCAAGACGAATCAAGGACACTCTTAAGTAAGTTTCGTTGTCTATTCTCGGCAATAATCAACTGTATCTACTAAATCAATGCTTGAATCGTTCATTCACGTTGTTATTCATTCCTAGTCAAGTTCTGTTTTCTCAGTCCTAATCCCTCATTCTGTCTTCTCCATATTTCCAGGTAATAACGCTGAAATTAATGGCCAACCTTCCTTTGAGATACGAAAGAAAGTTGAAATGGTGAGTTCAGCCACGAAATGATTATCAGATAAATTTACCTTTTTATTTAACCACTTTGTTTTACCCCTTTAGGGCGAAATGGCACGCATGTTCTTTGGTAAAAGTAAGTAATGTATATATATAAACGAGGTCTAAACACATCTAAACTTATCGTTTGTCACCTGCTCCTCCACATTCAGAGTAACACAATGTCATCTCTTTCTTGCAGTTGGTATTCGTCTATTTTATCTCTGCATTGCCGTCTATTTGTATGGAGATCTTGCCATATATGCGACTGCTGTTCCTAAATCAATGAGGGACGTTATTTGGTAAGCTATTTCCTAGTAAAAGTAAGAGTACGTGTCCAGTTTGTCGTCGAAAAAAATGCTTTCCACAGCTTACCATGGTTCTGAGTGATTCCGGACAATATTTTCGTCGTTTGTGCCAGATTTAATTGGTTGAACATCATTTTAAATATATAAATGAATCGTAAACAATCAAATTTGTTTGCATACAATACAGTTATGAAGACGCGGTTTGTCAGTCGAAACGCCTCAATTGCAATTCCTATTTTATAGCGAAACCTCCGAGAGTAGTGGAAATGACAGCAATAATACAAATGTTTCCATCAGTTCCTCAGGCCAGGATGATGATAAATGTTGTGGACTGAGGCGTGATGATGTTTACAGAATATTAGTGGTGAGGTATAGGCTTAATTAACCTGGAATCACCTCGAATACTCTTTATCTTATCACCCGTGGTTGCACGGAATCTGGATAGCTTTATTCATTGCCTGGACAGCGATTTTCTAATCGCTATGTTGCCCGTTGTACGGTATAACCTTGACCAAACCTTGGTATTCTTAAAATGAGGACTCATTTAAGCTCCAAATCTGTCATTTCATTTGCTTACAAGTATGTTTACAACTGTTTAAAAAGTCACTTTCCGATGGATAGCGCTATCCAGCCTTCGTCTGCAACCGATTCTTATAGATTATACACTGCAAAGTGCGATGTAAATAGCGAAACACATTCTTGTTTTCCTTAAATCTAAACTCAGACATCTCCTGATTCTACTATTTTTGTATTTTCTTTTAGGCTGCGTTCGCCGTCTTAGTTTGTCCCTTTGCGTTCACAAATGTTCAGAAAACTAAATATATCCAATACCTGACCACATTTCTTCGCTGGCTCTGTAAGTACACAGTATAATTTATTTATATTGCTTGTCTGTCATCCGAACAACCGGTAATTCTATTCTCTGCCATATTTTCTACTGAAATAACTAAATAAGGTCCTTACTGTGAAAATTATGTTGAGACCAGCAACCTACTTAAGCCATCATGGCTAAAATAGGTTACAATCAGTAATTTTTTTGAAATTCTATTGCTTTATAATTTATAAAGCATTGAAATGAAATTTTTTAAAGAAGGTTTTCAATATGGCGTTCCTAGTATGGAGTATTTTTAGGTATATTTTCTCTTTTTGAATCACTTTAAAAAGCGTCGTTTAATCGCACGAGTTTGCAGTGGAAGAATTCACGAATTTTCATCGATTTTTTTTTGCTTGTGAGGTGGAAAGAGGATTTTATTTTAGTTCAGACCAACTCGCGCGCGAAGCCAGCACAAGTTGCAGTTATCTTAAACAATCTTTCAACATATGATTGCAGGTTTTAGCTTCATGATTGTCCTTGCTTTAATTCATCTTGGGAAAGGAAAGGGGAATGGAAGGCCTAGTGTTGCAGATTTTTCGGGAATTCCAGATCTGTTTGGTGCGTCTGTTTATTCCTTCATGTGTCAACACTCCCTCCCCTCCCTCATCACGCCTCTGAAAAGCAAGAAAAACGTCACAACTATTCTGTTCATGGACGTTGGAGTCGCTCTGTTATTTTACAGCTTGCTTTCTTTTACCGCCTTGTTCACCTTTGTTGATTCAGAAATCGAGGATGTCTACACGCTTAGCTTCAAGCACATTACCTCAACAGGAATCAGCACATTTCTAGCGCTGTATCCAGTTTTTGCACTATCAGCAAGCTTTCCTATAATTTCAATAACTTTACGCGAGAACTTAAAAGCTCTTTTCCACAAGGATGACAGGAAATTCCCGTGGATAGTTGATAGAATTGGATTTCCATTATTCGCAGTTCTTCCTCCAATCGTCATAGCTCTTAGCACAACAAATGTTGAAATGTTGGTGAGTCTGACCGGATCTTACGCTGGCGTAGGGGTTCAGTACATAATACCGACAATGTTGATAGTCTATGGTCGTCAGAAGGCGGCAGAAATATTGGGGTTTAATGATAATGATTATGGATCATTTTTTAAACATCGTTTTTGGACGTGGATGATCCTTTCCTGGACATTGTTGAGTGTTGGTGTTGTAACCGCGTATAACATTAAGAAACGAATATGACAGAAATAAAAATCAAATTGAAATACATAAAAGCAATCATGAAATGATTTCACACCTTCAAGAACATCGAAAGCAAAGAATAAATTGAATTTACTTTTAGCATGACATAAAACCTCTATTTTAGAACACATTATATTTTTTTGAACGAAGTTCATGCAATTTTTCACAATTATTTTAACTTGTAGTGTTGCTGGCGCAATTCTACTGTAATATGATTAGTACAATGAATGGAAAATAAATATTACCCATTTCAACAATAAGATTTATTTTGGATTACATGAATTGATTACATTGTTACGTAAGTGAATACATTATTAAGTGAATACATTATTAAGTGAATACATTATTAAGTGAATACATTATTAAGTGAATACATTAGTTAAATGATTGACGATATTGGGCGATAAAAAATGAAATAAGGGTATTAAAGCGTCTTCCATTCGCACATGAATCATTTTGTGCAAACCACACAAGTGAGTTCATAACCATTAGCGTATGGTGGACAAGGAAGAGAACCACACTGAGTTTCAGCAAAATAAAGTAAGGCACCATCGTGATTAATATAAGATCCGGTTCTGCCTTCAGCGTTCTCGTCAATACAAAGAAACTGTGTTCTTCCGGGGTGACCATGATGTGCGGACATGATATATCCTTTATACTCCAAGGTCCAGCCTGAGGGACAGACATTACGAGCTGGTATCATCACGTGACTACCACGTGACTCGGTGTGACAGACTGCGCAGGGAGCATCGTGATTAGCGATGTTTCGCGGAAATACGTTAGGATAAGCATGTGTCTCGTACTCGGTGCCATAAATATAACTCCCTCCTTGATTACCAGCCTTAACTTTGTCAAATATTGGATTCAATGGTAGACAAAGATAGTTTGATGCACCACCCTTATGGCTATAATGTGTTCCAGCCATCACACCTAAACATTGTTTAGAGAAATTCAAACACAGCATACTAAAGACACGAGAAACCAATTGATTTTTGAACTTCTGGCCTGTAAATCATGCTCTTCCTACGTTTTGCCGTTTCCCCATCTAAGCTATCTATTTATATTGATAGAATTGGACACACTACAAAATTGAGAGAATAGGTACAACTGGAAATTTTGACAATTCTCGGTTTTGTATTCTATGGTCTCTGCAACTATAATTTATACCTGAATATAATTCATTATTTCCAGAGATCTGTGGACAATGTTTTCTTCCCCATCGTGTGTACACAGTTCCCCCTCCTGATCCTGCAGCTTCCCCCTTTTCACCTCGAGGTCCAGCTGGTCCACGTCTTCCAGGAGGTCCTGGTAGAATTGTGCGAAGAAATTTCTTGTTTTAAATTGGCATGAAAAAAATTGGTTTAACTGTATAGAGCAATTGTAGTTAGCTATTTTAAAATCCACTTAAATATTCTCACCGCGTAAGCCAGCATCACGACCATCGCGTCCTTTAGGAAGAAGTATAAACAGTTAAATATGGTATGTACTCATTGTACAAGTGTGAATGTCTTCAGTTCTGGAAAGAAACCTAGTGCTTGCATTCAGACGCTATGTTCTTACCTTTGACTAGTCTATAGAGTACTCACTCACGGATCTGACCAGAACGGCCAATAAACGCGCATGCATGATTTTACAGATATTAAACTAGCAAAGTATCACACGGCGCTGTCGTTGATGGTTTCATGTTTCACTAGTGGGGTCTGTGGGGAAGCTGTTCAATTGTAAACACAGGCTCATCGTTAAACGATCTTTTAAGTGGGTTGGAGATTTCACGATCGTATAATTTGAAATGTTTAAATTACCGCCTGAAAATTTGTATGTGAACTAGAGCAATATTTAACACCCTATAGCAGTGGAAAAAAGAAGCGGAAAATAACGTACCATCTCTTCCTGGAAGACCTGGCAAGCCTAGACACAATGATTTGTTATCCTTCGTCTCGCGTTTAGCTATCGAGCTATTTCATAAAAAGAAAAAATATTAATATTCCATTAACGGAATATCAATCACAACTTTATGATGACTATCTATGCCACTAAACTGACTAAACACTGAATTTGCCTGGCAAGAAAACAAAATTTCAGTTTTATACTGTTGCTTGTGGTCACACCCTAACATACAACTTCCTCATCTTATTTTCATAAAATAAAAGATATCTAGAGTACCATCTTGCAAAATATCTCACCGTTCCTCGTCTGACTCGATGTCTTCGCCATGGATCATGTTGACCACCACAAGACATAACCAGATCAGTAAAATATTTCGATGAAGAAACTTCATTGCAGCGTTTAGTTGACAAAAATTGATTTTAAAAAGTTGTGTTGCTCTCTCAGTGAGGATCAGGACAAGAATGAAATAGCGTCAGAATACGAAGTGTTTTTGTAAGAAAACACAAATAATTATTTCCGTTATAACAAGCTGTAACATTTTAAAATTTAAAAATCTCAAATTATACGAGCTTTTGTCTTCCCGCACAAAAGGTGTTCTCGGTGAAGAGTTTAAAGACAAATTATAGATAAGTAAAGTACCATCTTTTGTCTCTTTTGTGCAACTAGCAAATGGCATTGGGAGTCGGCCAACTTGGCAATGCAGAACTTAACTTTAGTGGATATAGGGGGAAATGATAATCGCTTCTCTGACTCCCGTTCAATTAAACTTGCAATTTTTACTGAGACTTTCTTTGAATTGGCTGAAGGACCTATACGGCTTTAAAGATTTATTACATGTCATGGTAATTATTTGAGTCAGAGTGACAGCAATTTGTCTCCGGCGTCCTATGGCGCTTATTGTTCATATAGAATATCTACGAATTTTCGTTGCAGCAATCTTACATACCAGCCTCTCACCTCTGCAGTTCTTTGCAGCTACACGCACGTTTTTTTATAATTCTACTAGAAAACTAGTTTTCGTATACAGTAGATATGCGACAAGGTTTCGTATTCACCAGTTAAATAAGGCGAGTATTTTTATGCCCAATTATGGAAGTCACTGCATCAACAAGTATTTACTGCGTCAACGCGGGGGTTCTACTTCCTGTGTGTCGTATATTTAGTATGTATTGTATAACCACCGTTTCAGCAAAATTCTTCACAAAACGTGATCTAGGTCTAGAACATATCACAACAGTGATTTTTTTCTTGTTTACCGACTCTCTGATTGCCAGCATAATCATGCATATTAGAAATATTTACTTGAACGGATTATTTACTTTGGTGAATAACTTATGAATTAAGTTCACGAATATCTTTCCTGGATCACGAAAATGTTTGAGCTTTTAAAATATTTTGTGTTTGATACAAACACGTTGCGTCATGTTGCGCATGTCTTTGATCTGTGAAAATCAACTTGATATAATTCTATTCAATACATAATTCAATATTCTATTCTCCTGTTTGAAAAAACATCCACACGTCTCATGTCTTTCAGTGATCTTGTGTTTTCTTTATTGATCTTTGCAATCTTGATTTGAAGAACAATTGATCAAATAATATTTTGATCAACGACATATAGCTCGTCCTAAAAATCAGTGATGATTGACGATTGTTTCATTGTGAAATGACGCTGTATATAAACTGCCGGCTTCGCCATGGCGAAGCTAATTCTCTCTTCATTGATGATTGCTTTGACCTTGCTATTTATCTCGCCCTATCCTTTGACACTGACGTGCTATAGAATGAAGTAAATATAAATTATATTCTCACGCACAGCCACAAACATATACCTTAATTCGATTAACTTGCTCTCTCGTTATTTAGTTCATTTTCTGCATGACAAGTGGGTATTAAATAGACACTCTCGCCCACCTTTTGAGACAAAATCATTTAAAGTAGAGTAGAAAATGTTACTTTTACTGGATTTACGGGGTTAAATCATTGCAAAAACAACGCAATACTGGCTTTTTCTTAAGCCAACACCACCACACGGTGATGGTTTTATAATCTCATCTCATCTCATCTGAAACTCATCTGTCACTTACGAACGTTTTCCAGCTCGTTTGGGACAATACTACGTCGTTGAAGATATGTTTTGTTGTGTTCATCTGTTCCCGGTGTATAAAAGAACAGGTTGATCAACATCACGACACCACAACAGACTTGAATTCAATTGAAACTCGTCGTTTGTTTTTTTTTGAAGAAAATCATGTCTTTCCGTCATTTTTATATTTTGTTTCTTGCTCACTTGTTGTGCTCCGTTGTGACGGCCAATACTGATGATCATCAAATAAGAAAAAGGTAGGGGAAATTTTATTCATTACAATCTCTGTGCGCCATAATGACGAATGAGATTTAACGCACACAAAACATTTGAATTTACATTTACAATACTCTTCAGACAGACTATCGAGACGACATAGTTGGAGTAATTCGACTGTGTCGGTTGAAACAAGCGAAAATAGATCTATTTTTGTGTTTCAAACGTTCTTACATAATAGTACGGTAGTACAGGGTTAATAAATTGCCGAATATCAATTTCTTTTTCTCTTATTAAATAGGCAAGCTTCGTCTGGTCAGGGAACAAGTGGTCTATGCCGAGGACTTCCAGGTTTACCTGGACGAGACGGTAATTTGTATTCTTCAATTTAAACCGTAGTTCGGACGACAGTCGGCCGCGAATTGATTTTAATAAATACTGAATTTTAGCTTTAACTGAATGCGATGATTCAAGTAAATTTGAACTCTGAACAGTTCTATACATATTTTAGGTCGAGATGGTCGTGATGCAATGCTCATTGGTACGTAAAATGCCTTATCTTGTGCGCGATGCGTTTCCGAAAGACGTGTCTTTACATAGAATATACACTCATTTAGGTCCACCAGGAAAGCGAGGTGAACCAGGACCACAAGGGACACAAGGTGTGAAAGGAGACTCCGTAGGTGTGACAGGAGGTGCGGTGTACACACGTTGGGGAAGAAATGACTGTCCGCAATCTGTCAAAACCACCATGTTGTATTCAGGTAATTGTGACAAGGTCGAATTTGAGAATTTTCCAAGCAAACCTGAAACGTTGATACTGAAACATGCTTTAATAATGATATAAACACGATGATTTCTGAATTTCTTTTTATAATGGTTAGGTGTGATGGCTGGATCATGGTACCATCATACTGGTGGGGCATCAAACTACCTTTGTCTGCCAATAAATCCAATATTTGACAAAGTTACCGCTGGTGATCAAGGAGGGAGTTATATCTATGGCACCGAGTACGAGACACATGCTTATTCTAACGTATTTCCGCGAAACATCCATAATCACGATGCTCCCTGCGCAGTCTGTCACACCGAGTCACGTGGTAGTCACGTGATGATACCAGCTCGTAATGTCTGTGCCTCAGGCTGGACCTTGGAGTATAAAGGATATCTCATGTCCGCAAATCATGGTCACAACGGAAGAACACAGTTTCTTTGTGTTGACGAGAACGCTGAAGCTACAACAGGATCTCATGTTGATCATAATGGCGCCCTACTTTATTTTGTTGAAAGTCAGTGTGGTGCTCTTCCTTGTCCACCATACGCCACTGGTAAAGAACTCACTTGTGTGGTTTGCACAAAATAAATAAAGCGAAAATGTGTTTTAAATCATTGAACCATAATCATATTTATGTGCGTATAATTATGTTATATGTCATCGTTTATTCCCATGTGATACGAAAATTTAATAATAATTATTTTACACCTAAATGTTCATAAAATCTCATCATGAATTTTGCTTGGTGTTGTTGGGTGCTATTTAGGTGTCGTTGAGTACTGTTGGGTATTGCAGAGTACTGTTAGGTATTTCTGTGTATTATTGGGTATAGTCAGGTGATCTTGTTATATCACATTGGACATAACCTGGATCAAACCTTGGTATTCTTAAAATGAGGATTTATTTAAGCTCCAAATCTGTCATTTCATTGCTTACAAGTATGTTTACAACTGTTTAAAAAGTCTAAAAAAAACTCTATGCTCTGCCATATTTTTTACTGAAATAACTAAATAAGGTCCTTAGTTTTGTGAGGTTGTGAAATTATGTTGAGACCAGCAACCTACTTAAGCCTTTCTGGCCAAAATAGGTTACAATCAGTAATTTTTTGAAATTCTATTGTTTTATAATTTATAAAGCGTTAAAATGAAATTGTTTAAAGAAGGTTTTCAATATGGCGTTCTTAATACGGAGTATTTTTAGGTATATTTTTTCTTTTTGAATCACTTTAAAAAGCCTTGTTTAATCGCACGAGTTAGGATGTATCCAGTTTTTGCACTATCAGCAAGCTTTCCTATAATTTCAATAACTTTACGCGAGAACTTGATTACTTGAAAGCTCTTTTCCACAAGGATGACAGGGAATTCCCGTGGATAGTTGATAGAATTGGATTTCCATTATTCGCTGTTCTTCCTCCAATAGTCATAGCTCTTAGCACAACAAATGTTGAAATGTTGGTGAGTCTGACCGGATCTTACGCTGGCGTAGGGGTTCAGTACATAATACCGATAATGTTGATAGTCTATGGTCGTCAGAAGGCGGCAGAAATATTGGGGTTTAATGATAATGATTATGGATCATTTTTTAAACATCGTTTTTGCAATCACATTATGAAGTGATTACATTATTAAGTGAATACTTTATTAAGTGAATACATTATTAAGTGAATACATTATTAAGTGAATACATTATTAAGTGAACACATTATTAAGTGAATACATTATTAAGTGAATACATTATTAAGTGAATACATTATTAAGTTAATACTTTATTAAGTGAATACATTATTAAGTGAATACATTATTAAGTGAATACATTATTAAGTGAATACATTATTAAGTTAATACTTTATTAAGTGAACACATTATTAAGTGAATACATTATTAAGTGATTACATAATTAAGTGAATACATTATTAAGTGAATACATTATTAAGTGAATACATTATTAAGTTAATACTTTATTAAGTGAACACATTATTAAGTGAATACATTATTAAGTGATTACATAATTAAGTGAATACATTATTAAGTGAACACATTATTAAGTGAATACATTATTAAGTGAATACATTATTAAGTTAATACTTTATTAAGTGAACACATTATTAAGTGAATACATTATTAAGTGATTACATAATTAAGTGAATACATTATTAAGTGAACACATTATTAAGTGAATACATTATTAAGTGAATACATTATTAAGTTAATACTTTATTAAGTGAACACATTATTAAGTGAATACATTATTAAGTGATTACATAATTAAGTGAATACATTATTAAGTGAATACATTATTAAGTTAATACTTTATTAAGTGAACACATTATTAAGTGAATACATTATTAAGTGAATACATTATTAAGTGAATACATTATTAAGTGAATACATTATCAAGTGATTACATTATTAAGTGAATACATTATTAAGTGAATACATTATTAAGTGAATACATTATTAAGTGAATACATTTATTAAGTGATCACATTATTAGGTGATTACATTATTAAGTGAAACATTAGTTAAATGATTGACGATATTGGGCGATAAAAAATGGAATAAGGGTATTAAAGCGTCATCCATTCGCACACGAATCATTTTGTGCAAACCACACAAGTGAGTTCTTTACCAGTGGCGTATGGTGGACAAGGAAGAGAACCACACTGACTTTCAACAAAATAAAGTAGGGCGCCATTGTAATCAACATGAGATCCTGTTGTAGCTTCAGCGTTCTCATCAACACAAAGAAACTGTGTTCTTCCTTTGTGATTATAATGTTCGGACATGAGATATCCTTTATACTCCAAGGTCCAGCCTGAGGGACAGACATTACGAGCTGGTATCATCACGTGACTATCACGTGACTCGGTGTGACAGACTGCGCAGGGAGCATCGTGATTAACGATGTTTTGGGGAAATACGTAAGGATAGGACTGTGTCTCGTACTCGGTGCCATAGATATAACTCCCTCCTTGATTACCAGCCTTAACTTTGTCAAATATCGGATTCAATGGTAGACAAAGATAGTTTGAAGCACCACCCTTATGGTTAAAACGTGATCCAGCCATCACACCTAAACATTGTTTAGAGAAATTCAAACACAGCATACTAAAGACACGAGAAACCACGTCATTTGATTTTTGAACATCTGGCCTGTAATTCATGCTCTTCCTACATTTTGCCGTTTCTCCATCTAAGCTATCTATTTATATTGATAGAATTGGACACACCACAAAATTAAGAGAATGGGCACAACTGGAAATTTTGACAATTCTCGGTTTTGTATTCTATGGTCTCTGCAACTATAATTTATACCTGAATATAATTCATTAGTTCTAGAGATCTGTGGACAATGTTTTCTTCCCCATCGTGTGTACACAGTTCCCCCTCTTGATCCTGCAGCTTCCCCCTTTTCACCTCGAGGTCCAGCTGGTCCACGTCTTCCAGGAGGTCCTGATAGAATTATGCAAAGAAATTGCTTGTTTTAAATTGGCATAGAATAAACTTGTAGTTTAACTGTATAAATCAGTTGTATAAATGGCGCTTCTATTATAAAATACACTTTATATACGTACCGCGTAAGCCAGCATCACGACCATCACGTCCTTTAGGAAGAAATAAAAACAGTTCATCATACTGCGCATCTGCATGTCTATGTCTTCAGATATGGGGAGAAACCTAGTGCAAGCTTGCATTCATACACTATGTTCCTAATTTTGACTAGTCTATATAGAGTACAGAGTAGTCACTCTCGGATCCGACTAGAATGGCTAATAAATGCGCATGCATTATTTTACAGATATTAAACTAGCAAAGTATCACACGGCGCTGTCGTTGAGGGTTTCATGTTCCACTAGTGGGGACACTGTTCCATTGTAAACGCAGGCTCATCGTTTGAACAATCTTCTCAGTGTGTTGGAGATTTCACGATCGTATGATTTAAAATGTTTAAAATACCGCCTGAAAATTTGTATGTGAACTTAGAGCAAAATTTAACACTTTATAGCAGTAGAAAATAACGTACCATCTCTTCCTGGAAGACCTGGCAAGCCTTGACACAATGATTTGTTATCCTTCTTCTCGCGTTTAGCTATCGAGCTATTGCATAAAAAGAAATATATTCCATTAACGGAATATCAATCACAACTTATAATGACTATCTATGCCACTAAACTGAATATACACTCAATTTGTCTGGCAAGAAAACAAAATTTCAGTTTTATACTGTTGCTTGTGGTCACACCCTAACATTACGACTTCCTCATCGTATTTTAATAAAATAAAACATATCTAGAGTATCATGCAAAATATCTCACCTTTCCTCGTCTGACTCGATGTCTTTGCCATGGATCATTTCGACCACCACAAGACATGACCAGATCAGTAAAATATTTCGATGAAGAAACTTCATTGCAACGTTTAGTTGACAAAAATTGATTTTGAAAACTCGTGTTCCTCTCTCAGTGAGGTTCAGGACAAGAATGAAATAGCGTCAGAATACCAAGTGTTTTTGTAAGATGACACAAAGAATGTTTTCCGTTATAACAAGCTGTAACATGTTTAAATTTTATCAAATTATACAAACTTTTGTCTTCCCGCACACAAGGTTTTCTCGGTGAAGAGTTTAAAGACAAATTATAGATAAGTTAAATACCATCTTTTGTCTCTTTTGTACAACTAGCCAATGACATTGGTTTTGCTTCAGCCAAACTTGACAATGCAGATCTTGAACTTTGTGGTAGATTGAACTGAGAGAGCATCATCACTTCTCAGACTCATTTTATTTAAACTTGCAAGACTTATTTTGCTTTCGCTATATATAAAGGACCTATATATATATATACGACTATACACGGCTTTAAAGATTTATCACATGCCATGGTTAATGATCTAAGTCAGATATTTGTATTCGGCGCCTATGGAGCTTATTGTTCATACAGAAGATATAAGAATTACCGTCTTCATCAGACAAATATAAAAGCACTAATTTTAATGAAAAACTAGGTTTCTTTTACTGCTAATGTCTACAGTATATAGATATGGGACCAGATTTCGTATAAACCAGTTAAATTGGGCGAGTATTTTTATGCCCAATTATTAAAGTCACTACGTCAACAAATACACTGTATATTACCGTGTATATTCACGATAGTGTACGCGGGGGTTCTATCTTTTGTATGTTTATATATTTAGACTTTTTAGTATGTATTGCATAACTACCGTTTCAGCAAAATTCTTGTTGACACAACGTTACCTAGGTCTAGAATAATATCAGTGATCCATGACTGGAACAGTGATCTTTTAGGTAGAGAACTTAGGAATTAATTTCACGAATATCTTTCCTGGATCACGACAAATGTTTGAGCTTCTAAAATATTTCGTCTTTGATACAAACACGTTGCGTTATCTTGCGTGTGTCTGTGAAAATACACTTGGCACAATAGTTATTGGTAATTTGGTTCCATTGTGAAATGACACTAAGCTGGCTGGCGAAGCTATAATTCTCTCTTCATTGTTGATTGCTTTGACCTTCCTATTTCTCTCGCCCTATCCTTTGACATTGACGTGCTATGGAATGAAGTATATATAAATTATATATATTCTCACACACAAACTCAAACATATAACTTCGATGAACTTGCTCTCTCGTCATACGACTTGCTACTCAATTAATTTTCTACAGGTGACTGAAGTGAGTATGAAATAAACACACTCGTCCACCTTTTGAGACAAAATCATTTAAAGTATAGAGTAGATACTGGATTTTTTTTCCTAAGCCAACACCACCACACGGTGATGGTTTAAACGTTTAATCTCATCTGATCTGAAACTCATCTGTCACTTACAGAACGTTTTCCAGTTCGTTTGCGACAATCCGACGTCGTTGAACACATCTTTTCCTGGATCTGTCCAGACTTGCTGTGTTAATCTGTTCCCGGTGTGTATAAGAACAGGTTGATCAACGTCACGACACCACAACAGACTTGAATTCAATTGAAACTCGTCGTTTTTTTGAAGAAAATCATGTCTTTCCGTCATTTTTATATTTTGTTTCTTGCTCACTTTTTGTGCTCCGTTGTGACAGCCAATACTGATGATCATCAAATAAGAAAAAGGTAGGGGAAATTTTACTCATTACAATTTCTGTGCGCCATAATGGCGAATGAGATTTAACGCACACAAAACATTTAAATTTACATTTACAATCTTCATGCAGACAGGCTATCGAGACGCTATATAGTTGGAGTAATTCGACTGTGTCGGTTGAAACAAACAAAAACAGATCTATTTTAAACGTTCTTACATAATTGTAGTACATGCAGGGTTAATAATTTGCCCAATATGAATATCTTTTTCTCTTATTAAATAGGCAAGCTCCGTCTGGTCAGGGAACAAGTAGTTTATGCCGAGGACTTCCAGGTTTACCTGGACGAGATGGTAATTTCCATTCTTCAATTTTAACCGTAATTCGGACGACACAGTCGGCCGCGAATTAATTTTAATAAATATTGAATTTTAACTTAAACTCAATGCGATGATTCAGGTAAATTTGAACTCTAGTTCATATATATATTTTAATACTCAAGTTCCATACATATTTTAGGTCGAGATGGTCGTGATGCAATGCTCATTGGTACGTACAATGTCTTATCTTGTGCGCGATGCGTTTCCGAAAGACGTGTCTTTACAAAGAATATTCACTCATTTAGGTCCACCAGGAAAGCGAGGTGAACCAGGACCACAAGGGATGAAAGGAGACTCCGTAGGTGTAACAGGAGGTGCCGTGTACACACGTTGGGGAAGAAATGACTGTCCGCAATCTGTCAAAACAACCATGTTGTATTCAGGTAATTGTGACAAGGTCGAGAATTTTCCAAGCAAACGTGAAACGTTGATACTGAAACATGCTTTAATAAAGATATGAAAACGATAGTTTCTGAATTTCTTTTTATAATGGTTAGGTGTGATGGGTGGTTCATGGTTCAATCATCATGGTGGAGCATCAAACTATCTTTGTCTACCATTGAATCCAATATTTGACAAAGTTAAGGCTGGTAATCAAGGAGGGAGTTATATCTATGGCACCGAGTACGAGACACATTATTATCCTAACTTTTTTCCGCAAAACATCGCTGATCACGATGCTCCCTGCGCAGTCTGTCACACCGAGTCACGTGGTAGTCACGTGATGATACCAGCTCGTAATGTCTGTCCCTCAGGCTGGACATTGGAGTATAAAGGATATCTCATGTCCGCACATTATGGTCACAACGGAAGAACACAGTTTCTTTGTGTTGACGAGAACGCTGAAGCTACAACAGGATCTCATGTTGATCATAATGGCGCCCTACTTTATTTTGTTGAAAGTCAGTGTGGTTCTCTTCCTTGTCCACCATACGCCACTGGTAAAGAACTCACTTGTGTGGTTTGCACAAAATAAATAAAGCGAATATATGTTTTAAATAATTGAACCCATAGTCAAATTTATGTGCATATAATTATGTTAATTTTGAACGTTTATTTCCATGTGATACGAAAATTTAATAATAATTATTTTACACCTAAATGTTCATAAATGCTCATCGTGAATTTTGCTTGGTATTTTTGGGTACTATTAGGTATGGTTGAGTACTGTTGAGTATGGCAGAGTACTGTCAGGTATTTCTGTGTATTATTGGGTATAGTCAAGTGATCTTGTTGGATCACATTGAACATTGTGCAAGCCACTCAATATTGTCAAATTATCCTCCAGTATTGTTGCGTTGTTTCCTCTCACTTGAAGGACTTTCACTAGTTGACCTCAGCGCCTCTAATGTAAACAGCTATAACATATAAAGATTGTCTTTGGATATAGTTGTCAAAGCGAAGCGCCAAATTATTGATGGGGAATTGCCTTAAAACGTTAAAACAATCCTTCCGTGATGCCTACGTCTGACGTCAATATTTTGAGACTTGAGTAGTCTTTTTAAGAGGTTTTAAACAGTTGCTCATTTTGTCGATGTCATTTAAAATGAATAATCATTTCATCCCCATGCATTGAACTCAAAATAACTTTTCTTTTGAGTTCAATGTTCCAATCATACTTCTTGCGCTTGGAACTTTTATCTTTGTTGAAAGGAAAGCTTAATTACTGGTGTTGGTAAACCTGCAATCTTAACAACCACGATTAGTGAAAGAGGGCTTGTGGCAAGTTTCAAAACTAAGGTCATATGAAGGAAAGCGTGGGAGAAAGCAATATTTAACAGAAGACATTGTTACTGCCTTAAATTTCTTTGTTAACCAAGTATTAGCCATAGAATCACCTGTTACTGTTAAACTGTTTTGATTGGTGCAGAGATATTTTAACGACCATATAATGATCGTGCATAGTTCTTTCTGGAAGAATACGTTCTGCGTAGTTAGTTATGTAAATTTTCATCACAAGATTTTAGCATACCGTTTGTAAACATAGCCTCATATTAGCTTGATGATAGCCGCGTAGTGCGACCCCTCGCGCCTGGTAGTTTCTTGTTCACCATTTTTATTGAACAAGGCTAAAAGTAATACACAACAGAGGTAGTTATTTTGTCTACATAGCTACAAAGATCACCGAAATTATGACATTGTAATGAAATGCGGATAACATGAGCATTCACGCATGTATAATATAGGGCCTATATGTTACAATTAAAGCGCGTGGAATTTGAGTAACGTAGCGAACGTTAAAGTTGCTTGAGCGATGGAAGGTCACATCAACTGGGTGTACATTTCTCTTTCCTCGATGCTATTCTTCAAAACTATCAACAAGGCGGTAGTTTTTCTTTTTCCATCGCCAGTTAAACTACGAGATCAGACAAGAAAGGTTTGGCTTTGGGAGAATCTAGCGACGTCCTGGGTGCACTCGGTCATCAGCGCTGCACTCTCGATCTACAGGTAGTTTTTCTTTGAAACAATTTCATACGTTCTACATTGTTAGTTTTTTTGATCAGACTAAAATAATTCTCCCTCATTTATTTATAGTATATACAGCACGCCATCAATAATCGAAGATATGATCAATACGAATAATAGTCTGTTGTATAGCACACTGGCTATTTCTGTTGGTATGTAACAAATATAATACTGGCAAATTTGTGCAAAGTCCTGGTGGTCTTTCTTTGATTGAAAATTAATAAGTAATCTGAATTAAGCTGTTATTTATGCTGTAGGTTATTTTGTCTACGACCTTATTGACCTAGCAATAAACGACTTACAAAGATCGTTTTGTGTTATTATTCATCATGTGCTCGTAAGTGTTCAAATATTTCTGTTTTTAATGCCTAAAAATGGGACTTCGCAGGCAGTTTATTAGCTCAACATATATTGAGCATGTAGTTCTTCAGAAAGGACCGTTCACCACGGCAAATTACGATCATCTTTGCCTATCCGTGCAAGTGAATGTAAACATACCACTTTCGCTTCTATTGAGAGTAATCACCGCCAGCATGTCATCACGACTGTGACACCTCGTAGTCATGCAATTTCGAGAATTGTGTGTACGCATGCTCAGAGATCAACACCTTACTATCCAAGCGTATTTCATCATTCTAAGAACTTGAGCTTCAATTATTTTCCCTTTCTCTCCAGGTTATATCAAGCTTTCTTGTTTGCCTTCTGGGAAACCGGCTGATACCATTCGCGATTTTTGCATTGCTTGTTGAGGTGAACAGTGTCTTCCTTCACGCCCGATGCCTTATGCGCATGACCGAGCTTGATCAAAACGGGCTGGTTTATAAAATCAACAGAATCCTCTTAATGATAACTTTTATTTTATTTCGCTTCGTGAATTGTGGATGGGTGACTATCTGTCTTGTGTCAAGTCGTCATGTGATCAATTGGCTTCCGTTCACAATAGGCTTCGGTGGCATGTGTATCGCGTCTTTGCAAAACGTAGGTCTTCTCAAGCAGGTGTGGACGAGTGATGCAAAAAGTAAAATGAAACAGTCGCAACACGAGAAAACTGGAGGCGATAAGGATCACAATGAGAACAAGAGTAACGGCTCAGAAAAACTGAGAGAGTTATTAAAAGTGACAAACGCTTGTAGCACTTGTAGCTGAGATTTGCATTCAACACTTTCCAACCGCTTGGAATTAACTGATTAAGGGAGATTTTGTTAGAGGTGATAAGAATAGAACTTTTTAGGGCAAGCTTTTAGAGTTCTTCGTGTGGGATAGACCGTGTTACAGCAGGTTTGAATCACTAGATTGTCGTACCATAATAAAAATGCACAACAACCAGGATGACGCGCTCTTTTTTATCATTGAAAATCCTTCCTCGGACGAATGTACGTTGTGTTTTGTAGGCAAATGTATATTCCTGTAGCTAAATGGTATTTTAGCTAATATTTCGGTGCTTTATTTCTGCCCTTTGCAGGATCTAGCTCTTGGTATGAAGAGACATACAATTATTTTGAAGGCCGAACTCGATGCAAAATACCATAATACTTCCGAGGAATCAATGTTTCTTTATTTCTGCCACAAAAGTAAAGATCTTCCATTTTGTTGATCAGTTACAAAAACATGCATTCAACAAATTAAAACATTATTTTACAATATAGTTGCGACGTTCGTACGAGTCAGCGAGGAGCGGTTTATAGCGAGATAATTGTGTTTCTTGAATCATTCTAGTTTTTTTCTCAATTGTCTTCTAAACAAGACAGGTGCGAGGGAAAGTAAGGCTGAGACAATAACGATTGCTATCGATTGAAATGTCATAACGTCTCCTGTTGTCGTCAGCTTGTGAACCTCAACACCAGCAGTGATGTAACCAAATGACGGTGGAGCAACGCCTGAAAAAAAAAATTACATAACTTTACTCTTACTACACACTATAATGCGTCCGAAAATTTTTGATAAATGCATCTTAACTCGTTTAAAGACGTAAGGTATTGGAATGCTTCTTATATTGAAGGTTCCAACACTTGATGATTGAACTAACGCTTGCGAGAAACGATACTTTCTTTCCCAAAATTATTAAATGCTTTGCGTTCTTTAATGTTTTAACCATCCTTACCTACAAATGTCCCAACAAAGAAAGGCAAGAGAGGAACGTCAATAACAGGAGATGAGATGTTGATAAACCAGTTGGGTAGAAATGGCGTTATACGAAGGAAAATTATATAACTTAATAGATCGTCTTTGTGTTTTTGTACCTAGAAATATATTGAATTTGGTTCATCTGAGCTGCGTGCTTGGTAGAGAAGGTAATATAGTTTGATGGTTGTATTTCATGAGATTCGTGATGGCATAGCAGCCCAAAGCATGAAAAAAGAGAGAACTTACATTTGCTTGCCACTCAATAATTCGTTCAGGAAAATAATATTTGATAATTCTTGTTCCGACTAAGTATGAAAGTAGGTAACAGAACGATGCACCTAGGCTAGAGCACTGTTGAAAAGAATGAAACAGCTTTAATAGATGTAGTTTTATTGTAAGACTAGTTATTATTCAGTTCATTGCAAGAAATAATCTACCAGCTTACCAGGCAAACTAAAAATAAGGCAAGTGGAAATGGGAAAAGAAATCCTGATAAAATGCTCAGAAATATTGAACCAGGAATTGCAAATGATTGTAAGCTAACAGACAGGTTAAGAAAAATAATCATTCAGATATTTTTTAGTTCGGTTCCTTCTATCTTTTGTTTGGATTATTGCAGATGGGGTGGTTTCTTAGGGGGCACTTTTAAATTATGTTAAGGATACAATATGTATGTGTAGAAGAATGCTAGTACAACTGTAAAAAAATAATCATCTTTATAATTGGATAAGACTGTAGCAAGACCCTTTGCATCTTCCATATTCATAGGTAGTTTCATCTTAGCTGCATCCTCCCTTCAAGAAATCATAATTATTATATCATCTTAGCCGGTTCATGGACATTATGCATATACACATATTGTAGGGATGAAGTACGTACTGTTTTAATTTGGGAAAACGCGTGTAAAGAAACACCATCAATAACAAAGATGAGATAAATATTATTGCCAATAGGAAAAATGAGCCTCTGTGATTTTCACTTGAAGTATCTGCAGGATAGTTAAAATAATATGAATTATTTTTTTCTATAGTGTATAGCAAGTCGGAGGCCATAAGTCTTAGTTGACTGAGAGTCTGTTGGACAATTTTAGTCTGTTTTTCTCCTCTGTGGGTATTTTGAATATGCATTGAGTTGACTAGTGTTATTAAAATATTTATATGTAGTTTTTTCATTGCATTTGGAGATGAACTCTTGTTCAGACATTTTAAATATTTGCAGCTCTTGCTCTGCTAATCTCTAGGGCATTTGGGGTCAAGGCAAGGTGGTAATTACAGAGTAATCAATAGGTACATAGAATGAAAATTACCAGACAAAATATCAATTGCCTTTATTAGTGATTATTTTCGATGGTAATTGATATATAAAAGGTGTATCAATTACGAAATATGTTTTGAAAGATAAGAATACAACGTGAAACATACATGACAAGGCAACCGCAAATGTACAAGCATAAAATTTAAACAAAAACAAGGGCTATTTCATGTGAATTATTATTTAAATAGACAGCGTATTTACACAGATAGCATGCAATCGACCACCATTGATATAGGCTAAGTTTAAATGTGAAATCAAAAATGTAATACGCTCACGAATATAAAATACCGGTATTTGAATGTACCTTGAAAGAAATACTTCCATTCTGGATATTTTTGAGGCAAAGGACGCCTCGATTTTATTTGTGGCGTCGTTCTTGTTGACATTTTGTTGTCGTCGAACAGTCGAGTTTACAATATTTTGTTTTGAAATATTCCCCCCTGAATACAATAGCTTGAATATGGTATGACGGGGGGTGATAATATATCCGTAAACGACACGTGGACAAAGATAACGGCTGCTTGTTCGTCTTGGTTGGTGGTTACATGAAGTAATGCACGTAATCATGTTTCATTTTTGTTTTTCTTCTCAACAAAATAATCTTTTGAATGAAATAAAAGTAAAAATGCCAAATAAAAACATTGAAATGTTCAGAATTGCATTTGTCGGAGCTTGTGGTGCGTTGGTTTGGTTCTTAAGGCGCCATTTTAGCGGTGCATTTTGCAAAAATGACGTAAATTTACGAGGAAAAACAGCGTTAATCACAGGAGGGAATACTGGTCTTGGCAAAGCAACTGCACTTGCTTTGGCTCAGAGAGGAGCAAGAGTCATTCTTGCTTGTCGCAGTTTAAAACGAGGTGATAAAGCCGCTTCAGAAATACGATCACAAGTGAAGAATGCAAATATCGCCGTGTATTTTTTGGATTTATCTTCCCTAAAATCTGTACGAAAATTTGCGCAGGATTTTTCGAGAGCTGAAAGTGAGCTTCATATTTTGGTGAATAATGCTGGAATATATGGTTGCCCGCATTGGAAGTCTGAAGATGGTTATGAAATGCAATTTGCTGTGAATCATCTCGGCCATTTTCTGTTGACAAATCTTTTATTGGACACACTAGCCATGTCTGCTCCAAGCAGGATAATAGTTGTTAGCAGCGCTCTCCACAAGAATGCTAGGATTCCATTTGATGATCTGAATGGTGACAAGGACTATCATCCCAAGAAAGCATATGGACAGAGCAAGCTTGCAACCTTGTTGTTTGCACATGAACTGAACAAACGTCTACCATCAGGTATTTAAACTACCTCATAGAGTCCTCATAGATATATATTTTCTCATAATGACCTGAAATGCAAGATGCAAGTGTCACACAAAGGTGATGCATTAAATTTCATTGAGAAATATCAGAGAACAGAATTTAAATAATACTGTGTTTGACTTCAATCTCCTGTGTGTTCTTTTAGGAGTTACTGTGAATTCAGTTCACCCTGGAATTGTTTGGACAGAACTTGCTAGATATAGTTCATTCAACCCTATTCTTAGATATCTTGCCTATCCATTTTTACTGCTTATATTAAAAACTCCTTGGCAAGGAGCACAGACTACAATATATTGTGCCACTGAGCCATCATTGCAAGAGGTATCTGGACTATACTTTGGTGAATGTGAACCTCAAGAATGTGCCCCACATGCAAGGGATGATGGGATTGCTAAAAAACTTTGGGATGTCAGTGAAAGAATGACTGGCTTGCGGGAAAAATAAGCTGCACCAATGCTGTTTATACTGAATATTTTTTATGACATGAACTATTACATCTGTATAATCTACCTAATACATATTAGGCAGTGTTCAGACTGAGTTCTCGTAACTGGTGCTCGTCACTTTTTCTGGTGCCTAGGTTGAATACGGCTTCCAAATGAATTTAGGCACCATGTCTAACAGTATTCCAGTATAGCACTCAACAAGAGAACTGTGCTTTGCATGTTTTATGAACCAGTTTTGACTTTGGCCACCAGTGCAAGGGACTCAGATTGAACACAGCCTTAGCTCTACATTACCTAACTATTCAATTTCTTTTGTAACCAGTTTTGAATTTATATTCTTTTTTGTAACCTAGTTTAAACTTTGCCTAGATTAAAGTCTCTCTTGGAAATGTAAAATTTTCACTACAGAAAGTCATCATTAATTGTGGATGGTGCTGTTAAACCTCTCCGTGCATTTAGTGCTTGTAGGTACGTCTCTCATATGCCTCGTGTTATCCATAGTAAAATATAGTTTTTCTGAAATAATTTTATTCCACAGTCCCATTATAAACATATTGTAAAGTTAAACTAGATTGGTGGACCAAAGCCAGGAACATTGGAGAATGTTTGGGAATCTGTAATAAGAAACAGAAACACATGATACTCACACCAGGAGGTAGGATTTGGGCAGGGTATACTCACGAGAATCCACCATGGTTGGCACCAAGGTGGGCTGAAATATGTGGCAACCTCCTTGGCTGCCTATTTTGGGGAACACTTTGAAGTTTGAATCCATAACTTACTCATGATGGGCTGTGGTACAGCGCAGGCTCCCTGGACGGCAACTGGTTGACAGTTGGCAAGCCAGGGTGGTGCTGCCCATTGCTGCCACTAAAAGTGAAAAAAAAATGTGAAATATCAGTGCAATGCCTTCCTATTACTAGATATAGAAGTTGTGTGCAGAATTTTTTCCAATTGTGATGAGGTATTGACACTTACATAGTTGTTGGATGGAGCTGTTAGGGTGATTGGAGCATGGATTTCTATATCAGGAGCCCAATTGACTTGCATTTCAATGTCAATGTGATATGTACACTAGAATATAATGATCAAATCAATCATATCTTTACTACTGGCTTGTGTGAGATGTGTTTGTTGGGGAGAAAGAATACCTGGATATGACCACCTTTTGTTGTTGGTTGAATCTCTTTACCATCTTCTGATCTCAAAGACAAGTCAATGTCACTAGCAAACATACAATATGACATTCAGATAGCTGACAGTGGGTATTATGTTGATGAATAATGACAAGACATGGTTTTAGGATAGTGTTCTAGTGTTAAAGGTTAGATTACCATTCTTTCTTCTCTCCAGCCTGGCATCCATCATATTTCCTTTCACACACAGTGTTTGTCAATGATATCCTCTTATCAGTTTTGTCTTCATCGTCTTTTCCTCTTAAATGAATCACTTGCATCAGCTAAAAAAAAATGAAAGATTTGTTCTACTGCGGTTTAATCTGAGGGGAGTAACATAGTTGTAAAACTCTAACAACTTGTTGTAACCAACCTTTAGCACAAAGTTTTCAATATCAACAGCTGATTCATTATCAACATCAACATGAACTTTGGCTGTTGAACCAGCTACATAGACATTACTGTCCAACCTAAACCATGAATACATGGTAAGATACTGTTCGATACTGATATGTGACAAAAATATATGAAAAGTTGAGATATAGTTTCCAGGAACCTTGTTTTTAGCTTGACTGTTCCTCTCGGAATACAACAACACATTCTAACAGTTCCTTCTTTTTCGTGAGTTTCTGATTGGTTGATCTGGGACCTCGCAGCATCGGTCCTGATCACCAGAGGTTGTGACTCCTGAAAGACCATTTAACAAACATGCAATTTCATTAAAAATTGGTTTGAAGCACAATGATCCAGGTGAGAGCCTGACAACATCTACCTTCAGTTTCCCATGGTGAGATTCCATTGCTGCCTTCACTTTGTACTTGATATTTGCCTTCCAAGAGTTTTCTGATGAATGAGGTGTCTTTCCTTTCATGCAAAATGTTCCTAAACAGTACCAAAGCCAACCCAACTTTTAGTTATGCAAATTTTAATCATTGTCACTATTCATTTCTTTAGAAATGAATTGTTTTCACAGTCTATAGGCACGGGAATGACCAAAAGTCAGGCCAGCTTTGTTACTGCAACCATAGACAACCTTGGAGAAGGGGTAACCAAGGTCTTACAGGGGATGGCAGGATAACAGAGGTAACAAGAGGTTAATATAGAGTAGCAAGGGTAACATTGGGGTAACTGGAGGTACATGTGGGGTAACAAAGGGATAACAGGAAGTAGCAGTGGGATAGCAATGGGTAACATGGGGTGAAATGGGATAACATGAGGAAACAAAGGGGTATCATAAGGTACAATGCAATAACAAAGGAATAAGATGAAGTAACCAAGGGTAACAGGAGAAAACAGTTGGATAACAGTGGTAACACAGGGGTGACAGTTGGTGACTGCATGTGAGGTAGTCATTTTGGTCAATGACTCCTGTTCAAAGTAATAAACAATTTTCTCCTTTTTTACCTGGAATTTCTTGTTGTAAAGTGTATTGGAAAGGATATGCATAATGTCCAATGGGTATGCCATCTAAAAATCCCAGGAATAATAAAAATTTTGTGGTGGCAAGTGGATCAATTCTCAACTAGAATTGATTTAATTTACATGTCCAAAATGATGTATCAACCTCCAGGATATGGTATGAATGCATTCTTAATATTTAGTGTATGGCAGAATATATTAAATATTCTTTCATATAGGAAACAAGAATAGTTGGAAACACAGTACCATGGTATTCAACAAGTTTAAATTCTGTTTTGAAGAAGGTCTTGTCTCCTTTGACCTGGCGTTGAACTTTCTCCCATTCCACGTTTCCATCTGGTCCTTCTCTACTCACTTGTTGCGTGTATTCCCACTCACCTAATTTAATATAAACATCCTTATCTTCCTTCCTACGAAAAATTCTCCGCAGGATTTCCAACAAAGTTCTTTCAAACAAAGCCTTATGTTGAAAAATGAAATATAAACAGCTTACATACATTTTTCATAACCTTTGAGCTTCAGCTTAATATCTTGAGCAGTTGTTGGTGAACAGATCCAAAGATATACTGTCCTGAGATTTAAAAATTTGATTTCTATGTCAAATAATTGTTACAAATATGCACATCTAGGGGAGGATGGCAACCAGGTCTGCAACACTGTGAAGGAATTATAACTTTTCTTTTGTGCATCTTCGAAACCTCACTATTTTGTCTCTGAATAACACTGGGGCCATTGCATTGCTTATGGTAATTTCCACACACAGCAAGAGCTGTTTGCAATAGCATTCCAAGCTTGATAATCGAAGGGCCAATATTCATAATTTGTGTGCTGCTTTATCGCTCTTTGAAGTCGATCATTTTTACCCTCTGTGGGATACATAAATAGGCCTCCCCCATCTATAGAATTACTGGTCTTTTTAAGTAAAACATTACTGGAATTATCAAAGCAGTATTTAGTGAACCCACTCTAATTTTAAACAACTATAAATCTGTCAGATTAAGCTGTAGAAAGAGATCTTTGCATTATATTAATTGCATATCTTTTTAAATATTTCAAAATAATATCAGGTTATAGGAAAAGTAAATTAGAGCATGTTAAAGGATCTTGTGTGGTCAATGCGTTGGACACGATAGATGCTTATTGCTTGATGATCGTAGACTAGCTTTTCAAAATACAGGAATAAATTATTTATATTATATTACAAAAATATAGCCAAAAAATTTCTCGATGTTTTCACCTTTGGAAGGCCCTTCGTCCGAGAGTTATATTCATATAATCTCTTCTGACGAACGCCTTTAAGTCGAAACGTCGAGAAGCTTTAGTCTATTTTAGGCAGTTGTTATACACATTTAATGCAAAGTCTGAAAACGTTGCCATGCTGCTCCCATGTAATATGGATATTATAACAAAAATATAGCCTACCCATATATAGTTTCCCCAGCAAAATACTCCCCTTTATTCGTGCGAATTGAGATCTGGTTCATCTTATTGCGCGGTAAATTACAATTGAAACAAGCAACTGTAAAATAACCTTTTTTTTGCTCCTTTTTCAGGACAAAAAGGAAGTAAACAATCAATTTATATATGCAAGAATGTAGCAAGGTGGAGTGCCTCAGAAAGGAAATTGTATCCTTCCGAAGACCCTGGGATCCTCCCCCAGATTTCTGGCGTCACGAAGTTGATGACAGCCGAAGATTAATCTCCAAGAATCGTATTTTGGGAATTTATTGTGGTGAGTGTTAAAAATACAAAACATAAATATGTCAAAAAGAATGAAAACAAAAATAAACAAGCTATGGGATATGCAATTATCAACGCCAGTTATTGTTCCAGATAAAAGAACAGAGGTCAGTGTGCATGCTTTCGGAGGCATTCGGCACCAAATCGTGAAGTGTTCGGGTTTTTAATTATAATTATTAACTATTTAATTAACGGTCAAAATGGCGGTTCAAGTCCATAAAATTACTCCGTTTTTTGCGAGGAGTATTCAATCCAGAAGCTCGTTTGAGAAAGGGTTAATTCGTCAAGTGTTTCGGTCAATTTCAACAACTTTTAAAGCGCTTACTTCCTCTGAGGAAAATGATGATAAACCAACGCGTCTTTTGCGCGTCGCAGTGATTGGTGAACCAAATAGTGGAAAATCAACTTTAACAAATCGCTTGGTTGGGAATCAGGTTTCTGTCGTGACGAATGTGCCGCATACCACAAGACAAAGGACTTTGGGCGTTTACACTGAAGGTACAGTACTCTATATTTATTGTGGATTAACAGAAGAGACTGATTAGAATAGTAATATGGCTAATTAGAATGGTATGGGCTAATTAGAATGGTTTGGGCTAATTAGAATGGTGGTATAAACTAATCATAATAATAGTATCGACTGATTAGAATAATGATAAAATGAAAGGTCTTCTGCATATTGTTTCTTTTTATACTTAGGTAATTGCCAATTGGTGTTATTGGATACACCAGGCATAGTTACAGTGGAAGATGGTAGACGTCTAAAAATGACCAAAGAGCACATGCGAACACCTGCAAGCTGTCTGGAAGAAGTTGACCTGGTGGCAATACTTGCTGACTCAGCAAACAAATATCAACGAACGAAAATCCATCATGAAATAATCCACTTACTTCAAACACACGGCAACCTGCCAACTGTGCTAATACTGAATAAAATAGATCAAGTTCGACACAAGGTGAAGCTGTTGCATTATTCAGCCGTACTCACAGAGGACAGACAGAAGGACGAGTGGGGTTATCTACAACAGGGAGGGACAAGTAGGTTTAGTCATGTATTCATGGTGTCGGCACTAACAGGAGATGGGGTGGATCACTTAAGGCAGTATATGCTTGCCAAGGCAACCCCAGGGAGATGGCTTTATTCAGCTGGTGTAACAACAGACTTAGATGTTCAAGAACAAATTGCTGAAATATTTCGAGGGAAATTGCTCAGCTTGTACAAGCATGAAATTCCTTGGCAGACCAGACAGGTTGGTATAGTGTGATCTTGATTGTGTACATATATCAAGTGCGTTATAACAACTGCCTGAAATAGTCAAAAACTTCTCAATGCTTCAACCTAAGGGCATGGATATATTCAAAACAGAGGAATGCTGACATAATTTTCCTCATCTTACATTTACTGTACTTTTAGGTAAATATATTTTGCAAACAAAAAGATGATGGCATCCTTAAGGTGCATCAAAAGCTTTACTGTCGTCGAGATAGTCAGCGAAGATGCATTTTGGAGAAAATAGATGAACTTCAGCAAAATGCCAAATTGGAAATTGAAAATACACTAAACTGTTCAGTTGATTTGACTGTGGAAGTTGGTGTGTCAAAGGCTATGGTAAATAATCCTGTTCCAATGATTTAGGAAAAAGAAGATTGCTTAATATGTTATTGTTTCTGATGAAAATTGCTGAATTTCTTCCACGATTTTTCCTTGTAAATTGAATTTCTTCTTGGCTCAAAACTGTATTATAATAATTATGAAGGTTATGAAAATATTTATATGCTAATTATATTTGTAATAAATTATCAAAGCATGCTGTATAATATAACTCAATATAGTGTCTTGAGGAACGCAAATCTTGGCTTGTTGGAAGAATCGAACCTGTTCAGTCTGTGAAAATTGAATCTCGTATTTGAAATCTTGAAGTATGGGATGTGAATCGAGCATGACCGGCTTCTTTCAAATGACTGGCGATCGTAAATATCACATGAAAGCGAGGCTTCGGGAGACTCTCCACTTCCGACATCCGATGAAGAAGATTTTCAAATGCCTTTAGCGTCGCGTGGGCGAGAAAATACAATGCAAAGTTGCCTTAACTCTTGAATAATCATTGGAAATCTTTCTGCTGTTTCCAAATACCCAGAGACCTGCTACAGCGGTCAAGAATCAGCTTGCAAGGCCTGCTCCGCCCTGACTCCACTCAGTGAGTCAGTGATGATGAGGGAAAATATTTTCATTTGACTTCAAACACCAGAACAATCAATTTCTGCTCTGCGCAATGAAGCGACGAACAAGGTCGGTGTTTATTCTTTGAAGCGCTAATCAAATTTGACAAGTATTTTATTACTTCATTAAACGCACCCACGCTCTCGTCTTATATTGCCTGGTAACACAACAGCCAGCCAGCGACAGTCAGCGTGATTCCTTGGTCATTACTCACTCATACGACGGAACATATTATCGAAATAAAAACCATCAGTTTGGTCAACTGAGAGAGACATCACCCTGCCCAGAAACGAGAATTCCTGTAGTGTAATCACATATTTAACTTTAATATTTGGGTGAGTTAATGTGTTTGTCTTCTTTGAACTTTGTTCAAACGAATAATTTTGCATTCATCATCAAGAGTAAATTCCACAGCTACAGTAGAGTTTGCTGGCCTTCAGCACCCCAGTTAAGCCAGCCCTACCAATCAAAGCCAATAAATGATTGTCAAACTTAGTTGCATGGTTTTACATTGTCAACTTAGTTGCATGGTTTTTAAAACTCTTTGGTTTGCTATTCAATTGATGGGTCTGGTCTAAATAACTAGGCATGATATTGTACTCTCTTAGAATAGCATTTGCGAGGACATTTCGACTGAGATTGTGGGGCAGAGCTGCTTGAGCTGGTGATAATGGAACATCTTATGTATATTGTAGGTAACAATGTCATATGAGGGATACACAACATTCAAGGTCGAAGTGAAGGACGGCGTCGCTTGGGTTACGTTTGACTTTCCTCCAGTCAATGTTCAAGGCAATGCTATGTTAGCTGATCTCGATCGTTTAGCTGCAGCATTGGAGTCAGATCGTGCTATAAAGGTTGTTGTCTTCCAGTCCTCTCATCCAGACATCTTCGTCTGTCACGCTGATATTGACATGCTCTGTGAAATACCAGCAGCAGAGCGGAGTAGATCAGAACCGATATTGTACTTACAGAAAGTTCTGCAAAGAATCAGCTCTCTTCCCCAGGCAACCATCGCAAAGGTCGAGGGTATGGCGCGTGGGGGTGGTCACGAGTTCATGCTTGCATGTGACATGAGGTTTGCAGCACGTGGCAAAGCCGTGTTCATGCAGATGGAGGTTGGAATGGGAATTGTCCCTTGTGGAGGAGGTATTAATATATTTCGTTGCTAGATGTTCAGATTTGGGAGAACTAGAAGCAGAAGATGCTTGTTGCCTAAAAACATCTCTGTTATCAACATCCTTTCGTATGCACCCTTTCCCTGGACTCCTGGAGTTAATCTGAACTCCTTGGTGTAGAGTCTGGGGTCTAAGAAGAGAGAGCCCGCAATCATATGGAGCAGAATCCAGAATTCATATGGAACCAATTCGAAAGGATAAGTCCTCAGGAATCAAACGAGATGCTACCCAACAGTTCCAGTCTACTCTTAATTATAGCTGACCTTCAGGTGTTCTGCAAGGTCATGAGTTTCATCAGCTGTTCATTTTGTTAGGTACCCAACGCCTTGCGCGCCAAGTGGGAATGGGACGAGCAATGGAGATCATTCTCGGAGCACATGATTTTAATGCTGATCTCGCTGAGCGCTACGGTTCCATCAACCGCGCTCTTAATCCTGATGAGATTGGATCGTTTGTTGAAGAGCTCGCTAACCGCATCGCGAAATTCCCAGCTGCATCAATCACAGCTTGCAAAAGATGTGTTATTAAGGTAAACCATCTCGATATCTGCATCATCTCTGAGCAGTTTCACCTTTTGAAAACATCTAAAAATAAAGTAGAAACCTGCAGTAATCAATTTGAAAGCATTTATTGCTGCCAAATATTATTATTATACGAAAGTATTTAAGAAAGCACCATCTCTCCGATTTACAATCCTTGCTCTTTCTCATGCTTTCATACTATTAAAAACCTTCAATGTGAAAAAACAAAGCTCAATCTTCAAGATTTCTAGCATTTTTATTTCCCAATGTTGCCTTTTAAGGCGGTTGAGACTCCTATTGAAGAAGGTTTAAAGGAAGAGGCGTATCAATTGGGACAAGCAATGGCGTCCACTCCGGCTGCGAAACGTTTTGCGTTTGGCAAAGAGAAAGGAATTCAAAATGACTTGGAGACACAAAAGAATTGGGACAAGGGAGTGATGGATATTCAAAATATTCAATAGTGGATTTGAATGTCGTTCAATCGTTTCTTGTTTGTTATAAATTCGGATACATCGTTGTATTTCTGTCCCATTTCGGACGTTCATTTGTATGAGTGGTCGCACAACCAATAAACAAATCAAACTCGTCACACATTTTTGTTAATTTTAATTTCATATTCAGCACAGATCTCTGAGCTTGTAGCGGGCAACAAACTAACAAGACTTTCTGCTGTTTCTACTCATTTTAACTCAAGGTAAATATGAGAGACGAAGTGGAGCAGGGGGTATGTTTAAGCCCCAGTTCGTCGCTAATCTCGCAGTCTTGATAGCGGAATATATATTGCATATATATTGCTCTTGTTCCAAGTAATTCATCGTTTCATGTTTAATTAGCGATGCAGTAGGTTTCCGCCAATCTCTAATTAAATTGCACTTCCAACTGTCCGTGTCTCGTTTTTCAAATATATTGCAATACCAAAAGATCTTATTACCTTGCCAACACATGTAGAATTTGGTCGTTCTGCTGGGATAGTATTATCTCGATTAGCTTTTCCTGAAATTACTGAAATGTACCGAAACCTATCTTTCCTACCACCCTCTGTTCCTATTTCCTTGCCGGCAGTGATATCACTAAAAAAGCCGAAAACGATTTTCAGATACATAAACGATTATTCTCACCAGGTAGAGCTGGTTTCTAACCCCAAGGTCAGCTGTGATCATTCAGTAAAAATTTTCCCTCCACCTGCCGTTAATTTTACGCCAGTCAATGATCATAACGATGAATCAGGCCTGGATGAACACAAAATTTTCTCCCGAAGACTTATATATTAGTAACACAGCCCTTGTCTGTGGCTACCAGTCAGTTCTGCGTGCTTGCAACAAGTTTTCCTCCTTCCAACACTTTAAGTATGCATAAATAGGGCAATTTCTATAATAATTAGAAAAAAGCTTCGTAATATTAGTAATATGAGTGTTTTTATCATACTAATATTATTGTATTAAAATTGCATGAGCTCTCCAATGCGTTTGAGGCATGACAATGTTATTTTTTGTTGCACTTTAAATGTTTATATGTTCGTATAAAGAAAGTTTCTCATGAATATAATCGTTTCTGATCGAATATATCGCATGAATATCACGGAGAAAGGGTACGGGTAATTTTTTGTCGAAAGAAGAAATGAACAGCTGTGTCTGCATGAAGCGAACTTGCTATATATGCAGATCACCTTATTTCACCTGTAATATAACTTGTATTTTTAGTAGCAATTAATGTTGTAGGGTTGTACACTCCCAAGTATATATAGGGTAGTATAGCGTATCTTGCAGAGAGCAACGCGTCGCAGTTAAAAGGTAAGGAGACTTCTGATAAAATCACGAATCTATAGTTTTGTTTTTTGTAGCAACACAGGACACGATTTAGTTTTCCTACGCACTTGCACCCGTCGCTTACCAATAATTAATTATTCGTTGGCAATAACGCACTAAAACTTTCCACGGAACGAAATCAATTCATTCAAAATCGACATCAATCCATTCGTGCCATGCATGGGACGTTAATCCACGTATTCATGTGCTTGCTTTTGTCATACGCTAAAAAACCTTTCTCGTTTGATAGGTGGGCTGGGTTTAAAAGATGTAATCTTGTCGAGTTAGGAAACTTCGACTAATTATTTAAAGCGAGAAATATTAAGGCAACTCCATGGGATCTCGCAAATATTTTGTTGCCTGAACCAAAAATATGACAGCACAAATTTAAATAAACTGTTTTATATATGTAAAATTTACCGACAGTATAGATATTGTCATTTTGATATATGTCATCATGTTTTCCGTCCCTTTAAACAATCTAAATCAACTGCGATCTCTTTTAAAAAAAAAGGCAACTGATTATCTCAGTGGAAGATGCTATAATTCGTATATATGATATTCATATATATGCTATTTCAGTAGATTGAACGTCGCCATCGTTATCAGTTCTCTCATGAACTACTTTACCTTTGTGTCATATCATATATTATAATAACTTTATTGTTCATTACAGTATATTAGAAACTATAATAAAAAACATTGTCGGGCTAAAATATTTTTTAGACGAATCAAAACAGATAAAAGAATTTCTATTTTATAAAACGATTAGCCTAAAATAATAATGGAAATACTAACAGTGAAAGTTAATGTTCTCGGGTAAAAATATGTTTCTGCTAACGAGTCTTATACGTAAAAATATCTCTTTGCAGAGTTCACTAAATAATGGCTGATTTAAAGCTTGTGTCGTGTTTCTGTTTATTGGCATTCCTACAGATGAAGAATCATTTTACAGAAGGTTAGCTACACTGATGTGGTTATCCTCCACCACTGAGCATCACATGCAGTTCTCCAACTGAAATCATGCAGGGGCTGCATAACAGTCTGTTTTATGTCACGCGACTGAACATGGCTGAAATAAAATATGCATTTCATCGCAAAAAGCGTCGTACGTTTGGCTGTCCAGTGGCAATCCCCCCTCCTAATTTAGGAGTAATATCCTCCTGGACGAGCCCTAGCTATAGGCAATAATATCCATAGTTGGTTGTCACTGAAGTCAGATTCTGTATTTACAGGATGTGGTAGACCAAGTTCTCGACAACCAGGTGGAAAGAAAACAGGCATGTATTTTATCATTAGTTTTGAGCTGAGGTGGATGATGAAAAAAGCTTCGAGCTATCAGCTCCTGAAAGAAGTCGATATAAGACTACAAAAATCTATTTGCTTAGCTTAAGTGTGGGCAGAGAAGCAGAGTGAACACTGTGGGAGCGAGGTTATTTGCGTGAATTTAAAAATACTACTATCTATTAACATTCCTGACGTAACCACGCGTGTATTTGATTATTTTGAATAAACTTGATTGGTTTTAGGAGCATATCCTGACTGTAATTTCACAAATGGTTTTGGCGGTTGGGCCGACCAAGATGATGGTCGCTGGAAGATAGTCAACTCAACAAGTAGTGATGCTGGAATATTAACAGGAAGACAAGGTGAGGTTTAATGTAGCTCACTGTTAACAAAGGAATATTTTCTTCTTCCTCAACTATCTTGTGGATGAAAGTTTGAAAGCAGTTCTTCTCATGATATGTGTTTAACGTGAAACAAAAGCTTTTCTTTATCTTTTTCACGGTGTCAATTAAGTAAATACTGACCTATTATATAAAATTTCTTTACAAAATTCTGCTCAGCAATCTGTGTTAACATTACACGTATCTTTTCTCCCAAGGTGTTGGTGATAATTTTGCAATGATTGCCTCTTCATCATCTTGGTCTAGATATGCGAAGCTCTACAGTCACGACATCACAGGGTCTGTTTGCATGAGGTTTTATTTTTATCTTTATGGAAAAGAAACGGGATATTTGAAAATCAAAACAAGGGTAAAGCATAGTGATTATGAAATAACCAAGTTCACCCGCTATGGGAGTCATGGCCACAAATGGAACCTTGCTCGTATTTTCCTGAATTTTGCTCGAACTACTATTTATCAGGTATAGTGATGCAATTATAGCTACGTTTTCATAAGCCGTGAAAAAAATTAGCATTGAATAACTGGAATTAGTAAATAAGTTGATTCTTGAAGTAGTTTTCAACTTTCCATGGCTTCAATTTATAAAATAAGCCGGTTAGGATATATTTGCTTTTGGAAAGTAAAAAACTATTTTTGAGAATTTGCTTCTCATTGCCGCTTCGCGTCCGGGAATAACAGACCTCGGCATCCTGGCTCCTTGATAGAGCGACACGAGGTCCCAGGTCCATCCCTACCAAGTTTAGCTTCCCTGCGATGACTGTACTCATGCAGGGAGTCTAAAAAAACGTTCAATAAAAAGTGTTATACAGTACAGGCTTTTTTATTTACTTTGCTTAGATCATTATTTTTGTAAATGTCGGGGATTCTAAGTCGATCATTGCTATAGACGACATCTCATTCCAAAATCATACTTGTGATCATTTGCCGAAAGGTAAAACACTTCTTCTAGCTCATCTATTTGGACTTCCTCGAACGAAATGTCAACCAGTTTGAGCTGAACAACCTTAATTTTTAACAGCCAGTGTCGACTTCAACTGCACATTTGATTCGGGCATTTGTGGATGGAATGTAGGATATTCCGACTCACGGTTTGATCGAGGTAAGATCTCATGTCAAATTATAACCACGATGAGTCAAACATGAAGAATCGTATTCAATCGTTTTGCGTGGTTTTGAAATGAATCGTGGTCTATCGGAAAAGTTACCTTCAAATGCACTCGACATCGTGAGAATGATTCTCTTTAAAGTTTTGGTATCTTTGTTGTTTAGATTTAAACCAGTACGTTCTTAGCCTCGTTCAAGCAACGTTAAGAAGTCCAAGAATTTTTGAACGTGATGTCTGCTTCACTTTTCAATATCATGTATACAAATTTACGAGTAAAAAACAGCCTGGGATATTTGTATTCATTAAGGATGCAAATAATAGTCAGTTGCTTCCAATGTGGAGTAAACGAGGATATTATGACCGCGGAAAATGGCATACAGTGAAGCTTAGGCTAAGATATGAGAACGGTTTTCATCAAGTAAGCCTTGTGTTGTATCTGAAGCTATAACGTTATTGTAAGGTAACGATTAAAAACGAAACTAAATTCTTATTTTAGGTGGAAATACGGAACGTTCCTAGCTCTTTAACATATTTTGCGAATTTTTACATTACGTCAGAGATTGGCGATTGCAATGGCATTGTAGGTTAGTAGCTACATTCTATACAGTCATTAGGCCATGCTGTTGTATAAAGGAGTAGTTAACTTTGAACTATAGTTAGTAGCATGATTATCCAACTGACGATTCTTACCCAACTGGCCGTAGCGAGAAAGTTAGAAAGAGCCTGAAATTTTCAGGTCTTGGATTGTGTCACCCGACAAGGTTAAACAGCGATTTTTTCTATACTTTTAGATGAAAAGATATTTTTCGTCTCCATCAGGAAGACATCCCCAGTGCAACACAGGATTTCTGAAGACGGCGTTTATTGTGATAACTATCCAACATCAGAGTTTATTGCCAGGACTATTCCAAGCAAAGATTACCCGAAACCCATGTATTTATTTGATGATTCGCAGCATGTAGTATTCAGGCAGAGTGACAAACGAATGGGGGATGATTTAGTCAGTTATTTCTACGTCAGCATGGCTCGACATCAAGACAGTTCTGCAATTTATTACAAGATGCAAAGTGATATGTATGGACAGTATATTTCAGAGTGCAGGACAACTGCACTCGATGGAAACTGGACGGAAAATGTTGTATATGTGAAGAATCATGAAATTCATAAAGGTAGTAGTTTGTTATAGCCAACTCAAAATGTTGTCCATTGTCAATATTAAACTTCAAACCTTAAGCCCTAGCTCTAGGAGAATCAAGCATATTGTAAACACATGCAGTGGGCTCTACCTCATAGACCTAGTTCGCATTGGTCACCGACAGTTGCCGATGGTTTGTTATTACTTTAGACAATGGAGATTGTCCTCCTGGTTACCTTTCACTTGGCAAGAAAGACAAGTGTTTTTGGCTAATGTGCGATGACTCTTCAAATCCTGAATCAAGATGCTCAGAGAAACTCGGAACTCTGGCATCGCTTGACGCAGTTAGCACGAAACGTGCGACTGAATATCTCAAGTACATCAAAGCCACAAGCATTGGAATCAATCAGGTAATTTGCCCACAGCTTCGCAAATCTCACATTCTACCTCATCCCACCCCTCCTTACGCCCTACCTCATCCAACATCCCACCCTCCCAACTAACCCACATTAGCCCACCCTATCCAAAAACCCCTAACCCCACCCTATTGAAGTGGACCAGTTTTCCCTTAGATAACAGTGCTGATGACACCCACAACTTACTTCTTAGGTCACAATTGGTTTGTCAAACGATGGTCATCGGTGGATTTGGAGAGACGGACGAGTTTATGATGACAGTGATGGTCTTCTATTTGGTAGGAATATCAGCACGAAAGCATTTTTGTACTGGAAGGAAGAAAATAATTCATGGGTACTAAAAAGCGGTGAACCTAATGGAGTTCGACTTCACTTCTGTGAGGAGCAAGGAGGTAAATTATGATGTTTGATGTCGATTCTTGGAAAAGAGGGTTGCTTGTAAACCTTACCTTCTTCTTTGGTGATAAATATCGAACAATCACCCTCTTTTTACCCTTGTCATAGAGAATATTGCGTACAATTCTGGATCAAATCAATCAAGTACTGCCTTGGAGTTATCTTCACACTTTGCTGTAGATGGACTTCCTTGCACATACAGTTCAACAAAACTACTTGGAAAAGTAATGTTCTTGTGTTTTCTCTCGTTACTTCATGTAGAATATCAGTCAAAGAAGAACAACACAAAAGTTGAACCGGCTTTTATCCAACGAATTCTCACCATTTATCATATTTTCGTTGTTATCTTAGAGCTCCTCAAATTCCTGGTGGAAAGTGGAGCTTGGCGACGAAAAGGAAATATATCTTGTGCAGATTACTTGGCGCGTAGAGTCAAAGATTGATAAAGCCACTGTCAGCTTAGAAAGAGATGATGCTCTACCAAACTTTGTAAAGGAAGTAACGTCGGATGAGAAAAGTATAATTACATGTGGACCACCATTGCCTGCCCGCTATCTCAAGATTGAAAGGGAGAAAGACGCGGTGGAGATTTTTGAAGTGGATGTACATGCCACGGGTAGTGTGTCAAATATTTGTGTGCCTACATTTGTTCGCCAGAATGAGTCTCAACGCTATAAATACGTTTTAATCATTCAGAATACCCTCGCCATTTTGCACTGTTCATTTTACAGAACTTCAGATTTACTACGCTCTCCAACTTTTCTGTTCCACTTGGAAAGGTAATGATCATTTTTCTGTGTTCCAGATTCCGTTTTGAATGATATACGAGGTGTTATGCAAACGGCTGGTGCAAGCAAACAAGCCATACTCACAACTGATCATGTGTTTGAACTTGCGTCATCTTTTAAAGCTCAGACAGAGACATACAAAATGCAGAAATTAGAAGCTTACGTTTTGGTATGTGCGTAATCTTCATCATCGAAAAGATTCCTCGTTATCCATTTTCTTGTTCATGGTTTCATTGTTATTTTTAAACCTTTTAACAGGTTCCGTATGACGGCGTCTACAACTTCGCCTTCCGTGGCCATGTCGATGCAGATTTAATTATTTCTGGACACAAGGATGCAGATGATAGTTTGATGGAGCATTCATTTAACGAATCGTCCGGACAATTGTAATTATAGTGGCTTTTTAACAATTTAGGGAATTTAAAAAGAGTCGATTTAATTGATACCATTTTCACAAATTTCCCCTGGTGCACAGACTTGAAAACCTGTGCTTCGCGTAGGAAGAATTTCGACAGGAAATGCAAATGGAAATGATATCGCAATGTTAATCTATATTCGATTGAAAAAACTTCACGTAGGGCTGGCGCTAATCGTCAATCGCCAATCTAGGCTAAGCAACAAATATCATTTGGAAATAAATAAGCTAAAATAATAATCATATAATCGATATTGGGATCTACTCATCCTAAATTATTCTAATTTATAGGTCCTTCACGATGAGAAGGTCCTCAATCATTCTGCTAGAAGCTTGCAAGTTTTATTATGTAAAACTGTTGACATCTTTAACGTATTTTTCCAATGAGATCACTCTTAATATTGAATATAAGAACAGTTCAAATTGGATGCCGATTGAAGCGACAGAAAATCTTTTCTGGGTACTACCAGGTACATAAATAGTTTTTAAAAATTGGGTACTACCAATTGTACCTCAATGTACTACTTTATTGTACTCAAGATTTTATAGATATCAACAAATACTTATCCACTTTGTTTAAGGTCAACTTGAAGTTAAATTATCAGTCGACAACAGCACGGAGGAAAGCGTGTTCTTATCCTACCCAGTTAACCTAACAGGTAAAAAACTAAATTTCTTGATTATCAGAACTGCCAGCTGCATGTGAAATATTATATGTACAAGAACTGTAGTTTTTCTGACAGTAGGCTGTGAAATCATTTTTAAAATCGTTCTCATCTTCTGACACAGGTCGTTATAGAATCAAATGTTTGGGGCTGTATTGCGGTGACTGTCCTTTGGTAATATTCATATATTTTTCTGGTCATATTGAGTGCGTTGTTACTTCAAGTCGCAGTATCGCGCAAACTGACAAGATTTCTCTTCGTGTGGCCAAGAAATGGTTCGCTTTCCCTGGTCTGCAACCTATTCGAGTAAGTCTTAGTTCAGTCGACCTGTGAGAGTCCCATAAACCATGCAATGAAAAAGATCACAGCTGCCTTAACACACTAAGTTTCAAGGTTTCGGGGTCACAGCGAACTTTATTTTCTTAATATCTAGTTGAAATGTTCAACATGCAGAAAAAAATGTAGTAAACCTTGCCATAAACCTCCCTCTTTTGGTGCGATTTATATATATTATCCCCCGTCAATTTCTTTGCATTTCTTCAGATGGGTTACAAAACGAACGAGGATTGTCAATCCATCAAGGCGAACACAGGAAGCTTGAATTTGTCCGACGCTTTAGGTTTACAAGAAGTTGGAAAAATTAATGTGAAGGGTATGTTACATTCAATGATTTTACAGGAATTGATATTTCAACGCCCGTTCAACTATCGCGTTATAAATGCTTGTATATCTTCTAGATTTTGTATTAATTCCGTTGGAATAACAGGATGTTGAATCGTTGAAACATCATACTTTATATTAACTTATGTTGCTTCTTCGATCCCTCCCATAATTTAAAACACACTAAAACACATTTAGGGCTCTTATCTAAATGGTATGTATCCTTGCATTACCTTTGTAGCTCTCACATTAATTGCATGTGGCTTCACGCAGTCAAAATTTTGTCAAATTCGAGGAAAGAACAGTACAGTCGTTATCAATGGTTGGAGTCCTACTGAAGACGTCGATCAGAAAGGCCGTAAGTCGGATATTTTTAAACCGCATTTTCATTAATTGCCTTCATTATGACACCGTTGTCTAACCTGGGATAAATTAAACCATCTTTAAAAAGCTTTGAAGGTAATCTTATCTGAGGCCACAAAAGCCTCTCATGACAAGATTAGGCTTTACAAGTTATTCTTATGTGAATTAATTTCAATGTTTTAGACAAAGTGAACGCTCTGACTATGAGAGAGAACATGATTACCCATTTTTCGTACGTTGGGGTTCCGTACAACTGGATTGTGAAACGAACAGGGATTTGTATGAAATTTAGTTATAAAACCACAGGAGATAACAATACTTTATCACTTTCTTTCAAAACACCTTCTGGTCATCTCTCGTTGCTTTGGAGGTTACGTGGTAACCATGGTAATCTGTGGAAACCAGGCAGGATCTCATATATGCCTAACGAGTCGTTCGGGGTGAGCCAGAATAATTGCTGATGAATTTACTTTCCTTTGGTCGTTAAAATCAACTCAAATCTTTCTGCTCGTGATTTTTAGTTTCACTTCGAAGGCAGTATCAGTGAGCCAAACTCTACTGTCGCCATAGCAAATATTTTGATCACAACAGAACATTGTAAAGACGATAGTGGCGTGTTCCCTCATTTTGCTGACCCAGGTAAAAATATTTTGATGAAATGTAGAAAGTGTTGTACAATTCATTCTGTCTCAATCTACCCTCTACCATTTTATTGTTAATTTTCTAGACAGTAAATGCGACTCGAGCAAATATTTTCTTTGTGACAACGGGGAATGCATCGGTCATAGTTATGTTTGTGATGGAGATCCCAGGTGTGCTGATAAATCCGATGAAAAAGATTGTGAATGTCTCGCTAGTCAATTCAGGTGTTTGGGTTCGGGAGAATGTGTAGAAAAAAGATTCATGTGCAATGGAATTGCAAACTGCGGTGATGGAAGCGATGAAAAAGATTGTTGTATGTTTCTATTTTGATCATTAAGTATTCCTTAAATCTTCGTTGATGTTTTAGGGAAGAAATTTGCAGCATCAAACATTTAAAACGCTTTTGTTTTGTTTCAGACAAAGGTTGTGATCCTAAGCAATTTTACTGTCCTAGTGGTTTGTGTATCCCTTGGAATTCTACCTGTAATGGAGTACGGGATTGTCCGGATGGAGCCGATGAACCGAGTATTTGCGGAAACACCACTAGAAGTATGTTATTTAGTCATGTACAATTGCCCTGTGCCACACTCTTCCCCACGCCTTGCAAGCGCTACTGCTATGCTGTGTTTTTCGTTGTGCAGATCAGACTTGTAATCTTAACGATCTTGGTTGCTTGGATCATGTGAGATCTGAGGAGTTGTGTGCGAAAACACTAGGTAAGCCAGTTCCCCTGACTCGTCAGCTAGAAGATGAAGGTCTTGGACTGTTTGAAAGAGTTTTCGTTCAAGAGCTCTTTAAGAAAACCATTTCTTCTTCTCAGCGAATTGTGATTTCGAGAGAGGACTGACTTCGTGTCAATGGCATCAAGTCAATGACGGAAGCGATGATTTTGATTGGTCGATTGGTAAAGGTGAGACCTCGTCTAAGAACACTGGACCAATGACTGATCACACAACTGGCTCTAAAGAAGGTAAATGACGATGGCATAAGCTGTACCTCAACATTCTGTTGCTTTACCTTTTCATTAAAAGCAAGATCACACAAGCTTCTTTCAATTTTTTAGGCTCGTATATCTACATCGAAGCCAGCTCACCGAGAGTGGCCGGTGACAAAGCAACTCTTAACGCTGGACCGTTTAAAAGTGATACGAATTTCTGTTTTACGTTTTATTACCATATGTTTGGCCGACATATTGGTCGGTTGAGCATCTTTCAAAGTGGGAGGAATAAGACGAAGGTTGAAACACTTTGGACTCGAAATATCCCGGTTGATTCACGTTGGAGACCCGTTTCACTCAATATTAAATCGACAGAAATATTTTACGTAAGTGTAATGGAAAATAAAGCGTTTTTATAAACGTTTAAATGAAGAATATCCGAAGCAAATCTTTATTTCATAGTTGTCTATCGAGGGAGTTCGTGGTGATGGATCTCAGGGAGATATTGCAGTTGATGACATCTCTATGTTTCCTAAGAACTGCTCTGAGGCTCTTAATGGTAAGCAATTCCTTTCCTTAAGCGACATTACAGACATTTTATTCTTCGACTGACTTTTTCTTTTTTGTCTAAAGCACACTCTCCTTTTTGCTCGTTTGAGAAACCTTGTTCTTGGAAAGAGACGTCTGGAGTTTGGTCGAGAATACGAGTTGCTAATAGGAATCTATTCATGCTCCGAGGTATTCTTTCCAATCTAAGCTATGCGTCACTGTTTTTATAACCTTCACGCTATTAGAGTCATGGTTAGACTAGAATTAGGTTGTTGTGCTAAACGTAAAATGCAATGCACCATCAAATGTTAAACTGTTATTTTAGATCATTTTTTGAAGACGCAATCATCTGGCAAACTGGAAACTGTTTTAGCGGAACAATTTATAACCGAGTATTACCAGTGCATGACATTCTGGTATAAGTTCAAATATACCAATGGTATGACGTTCAAAACTATGCATTTTTATGATTGGAATATGATTGAATTGTTGCACAGTCTGCAGACAACGAACAAACAATGGATGTTTGGTGAGATGCCGTTAATAAGAGGAGTGAAGACGTCAAAGGTATTCAACTCATTTTATTGTGCCTTTTTGCGATTGTTAATTCAAGTTTGAAAGTTGTTAATTATTAGTTATGAAGTCTTTGGTGGTCTAAAGTCCCTTCAGATGCCGAATCGATAAACTCTCTCTAGCAACACAGATTATGCAAAATTAATCTTGCGCGCAGTTCTACTGAATCTCATGCTAACTTCTACTGTATCGTTTGTGTCTAAATCAAACGAGTCCGATGTATAAAATTGTGCTTTTCTTTCTCCAGCTTGTGGTCGAAGTAACCATTCCATCTCAGAAAACAATGGCTTATCTCGCCATTGACGAAATTAACTTTTCTTTGGAAACGTGTTTATCGTTTCGTCAAGGTAAATATGGGATCTTTATACACGATTTCTACGCGCTTTAAGATCTGTGTGATGCTATCGACACCTACTTTATACCTGGATTTAAATCTGTTTTGATTCAAATGGCTTTTGAATTCATTTCGTAGGAGGTTTTGCGTGGGTTCGAAAATCGTCAAAGTTTTACAACTCGTTGAAAAAGCGAAATAACGACAGAGGTGTTACAGTATTCTACGACGGACTAAATCCAGTCAATCCACCAGATATGTCTCGGGCATTGATTTCACAAGGTTTCTTAGAAAGGATCACGCCTGATAAAGTAAATTATGTTGTTGAGGACATTCGTCTGTCATATTCCGCAAATATCAGTTTGGGAAGCCGAGTTCTTATAAATCAACGTGTCAAATCTACAGCAATTCCGGGAATCGTGATTGCAAAGACCACCAGAAACTACGACGATTTATTGCCTCGTTCTCTGTTAACTGTTCGTCTTAATATTAATAGTTCGGACACTCTAGTTGAAGAAAAAGATGCTTTGTTGCTTCCATATCAGTTAGACCAGCATGGTGAGTACAAATTTGGAAAAAAACTGAGCCGTTCAAGCTCAGACCTAATCTTAACCCCAGTAATATCATAGGAAATACCAAAGCCCTTACAGACGTATCACAATTTTTAGGTCCTGCATGGCTGTCATCATTACCAGATTGTGAGTTCCCAAGTTTCAACGACAACTGTTATTTTGTTTTACAAAAACGAAATTGGTTTGATGGAGTCGATAACTGCAAGATGGCCGGAGGTGAAGTCGCAAGATTTGACTCGGAACTTGAAGAGAAACACGCTCGAAAAACATTCGCAAAATATTTACCTTTTTGGGTTGGGTACCACGGACATAAACACCAGGGGAAGAAGTTCGTATGGAGTGATGGTAGCGAGGATCTCTATAACAACCTGGACAAAAGAAGTCTGAATCTAGGATTGTCTGCGGGTTTGTGTGTGATGATCACGAATTCAAGCCTTTGGGAGCGACGATACTGTAGCGAGATCCTCAACGTTCTTTGCCGTCGACCTGGTAAGCAGATTTAGCTGATTCTTGGGTAAATTTAGAACAAGAGAAAGATGATCCAATATGAAGCATTAGCGAAGGTAATAGATGAAGCTATCGGCAGTAATACTAATGATCATTTTTATCTTTCTTTTCTACTAGACGTGCGAAAAACGACAATTTCCAAAGAACAAGGAAACAAAACGTTGAACTGTTCAAATCTCCACGCCGTTATTCACATTCTTCGAGTCAAACTAAATCCAGTCAACCCAGACACTCTTGGATCAGGTCTACCTAAAAACGCTTGCGAGAAAAAACCTAATGTTACCATCCAACTACAGAGTATGTGTCAATTCCAAACCTGGTGTAGTTTATCTGCAAAATCGATACGCGACAATTGCTTTCATGAAAGAGATAATTTGACAGTTTTGTATAAATGTGTTAAGAAGGCGAATGGAATAAATCCAGGTCAGTTTTAAACTACTTGTGTTAGCAGTAGCGTTGCCAGTCTTGTTATGCTAATATTTTGATGTTCATTGACCAGTGAAAACAATTAAACTCTGAGGAAATGGATATTTTATATAATAACTCGAGACTTGCATAGCAAGACTCATTCGTCGGCAGGCTACACCACTGGTAAATAGATCTTAAAATAAATAAATAAATAAATAAAATCATCTTCTGAAATTTTTTGCAATATCCTGTCATGCAGATACCTCGCAGGCGAAGTCTGTATTTTGTCCACATGATTGGGAAAATTTCCGAACAAGTTGCTACAAAGCTTACCCGGCAAAAATGACATGGGACAAGGCACTGGCGTATTGCAAGCGAGTTTCAGGCGCTTCATTGGTCTCGTTCAATGACAATACAGAGGAGGAATATGTTAGAAAAATAATGGAATCGAACAGTATCAAAATATTCCATCACTGGCCCCGTCCTTCACCTGGAAACGATTTGGAAAGAGTTGGTTTCATGTGCGAATACAGACTAGGTGAGTTATAAAATACAATATATATAAGATTCTTTTATATTTCAATATTTCACGTCAGGAGCATTCTAAAGTTTATTTAGTAGAAAATACCAGACCCTTAACTTTTGTGGCAATACTTTGGCCGAGTCATGTTTGTTACCTTAATGATGCAGTCGTTTATCATCTCGTCCAAGCAGACGCGAAGTGTTAGCTCATAACTAATGTTTTATTTAGGCAACGGTTCCTGCGATTTTGAAACTGACTGGTGTGGATGGGGAGACTATTCCTATGATGCTAGTTCTCGCTGGTATCGCGAGGTCGAACAAGATCCAGTGATTGCTTCAATATATTCCTTCTTCTTCGGTACGTGAGTACTCGTACCGGTGCATGCAGTCTTCTAACGTGTGTTCCTTTCTTTTGACCAGTGATTCAGTTATTCGTTATCAAATATTACAACAAGAAAGACTGACATGCAGTTTTTTTACGCACACACAGGTATTCCAAAAGAATACTTTCAACCCTCCCATGACAAAGTCGATATCTATTTATTCCGAGGATTTATTCTTGAAGAGATGTTTTTGACTGCTGACAGACCAAAAGAAATTAATCAAATAACTTTATGTGTTTGGGTGTTTGTTGCTACGAAAAATAAAACTAGAGTGAATGTGGTCTCATTTGGTGAAAAGTTAGCATTGAAAATCTATTTTGAAAGTGAGAAAGAAATTCAGGGTAAATTTTTATGACTGGAACAGGTAAGTTGTTGGCTGTCTACATGCAGCCATGAATGCTTCACTGAGATTTCATTCAAAGAGGTCTGTTTTCATTTTTCCCGTTAGTTTGACGAATGCGTTTGTCTCGTTTGAGACGTGGCAACATCTTTGCTTCAGTGTCGACACACAGGCAAAATTATGGAAGTTCTTTGTGGATGGTTTCATGACGGATATAGGAACCTTTAATTTGTCGAAATCTTATGTGACGGATCAAAGTGCTGGTGATAATATTATAAAGCTAGGTGAGGTAGGTGAGGTTGTCAATCGCAGCTCATAGCTGCAGCGTTTGGACACAAATATGCTATGTGTGCATGACCAGTTTGTTGAATTGCGCAAAATTATAAAAGAAATCTGCCATGTGAGTTTTTTGAGTGTACGTCAAAAAGGAAAGGTCACAATTGACATCTTTGTTCATGTGAAAGAATAAGTTCATTAATTTCTTCTTATATTTACTCAATATAGGGAAGTTGTTCTGAGAGAACGACTGATGAATTTAAAAAGTCTAAATGCAAATTTCGAGGAAAGATGACTAAACCCAATGTATGGTCAAGAGTTCTAAAATTTCACGAAATTTCTGTGCTTGCAACTGGCTGTGAAACTACGGCATCACCTGATATTACCACAGAACAAACTAAATCCTTCCTTGTGAAAACATTGTCCTTCAAAAGGGGAGAATGTATTTCCAGTAAAGGTGAGCGTCGCGTGGCTTTAAAAACGGGGCAAGTCAGAACCGCTTTAAAAGATTAAACTGAACTACTTCTGCGAGAATGATCTTAGCTTTATTTCTCGCACATCTCTATGCATGTCCAACCATGATGCATGCATAAGAAACGTAAGCACTTCTTCTCCACTTTTTCGAACCTTCCCACGGGTTTGTTTGAGTGCATATGGGGTTCACGTCACCATGATCACTTCTCAACTTGCGTTTCAGACCTAGCTGGTTGCGTATATATTTTCTATCTAATTCACTCAGCTTCTTCTATGGAACTGCAGTATCAGAACAGTCGCTTCATTCTGCAGTTCTTGAGATTATGTTTTCATTTAGGTACCCGTCTAACCAGCAATAAAACACAACACTCATCGTTACCATCCACCCTGATCCTGGCGTCTCCTTGGATGAACGTGCTGTTTGAAAGAGTCCGTGGTGTGTGCATGCATTTCAACTATCGTTTGTTTGGGAAAGATTCCGAGCTTGAAATTTCAGTTGAACCAAGGAACACGGCGATTGAGAGGTTATGGTCCATTAAAGATTCACAAGGAAATGAATTCTGGAAGAGCGGCCAGGTTTCATTAGGACTCGTATCAGAGTTTAGGGTAAGTGAAGTGAAGTAAGAAGAAGTTGCATTTGGTGGTTTCTGATTTATTGAAGTCATACATGTTTCCTTTCCTTGGCAGGTTTATATCACGGCAAAACTATGGTTTGTTGGAAGTGAAGCAAGTATTGATAATATCTTCTTTGTAGAAGATTTCTGTGATCCAGTTCCATCAAATGCTCAAGGTAAATGTAAGCTAAGATGTTATATAACCCTATATATAGCTATATACGCGATTCTTTCAACAGATTATTAGAGTATAGTAAAATATTGAAGGTGTACGGAAGGAGACTATGAAGGATTGATTTTAAATGATCGTTCTCGTTTACTTCATGTATAGAATGGCACACAAAGGTTTCTGATAAACTCTCGGGATCCATTAAATCACCATATTATCCCGGGTTGTACCTAAACAACATGAGAAGATCCTGGACAATCGAAGTACCGAAGGGTCACCATCTATTCCTGAAAATCGAGTTTCTTAATTTAGAGTTTCACAAACAATGCAAAAGCGACGCGTTGGTCGTTTTTGATAGTCGCTCTTCTAAACAAGCAGGAATCTCGTATTGCGGAATTGATTCGATAAGCACGCCGTTTGTCTCTGCAAGCAACAGTCTATATATAGTATTCACGACAGACGAAAGGGATGTTGGGACAGGTTTTATGCTTACATATAACGCCATTCCTGGTGAGTATTTTGAAGATTAATGAAATCTCAAGAAGGGGATATTTCATGGGGATAATCCTTGATTCTGATTATCTTGAGCAAATATTCATATGCTCTCAAAAACAAGAGACTAAAAACCACAGTTGAACTGTTGAAAACAGTTGAAAATTCATAAAAAAGATATATTTTTTGTTTTTCTCTTCCCTGCAGATAATCTCATTGAAGACATCTGTCTCGTTGGCAGAGTTCCAGGTTAGTTTTTACAAGACTGGTTGGCTCGTTCATTGGGGTTGTTGTGACCGAATAACGTTCTTTTTACTGGAAAATGGCAGCTCTTTTTTGTCTTTATCCTTTCGATTGTCAGTGAAATATTTTTTATATTTTTCATATTTCTTCTTCAGACTGTCATTCCTCCGTAATTTGCTCCAACATCAGATCAAATAGTTCAAAGGTTTATGTTCAGGGAAGCGACCTGGTCACAGTTCCTGAGTTCTTTCCAGCAACAACGAATGTTATGTAAGAATCAAGATACATAGATACAGAAGACCTCCTTAACACCTCGTTGATACAAAAGTCTCTCGTTGCATGCTTCATGACTTGTTTTGTTTATAGAAACTTTGATCACAGTTATTTGATCAAGCTTGGTGGAGATGACTTTAAAAATTTGACGAAATTAGAATATTTGTAAGTACGACTTTATAGAGTTTTAAGGCTAGGCTATGTCGATCTAAATTAGTATGAAATGATATCATACATGCTGGTGTGATTTCGTTGCTTGCCGACCATTGGTAGTCAAAATATTTTTATTTTTACTGAGATTGTGTCTCTATGGATTTCTTGTTTTAATTTCAGGAGTTGCATCGATAATAAAATTTTCGATGTAGACAAAGAGACGTTTCAAAATCTGGCATCTTTGCAAACCCTGTGAGTAAATGATCACCCATGCACACGCTTTATCCTTGTACATCTGTAGCATAAAACAAATAATTTTTAACATTTGTTTTAGACGCTTGACTCAAAACTATATCAAGTCTTTCTCTAAAAGACTTTTTCTTGATCTCTCCTCTCTGGAAATTTTGTGAGTATTAATTAGTAATATTTTGGCATATACATCCTGACGTGATTATCAAAGAATCTAGACACAGCATGCATGACCGATCCTTTTTCGAGGAATATTTTGCGTCAAATTAATGATTGTAAAGCGATCTAAAAATATGTTGTCAAAGTCCTTTTGTTAACTTTTAGAGATGTTGGTAAAAACAGGATTGACGAGTTAAACACTGGTTTGTTTTCCTCTCAGAGTAATCTTCGCACATTGTAAGTCCAAATGATCTGGATTATTCCTCACTGGAAACGAACGTGTTTGTATATAAAAGTGAATTTTTTTATGGCAAATTGTTCCGTAAACTATAACCGTCCAGAAATGAAGAAATGTATTCACCAGTTTAACAATATACCACATGAATATTTAAGTTTCTCTGCTTACGCGAATATCATCGTTTTATAGGAGTCTTCGTAAGAATTTTTTGAAACGGTTAAACAATGGAGTGTTTACTGGACTCACGAATCTTCAGTATCTGTAAGTTTGCATGATTTGAAAAGCTCTAAACTCATTTAAGCCATCGTTCAAAGAACATGCAATTTAACATTTAACAGATATCTTGAGAACAATGAGCTGGGAGAAATTGGAAATTCTGTCTTTGATGATCTTACGGCGATGAAGATTTTGTAAGTGTTTTTCTTTGGCAAATTACAAGCTTCGAGAGATTGCTTATTACCTGGGTTTTTTATTTCAGAATTTTGAATAACAACAAGCTGGATATTATCAAATCATCGTGGTTAAGAAATAAGATTTACCTGGAAATATTGTGAGACTTATAGCTATGACCTTGAAAATTATTTAAACCTTTTTCATCACTTTGAATCAGAATGTGTTCGTTTGTTTCAGAGATGTCCGGAAAAACGAAATAAAAAATATCCAGTCGGGGGCATTTCACGATTTGAGAAATTTGGTTCAGTTGTAAGTATACACCCATCATTGTTTACTTTCAAAGATTCATTTCTGAGTTTTTGTCGAAACTAAAGTACTACAAAGGTGGAGGCGTTCTTCAAAAGCCAAGAAATTGACTATTTTCAAGTCCTGCAATCACAAAGATTAATTCCCATATATTGATCCATTATATTTGCACAATTTCCTAGAGATTTGTCGGGGAATCAACTGCAGAGTATTCCAGAAGATCTGTTTGAAAATCTCGTGTCTTTACGTCAGGTGTAAGTTCTGTTTTACAATATAATGAAATTTTGAGATGGAATTAATCGCTCCACAATCAAACGTGGTATCCCACTGAAATCTGCTATTCTGATTAAGTCAGAGCGAGTTCGAACATTGGGTAAAATCCAGTATATTTTTTATTGAAACAGGCAAGTAGATCACTTTACTCTATGCTGTTATGCCAAGCACAGTATCCCGAACGTTAACTGTGTCTCAAAAGATCAGGACGGTTTCTCAAGTTGCGATGAACTTCTCAAGAACATTGTCCTCAAATACTCCATCTGGGTTCTTGGTGTGATGGCGTTTGCTGGGAACCTCATCGTAATAATATGGCGCTCCGCTGCAAAAGATAGCAACAAAGTAAATTCATTTCTCTTGACAAATCTCGCCGTTGCTGACTTTATGATGGGAATCTACATGTTGATAATCGCGTATCAGGACAGGACCTGGCACGGAGTGTATTTTAAACATGACTTCACTTGGCGTGCAAGTGGTCTTTGTATATTTGCTGGAGTGATATCGACCGTTTCTAGCGAGGTTTCCGTAATAACGTTGACTGTGATTACAATAGATCGCTTGGTCTGCATTGTCTTTCCGTTTCGTTTCCGTCGCTGGTCAATGAAGAAGGCTGCAAGTATCATGTGTGTGGTCTGGATCCTGGGGTTTTGTATATCCCTAGCTCCGTTGTTCCACGACTCGTATTTTTACGATTTCAAAAACAATGTTCACTTCTTTGGTCGTTCAGCGGTCTGTCTGCCGCTGCAGTTATCACGTGAACGCCCATCTGGTTGGCAATACTCTGTGTCCATCTTCCTCATTCTGAATGGCGTTTCCTTCATCTTTATACTCCTCGCGTATGTGATTATGTACCATACGATAGTGAAGGCAGCAAATGCGGTGAGGTTTTTTTCGATTGAAGCATGGTTGCCCCCCGTGAGCATGCTCACACCCCCCAATTCTCGACATCTTCCTAACCCCCCTGTAACTGTTGATCAATTTTATTTTTTATCAGGTAAGGTCTACCAGAATGAATCAAGATTCCACTCTTGCAAAGCGAATGATGTTCATCATTTTGACTGATTTCTTCTGCTGGTTCCCCGTCATAATAATCAGCATCCTGGCGTTGACAGGCAATCTTTATGATCCTTCAAAGCAGGTTTATGCGTGGATCGCTGTCTTTGTGTTGCCAATAAATTCGTCAATCAATCCATTGCTATACACCTTTTCAACACCGTATGTTCGTAAAAAAATTCCAACTGCAAGAAGAGCTTTCTCAAAACGTGGACGAAAAAGAGACAACGGTAGGTAGTCGTAATGAACTGTCAAGAATATCCATTCAATTTGCTTCTCGTACGGGTTGTTCCAGCGTTGAAGTTTCCTATGTTGAAACTACATATCTAAGAAATTTACTATGGTTTACAAATGCTTTTTCTTTTTTTCTTTATGTTATGAACAGGAGCTTTAAGACGTTATTCAAGCGAAGTTAGTGTTATTTCGAACGTTGATCATTTTAATACAACTGTGTCATCGCTAAGTACCCCTCAGTCTATTCGCAAACTGGGGATTATCAGCGAAGGATATACTAACGATGACAATATGGCTGAGAGTAGTTTTACTGAGTCAACCTCAGCTATAGAATATCGCATCAGGATGGTGGAGGATGTTAAATACTTGAGTGATGATGGACACGGAGTCATAGTAAGTTGTCATGTCTTTTATTACATATCGTGTCTTAGTACCCAAGATACGTAAAGATTTATTTTCTTTCATAAAAGAGCAGTAAGTTTCTGATCTTCGCATCATCTTTTTTACAGCAAACCTGTCTTGCTGTTGACGTTGACGGAGAAGAGACGCCATGTTTGATTAATGTTTATAAGAACGAATATGAAACATTGTGGAAAGCGACAACTAATATTCTTTCTTGGCTATCGCTGGATGGCGGACATGATAATATCCTGCAGTTCCTGTGGAGCGCTAAAGGTTAGCTCCATCATATCACTTCACATCCATTGAGATGTTTGAAAATGGTTGAAAATGATCCAAGTATATAGATTTCTACTGCCTACTGTCAGCTCAATTTTTGTGTTTAGGGGCAAACGTTTTCGTTGAGAGAAGCGACTCCTTGGCAAGTAACATGATGGAGATAAAACCTGACGATTGGTATGCGCTTTTAAAACCTTTTTGAGCTCGGCAAGCAGAGTACAAAATACAACTAACAAACTTCACTCGTATTTCATTACAGCCTGGTGTGTTATGAACTTCCTTCGAGACTAACATTAAAGAAATTCCTGCAAATGGAGCAGAATGAGATCACGGAGGAGACCATTTATTGGATTTTAAACGATCTTATGACAGCTATTGATTACCTTTCGTCAAAACAAATTGTTCATGACGCTATTCTTCCAGAAAATATAATTCTTCTCAAGTCATCTGAGGTAAGGAAGAAGTCCTGCATGTATGATCCAATATCATCACCTCCTATCCCTCCTGTATGATTCAATATCATCACCTCCTATCCCATTTATCGATCGTTACTTATTCTTGATAGCTAGAAGTTGAGAGCGCCTTACTTGGAGGACTTCATGCAACGAAATTTATCGACTCCATCGCTTCAGAGGGAAAGGATGACGAAGTTGGTAGAAAAAATTTGAAAGAGGCACTTGAAAGCAACGTGACAGCGTTTGGAAATGTTATCCAGATATTTCTTCAAGTTTGTCCATCATTTGAGAAACTCACCCAGGTTAGTTGTTACTCGTTATACGATTTTATCAACTCTCAATGATTTATTTCTATAAAGAAGATTAAAAAAACTTTCGGCAAGGGGGATAAGAAATTCACATTACATTTCAAGACTTCATAGTCATCTTTCTTATGTAAACTGTTTTAAAAAATCCTCAATGCATCGACGTGAGGTGTGTATGAGATTTTCTTTATTTATACAAATACCATTGTTCTTGCATCTATAGTTGCATAAAATAATGGAGTATTGCTTGAGTGGGAAGAAACCTACCACGTCTGATTTATTGGAGCGATTAGCTTTATTGGATCCTGATCATCCTTTAAGCGACACAAGACTTTAAGTTTAATTGCCTGACTTTGTGTAACTCCTAATTTAACGCTACGCTTAACTATATATTAAAATAATTTAATTGGAATTTTTAAATCTAATTGTTGTATAGTTTAACCTGTTTCTCTAAATCTAATTTAAGATATTTGGTAACTCATGGTATCACCTTAGTGATTTCAAAACACGTTAATTTAAAGTTGAAATAACGCATACATCGATATATGTAACTATATTATCGAAAATCATTACTTAAAACGAATTATATGTATAATATCCATAAAAAAACTGTTTGTGAAGAACGTTTTGGAAGTGTGCTCTATTGAATAGAGGGATGTGCAAGGCGCAGGACTCGTCTGAAGCAATGATCTAAAGCCTCTAACCCTTAATCGTTTTTTATCTAAACTACAGCAATGACGGTCAGTAAAACACAATAATTGGCTGGGGTAATTTCATTATCTAATTGTGTTTTCCATATTTTAAAATTGGCACAATATTTCAACAAGTTAACATAACATACAACTTAGAATGACTATATTGCAAGACTCCTCCTGGAGCCAGATTTACAACAGAATTCGATCATTTTTCGTCAGAAATGCACAAAGCAACTTTGCTGAATGTGATATCCGTGAATCGTGAAACTTTATGGTTTCTACGGAACCGTCAAAAGATGAAATACTGATTTTGGAGGAAATTCAAGTCGCTGAATAACATTCAAAATTGTTCCCAATATTTCTGGGTTTCGAACATGGAATTGCGATACGCATTTGACGAGTAATGACATTGATTTCCAGCATAAACCAGGACGGAGATAAATTATAGATTCTGTCCTATTAACCATTTTTATCTTGACAGGAAAAGCATAGTTCGTTAAAATATAAATAAGAGATCAATTTTGTAGGTATATTTGTACACGCTGCCGGGCTAAACGTTCCTCTTCTTCTCTTGACAAAATAACTGTGATCTCTATATTATTATTTCCATTGTTTGTTGTAAGATTGACTTGAAAGGAAATATTTCATGCATTATAAGTTTAGGGTGATAGTTTAAACAACTATTGAGACGAAGCTGTTATATTGCTCGATATTTCGTTTCAAGATATCGACACATGGACCCAGCAATCTTTCGAATCTCTGTCGATCCAACTTGACGCACTTGAGAGGACCCTGCGCCTGGACGGTCGCCGCTCGACGTCTGTTCAATAACAAGGCTATTTCACCTGGAAGAGAAGTGTTTTGAAAATCAGTCAAGAAACACAAGAGAGGTTGTGAAGAAAAGAGAGAACTTGATTCAATGAATTAAGAGCATTGGGTCAACAGACTTTTGAGTGAAAGAAACGCCGGTAGGAGACCAGTAGGAGACCATTGACTTACCAAAATAATCAGACTGCCCAAGTCGACCAACTTCGACAAATGGTTCGTTCGCACTTCGCCTTTGGAGAACAACCGCGTTTCCCTGAACAAGACAAAGATTCATAACTAAGAAGAAAGATGAGCAAACCGGGGGGAGAGGATGGAATCATGAATCATGGAATAGAGATATAACGTTTCTTATATTTACAAGATGATACCTCGACGATGATATAAAAGTCTTCTCCTTGTTCCCCCTGAATAACCACATACTCTCCGTCTTCAAAGGAGACAGGTTCAAGAGCATCAGCAACCGTTAGTCTTTCCCATTTGTCCAGCGATTCAAGAATCGAGACCTTCTCTAAGAATCGTTCGTACAACTCCCTCTTGCGGATCTGACTAAGCATAATGATCCTACGGTAGCTCACTCGGTCAATTGCCCATAACTTCAGGTCTGTTTTACCCTGTGGATCACACAGAAAGATACTATTAATAATTGAAACAAGAACAGTATTCTTCCATTGATGACCAACCTTTATGGTAGCAGCTCTTGGTGTACCATAGATCAAAGCTAACTCTCCAAATGCCCCACCCTCGCCAATTACTGACACCAAATGGTCATTCACATAAACCTTGGAAAATTAAGTGAAATATGAGTGCATTTTCAGCAATGTTCATAGAGAAAGTCACTCAGAATTGTAGCCAATATTACCTCAACTTCACCACTGTCAATGATATAGAAATTATCACCTTCTTCTCCTGAAATGGGAAGACAGTAAGTTGAATTACCATTCATGAAACATTATAAAGAATGCAGTTTATCTGAAGAATGGTAGTGATGGTTAACCCACCCTGTTGGATGACAATTTCACCAATATTGTGTTTCACCAAAAACATGGCATCGAAAATATCACTACAATAAAACAACGTGATATGATAAACAAGATGAAGATTGGTGAAATGTGTTTCTACAACTGTTGTGAAGGTGCTGGGGAATATGTCTTCAACCAGTCATGGGTCAACATGTTTCTCATGTTTTGGATTGCAGGTTTAGACATATTGTGTATTGTGTTTAATGCAAGATGCTGGACCACTACCAGATGGCCTCACAATTGTTGACAAGGTTTGTAATTACTAGTTCTTGCACCTGCTGCTGCTACATGGAAATTGCATTTTCAAACTATGATCGACTTGGAGACGATGGCATGCCACATTTACTACCTGTCTGAATGACTTTAAATATTGCTGGGCATCAAATGATGAGCATTTTTAGTCCCAGAAAGGTTATGGTCAGAGTAAGGACTAGCATTTAAAAATTTATATGTTTATATCGCCTTTGATGACATGAAAATGTAGACAGCCATCTGAGCTGAGTTATGCCCTGTTCTCTGTGTCTAGCATTAATCATATAGATAGAAATTTTAGCTCATCTTTCTTGGTATATAGCAAAAAAATCTCAGGATAAAATATTTTAAAAAATTGAAAATGTGAAATATCTTTATGCTGGGATGTAAATTTTAGTTCGTATGTATAAGAAGGAAAGATTAGAGACCCACTTTACACCATTATAAAACAACTCTTAAAATCCAACTAAAACCTCTTTAGGTACAGTCACTCCAGTGATGAAATCTATTCTAGGAGGAATCTATTCTAAATAATTCGTGTTCCCATAAATAACATCGAAACCCTTCCATTAAAAATTAATCTTTGAGGTAAGCGCGATGCACACCGCTCATAACAGACCCTTATTTATAACTGGCCATTGATAATCGTTCTCGATCAACAGTAATTTTGGTTTTCCATGTTACGCTCTTGGACTATAACCCCCTACTGTTGTTCAACAAACTATCAGAACAAAACACAGTGGCCACTGAATTGCTTTTTAATATATTTGCTTGGTAAAAATCCAACCTTCGTTCGGTCTCGTCCAAATGCGAGAAGAGGATATTCTTCGCTATTGCTTTCTGCAAAGCCGCCATAGTTTTGTAATCTTTCGGTACAACCTTAAAAAAATACGTCAATTTAAAGGTAGATGAAAAAATTACCATGCAAGGAAAACATATAATCAGTACGAAAATATAATGCTTTTTATTGTTGTACCTTTTTAACATAAGATGTTGCATCTGCTTCGGAAATAACACTGGCGCTAACACCACCACGACGTCCTCGACGTATGGGATGTTTTGGTTGTGGAACCTCCTCGCTAAATCTTTCCTCCGCTTCACCGGCTTCTCCTTTGCTTTCATCGTCTCCAGAATGTCTCTCGCTCTCCTAGCAATGGATACCGAGCACGGGTAAGCAGGTACATGGATAGAAACGCAAACACAAAGCCGTGAAGTGTACACGAATTATGAGGCAAGTTAAATAAACAACAAACCTTTTCGAGCTTTTCAAAGTATTCACGAAGGAATTTGTACGGATTTGACGGTTTTGACATACACAATTGAAAGATGCATTCTTTTAAAATAGGCTGAATGCTATGGCTGTCTACGTATTCTTCACACTGCCTCACGGCTTCATTATCTCCGTCTTGTTCAGATCTGGACGCCATCTTGTCAACAGCTGCTGCACAACGAGTCAAAAAGGGACCAAATTTGGGCGAGAAGCGCTACGTGACGTCACTGGGGGACAGAGCTATCATTTCACTGGGGGACAGGGCCATATTCAACCCGTTGTTTATGGAGCTGTAGGCCACTAAAATTCCCGTGGAAATGTGAAACTTTCTCCTTCTGAAGGACTTTATGAACAAATGTTATACAAACAAGTTATTCAGGGTTTCCTGCGCGTGTATCGCAGGTTGCAAGTGTCCTCCCCCCGGAATCATTGCGAGCATTTGGTATGATCAAATTTAATGTCAAAAATATTTTATTTCCACGCAAGTTTTTATATCTAATTGCGTCAAAATATTACATGAGCAAAAATAGTGAAAGTTTATAGTATTTTCAAATAATACTTGTCAAAGTGGATTCGCTCCCAGTCCCCACAGTCTGTGTCATGGCGACCGAAACTAACAATGTTGTCTGCTACGAAATTTTACAGAATTCAAGCAAATTTATAACGAAAATCCAGTGATATAGCCGATTGTTTTGATAAAAATGGTGAGTTATGACGTAAAGCACTTGTCAATGGTAGGATTTTCACAGCAGGAGTAGAGTAATACAAAGAATTGTGTTTTTCTTTCTAAAATAACAATCAATGTATTATAATGTTGTCTGATTTCTATAGATTCTTTCAAGAACAAAGCCTGCAATGGGTCCAGGCTCTGCTGGGACAAGCAGGGAAAATAAGAAGAAGAAAAAGATCCCAAAAGTTGAAGAATTCTTGCAGAATAGAGACTTCACTGGAGCAAGAACTTTGCTAGAGGTAAATTGTATTTTGTTGTTGGTTTTTGATACATAGAAGTGATAGAACTACTCCCAAAATTTTGGGCTGTACCTTGAAGCTTAATAAAGTACGGGGGAAGTTCCATATTTCATATATCTGTTTTATGTCCGACCAATTTCTTTTACAAGCTATAATGTATCTACGGTATGTAATATGTGAATATGCACCCCCCCCAGATCTAGATATCTCGCTACCACCTAATTTTGGTCAGGTGTGTGCAAAATCATTTGTGCAGCTTATGATGCTGCAATAGGGATACCCGATGATGTAGTATGCTCGTTAATATTGAGTCTGTAATGTTTCAATTTTAGTTCAGTAAAAATTCTGGCAAAGCAGATGAAAAGAACAGCTTGTGGAGTGCGTATTGTGCATTTCATTTGGGTGATTACAAAGCAGCTTTACAGGTGTGTAATGAGAAACAAATCAGAACACAAATGATGTCAACCAAATTTTTAACCATCAGCTGTTTGTGTGTTTGTTTGTGCAGGAATACAAAGAGCTGGTAAAGGGGAATGATGAAATGCCTGAGATTTGGATCAATATTGCTTGCTGTTATTTCTTCTTGGGGATGTACAAAGAAGCTGATGAAGCTGCATTCAAAGGTACCGTGGGATCAAGATCATGATAACCTATTAATATTGATTGAGGACTGACACAGCTTGAGGACTGACAAGCTCACAATGCAGTCTAAAAACATTTGAAAGATATTTGTATTGTGCTGTAGACTTATTTATTTAAAATGTGATTGGATTTTACATGTCCAACATTCAATGCTAACAAACCAGATGAAACCATTTTCATTCTACTAAACTTTATGCTGAATTACATCCCTTAGGACCTGGTAGTCGTGGACAGAATCGACTTCTCTTTCATCTGTCTCATAAGGTTCGTACCTTCAAGATACATATTGAGTAATCATACTACTAAATACAGAGGTGAACAAGCAAGTCATGTTCCCTGAACAATTCTTTTTTTTATTACAGTTTAATGATGAAAAAAGGTTAATGAATTATCATCAGCAATTGCAAGATATTATTGAGGATCAGGTATGCAGCGTTTTCTTCTTCCCTTGACGATTCTTTGGAGAAGTATGAAACAGGTTCTAATCTGTTATCTTTATCTACTAATATCAATGTCCAGTAATTACGTAGGTCACAAAAATATTAGACTTGGTTTTTCCTTCAATTTAGTTGAGTCTTGCTTCGATTCACTATTTGAGAAGTCACTATCAGGAGGCAATTGACATCTATAAAAGAATTTTGTTGGATAACAGGTGAGTGTTATGTATGATGAAAATAAAGACCTGGGCAGCATTCTACCACTTGCTATTCCATCTGACAACAAAGTGAAATGGTTTTTCAAGCCTGTTCACAGCATATCTGTTGACTCCCACTTCCTAACGTATGTAATTTACTGATTCTGTGCTAACAAGAGTGAGCCTATTGGTTCTTACGTGGCAAAAAGTGCAATTGATGTGGTTTTGTTTGCACTAAGATACTCCAAAACGAGATTTAGACATGTATTGACACGTTTTGTCTCCCCAACAGTGAGTTTTATTGCTCATATTGTTTCCAAGTGTTTCCAACTGTTTCCAAGTGTTTCCAAGTGTTTCCAAAGCTAAACATAGTGAGCTTTGACTTCACCAGGTGTCTTCATTAATTATCCAATCTGTGGAAAATCATAAAATTATTATTCCCTGTTTTTTTCAGAGACTATCTGGCGTTGAATTGTTACGTTGCGTTATGCTACTACAAATTAGATTATTATGACGTATCTCAGGAAGTTCTCGCCGTGTATTTACAACACTATCCTGACAGGTAGGCTCTACATACGAGGTACTAATGTGTGCAGAAAATGAAAAAAGATCTTTTGTCACCATTTCGCTAAAGACGATTTGCGGTTTTTTAATTGACTACACTATGAACTCCAGTTTCACTCTCAAGCTCTGGTATTTTTATTTAGTGCAATTGCTGTAAATCTGAAAGCGTGTAATCACTTTCGCCTTTATAACGGGAAAGCTGCTGAGGTGAGTATTCTGAACATTTCACCAGATATGTATCCTATTTCTACTTTGAAACACGTTTGTATACCATTTCAAAACGTCTAATAACTCCGGAGCAAGTTTGCAATTTTTAAAAGGTTGGAAAAGTCAACGACTTGCCTTATTAAGAGTGGTTAAACTGGCATGCAAAAGTTAAGGTTTTCTCGGCTGTTCATTTGAACTGATCTTGTATGAAATAATTGGGTGCGTGCTTTATCGTTACTGATCTACCTTCTCTTTTTACAGGCTGAGCTAAAAACATTGCAAGAAATCGCCTCACCCTCGTTTGAATTTGCTAAAGATCTCATGAAACACAACTTGGTAAGTTCCGCAAAACTCCTAGAATTACCAGTTCGTATCACCATACAAGTTCAGATGTAAGATCCACTGTGACATCCGTGTGTTTCATTCGCAGGTCGTGTTTCGTGCTGGTGAAGGCGCTTTGCAAGTTCTGCCTCCACTCGTTGATGTTATCCCTGAGGCGAGATTAAATTTGGTGAGTTCTTTATTAATTTTAAATTAACTTAAGGATTAGAATTAAATTAATTTTAGGAATTACGATCTGCAACCTTAGGATTGGAGTTGGAATGCGGTTAGGATTCGGCTAAAGTTGAGGATCAGGTTAAGAGTTGGATTAAGATCAGGGTTAGGCTGAGATGATGGATTATGATTAGAGTGGGGATAAGGTTATATTAAGCCTAAGAATAGGGGATCTATGAATTACGTTGTTAAAACTACAAACGACTTGAAGTGGACATCATATGTTGTACCTAATGAAACAATGTGCTTACAGTCATTTGAGTTAAGGGAGCGGTCATAAAGTAACTGCTAGGGTGGGCCGGAGGGAAAAATCTGTTTTCCTAAAAAAATTCGGTGGCCCATCCTGAAAATCTAGAAAAGATCTAAAAGCCCATCATAAGTCATTGGAAAAGTTTCATGACCCATCCTGCTATATATGTTAATGTACAGCGTGTCTATCACTTTGATCAAACCAACCATGCAGCGTCGCTTATAGTATGTATTGAGTGCAAACAGGCTGTATTTTGTTTCATGGCCCATCCATTTTCACAAAAAGTAATTGATGGCCCACCCAAACTAATGAAAATAATTTCATGGCCCATCTTTATTTCCTCCGGCCCACCCTAGCAGTTACTTTATGACCGCTCCCTAAATCAACATTGACTGCCGACGAGCTGTGGATCTTTGCTGAAGACTTCCGGTGATTCTTCTTGGAATCATGAATAGTTAATGTCCGTATTTGAATATCATGTTTCAAACTTAGTCACGAGGGAACTCGAGTGTAGATATTCAACAAAATCTCCTGATACATTTCTCCTTCATTCTACCTTGTCACCAAATATTTCTTCACATGGGGGACGATTTAAAAGAAGAGGAAAAAGCGGCGTTGGATGATATCAAAAAAATTTTAGAACAACGGGACTATAAATACGAATTGCCGCTTGGTAAAGGAAGTTTTGGCCACGTTGTTCAAGCGAAACATTTGATTGATGAAATGAAATACGCCATCAAAATTCTCCCTATTAAGCACGGAGAATCAGCAAAATATCCAAAACGAGAGTTGGATGTTCTTACTAATAAAGACTTGCATCTCAAGAACAATATTAAGTATTTCTGCTGTTGGAAAAGCGACGTTTGTGACCGTCCACATTTGTTCATTCAAATGGAACTCTGTCGTGTCGCCTTGGAAGTGTTCGTTTACAAGAACGAGTTCGGCGGTGCCGAGATGATCAAATGTCGAGACCCACCTCGATTTTACCAGCAAGTGTTTCCACAGATATTGAACGGTCTTAATGCACTGCATGCCATAAAAATTGTACACCGCGATATTCATATCAGTAATATCCTTATTGCTAATCCTAAGCCAAACAGTATTTGTGAGATTAATGTTAAGATTGCTGATTTTGGTCTTGCTCGGGAGATTGGTTCTGTACTCAGCTCATCTCCCTCGTTGACGCATGCACCAAAACTACAGAAATTATCTTCTGGAATAGGAAACGAACTGTTCAGAGCGCCGGAACTGGAAACTGATAATTATGATTACAAAGTCGATCTCTACAGTGCAGGAATTGTGCTGTATTTTCTCTGTCGTTACCTTGAGGATAAAAAACTGTGGAAAAAAGAGTTTCTTGCTCTTAAAAATCGTGAACGAGGTCAGAATGATTTGTATCATAAAGACGATAGTATTCTATTTCGTCTGTTTTCAAACCTTATGAAAGACCAGCCTGAAGAACGTCTGAATGCTGAAGAAGCTTTAGATATAGCACAAGCTTGGATTACTGGTGGATGGAGAGAATGGAAAGAACCAACTGAATCAACAGACGCTGGGAATGGTGAAGCGAATAGATTTTTCGTACGGGGAGAAGAGGGCGTCTTAAAACGTTGCTCAACGAACAACAATTCGCTTTGTGGTTTGAGAGAAGAAATAGCAAGATGCACCGGTATTGACACCAAGTCCCAAGTTTTGCATCAAGAGACAGTTATTAATGAAAAAGAAGAACTCATTCCTATAGAGTCTGATCGTGAAGTTCGTTGCATGTTTTTGAGTGCTAAGGAATATAAAAAGGCTGTGGTTATTACTGTGGCAAAAGATCAATCGAAGATGGACGTGGATTGTTGTGGAACCGGTTCAGACACAATGTCAGATTATCCATCAAAAATGGACGAGGAAAGTTATACAGACATTAAAGAAGCTTAACCTTCACTTGCAGAATTATAGCATTAGTTCAAATCCAATTTTTTAATCGTGATTCTTTAATTTTCACATTGATAACTTCAGAACAGGAATAATAAGCATGCAATGAAGAATATCAATGAACTATATTTTTGTATTATGCATGTAAAGAAATAATAGAATAGAAAGAAAATAAATTGTGATGATAAATACTCAAACTTCTCGATATTGCAACCGTGTACGGTATTCTGACTCCACCGCTGTTGGAAACGTGAATCTGTTGTGGTTCTTTGCTTCTTAGAAATTGAGCCTGCATTGCTCAGATTTAAAACAAATTCTCGAATTATCAAGTTTGAAAAAAATCTTGAAATCGTGTAGATTGCTTGACTATGTCATAGGAAGCAAGGAGAGAGGTTGTGGCTACAAGGCAAACTACTAGCAGCGAGATAAACTCTTTCAAGTGAAAATTGAGAATTGTATAGAATTTAGTTATAGAAAACCGACATACTTCATTAATATTGATCAATACTTACATTATACACATTATATTTTGTTAGGTGATCTACTATCTCAAGCAAGGTAAAATATATGTAGTTACTTTGTAATGCCAATTTTTTCTATTTTCCCTGTAGCGTTCCGTATGGCATCAGGGCGGAATCCAATCGTCAATCTGACTTGAATATTTTGTAATTATTTTAGACGACGTCCTAGAAGCCTACAATCTTATCAAAGATTTAGAGCCAACTGTTCCTCCTGTAAGAATAATGTTTTTTCGTTGTTATTCAACCAGTTTCTTTCTGCATGTTTCTTCATCCCTTTCTATGCAAGTGTGTGAAAAATATGTGTTTTTGATTTCATTGCAGGAGTACATATTGAAAGGCGTGGTCAATGCTGCTCTTGGGCAAGAACAAGGCTCGGTATGGTGTAGTAAAGATTTAGTTTTATTGCTTTATTTAAGATTAAGCCCATGCACTTATCAACGATTTTGCAATTTACTCTAGAGAGAGCATTTAAAGATTGCCCAGCAATATTTTCAACTAGTGGGAGGCTCAGCTAGTGAATGCGGTAAGATACACTGCAGACCAAACATTAATATGAACGCTATTGTTTGAACGTTATTTCAAATTTTCGTATTTAGACACAATTCCTGGTCGACAGTGTATGGCGTCGTGTTTCTTTCTGTTGAAGCAATTCGAAGATGTTCTAATCTACTTGAATTCTGTAAAGGTTTGTCTTATTACATATAAGGCTGTATAGTCCTGTTAAAATCTGCGTTTCTTTGACGGTACTTCAAATGTAGTGAAGATTCTAATACAGTCAGAAAGCCTGGAACGTTGTTATCCTGCAGTTACACGCTGGTAACCAAGGATTTTTTTAAAAGCTTTAGTTCATCTTTTTACAGAGTTACTTTTACAACGACGATGCGTTCAACTTCAACTACGCACAAGCAAAGGCAGCTTCTGGAAACTTCAAGGAAGCTGAAGAGGTGAGTTCACGAAATCAAGATCTTAAGCGAAACCTTGGTCTAGTTATGAATCATATACATGCAAAGGAAACTTCTCTCATTTGACTGTTTCTCAGAATGCATATACTTGACTGTCGTGGCCAGTGTAAGATCAGAATGAGAATTAGTCCGGGGGTTTTCCTTCAAAACTAACAATCCTCGTATATTTTGTTTTCATTAAGATTTTTCTCCTCATTCAATCAGAGAAGCTCAAGAACGACTATACATACCTGAGTTGGCTGGCGAGATGTTGTAAGTGACCAGATTCTCCCATCCTCTGCTAGGAATTATTATCTTCCTCTTCTCTCGTATTGACCTAGTTTTACCCACTCAAGATCGTTGTCTTCCAGACCTGCATGCTGGTGAAGACAGACAAAAGATATTTTTGTAAGTCTTGATAAAGGTTCATTTCAATGTTAGATATCATGAACAGAAAGGCGAGGTTGGCTTGGGAGCTGTACTTGAAGATGGAGACCTCCGCAGAATCGTTCAGTCTCTTGCAATTGATTGCTAATGACTGCTACAAGGTAACAATGAAGATTTTTGTTTTCCTGCACGTAGTTCTGCTGTGGTTTGGCAGACATGGTGAAGTCTTCACCTTGTCAGGTAATTAAGTAAACCTTATGGATAAAATAAATTGTTTTAGATGGGTCATTTCTACTATGCTGCGAAAGCATTTGACGTTCTGGAAAGACTTGATCCTAACCCGGAATATTGGGATGGAAAGCGTGGTGCTTGTGTAGGAATATTTCAACAGATTATCGCTGGCCATGAACCAAGGTAAGTACATATTTCTTATCCAGGAGGAGAAACTCCTTCTGGCAAATACCAACGAAAATAACATTGTCAAGCAAAGCAAAGCAAATCAGCTTTTTTTTGTTTTGCCATAAACCATGATTCACTTGGCATTTACCCAGTCTAAGTCTAAGACTGCCAAGATGTTTGTTTTAACTTGTAAGACTTATTTCTATGAATATTGCAAGTATGTCATCATTCTCAATGGTCCTCAGGTCTAAGGTCTGCTCCAGAGCTTTACTGAGGCTGTTTTGTGAATGTTTGTAGAGAAACGTTGCGTGATGTTCTGCAGTTATTACGAAACACTGGTAATCCCCAGGTGGAATATATCATACGCACTATGAAGAAATGGGCAAAAGAAAACAGGGTCCCTGTTTCCTGATTACCCAGTTTGTTAGAAAATAATTTTAAATATAACCTATTTATTGGTATCATATTTCATGCAAAGAAAAAGGCTTTATGCACAATTTCCCTAAACTTGTTTGAGAAATATGAAAACGCAAGTGTAAGGTATAACATTGTAAATAAGTTTTCATTTTGAGCTAGTTTTCCCAATTGGTGTAGGTTTTTTGGAAGATCTATGCACTTTTCTGAATTATCTTTCAAAAGAAAAATGAAATTTTCATCCATGAAGGAAGTCAGGCATGAATGAACCTCCTAAATCTTTAAGCATATTCTTCAAAGTTTATCAGCATGCCTGTTCATGTTCCCTGAAACTTAGACAGCAGACAGCAATAATTCAAATAATTTTTTATATATATTGCATGTTTCCAAAAAGATAGATTGTGAAAATACTTGAAAACTAATTTTATTAAATGCTTCTTCTCAGCATTATTATTAATATTAATTTATACAAAATATGAAGTCAACAAAAAATATTACATTCATGGGAAAAGCAGCTGTGCACATCATTATAATTAACAATTACGCATAATAATCTATTGTCATTAGTATTAGCCAGAAATCACTCCCAGTCCTTTTTAATATCAAATGCCCATTCCCATTCCAAGAAAACATTTTTATCATCATCTGTAAATTTGCTCTTAACTGTATAATGACCTCGTGAAAGCATCCCACTGGGGGCTTGTTCTGATGGAGTTAAGTAACATTGGGCTTCTGCCTTTGGACCATAACTACCCACCATAAACGCATTCTTGTCAACTAAACAGAAACAATGTTGTTTTGTTGAGGACATGAAGACAGGCCATGGTTGTCTAGTTGAGACATTAGTTGATGAAAATGGAGGACATTTTGCTTTTAGACATCACTGGTTTCACTGGAAATACATGTAAACCTAGCCTTGAAGCTAAATGTCCTGACACAACAGCATGATGACCATGGTGGAAATGTTGTTGGGTCAGGCAACCACAATACTCCTTATGCTAACCTTTAATTCCCTTTCTTGAAATGACTTGGAAATATCTTAAACCAGCCACAATTTCTCTTTGCACCTGCAACAGAATACATATCAGAGAATTAACTCCTCTTGACTAGGTGGGTGGTCATTTCAATTAATTACAGCTGAGCTTTGCCTAATGTCAAACAACTTAAGTGGTTGAGTTCACAGGGTACAGAGCTATTACTGGGGGGCAAATGCCCCCCACCTCCACATTCTGCATCAGAAATACATGAAATGAAAGTTATTTCTTTAATGCAAAGTTTCTTTAGTATAGCCTGGTAGGTTATAAACAAGTTTATTCAAGCCTTCAAACACTGCTTCCGGAAACGGTGGCAATTATAAATGTTCCCTGCGTGGCTATTTCAATGTTCACTTCAAGCGTGTCGAAACGAGCTGTATTACTTACCCTGAACAAGATTTCTACCCGGTAGTCTACTCCTTCTTTGATGACTAAAGGGTTTGACTTTAACTTTGAAAGATCATCTTCATGAAGAAGCAAAAAAATAGTTATAAAGGCGGAAAAAGAGTATTGTACAAAATCAACAAACAATACTCTTACCAGCAGTGAGATCAATCTTGATATCATCTCGACCCTCTACTTTAATAGCCAGTTGTTTGACTAAAACATTTGCACCACCTTCGTCTACAAATGTAGCAACATTCATACGAAGTAAATAAACCAGGTTAGTTAGGAAACTCTACACTCTGCTCAGATATTTACAAACAATATTCGTACAAATGAAAATATCGAGTTTTTAGGCAGAACTTCCGTACTGATTTTCCGGATTCTCTTTGAAATTGTAGCGAAATTTACAAACTAAGATTACAAAGCAACATATTTAAACTTTACTAAACAAAAATGTAACATCAATGTTACAAAGTCCATCGAAATTTGATGAAAATTTCTATAAATATACAAGGTTCTTCTACCTAACTTTTCGCCCGCCCCGGCCAACAATTGTGCTTTGTATTTTTGCAAAGATTCATCGTCCTGATCAAGGTCTTGAATTTCCTTCAAGGATTTTTCGGCAGGAGGAACATAGCCCGGTGTTTCTTCGATTTCTTCATTGTCTATTGGTTTAATTTCTGCGCTGTCTGCCATTTTTTCTACTCTTTCCAAATGGTACTTCCTCCAGGCTCTTCACGAGGCGTGGAATTTCTCCCACGTGATCCGGATTTCGAACCATTATCACGTGTTGGAATGTATAATATTGCGCTAATTTCAGAAATGATCAATATGAATAATAATTCATGATATGAATTATTAATCGGGTCGCTTAAAAAATCGCATCGAAATGCAATGACTCGCGCTATCTTTTGTATATTAGTGAGTCACTTATATACAAACAAAATGATGAAAGCGATTTACAAGCTGAGTGCCTTGTTTCTTGTGAAGAACAAGAATTATTTTGTCTCTTATCAGAAGAGCAATAAGTATCAGGGACTATCTTTAACTTTACCAGCGATCTAGTAAGACAAAGATATTCTCTGCATTATTTTTATCCATTTCACAGAAATTTAGAACACTAAATGTTATGGATAATTCCCGTGTGTCCCCATATATCCCGCGGCGTTGTGACACGTGGATAACTGGTATGCATGTTTTGCGCATGATCGAGAATGCATGACTCACAAAATATCCGCAGCGCAGTTGATGTTTCCGTCGTAAAGGGCGGAGAATGACAGCCTAAATTTCCGACAATCACTACTTGGGCTAATTTAATAGGGAAATATTTCTACAAAGATGACGATGTGTTTTCATTTTATTCCATAAACAACGTGCGTCTTATACCACATACAAATCACTGTAAATGCATAGGATGAGAAGAGAAATACTAATGACAATTTTGAACAGAAAAAAGGTCTTAACATTCATGTGTCTTTGCATACAACGTGTCTCGAAAAACTCTTTCGTCAGTAAATCGATACTCAACATATGCTGGGCAATATCACATTAAACTATGCAACGATCACTCGAGCAGGTCCATTGTGTCAAGATGGAAAAGATTAGCGTGTAAAATTGTGCAAACAGAGTTGGAAAAGCTTCCTGCTTGTTTAAATTAGAAATACTGAGAAAGGCTTTCTGCTTGCAGGTCAAAAAGGCAAATGATACGAAAGGCGCTTAGGAGTTTTCATCAATATGAAGTCGGTTCATTTCGGAAGCTCATCAATATTTTCGACAATATAGGTTGTTAAAAATTTAGCCTATAATCACAAGAATGATCGAAGACTAACTAAGCATGGACCAATTAGAGAAAAGCACGACACAAGCTCATCTAGCACGCGTGCGCGAGTTGAGAATTTGCTGCTTTAACTTTTGAAGAAATGATCGCTTTTGATCACTTTATGATTCACGTGGAGACAGTGTTGTGGATTTCTTGTTACCAAAATGAAAGTATACGTGTTGTTAATGATCGCCCTTGTGGGCCCGGTGTTCTCTGAAGATGAGATTGCAAAAGATGGCAACATTCTGGTGTTGACGAAGGACAACTTTGACAGCGCTATTGCTAAGCACAAACCAATTTTAGTTGAATTTTGTAAGTTTGATGTAATTTCATTGGTGATAGCTCTGACCAATTTCTCATCTGGTATTTCTTGTTTTTTCTTCTCCACAGATGCTGAATGGTGCGGTGCATGCAAAGCTCTGGTTCCCGAGTACAAAGCTGCAGCAGATATGCTGGAAGAAGAGGGCTCTAAGATAAAACTAGCTAAAGTTGACGCTATCGCGGAGACAGAACTGGCTGATAGATTCGATGTGAGGGGATATCCAACCATTAAGCTCTTCAAGGACGAAGAAATTATTGAACATAGGGGTATGAATCATAGAGAATAAGTTGTTGAGTTGCAGGATTTTGCAAGAGAGGTCACAGGGTCATACCGTTTGCCGGCTAGCGAGCAGTGACGTGTCACTAGTAAAGTCTCGCGCGCGAATTCAAACGTCGCGACAACTCCTCACTTCCGTGTCCGTGTCTTCAGGAACTGTTCCATGTGAAATATTGAGCATAAAGTATTCTAGGTAGAAAGTTGAATTACACTGAAAATTTGGAGCGTAATGAATTATTCAGCGATTTCTAGTGCAAGGGTAAAACTCGACTGATTTTTTTCCGAATTCCCTGCACTTCAATGCATGGTGCAAGACAAAAATGGTCTGACCGACAATTGGAAACAATCATGCAATAGTGCGAGTCCTCCTAAATCATGCAGTAGGTTAAAAGAGAACATTTTTCTTTAGCTGGAAGATTTGCCGAGGACCTTGTAGCGTGGTTGAACAAAAAGACAACCCAGCCAGCCAAGAATTTGGCGACCATCGAAGATGTGAAGAGTTTCATTCAAGATGACGAAGTCGCCATTGTTGGATTCTTTCCCAATGCGGAGTCTTCCGAGGCGAAAGCTTTTATCGAGGTTGCTGACAGCATTGATGAAGCTGTGTTTGGAATTGTTTCAAATGCGAATATTGCTAAGAAATATGAAATTCATGGAAATGGGATTATTCTCTTTAAGCAGGTAAGTGTTAATTACCATGTGAGAATATTTTTATCGTAAGACATCCTGTCATATTGGTTTGGCCTAGCGCAGAACGTTTCATGAATGTGGTTGAGTAAAGAGGGAAAGCATGTGAATGAAATGAGTGAATGAAATATACTCTCTTGTTTTAAATGTTATCTAAAACGGAGTTAAAGCATCTTTCAAACTCTTATAGCAGATTGTTTCCTTGCTTCATCTCGTCCATTCATCCGTAATATTACTTGAATAACCTGATCGTTTTAGTTTGATGAGCGTCGTGTTGTTTTCACTGGTAAATATGAATCTGATACAATCTCGAACTTTGTCGACGCCAACAGACTACCATTGGTCAACCAAATGGTAAAAAGAAAAGTCAGAGAGATCCAGACGAGAAATGTCAGAATTGCATACTATTTATTCCTCAGTAGCAGTGCAAATAACTTTCCTGAAATCCTCTGCTATTTCAACGATATTGCCAAGGAATTCAAAGGCAAAATCGTATTTGCTTACTACGATGTTGATAACGAAGAAAGCGCTGGTGCACATTTGGGTTCCTTGGGAGTTGAAGATGACGACATATTTAGGCCAACTGTTCGTATTTTGGACCGCAAAAGCAGAGAAAAATTCAAACCAGATCAGTTTGAAACATTAACTCGTGATGTTGTAAGAAAATTCGCACGAGATTTTGTCGATGGTAAAATTAAGGTACGTTTAATTACAGTTGTATTTTTGTAATGAAGAAATGAAAAAAAGGCTAGATTCTTACAACCGATTTATATTCCTTTTAGCCCTTTAAACTAACACAAGAGATCCCTGATGATTGGGACAAAGAGCCTGTCAAAGTTCTTGTAAGAAAGAACTTCAATGAAATTGCTTTAGACAAGTCCAAGAATGTCTTTGTTGAATTCTGTAAGAATTTTCACCGAATGCACTCTGACTATTTTGTTAGAATATCAAAGATCAAACATCCATTCGCTATAGAAATCACGTTTCTTTTATATAGATGCCCCATGGTGTGCTCACTGTAAAGAATTAGCACCAGTTTGGGACGAACTGGCTGAAAAATTTAAGAAGGATAAAAGCCTTGTTATTGCAAAGATTGACGCTACGAAAAATGAAATTGATAACGTAGAAGTTAGAGGGCTCCCAACTCTGAAATGGTTCCCGAAGAATTCTGGCGAGGTAATGTATATGATGTATTGATACTCATTCTTCAGTGTCTCGACACACTTTGAATCTGTGCCATATCTATGACAAAAATACGTTCGTCTATCTTGACAGTGCATTTTTTCTCATTGTTTTTGCAAATAATTTTTCTCAGGTCGTTGATTACACTGGAGAAAAAACGCTGGAAGATCTAACCACATTTGTTGAATCAGATGGTAAAGTCATACCTGCAAAAGAAGAGAAAAAAGATGAATTATAAAAAACTTTCGAATTCAACTTGTCTCCACAGACTATACATATAAAATTTCTTTACAATTGAAATATTGAAGTATATTCTGTAAACGAAATAGCAAATAGATATTTTTTCTTCAAATTTGAGCAACGTTTAAATATGAGCTGAGCTCAAGTATGCATGGCTTCGTGCTGACGTCAATGCAGAACGGAAGATTTGGTAATTCACTTATTTAATTGTTGACACAAACTGTGTTTTATTAAACAGGTATCTGGAAACTCTCTAATTTTAATGTCATGAATATTTTATAGGAAGAAAACAGCTAACATGAAACGTTTCGGAAGTTTATAGTATTTTCACTAATTGCATGAAATAAAATGTTTTGAATATAGGTTAGTGCACTGCTCCACACAGCTGGGCAAATCAGAGATGACCTTTTCAAAAGATAACTACTGAGATTTGCTGATAAACAAAGGCACCGTGAAATGAACGCTGACGTATGTATGACTTCCCACGATATGTAATATGAATGAGAGTGCTGTTAATCATGCAAACACAAATGCTTTTATGTCGCAAGAATCTTTGTTAACTTTGAATTTTCCGTATATATACGTGTCGCTTAGGAGTTAATTAGATATTAATTACCAAATGACCAATCACAGGAGACCACGACTGGCTCACTCCAAACGCATGCGCGTCACCGACTTCCGATCTTTCCTCTTTAACTTTTGCAGAAAGAACAAGTTTGGTTCACTTGTCTTGAAAATTTCGCCCTGGTGTTGTGTGTTTTAGATTTCTTGTTACCAAAATGAAAGTATACGTGTTGTTGATGATTGCCCTTGTGGGCTCGGTGTTTTGTGAAGAAGAGATTATCGAAGAAGAGAATGTTTTGGTGTTGACGAAGGACAATTTTGATGATGCTCTAGCTAAGCACAATCACATTCTAGTTGAATTTTGTAAGTTTGGTGTTTTGTCTTGCATGATTTGCAAATGTTTTGACTCGTTTTTTTTTTACTTAAATGTCTTATTGTTTTGCCAGATGCTCCGTGGTGCGGTCATTGCAAAGCTTTGGCCCCAGAATATGCTGGAGCTGCAGGAACGTTGAAGGAGCGAGGATCTGATATAAAATTAGGCAAAGTTGATGCAACTGTTCACACAGAACTAGCGACGAAATTCCAAGTACAAGGATACCCTACGATCAAGTTCTTCAAGGGCGGAAAACCTATCGAATATGGAGGTATGTTGTGTTCAGAAAAAACACTAAAAATGCTAAATCATTGAGTTGCTATGATTTCCCAATACGAGACACGTTGCCACGTGCAATTGTACTTGTGAGACAAAGTACAAGATCGTTTGTTCATTACAAGCAATACGTGTTATTACTAGTGTTAAATGCTTTCATTTCGTTGAAATTCTGTTTTAATCAACCGTTGGTGTAAATCGGTCGAGATCGTTGTGTAGAGTCAACATATAGTGATTACGAGAATTAATATTCATAAAGTTTGCAAACTTGCTACTATGAACATAAACATCGTCGATTTAGCTCCCGTTGTTTCAAATATCCAGTAAAAACACTCGCAGAGTAATAAAGGATTAGTTACGGCATGATATAGTGCAGAGTATATGTTAAAATCGTCAAGAAAAATGCTGTAGAAATAAACAAATTGGCTACTATATGTACACGTAAGCGTTTAGATAATATATGCAAAAATAACTGCGGATTTAAATATTAAGATTTATTAATTTTTAAAGAATGAGATATGTCATGCTTTATCTTTGTTAGAGACAATAGACCTAATCCTAATCTACATATATTGATGCTTTTGTTGCTTATTGCTACATATATTGATGCTTATAAACTGTTTTGTATTTAGGTGGCAGACAATCTGCTGACATTGTATCATGGTTAGAAAAGAAAACTGGACCACCAGCCAAGAGTTTGGAAAGCAGTGAAGATGTAAAGAAATTCATTGACGATAAGGAAGTTGCTGTTGTTGGTTTCTTTGCTGACCTGGAGTCTGCTAAGGCTAAAGCTTATACTGGAGCTGCTGATAGCATTGATGATGTTGAGTTTGGAATTGTATCCAGTGCTGACATTGCCAAAGAATATAATGTTGATGGAAATGGTATTATTCTCTTCAAGAAGGTAGATAGATTATCTATATTCTCATTATTCTGCCCTAACTTTAGACATTATTGTTGCTTTTAGTTGACCCCTAACCAATATATAATATTTAGACATGCAATATTCTCAAATTGTATTGATGTTTAGAATTGTTCTTTAAAATAAAATTTCCCCAGAAATTCTTGCCAGCATAATTCTTAAAATACTACATTGTTGTTATAGTTTGATGAGGGTCGTGCTGTTTTCAGTGGAGAATATGAATCTGATGCAATTGCATCCTTTGTCAATGCCAACAAAATGCCACTGGTTATGGAATTCACTGATGAAAGTGCTCCTAAGATCTTCGGAGGTGATATCAAAGTACATATCCTCTTATTTATCAAAAAGAGCGCTGATACCTTTAATGATATCCTGGGATATTTTAATGATGTTGCAAAAGACTTCAAAGGCAAAATGCTATTTGTTTACATTGATGTTGATGTTGAAGACAACAGCAGAGTATCAGAATTCTTTGGACTTACAAAAGACGATGTTCCAACTGTTCGCATTATCAACATGACTGAACAAGATATGGCTAAATTTAAACCAGACTTTGAAACCTTTAGTGCTGATGCTCTAAGGAAGTTTGCCCAAGATTTTGTCGATGGTAGCCTTAAGGTAAAAACTGATGCTTTGTTTTATTTTGGAGGACAGTAGATTTGTCCTATTTTGCTGTTTAATTGTTCAGTCATTTCTATATTTCTCACTGTATCTACATGTGTTTAATCTTCTTATCTGCATGTTGTTAGTTACATTTATACCAAGTTATCTTCTCTGTTCAACAGCCACACAGAATGTCAGAAGACATCCCAGATGATTGGGACAAAGAACCTGTCAAGGTTCTCGTTGGAAAGAACTTCCACGAAATTGCTTTAGACAAATCAAAGAATGTTTTTGTTGAATTCTGTAAGTGTTGGTTATTACTTATATGAATTCTTTAATTATTTTATTTGCCAAGTTATTATAAAATAAGAATAATCAAGAATTTCTTGCATTGTGTGTTAGATGCCCCATGGTGTGGACATTGTAAACAACTTGCTCCAATCTGGGATAAACTGGCAGAGAAATACAAAGATGATGAAAGTATTGTAATTGCTAAGATGGATTCCACCAAAAATGAAATTGAAGAAGTTCGTGTTGATAGTTTTCCAACTCTCAAATGGTTCCCTAAAGATTCTGATGAGGTAATGCATGTTTCGTTTCTGGTATTTGGCGCAAATATAGAGCAACCAAAGCCTGATGAAATGTGAAACCTTTTGCATAATTGGATCATGCATGGCTGAAGAGTTTTCAAAGAGGAAACAATCTAATTTGGTTGTTTGTTTTAGATTGTTGATTATACTGGCGGAAGAACGCTTGATGATCTGACAAAATTTGTTGAATCTGGTGGTAAAGATATGCCAGCAGAGTCAGAGGAACCTGCCCCTGAAGAAGAAGAAGGAGAAGGGGAGGGTGTAGAAGAAACAGATGAGGCAGATGCTGAAGATGGGGAGGAAGTTAAACCTAAAGAGGAACTATAAAGGACAACACCAATAATACGTAATGTTGCCCTTCCTAATTTGGCAAACATCAACCAATGGACGGCTGTAATTTTGGTCGCATGAATGTTATACGTATTACCTTTATAAATTATTTTAGATTCATTATTCTCTTAGGTATTTGTTCTGATGCTCTTGTGTTATGCAGTAAAAGATTTTTTCAGAAAGCTACCTGTTTTTATTGTGCTCTTGTGCATGTTATCTGGGATATATGGCCCTTCCCACATTATTAATATGCTTTTATTTTAAACTTCAAAAAATAAAGAAAAATTCCCCCCCTTTACTCGAGGAGTGTAGAAGTCTGTTTGAATAGAATGAAATGAAGTATTCGAGATATACCGCTGTTATATTGTATTGCACATTCAAATTATAAACGAAAGTGGCGTAAATTTTTAAAGTGAACTTTGTTTTTTAAAAATTAATAAAAGAGAAGTTCTTTCATTCATTCATTACTAGGTCTTATCAAATGGCTTATTTGAGAATTCGGGTAAGCTTTTGAATTGTTTTAGTTAGCATTTTAAGTAAAAATGTAGATATTTAATCATGGTTTAGTATAGGTAGATTTCTGTAAAGATAGGAACCTTTCACTGAGCTTATTAGCGAGAAAACGGGCACACAATGATATCCAAAGTATCTTTGCATTACTCTGTCTGCAATTGTATGTCTTATGTTTGCCAAAAACTTAGCATGTATGTATACTACCAAATGTGGTATAACAACTGCCTAAAATAGACAGCATTTCTCGACATTTGGACCTGAGAGTCTTCGTCAGGAGAGTTAGCATGATACTGACTCTCCTGACGGAGGTCCTCAGGTCAAAACGTCTATTTTAAGCAGTTGTTATACCACATTTGATGCTTAGTTGTTTAAAGATGCTGCCACGCTGCTCCCTGGTTATATTGGAACTTGTATACTACCAAGGTTTTATAATAATGAGCTGTCATCTTATGACAGGTGTTGTCCTGCTATAGAGCATTGACCAGAACATGTCAAGAGGTTTTTAAAGATGACATGACAATGCTTGAAGCAGCTAAGAGGAAAATCAAGAATGATTTTACACAAAATAAAACAGAAAGTAACCCAGAAAGGATTGAGGAACTGTTAAAAACCGGTGAACAGGCCGAGGAGGTGTTGAGGCGTCTCATCGTTCAAGGTGTTCGTAAAAATGATGGAACGTACAAGCTGAACTTTAGAAAAGACACTGTTATAGAGGATAATGCTCCCTTACCAAATCAATGATTTTATCTTCACTATCATGTGTGTCAAGGGGTGGAAACCTCTTATTCATTGCACAGAATAATACCAGCTTTCATTTCAAGCTTTGATAACTTGCACATCACCAGAGACATGTACATAGTATATGCATAATATGCACATGCAAGTATTTGAAAATATGCAAGAATGAGAGGCAAGTTGACTTGAAGCTCAGCACACACTAAAACCTTCTTAGCAAAGTATTAACTGTAGGAATGTGCTTTAGCATGTTGTGAACATTAAGTTCATGCACACATTTAGCTTGGCAGAAAGCTCTATTGTGTGCTGGGTTTTATTATTCTCTGGTATGTCTCTTCCAGATTAATTTATCCAACCACATGTTGATTCATGAAGCATGCAATTATAAATCATGTTTTTGATATTCTGCCTGAAATATTTCAAAAAGAGTTCTCACAGCAGATTGCTTCTGCCCATTGGGCTTAAGTTGTTCAACTAAGTTTAGGTGAAACTAAGTCTTGATTATAAAAGAATGGGAATTCAATATGAATAGATGTCCGGGTCATGCATGTTAAGGTGGTTGACATGATAGAATATTTCTATGTTTGTACTGTGTGCACTCAACAATGACTGATTTGAATACAAAAATAATGAGAAATTTACATCAGGATTATTTCTCAAAAATATTGTTCACAACAATTTCGACAAAATGGAAACCAGGAATAATATGCGACGTTGATTGAAGTGTGAGGCATTTACCACAATAATCACGGTACTTGAATATTAAGTCAACGTATATTGACTTTTTTGTAATGTTTATTTGCAATTCAAATGCTCAGTGAAATTATTCATATCAATAATGATTTATATTTTTACTGTTTTTGAAAGCGTCACGAGCACTATTATAACCAATCATGCTCAATCCAATGGCCTCCCACAACAAGATAAAAAAGTTTTCAGTGAAATCGGTAAGTATACCTTAATACGTAGTTTATATATTTGTTAATACTAGAACTTCGTTTACACTATATCGGAATCACAAGGCGCGACTTAAACAAAGTTTAAGTTATTTACAGTATCTGTAATCTGTTGGTCCCACAACTTGTTTATTTAACTGATCATGTTAAACTAACCATGCCATCATATATTTGGTTAAATATGCCATAATGCGTTTCGCCTGGGGGTAGAACGTGCTCTGACATCGCTAGATTTAGCGGAGGAGGCTATGCTAGATTTGATCGTGATAAATTTCACGCTCGCTATTTTTCTTTTGCCCGGGGTGTCACGGGGTAAAAACATTCTGATACAACTAAGCAATGAGGTAATTTGCTCCGGCAATAACTTGTTCCTGATATCCATACTACAGCGGACGTATCTGTTAAGAACGAAGCAATTTTCATACTGGAATTTATCTCGCTCGAAAGGCAGACTTGATCAAGGGAGCCGGGGAAATTATTTGCATTTAAACGGCATGCTGTCAAAAAATGAAGTCTGCTGGAACCTCGTCTTTCTATTATATATACAATAAATCACCATTTTCTCAATTTCTTTTCTTATTAGTTGATGACAAGATCATGGACAATTTTTATACTCCTGACTTGGGTTCTAATAATTGCTTTCTTTTGGATCATGGCCTCCGTCATTCCTCACAAGTTTCAAAATGGTAAGTAGGATGTAGGAAAACCAATTTTAATAGCCACGTCTAAATTCTAGGCTTTCACTATTCACTAACGTTGCAAAAGTTTCAAACTTATGCCATGAGAACTTTGTATATCACTAAAGGCTTCATACCAGGTAACAGCATCTCTAAACAAACACTTATCTACATAGATCCCCTCCTCGACCATATACCTCATGTGCTATCCTTCGAGGATCCTTCGGAGTTGAATTTCTTTTCCTGTCCGAAGACTTCGAAATTGACAAGGTCTTCAAAACATTACAAAGACGGTTTCCACTCCATGCTCTGGCGATGGGCATCTGGGGATGAGCTAAAATTGAAGTTGGGAGAACGATTGGTAGGTGGGAGTGCTGGTATAGTATTTTGGGTCTACAGAAATGAGTCTTCTCATGGTAACCTTACTGTGTCGTTGAGGGATTCTATGTCACCTAATGGTAATACGATTACAATTGCGTTTAATGTTTCACTGAATTTCACTGGTTGGCGAGCATCTTGGGTCACTTTGCGCGAGACAAATATTTATCTGAAGAAACCAGGTTTTGATGAAATCATCTTTTCATCTCCTGTTGAGAAAATTTCTTCTCAAATGATTTTCATGGATCTCCTATGCTTCATGGATGAAATATCAATGGAATCACGTGACAGGATAATCCCACCAATCAACGGATCCATCTACAAAATAACGGACACATGGCAACAAACTTATAGATGGAGTCTGATCAAGCCACCCGAGGTGAACGGAACTGCTCCATTGTCAGCCAAGGAAAAGCAACAAATGAATGATTTATATTTGATTGAAAAACGTCTCGTAAATTGGTTTGCAAACGAGAGCATCTCTCCGACACAGTTTAGAGGGAACGTGTTAAAACGATGGGAAACTTTGGTTGCTAGAAAATTTCAAAAAGCAAGACTCTATCTGAAACGGCTGAATATTACTGTTAGCCACGACGGCGTAGTTACCGGATCTCCGCTGTTTCAAAGGCGCTCGCAGTTTGGTCATTCCGTCAAGTTCGCCCCAACAGGCGGGAATATTAAGTTAGGCAGTGTGACGTATCTTATTCTGCTACCTCTTACACTGGAGTACTATTTCTCTTCTAAGAAACATACGATTCTTAACACAATCAGGAAAGAGTTAGCGAATATCAACAGCAAGGGTAGAAGAGATTTAGCTGTGAAACGAATAACCAGCCATGACTTCGAGTATTCGCAGTTTCTTCTCTCAGAGCTGGGCAATTTTAAAGCGCCTTTAACGCGACTTCATTTCCGAAACTGCTTGCGTAATCTTAACCAGAGAAAACTGGAGACAATATTCTTGCTATTGAGGTATATCACGGATCAAGGGTGGACGGAAGGGAGCGCAATGGGATCTTTGGATCACGCTATGAACAAAGTAGGAAACGGTTTCATGAATTCGATGTTTCTTCTGAGAAAACAACTTGCTAAAGCAGGGAAACTGGATGAGATTCTCAGAACTATGAGATGGTACAACAACTTCGGTGCAATTTATCAAGAACATTTCGAGTACAGCGGTGCGACCGCTGACAGACTTCGCACGTTTATAGTATATCGATTGGAAATCATCCTCATGAGCCCAGAGCGGACCGTTCATGATGTTAGGGCAAAATTACGTGACATGGCTGCTTATGTTCGCTGGTGTAATAACGCTTTGCTTTCCCACCCCGCATTCCAAGCTATGTTTAAACCTGATCTGTCTTGCTTTCATCATCTGGGTGTTTATGGTTCAGAGTATACCCCTGACGCGTTAATAGAATCCTCAATGATCTGGTATCTTCTCCAGGGTACTTTATTCTCCCTCAACGATAACTCAAAATCCAACCTACGCCAAGGACTGTTGTCGTACGGAAGGATGGCTGTGAAATACTCGTTGCCTAATTCAATATGTGGTCGTTTCCCAAATTATTTTAAAGCTCGATTAATTTTTATGCTTCCAGGTTATGCTTTCTTTGCTATTCGACCTCAATATATAAGCAACACTGGACGGCTAGAGGCTGTCTCTCTGAGCAACGATACTGAGATGATAAGATTGTTTTTACGATTATACGATCCACACAATCCTAAAGTGTTAGATTATTTACGATCAAGCGGATTTTGTGGACAACGTGCCTACTCTGCCTCCATCGGTTCCCTGCAAATTCTTCAAACCATTCACAGACGAGCGAAGAACGCACAAATTCAGCCAGCCGAGCCTGAGAGAGGGCATTGGGTACGAAACTTTGCGGCACTTTCTGTGCATCGTCGTAGCCACTGGGTTGTCACAGTGAAAGGCTTCAGCAGATTCATTTGGGATTTTGAGCAGAGTACCAATCAAAACATTTACGGCCGGTATCAGTCACATGGTGCATTGCAGATATCGAATAGTGAAGAAAGTTTGCAGTCATACGATGTTCAACATGGTTGGGACTGGACACGAATACCAGGAACCACTTCGATAAAGCTAAGTTTGAAGGAACTTGCCGTGTCTGGTAACAGGTTTTATCAACCTTCAAAGCTGGTCGGTGGAGTTGTACTTACAAGCAAGTCTCCAAGTTCGGCAAATGGGGTATTTGGAATGAGATTTCATCAGCCTTTGTATGGTGGGCGTCATACTGGTCATGATGCAAGTGGCCACAAGAATGACGACGGAAAAGAAACGAGGATTACTTGTAGAACTGTAAGTAGACGCAATGTTACAAGTATTTTAGCGCAAAGGAAATGATTAGGTAGGATTTTTAACAACTTTGCCTTCAACAGCCCGTTCTGACATCACTAAAAAAGTTTTTATCAAAGGTTACTTTATTCTGTAGTGTCAAACCACCCTGGAATATGGAACTAATTTACCTTCTGATCTTTTGAATAATCAAATATCTTCTATTTTTACAGGAGGCATGCAAGCAACCCACTAGTAACATGAGCAAGAATGATAATACTTTAAACAAAAGCATCTTCACAAAACAAAGGACTAAATTCAACTTCAGAAAATCGGTATTTTTTTACAATTCTTTGATAGTTTGTCTTGGTAGTAACATCAATGCAGTGAATAGTGAACCACGTCGAACTCAGACCACGCTGTTTCAGGATAAGTACTTATTCAATCGTTCTGTCATCTCCATTAATGGTAAATTTCATTCCCTCGGGAAAGACTTTACACAAGAGCTGAACGGTTCAGCAGCTATATTGGATTCAAACGAGAATGGATACTATATTCCGAAAGATATGTCGGCAAATGTCGGTATTCGTCGACAACACTCGAAAACATCCGATGGTAAAACACGTACCAGTGCTAGGTATGGCACTGTGTGGTTAGACCATGGTGTAAATCCTGTATCAGCGAATTATGAATATGCCATTCTTGTCGCAACAGACCTCGCTAACATAGAAGCTCTGAGAAAGGCTCAAGCCTCTGATTCACCAGTATACAAAGTCCTTCACAAAAGTTCCAGGGCTCATGTGGTTCGTTTTGAAGAGAACACAGCAGTTCCTGGTTTAACGTATGGTTATGTTTTCTATGATCCAAAAAATCTGCAATTGATAGAGGGTCCTGTTGAAAGTGTTAGCGCAGAGTGCGTGGTTATGGCCCAAATTGATGCTCCGAACTTTTCAAATATGAATCTAAGTTTGAGTTCACCTGATTTGAACTACAATACGACGAAGAAACTTCGAGATTCCTCGGATAACGGCATCAATGAATATTTCTATATGAGAAGTCAACCTGTTAATATCACAGTATATCTGACGAGATCAGTTGTTTCACATAGAGTGTTGGTGAATGGAAAAACTTTGCCAGAATCAAGCTTCAATCATTATGTAACTGTGAAACCTGGTGACCTGCAACACCCGACAGTTGGTGGTAGAGAGGTCGTTTTCAAGAATCTAATAAATGGGGAAAGCGTTGAGGTCCATCTCACAGCTGTTGAGAAAGACTATCCTCTGAATTGAAATCTTTAGTCTTTTACAATATAGCTGTAAGGTCTCTTTTATTATCTTGTGATACGAAAAGCCTCTTGCATGAAAGGTCACCTGATGAGGGGGCACTGGGCAGGGCGAGACTTAGGCAAGGTCAAAGTCTCAAAGAGTGTGAATTCACAGCTTGTCCAAGTCTACAAACTTTGTATGTTTTTTTTTACTTTTGTGAGTCTCTGTATGCGAATATTTGAAGATTAAAAGACGAATATCAGCCACTATAATTCACCAGTCATATGTAGGGCTCTGTAATACCAACGTTTGCCTGGGGCGAGTTGCTGTTTGCGGTTGAATTCAATCAAATATTGATCGAATTCGTCAAATATTTGCATGTTTAATACCTGGGGAAATTCTGAACATGCCAAGGTTCAAAGCACCAAGGGTTGACCAAATTGTTATTGGTCTTGGCGTGTGTGCTGCTGTTGGAGGGACTGCTTACTGTCTGCACAAATATATATTAACTCCATCTTTACAAATGGCGGAGACAGCTAACATGGACATGGAATGTCAGTCAGTCGATGTACCGGTAGGTTGGAAATGTTGAAATGCAATGTTGTGTGGTTTACACGCTGCGTTTGTTAAATAAGTTGATTGCCATATCAATTGATAATACTAACGTCTTGCTAATAATGTAGCAAATTATGTGTCATGGTGTGAACATGTTGCGTAAGATTATCTTCGGATAAGTGAAGTGTACACATGATTTGTTGGCTTTCTGATCAGCCAAATACTAATAGTCGTTTAAGTAAAGTTCATGTACAGCAAGATGTTTAGATAAGGTAATTAATTAGAATAATCAATATTGGCCAATGTTGTATCACAACCTTTTTTTCCGTAAGAAACTCGGAGATAAAATATTTCAATTTACTTGGATAGTTTTAGTGTCATGTTTTGAACTAATTCTGACATGACAATATTCAATACTGTCTTGACAACAATTCCAATGGTGTTGTCAAAATACTAGTATACATCCATCTTTACCAGACTGCCGAGTTTCGATATCTTGGAGCAGGTTTGTAGTTTTCAATGCAGTTGAAAACACCACAATCAGAAGTCCAAGATCTTTGAGAAAAAAATGACCCAATCATTCAAGCATGACATAGACCCCTGTAGTTGCTTCTGTATTATGCTCTGTTGTAATAGATTTTAATTGTATGACATGCAATCTTAACTGCAATAAATTTTTTTTGAAACTGCAGGGAATGCCAGGTGCAAGGAGAAGTGTTCATTCTGAGGAACTGATAGAATCGTATGATGGTATAACAATTCATATGAAGCGTATCTAAAGGAGCTGAAATAGCTGGTGAGATGAATTATATAAGTGGAGTAATTTTGCACGTATTTTTTCACAAAGAACTATTGTGATAAATGAAAAGAGCCTTCAATATACTGTGAGTAAATATGCTGTATATTTCTAGGTGACGAGCCTTGCTTGGGTACGCAATCTAATGGTTCGTATTCATGGATCACATACAATGAGGTATTTATTGTTAATAATTAGCTACAGTACATGTCAATGTTTTAAAGGTTTAACCTCCCCTCTTCTTATTTAATTTGGATAGATCTGTAAACCAATTTTGAAAATTGTTGGGGAAGGACATCCCCCTGCTATCTCATCCCAATGGTGGTCAATGCCACTGTCATATTTAACTAAATGCTTCAATTTTTTTGTATACCAGGTTTTAGAGAAAGCAGCAGACCTGGGGTCTGGATTATTAGAACTTGGTTACAAACCTTCTCCAGAGACATTTGTTGGTATTTATGCCACAAACAAAGCTGAGGTAAAGAAGACGTTATTTCGTTGTCAGAATGATTGAGTTTTGATGATCCACACAGGAAACCTGTTAATATGGACCCTGTTTGTATTTTTTAGTGGATCTTGACTGATGTTGCATGTCAGACATATTCAATGGTTTCTGTGCCACTGTATGACAGCCTGGGTGCTGATGCGTGCACCTTTATTGTTAATCATGGTAGGTCATCTTTTATGTTGATTTTAGGTGATTTTTCATGTGGCCAGTTTGGCCTGGTGAAATGAGTCCCTCTTGGAGTGGAAATTATTAAGCTCCCTCTATTTTTCCATGTGGTATATACCTAATAAAACTTGATCTGACTGTCCTCCATTTAACATTCTGCATAATATTGTCTCTTGTGAAAGCAGCCCAGGCTGCCACAGCTGGACAAACTGATTTTGGTTTCTATATTGCCAACTAAATTATATTCTTTCATCTAGCTGATATTTCTGTGATTGTGTGCGACGGAAAAAATGTTGAAAAACTATTGACTAAAGCTGATCAATGTCCGCAGTTGAAACACATAATAACGATTGGGGAATTCAAAGAAGATGATGCACAGAAAGCTGATAATCTTGGGATTACGATGAAATCCTTTGAAGAAGTCCAGGTATTGAGTTCAGCAGTTGACTGCAATGAATTAATCATAAAGACATAAACCATTCAATGTCATAAACTACGTATTTCACTGAATTTTGATATAGGAATTGGGACGAAATAACCGAAAAGAGAAATCAGTAAGTGTTTGCACTAGGATTGAGCCAAGTTTTCATATGTTGTGATTCACAGCGATAATCTACAAACCATCTCAGTCTGTTGTTGATTATATGCCTCAATGACTTAAGGGACAACAAGACATCATTCAAATTACTGATGAATTACAATTATGAAAACCAGGCTTTATTATTGAATGAATTCATTGTGTAGTTGGATGTTATATTCTGGTCTTTTCCTTCAATTTCCAGCCTGGTAAACCAGAGGATGTGTATACTGTTTGTTTCACAAGTGGGACAACAGGTACGGCTTACTAAATAAATTATTTTTGCCATCTCGAGAGTTCAAGAAAATTGTACAAGGTCTGACTTCTTCAGGTTACCAGGGCAAATAATTTTGAAGATATGTTGAGTAATGCCAATGGCAGTAATTTATTTACATGTTTTTAGGTCAACCAAAGGGAGCTATGATTACAAACAAGAACATCATTGCAAACCTTGCTGGATTTCGAGTGCATTATGATAAGGTAAGACTGAAATACAGATTGAGACTGATTATGATTGGGTAAGACTGATGCATATTAAGACTGATTCAGATTAAGATTGATTCAGAAGATTATGATCTGGTAAGCCTAATGTACTGTAGATTAAGACTGATTCAGATTATGATTGGGTAAGACTGATTCAGATTAAGATTGATTCAGATTATGATCTATTAAGACTAATTTAGATTATGATTGGATTATGATCTGGTAAGACTGATTCAGCAAGATTCACACTCAAACGAAATTAGCTAATAATGTGTAGTTCAGAACTGGATGAAGTTAAATCATGTCCGGATGTCTGAGATATAACCAGCCGTTGATTCGTGCACAACAATAATACCGATATTGGATGATATAAACAAACATTTTCTTCATTTTAGAATGGCTTCGAGCTGGGTCCAGGTTTTTGCCATATCTCATATTTACCTCTTCCACACATGTACGAAAGAATAATCCAGGTAATACGGATGTGATATATCCTACATACGTGTAACGTTGGACAACGTTGAAACATTGGTTCCATTCAAATTTTATTTCTGTTGTACTTAATAGAGTTTTCATATCATTTTCATATAACGATGTAGCTAGTTCTTCGTAGTGGTGGCGCTCGAACTGGATTTTTCCGAGGAGAAATCCCGTTATTGTTGGAAGATATTAAGATATTGAGGTGAGTGCTCGCCGGGTTGGAAATTTACACCATGAAGCAAGTAACTTAGCATCAAATGTGGTATAACAACTGCCTAAAATAGACAAAACACTTCTCTACGTTTCGACCTGAGGGCCTTCGTCAGGAGAGTTAGTGTGATTAAGTAGGCAAACAATGATAGTGAAAAAAAAATGATAAATCTTACGGTAGCTGAGCATCTGAGCTAACATCACTGTATCTTACAAAGCATGCGCGTTATATGAAGTTTGTAGCAGCAAATCTTGCTATGTGACAATCAGACAATGTGTGTATTTCTTTCTCTTTCTAGACCTTCGCTGTTTCCATCAGTTCCCCGCTTGTTAAATCGTCTTTATGATAAAGTTGGTTGAATTGTTTGCTTTTTTGTACGTTGTTTCAATTTGAACTCAGACTGTGTAAAGTTCTTTATTTTTTACGGTTATCTTGACCTCAAATTTTCATACTTTTTCTTTCTGTAATTGTGAACAGGTCACCGCCGGTGTTGAAGCAAGTGGAGGGATTAAGAAATGGTTATTTTACAAAGGTTTTTCCTCGAAATTGGCCGACTTAGAGAAGTAAGCACCAAGTGTATGAATTCATCTCTTGTGAGTTGTGTCTACTACACATTTAACCAATCATACTCAATTCATTCGTCCATACTCCATATGTAATTGTCTCTTTCAGAGGACAAATCTACAACAACGGCTTTTGGGACAAACTTGTATTTAGAAAAGTCCAGGTATTTTTGTAGTTAACTACATGAACACTTGAAAGAATTGTCCAAGAAATATCATTCCTTTTTCTATTTAGCTATATAATATAGCTATATATTGTTTTCTACAAATTGATGAAAATTAGAAATCTACAAATTGGTTTAGATAAGAGAAGTAGCTTCTTTTAACTAAAAATTCGTTTCAATTGTTTTCAAAGGCGACCTTGGGAGGAAATATCCAACAAATCGGCACTGGAGCCGCTCCAATCGAGGCGAAAGTTTTAACATTTCTGAAAGTTGTATTCGGGTGTTGGGTGAGAAATCTTCGTCTCTTTCATTACTATATTTTATATACGTGTCATATAAACCACAAAATATTTTTATGCGTATCGTTTCTGCTTAGGTTGCCGAGGGTTATGGGCAAACTGAGGCCACGACTGCTGTATCGATCACTAATAAATTAGACATGTCTTCAGGTACTGACTGGATCATCTCTTAAAACACAGTTTTTTTTACCGCGAAGGGATAATTTTGTGCCGTAGTAAATAATGCGTATGGATCAAGACTCAAGACTAAGAAAATATCACATCTGTGTTTCATGTTATATTACGATAATCGTTCTATTGATTATATTTAATATTTTATCCATTCCTCGTCATCAAGGTCATGTTGGTGCGCCGATTGTATGTAATTACATCAAGCTTGTCGATGTTCCAGAAATGGAGTATTTTACCTCGAAGAATCAGGGAGAAGTAAATATTTTTATCCAAATTAAGAGTAGCCTGCATGCATTGAAGACGTGTTTCTTTTTCATTTGAGAAGTGTTCCATTACAGAGTGTCCATATTAGAGAGTTGTCTCTATTAGAGAAGTAACCGTAATGTTTTGTTTTGTTTTACAGGTGTGTATTTATGGTCCAAACGTGTTCAAAGGATACCTGAAAGAACCTGGGAAAACAGCTGAAGTGATCGATGAAGATGGTTGGCTTCACACCGGGGATGTTGGAGAATGGAAGCCAGTGAGTTTTAACTTTTCAGGTCTTGCCTCCCGGGCATAGTGCGATATTTGGGATAAGGAATGCTACAAACATCCATCCAGTTTAACGTTTATAGCGCGAAATTTGGGATAAGTTCTGCTACAAACACCGAGAGCACAGCTCGTGGCTGCATTCTCCATCCAGTTTAACATGATGCATTATTTAAATTCAGAACGGCACATTGAAAATTATTGGAAGAAAAAAGTGTATTTTCAAGCTCTCCCAGGTATGTTATGAGATATGCGTGTGTATTTACACAAGCACTATGATTATTCACCCTTACTTTTGCTTTTTTCACACAGGGTGAATATATTGCTCCTGATAAGATTGAAAATATTTATATCAAAAGTCCTTTCGTAGCTCAAGCCTTTGTTCATGGTCACAGTCTTAAGGTAGGCTTGCTTGTCTCTTCATTGACGTAGTCCCAGATTGTGTAGATACAATTTAACTTTATCAGTCCAAATTCCAAACAGAGTGCCATATCTTCCACGTCTATATTCTTGTTAAGTCTTGCACTGTTGGTATTATTGTACCAGACGAAGAAATTCTTATGAAATGGGCTTCAGAAAATGGCTTGTCAAAATCCTTCAAAGAATTGTGTGCAAGCGAGGTATGTATTTTCCTGCAAACATTACAGTGGTAAATTAAGCCGCCCGTCTTCCTGATTCGATAGATCACAGGGAATCCGAAATTCCAAGATATCAAATATAGTAAATGGTAGATATAATAACAATATTTCACCGTTAAATTTCTTATGTTAATACGCCAACAGGATGTTAAGAACATGATTCTGAAAGATATTATCGCAAAAGGCAAAGAAGCGAAGTTAGCATCGTTTGAACAGGTTTGTGAAGAACTCCTAATTTGAGATTTCGTTATTGACAAATATGATTAACGTTAATTTCAGTTTAAATTATTAATACATTACATTGCTCGTCTTTTTTCTATAACCGTGATTTTATTGTACAATATTTGAGAACACACTTGTTTTAATTGCAGGTCAAAGCCATTCTCCTGCTTTCAGAATTATTCAGCATCGAGAACGGCCTGCTGACGCCAACTCTCAAGTCAAAACGTTTCACAATGCAGAAGAGATTTGCTGAAGAGATCGACAAGTTGTATGAAGATGTTGAAAGAATAGCGCAACCAAAACTCTGAATACAAAAGCACAGTACATTCTTACAATTTTTATTATATTCATGATTTATTTGAGGGCTTTTCTTAGAAAATTCTATTAATTTCATTAAATTCTATTAATTGATTGTTAGAATGAGATTGATTAAACCACTTGGAATATCATTGCGATGAGAGTCAGAAGAGTCAGCGGCTAGTTGACTATAGTTAAGATTGTCTAGTTTCTTGCTGTTTGTTTTGTTCATATAATTTTCAATAATTGAATAAAGACAGACTTGGTAAACTAAGGTGCCTTACCTGCTACCCCTCGCCTGCCCTTGATTGCTTCCGGTGCCTCTGAGTAATTTCTGGCAGATTAACACATAGCAGCTAGGCTGGCTAGTGACAGCAGGAAGAGTAAGTTTATCCTTATATTCTATCAAGTATACAATGATGTAATGATGAGTTTTATTGCGGGAAAAAATTAAACTACAAAGTCTACTCATATATACTTAATTTGCATGTAAACGTATTTGGATTTTTAAAATATCATATGCACACTCCTCATGTCTGGTCGCCATGTTGGATATTGTGGCCGCGTATGAGTTGGACGCCTGGTGACGAGGTGCTCTGGCATATCTGAAATCTAACCTTCACCAGTAACCACCATTGATGGTAACCACCTGTTTGAAACCACATAACCAGTCTCCATTTCGTCTTTTGCTTTAATTTAACTTGTGTTTAACATCGAAACGATTCTTCTCGAAATGTGGAACACCCCGGACGAGTGTACCGGAGTTGTACAAGTGTTACAGGAATATGACAGACTCACTCTACCTGAACAGGAGGAACGTTCTATTGTTGGTCGCCTAAACTTTGACCAAACACCAACTTCTAGTTTTGCTTCGAGCTTCAGGACGCAGGCAAGCAACAAGACGACCAGTTCGCTTGCTAAAAGAAGTTCTGAAGATCGCGAGAAAGATGTAGCTCTGTTGTATGCAAAAGGAAAGATATCACAGCTAGAAAATGAATCTAAACTCTTGATGACTGAGCGAAAACGAGCGAGAATTGAATACGATAAAGAGAGTGAAATACATCAAGGTTAATACTTTGTTATTTGTTGTTCTTCTTGTGAACAAATGCAGATGTAAAGCTCAGTTATTAGTAAACGTAAGTCATTGCTGAGCTAATGACAAATTTGACTGTTGCATTATTGTACGTGGGATGTTCCCAATGCTTGTTGCAAATTTGAGAGGTTGGTTTAATAGTAAAAAAGACTATTATTAAATGATCTTCTTTTCAAGGATGGAAAAGTATTGGGGGCTGCACATTTGTGCAGATATACTAGTTTTGAGTAAAGAGGGTGCATGAAGACCAAAAATATTGAATATTAGTTTATATATTTTTTTCAATTTGTACCCTCCACATAATCCTCCTGGGCCATGCTCCAAGCCTGTGACCAGACCTTCACTTGCATATAGAGTAATTCATATATGGGTCATCTGCAATACCAAGAATGCTTTCTTAAAACTCACTCTAAATTAACCTAAACACCTTTCATTTCAACATCTTTTGTTCATTGTCTCTTGTTTGTTGTCTAAATGCTCAGATAACATCCAGAAACAAACCCTAGAAAGTATAAACAAATTAAATTTCAAAAAAGCATAAATTCCTTATGTCTTTTCATTTCATTTAATGCCAGCAAACCTAAGAAGAGAGATTGAAAAGAACTCAGAATTACAACAACAGTTAAAATATGTTGTTGATGAAGAGAAAAATGTCAGGGAAGAATTGAGAAGAACGAGGAAGGAATTTGATGAATATAAGAAGAAATCAGAAGAAAGAATTCATGGATTGCAACAACAAAAGATGAAAATGAACTCGGAAATGGAAGGGGTATGATTTTTGTAGATTCGGTTTAACAGTAAACCTCATGGTGGTAGAATATATATGTCAATAATGTCATGCTGTTCATCTTATTTTGTTTAGTGTAAAGAAAGTTCTTGGAGACAACTAGCTGAGACAAGAGAACAATTGAAAAGGTTCTTTAATTTTCTACAAGTCCTCCTTGTTAATGCCAAATATTGTATTAAGCAGTGTTTCAAATGCAAATAGCTATATTACTAACACTTACATGATGAAGGATATTACTCTGACTTTTTTTCAGACAAGAAACTGAGAATGTAATTACTCAGAACAAACTTGAGTATAGTGAAAATAAACTGGACTACTACAAGAAGTTAGTATATTTAATTCGCTCTCCTCATAAGAACATTTTAAACAGAAAGCATTTCAAAGCTGGTCATTTTTTTAAAAAAAATCATTTACCTGTAAGTTAATGTATTATTTTCTAGGCTCTATTCAGAAGTGAGTAAGCATGTCGAAGAACTTCAACAGTCTCATACAAAATGTGAAGGAGCTGAACACAGAGTTAAGGTAATTAAATGGCTGTATTTACATCATTCAGAGTATCTTTCATCAAGATATTGTATACTAATGAAATTCCTACATAAAATTACTGGAATGAGTAATGACTTGTATTAATTGTTTTATAGGAATTGGAGGAAAAGCTTGCTCGATGTGAAGAGGCTGCAGAGGTTGCTATGACAATGCAGAGTCAAATCTCCAAATATTACAAAATTGAATGTGAAAACTCAAAACTAAAGGAAGAAAATGCTTATTTAAAGTAAGATTTCTTACCTCACAAACTATGATAAATATTATCTGCAGTGCCAATATCCTCGTATAGCAATATTTAGTACACCTGAGTCAAATTCACCAAAGAACTATATTGCATTCTGAAATATCACATATTTAAGCTGTCTTGACCTAGTAGCTTAGTTGATAGAACATTGGACTAGCAAACTAAAGGTTATGGTTTGATTCCAAACATGGTTGTTCTAATTTTTCGATTTCCCCTGTTGGTAACTCCTAGTATCCCATCACAATGTCAGTTAATGTACCTGAGTCATATGCACTATCACGAACTTCATATTTGGTGACCACGAAGTGTCAATTAATTTGTCAAATCAGGGCTACAAACAAGAGCAATTTGTTACTCAAAGAAAAACTGTATGGTTGTGAAAATAAGTTAAAACGAGCTGAAGAAAAACTCAAAAATCTTTCTCAAGTTGAAGTTGAATGTGAAGTAAGTAGATGTTTATTTTTATTGATCTCTTGAATAAAAGCATATTACTGTGGGATTAATGTAGGATGTAAACTTGTATTAACAACTAGGATATTTGAATCTTGTGAATGTAGAAAACGTACTGCCAAATAAGATATTACTTGTTTGCAATGAACATTAAGAATTTTGTACCTTAAAATGCAAGAAATTGTATATCGTTCACTGACTACAGAGATAGAATATTGTCACTTATTATTGTGTGTGTCCTGTATCTAGAGACAACGAGCTTTTATGAGGAAATGGGAAGTTGAAGGAGTTGATACCACAATAGGGTAAGCATTGCTTTGTTTTCAATTGTTAGGTCCAATTTTTTTACATTCTCTCATTCATTGTACTGTATGTTATGCAGATCTCCTGATGAATTACTGCAAGAAATCTCTAGACTTCAGAAAGCTCAGGTCGTGTTATTGCAAAAGCATGGACAAGCATCAACAAGGTATACAAGTAATAGGTTGGTCGTAATCTAGCGTCCCAATAATGCCCTCGCATAACAAACTCTATCTGAAAAGGTATCGTCTGTTCAAGCTGACGTGCCCTATTTCGTCTACCATAGTGCTCGAATAAGTTCAGAAGGACTACGACTGCAATCTCAAGAACTTCTGGATTTGAAATTGAGGCTCTCTGATATAGAAGTATGTCATCTCATTTATTTCTCCATTTTTTCAATAATTGCAATTTATTGCTCTTTTAATTTTTTCAATAACACATAACAGTAAAGGATTGTTTTTCATCCTAGGAAAAATATAAGGAAAAGAACGAGCAGATGAAAAGATTGAATAAACTTTTATCTCTTGTCACCACAGTAAGTTAGGAAGCTTCGTGGTCATGGAACTGTTACTCTGATTGTAGAAAGGATTTCGCCCATGTCTAATTTTGTTACATCTAATTATCTGTTACATCTGCAAAATTGGATCTTGTAAACAGACTTGCACAGTGCTCTTCATTTCTCTTGTTTTTATTTTCAGGAAAGAAATGGATGTAGACGATTATTAAGTTCGTACGACAGTGGAGATTCTACAAATTATGCAACACAACTTACAAGTCGCGTACAGCATGTGAGTTTAGCGTTTCTTACAGTAGACTGACTGCACTGCATGGGAGTATTGATTTTGTTTTCTTTGACTAACAGGCCGAGGAACAGCTGCAAGCTTGTAATAGTCACATTGAGAAATTGGAGGTATTTCATTTATGATATTCATTCTACAAAACATAAACACTTCGTCATTTCATAACATCAATTGCTTAGAATGATCTGAAGATGTCCATTGAGAGAAATAGCGAAGAGACTATAAAATACAACAAGGTACGTGCATGGTTTCCTGCAAACAGACTCTTCAAACTTCTTTCATTTCCACATACTCTTAATCTGCAATAGTTAATCCGCATTGATATTCTATTTTATTGTAGTTAAAGATTGAATACGATGTTCTTATGAAGCAAAGTGATGTTGTTAAGGGCCGTCCATCTAACCTGGAACAGGAGAAGTTGCAGTACGTTTTTAAAACATTTTATATGCATGTTTGTCATTAAACTGGCTACGAGATTGAGAAAAGTTAAGTAGTAATATTATAATAATCTGAATTACGGGTTGTCAATATGATAAAAGGATTATTTTTATTTTCGTATACACATGCACAAATCATGTGTTCATTGCTGAAGTTATACACATATTGTAATTCACGTTCCTATAATCACATGAGAGGTTTCATTTTCATTTTGACTGATGTACAGTATATACTGTACGTCCCATGTTGAGAACCAACAATATAGATTATATTGATCATCAATTTCGTAGAATACAAGGGGAATCTTAATTCTTGACAAGGCAAGACTTGTTCATTTTAAGTCATTGAGTTTATATGCTGATTTTTTTACAGAGAAGTAATTGAAAAGCTTCAGTTGGAAAACAAAGAACTTTTGGAGAAATTGGAAATACTTCAGACGAGAATTGAACAACGAAATCTACAGGTAGAAATTATGCACTAAAATCTGATATTTTATGAAAAAAGGTCTCTGTAAATAGTACAATGTGTCTGTCACAGTTGGTCGGTTTCATCTTAAACTTCAACATCTGAAAGCATGTCATGCATTCCGTTTAAGGGTGATTTTGATCCAAGCAAGGTAAAGGTGGTGCATTTCTCTCAAAATCCGTTTACACATGCGCGTCAATTGAGAACTGTCGAGGTTCAACATCTACGAGATGAATGCGAAAAATTGAGAAAAAAAGTTAAAGCTTTAGAAGAAGATGACAAATTAAAACCATCAAAGGTTGAGCAGATTGTCATCGATGAATCAAGTCCCAGTGAAGTCAGAGGTGAGGCTGCATGGCGGAACTGAATTAGCACATCGCTTGTTGTAGCTTGCAGCTTGTCTTATGGCTTTCTGAATGGAATGTCTACTTTCTGTATTAAGTCATTTCGAATTGTAGCAAGAACTAGCATGGTTTTACTTGGTTTAGACTTTTGTCTTCATTATATTTAGACTTACAAGCTCAGGTGTCTAGCGCTGAAAGAAAGAACAAAAGATTGAAGGAGGTTTTTGCCCAGAAAATTCAGGAATTCAGAGAAGCTTGTTATTCGATGACTGGTTATCGTGTTGATGTCGTTCAGGATCAGCAATACAAGTTGCAATCGATGTATGCAGAACGATCTTCAGATCATCTTTTGTTCCAGGTAACTATATTGATTTTTGTTTAAATTTTGATTTCGGCCACGTTCAAATGCATGCATGCAATCGGACTAACCAATCTTTAGTTGGAAAACCTTAGTTCACTCTACTTTCTTCTCCATCTCTTTCAGTGCAATGCTAATGGGAAAACAATGTTACTAGAAACTGATTTCTCTCTTCGAGTTAAGAATCTTATTGACCAATATCTAATGCAGTGTAATTCAATACCAGCATTCCTAAGCAGCGTTACATTAGAACTCTTTGAAAGACAAACACAAATGATGAATTAACATAATCAGAAACGCTTATGTGAGGATAATCTCGTTTTGGTGGGCTTTTTATCGCGACTCGTGGCCTATTAACGAAAACTCTGTTTTGATGTGATATGACATGATAAGTGTCCAGACAAACCAAACCCTGGATCAGATTCCATATCTCAGTAGACCGTGAGAGGTCGTCCCTGCTGATCAAGGATGGTGTAACTACCAGAGGTTTTTCTACCGCGATTAAAGTTAAACTCCCTTGTTGAATTACCTTATTAAATGTCCTGTAATATATGTATTTAGGACGCAGTATAACGTGAGAAAGTCGAACGTATTCATGCTGGAGTGCTAGGCGGTTGATATCCCGCCATTCTATACATTCGTTGTTTTTTCGGATTCGTTTGATGTTCGAGTTATCTGATAAAAGGTGTTTCTCTCCTTTCTCAGAAAATCCAGTGATTCCTTACTATCACTTTCTGTATCTTTGTGTAGTTCACAATTCTCTTCATCATCATAGCTTGAAGAAGATTCAGCATAATTTACTGACTTGCAAGTTTTTTCCCCAAAACAAAACCAGACACAATCTAGTGGTGTCCCTAACTTAAATATGCAAACAGCCTACTGGGGGATATTCACTTACGTGAGTTTTATTTGTGTTATGCTTTGTGAAAACAAAATGATATGAGTCATACAGGTATCACTCCTATGAGTGATATGTCAATCACGTCTTATCGGAAAAATGACGAAGGAACTTTTATTCTTCGGAGTGGAAGCACAGGTATGAAATGTTCTGTAATGGTAAAAATTTTGGTACAACTGGTTTGAAATGTTTGGAGAGAGGGCATTGGAACTTGTTAAGGAACTAAAGCGATCTGTTGATGGTTCTCTTCCTCCTTACAATGAGGATGGTGTGAGAAAGGTCTTAGACGAAATGGGTGGGTTGTTTGAACAGAACCAAAAGGATGTTAATGCCACAGTTGCTGGCGAGGGTGGTCATGTTAAGAGCATACACATGCGACATGTAAGCCTGGAACGAAATAAACGATGTCTTTTAGCCTACGTTTACAACAGAATGGAAAAAATACGTGATATGCGATGGGATTTTGGCAGCGTCTTGCCAGATGATGTTAAGAATAGTTTAAATGAAGAGGAACTGAACTGGTTTGGGCGATATAATCGAAATTTAGCCAAGTATATGAGGTCTGTTGGTATTGATCTTACTCTGGATAGCAAACCACCAAAGTCTCTGTATATTGAAGTTCGATGCTTGGAAGATTATGGTGAATTAGAGATGGAAGATGGAAGTGTAGTTTTGCTGAAGAAAAACTCTCAGCATTTGCTTCAGAGAGCTGATTGTGAACATTTAATAAGACAAGGAGTATTGGAACATATTATTTGATTATAAAATTAGAGAGGACCTGCTGTGGCCTCGGATGTTGCTGTTGTGACCTCATTGTTGGCTTCAGATGATAAAGTCCTTCCTTATATGTAATAAGCAAAAAAGATTTGTGTGTGATATTGTGATTGAAATTAAAATTGAAATTATGTACAAAATATTGTGTGGGTACGAAAGACATTAAAATACTGTTTTGCTTAATGGAAGTACTGCCAGTAATTATTGTAGAGCTATTGATTGATTGTCATCTCTTTCATACCAGTAATGTATGCAATTTTCATTTATTCTACTCAATCAAAAGCACACTTCACTTTTTAGTATATAATAAACCACCTTCCTTTAAAAACTAGACTGGCTGGAATTTTAAATAAGTAATGTTTTGCAGGATGATTCACAGTTTATAGCTGGGATTTTACCAATGAATGTGATGATATCGGCTGATCGAACTGATCGATAGGTCAGATTGAAGTTCAGCGCCATTGTGGCACATCATGGCGAGTTGCTCGCCTTTTTTGCAGGACCGATTTTAGGACCAATTTTTATTACAATAACCATGAGTATCATCTCAAAACCTATGAATTTAGGACCTCTTGGCGCTCTTCTTCATTTTGGCGAAGTTCCTGACTTTCTACGTCAATTATTAACACAAAAAAACCTGGTTCATGCGTTCGCCGGTGCACTGGTAAGTGAATCCAATGAACTACATTCAAATTTATGTAAAGAAAAGTCTTCTTCAGAGAAAAATTCACTATGGGTATTTTAATAACTATTAACAATTCAGCTGTTATTTAGAAATGTCTTTAAAAGGTTTATTAAAATACCAATGTTTATTGTAAAAAATTGGGCATAAAATGTTTTAATAAATATGTTTACGCAATAGTTTATACCTGTAAGTTGTAAGGCCTTATATTAGTTATATATGGCCTCAGAGGGTATAAAGCCATGCATAGCTAAATGGAAAATCCTTACTAGGACTATCTTCCATCTATTTAACCAGTGCATATGCTAACCAGGGTCAGACATTTTGCTCTCCAAGAGAATGGATTTCCTTGGCGTGTAAATCTGATCACAAATTGTGTAATAAAAACACTCTAAATTTCTTGCCTGCAGAGGCCATGATCCATATTCCTTCTTGTGACAATACATGGCCCAAATTGTGTGATATGAGCAATTTGATAACTATTTTTCCATGTGAGAAACTTGACCATCCCTTGACCTCATCACTTGACCAAGTAACGGATACTACAAAGACTTTTTTTAACTGTAGTATCTCCTTTGAAATTTTTTAGGGTGGTATAACCTCATTGTCTGTTTTCTTTCCCTTGGATACTGCTAGAACACGACTTCAAAGTGAGTCCAATACATAATCTACTTGATCATTGATGATTTTACTCATTAGACAAATATTCATTTGTCTGTGAATGGCTAATTGAGAATAATTTTTATGTGATTTTAGTTGATGATAAGAGAAAGGCCAAGACGACATGGAAAGTCGTATATGAAATTTTTGAAGAGGAGGGTTTGTAAGTCTGAAGAAAAACATTGTTTGCAATAGACAGTTCTGCAATAATTCTTGTGATTAAAGTTCATTGCAAGCTAAACTGTGACAAGACACTTTTCACCGGGGTTCCAGTCTATATAAGCATCAACCTTATACATACACTATACTGTATGTGATAGCCTGATAGGGGTATGTATGTTTCACCTGGAGTCATGATCCCCAAACTAAACAAAAGAGACATTATCCCATTTAACCAAGGCTCACTGTCTGTGGTTAATATCAATTATCACAGAGTGCAATTGTGAATTTTTTTGTTTTTATTTTTATTCAGGTCAGCATTATATCGAGGTTTGCTACCAGTCCTGTCAAGTTTATACTGTTCAAATTTTGTCTACTTTTACACATTTAATGGACTTAAAGCTGCATACATCACTAAGAATTCACCTGAAACAGCCATTGTGGATTTATTGTTTGGATTTCTCGCAGGTAATTCTGCTGCTAATTGACTAATTCATGCATTCTACTGACTTTCTGATCTGTTTCCCCCTGAGAAGTTCAGGTAATCTTTCGTCTTTTTTAGGCATCATAAATGTTCTGATAACAACACCATTATGGGTGGCCAATACAAGAATAAAACTTCAAGGTGTCAACTTAAAATCAGAAGAAATGAATAAGAAAGTTCAATATAAGTACACTGGATTACTAGGTGAGCTAGTCAGTTATTAAAATATACTATCAATAACAAAGAGTGCTATTACTCTGATCTGATCATGAAATTCATTTTCATAAATGAATTTATAATGCAATGTGTCAATATTTCTTTCAATCTTTATCATGCAGTAAGGCTTGTATCAGTTGTATGTGAGAGCACTTTATGGTCAAACTAGCCTTGCATCCAGGTGCTTTAGATACCTAAAGTAGGTAGTACAGACTCAGCTCAGCTGAGTGAGTCAGTGCAGGAGTTATTCACAAGTCCTGGTTAAGAGGCATTTGGTCAAATTCTCATTTTTTTCCTCATGTGAACACCTGAACCTAATAACTTTAATTAAGGGCAGCCTTAACGCATTCAAACTGTCCTGTGTGAATTAAGTAGAGTGAATGTAGTACTTCTTTCCTTTTAGATGCAGTTCAACAGATATTTCGTGAAGAAGGATTCAGAGGTTTATGGAGTGGAACAAGAGCATCGTTAGTGTTAGCTACAAATCCAGCCATTCAATTTACGGTTTATGAAACTGTTAAAAGATATATGCGTGGTACTAACAGAGAGGTACATTATAACCCCTATGCTTCACCATGTAGAATGAGTATAACATATTAATGCATTCTGGTATAAAACATACTGTTACACTGATTTCTTTCTGGACAAATCTTTGTAGAATTTTCATTCAAATTACTTTACTTCTTCTTTCAGCTTCCATCGTGGAAGTATTTTTTAATTGGTGCAATCGCAAAAACTGTATCAACTATACTAACATATCCTTGTCAGATTGCTCAATGCAAACAGCGGGTATTCATGTTATATTTCTGTCATGCATTATATACAGTATGAATCAATGCTTACAAATTACCATGAAGACTGGTTATTCTATGTATTCCATTTAGACTGGCTATTGGAAAGATGAGTCAAAAAGACCAAATTTTATCGTCATTATTGCACAGATTCTAAGGTACACAAGTGGTTTACTTGTGTCCTGCATCACACATTATACTTGTCCAATAACGTAGACTTGACATTTTAGAAACTAATTTTGAAATAATTTGGGTTTTGTTTGAAGACTTGTATCATATTATGTTGTGTTTTCCTAGGCAAGGTGGTGTGAGAAGCCTTTATAAAGGACTGGAGGCGAAGCTCACACAAACTGTGCTGACTGCTGCTTTCATGTTTTTAACATACGAAAAAATACTAGCATTTGCCTTTTCTTTACTTGGTGTGGAGAGACAGATATAGGGGAAATTTATCAAAGCGCATATTCAAGTCAGAAGTGGAATTAGTGATAAAAAATATTACATTTTTATAGATTTTGTTGTATTCTTCACTTGTACTTAATTCAGGCTGACTTTCATGTTCAGTAAAAACAAATTTGTTCTTGGGCAATGAAAAGCACCCAACTAACAATAGATTACATTTCCAAACTATTGTTTTGTGAGCACTCAAAAAAATCTGGGAAATGTCCATAGGTTGGGATTAGGAGTAGATTCAGGATTAAGGCTAACCATAACCAACCATAAACCTAATCTAATTCAAACGTTAATCCAAACCTAATCTAATGCAAACCTAATCTTAGTGATTAAATTCGTGTATTTAGCAAGATCAAGAGCAGGATCCGAAAGCCCGCGGGATTTTAAATACTAAATCAGGGGGGGTTAACTTCAAAATTCTAATCCACGCTGCATGAATAAAAACAATGGCGCACGTTCCCTCGTAAAACTGAGCAATTCCTTGTGATTTCTTTTACGTGCTGTTCACAATATCGTACGGAAAATTGCATTTAGACTATCTAAAATGTCGGACAAAGGAGAAGCGGTCAATATGGCTGCGAGAAATCTAAAATTTGAACAGTTGCGGAGTGACCATGAGACATTTTTACGTACCTTTGAAAGTGAGTATATTAAATTTCTTATTTCAATAAATATTTCACGCACCTTAGCTTTTTGTCGAAAGTATTGTGGTCTCCTTTTAAAACTTATTTTTGTTCCTTTTCAAGAGCCTACACAGATATACCGGTTTTTGAGAACACGAAATATCATAACAGTAAGTTTGAAAATTATGGTAATATTTCAGTAATTTCACAAGCAAACTTGTCTTAGTTGTCTAGAGTTAATGTGATACCAAATCTGCTTTTGCCAAGTATTAAGTTATATTAGTATCATAGGCTAATAAGATTGTAAGTTAAAACCATTTAGGGAAGTTTATTATAAAAACACTGAACCTTTAAAACCATATACTACAAAATTTGCTATAATCAGTATAATGTGTACATTAAATAAATGTTTTCCAAAATTTGTGTTGATGCATGTTGTGTAATACAATAGCATTCTTTGTGTATAACGCCATTGTTTCAAAGTACTAGTGGCAGTCTAGGGTATACAGGGTGTCCTAAAAAAATGCAATTGGCAATTCAAATTTTGGGTTTTGAAGTAGGTTACACAAAATGTTCTTCTATGGCACATCTTAAAATCACCGGTTGTTCTTGTAAATAGATTTCTTGCCCTAAATGCTTAAAAAATCTATTGTTGAAAAGACAAATGAGCAGGCTTTAAAATAAGGTAATTCTTGTTAATTGGCCAAGGTTTTCATTTAGCAATTTGGCTTGAAAGGTTAATTGCAATTTTTTGGAACACCCTGTGTATCCCGCCACAGGGCTATATAATTATTTAGACCTAATTGGAATGGTGAATGTTATTTTCTGTTTGTAGCCAATATTCTTACATAGAAATCTCTTGTACATGAGACACCGCAGAACAAAAAATACTACCAAAGAACAGAGGTAAGCCTATTGTGCAGTATTTTACTCTAATGACAACATGCATAAAGTTGGCCTGTTCAATTTCCTTAGAACAAAATCTATTCTTTTTAGTGGGAAATTTAAAGTTGATGACTTGTTAGAAAAATGTGAACAAGGAAATACTGGGGATTCTCAACTGAGGTAGTGATAATAATGTAAATTCACTGAATTGTAGAGCTAGCAGATAGTGCCAATGAATGTAATAATTGCATTGAAATTTATTCATAGATCTTTACTCGATGCGAATGTGATGCATTCAATGTGCAATTCCTGTAGCTATTATTCAACTAATTTGTATAATTTTCAGTTCAGAGAAGAATGGATACTTGAACTTGACTTTTAAAGGTTTCTTTCGAGGACCAGGTATACCAAAGCTATAATTTTCCATTTGGTTTAGTACTAATACAAATATACATTTATTCATTTGGTATTAGAAAATAAGTGATGGTAATTATTTATCCTCTTGACTTTATTTACTGTCTAAACTATGCAGACCCTCTGTCTTTCCACTTTATCTTTCATCATTTGTCTGTGTATTTGTGTTTAGTACATGGAGAGCTTCCAACACCTTCAAGTGAAAATCTTGCAGATCAAAATCTTGTTCCTGCTGAAGTATTCATTGTCAAAGTTTGTCACAAAAGAAGAAAGGTTTGTGTAATGCTAATCCTTCAGCTAGAAGAAAGCAATATAGATCTGTCTCTTTAATACCTGTTTGCACTGTTGATTGAAATGCTTGATGATGTTTCAAATTTTATACATTGCACTTTAAAAAACTGAATGAATGAAAAACAATATTTAATCAGGGATGTCCAACTCAGCAATAACTGGTTTCAGTGGAGCCCTGGTACAAAATTACAAATACAAAAATGACAAAAATGTATACAAAATTACAAAAGTTAACATGCTATACTACAGTAATATATCCAATGTATCAATGTATGAAAATACTTTATCTAGCTATCTTGCTTTAAGGAATTTCTTAACATCCATTCTAAACTTAGGAAAACTTGTTTCAGTTCTAAGTTTTAATGGCAACAAACTGTTTTGTTGCAAAATCTATTCAGTGTTTTTACATAATTTTTCTTCCATATGTAAAAAATATGAATTTAGCATCGCAAACTTCTGTGTCCTTCTGAGGAAATATTATAAATTTTTCAATGGCCAGTCCTGCCTCCTCCATTGCTTCTTTCACCATTTTCTCATTCATTGGAAAGTTATTAAACATTTCTTCACCTACAAAATAGAACGATCCTTCCAGAACCCCGCCCATATAAAGAACACCATTTGGTTTTAATATTTTTGCGAGTTCCCCCACAGAGCTTTTGTAATGCTCTTCAGAAGACACGCAGGATTCCAGGCACAAGCTTGTTGATACAACATCAAATCCTTCAGCGACATCTTCATCTTCTAGTTCAACTATCGGTGTTTTTGTCACATCACAGGCCACGATGCTTTTAATTTTTCGCTTCAGCTCTTTGGTACGTTTATGAACGGCTTCGATCTTTTCTTCATCCGTCAACGCAACAAAACTTTCCTTCAAACTCTCGTCTGCCTGTTCAAGCTCTTGCACTACGATTTCAATCAATGGTGTCCAGTCATGAGCGTCCGGCTCGCCAGCAATCCACGATCTCACAGCTTGTCTGTTAGGCTCTGTGTACTCGGAGAACACGATGCGATCCACATATGGACAAGCGACGATGAGATGAGCTATCGAAGGACCGCCACCATACTCGAGATATCTAAGTTCGACTGAGTCGTTTGGTCTTTTGTAATTCCGCCAAAATTCGTGAAATGTATCGACAAACAAGAGCATAGACCACTCGTCATTTTCGCAACGTTTATACTCTTTAAAGTACTCTAGGTAGATCTTTGGATCAAAATAGTCATGATAATCTTCTGGGAACCTTAGCTTTGCCATCAGAAATAAACTTGTAGCAGGTAAAGTCTAAGATACTTGCTACCTTTTAAGATTCAAAGCGCCGGTAAAACAAGTCCCGTAAAAAAATATCAGTTTTTTTTAGTGTAACTTATATCTGTGATGTGATGTAACCTTATTGCGTTCGACGAAGGAGAATGCTTCCTAATCGTGACGTCACGGCTGGATGCTATGTCGTTTTAAGATCTTTGTGTGGCATTTGCCTCGCTTTCGTCTTGTAACTCCACTATCTTTAAGTGTTTGGCAATTTCGCTTTTCCGCTGAGGGTGTGTGCAGTCGTTCAAGCATTAAATTTTATACGGCGAACGTGAAACACATACGGCAAAGCTGAATTAGCTGCTTTTCTAAATACATCAGAAATAGCCTATTGCTTTCTTACATTACTGATGAACATCACAAGTTTTATGCAGAACGTTTGTAATTGCCCCACACTTAAAGATAGTGGAGTTAAAACACAAACTTTGTTAGCGGTTTGGCGTTTGCCATAAAGGTCAAGCTAAAGGTCTCTATTTACACCCAGACTGTTGTTTTTTTAGGAAAGCAGTCCACAGATTATCCAAGAACGTGTTGGCCGCTGTCTCGTTCCTCATAATCCCTGCACAGATCAGGAACCAATACTTGAAACATGCAGTGTTTCCATCCCTAGATCTATATTTAACCCTAAAACAAACCGAAATATTCGTTCCTTCATTCTCACCCTGGAAGTCAGTGTCCCTCTTATTGAAACTGGGAAGAAAAAGAAACGGAAGAAAAGCGAACAAAAAACTGAAGTCAAACGTAAGCGTTAGTTCACATCAGTTTTCACTCATCGTTTCACAGACGTATTGATGAGTATGTTCATCTCTATGTAGAAAAATCAGAGCCTTCTGAGCCACCTAGCAAACGTCTCCGAGGTCAGCGGGCATCTTTGAACTCTGAAAATGAACAGCCAGAGAAGCCAGAAGACCTGGACACTAGTCTCCAGACTTGCGGGGCAGTGTCTGATAAGATTATCTACTTCACTGAGTTGATTATCTTTGGTAACGAGCGAGAGTGTTTGTTGGTTGACGGGGAATATGAACTCGTGTTACATGATAAAGGAAATGGGAAACAACGCAAAAGAAAACAGTTGTCATGGGAAATTGATTATAATGGGAAGGTATGTAGTTCACATAATTGCTTGTTTATATACTACTTTATATATAGTGGTCAGAGCACTGGATGAAGTGCCATAAAATCATAAACTGGATTGTTCATATGTTTTTATCAGATAAACGTTATTTTGGTTTTCAAATTTTGTCCTGTTCCTTTGTAGCTAGGACCGTTTGAGCTGTACGCCTTTGGACCAACGTTGAAATTCTTACTTGCTTGGGAAGGAAAACCTTTGTATACAAGACCAAGCAGCCTCCCGTTACGAGAACGTCAGCTTGATTCGAATGCGAATATGGAGTTGACCACAGTTGCCTCCACGGATGAAAATGATAAGGAGAGCAGAAAAAGATTACGAATATTCTACCAATTCATCTACAACAATCATACCAGGCAACAAACTGAGGCACGAGATGATTGCCTTTGTCCCTGGTGTGGTGTAAATTGTGTTCGGTTATACAGTCTTTTGAAACATCTCAAATGCTGTCATGGCAGATTCCTCTTCACTTACGCAGTAAGCATCGTAAATATCCAGTTTTTATTCAATCAAAACTTTTTTGAGACGCGTCTGTTGAAATGTTTGATATTTTCTAGCCTCACAATAAAGGTGCTCGCATTGATGTGTGTTTGAATGAAAGTTATGATGGATCTTATGCTGGTGGCGTGGAGGACCTTAATGAAATGGTTGGCTATGCTTTCAGCCGAGATGGACCCGTTCGGAGGACGCCTTACACTGCTGTTCTCGTATGGAGGTAAGATAGTCGGTGGTCTCTATGTATATCTCTGGAGTCATGAGATGTTCAGCTCTCTATAGAACCTGAGATGCTGTTTGGGTATCCAGTGAGCTCTATATAAAACTCGGAGTAATTTAATCTTGCTTCATTTACAGGCCAAAACGTGGCAAGGAAAGCCTTAATGAGTTTCTAGAACCTGACGAGAGTGACGCTGATGTAGCAAGACCATTCTTCAATGGTCACAATAGGTACGTTTCTGGTTTCCCTGATGCTTCCAGTTTTCTCAACCTTGTTACTAACTCTGGATCTCCCTCATATTCCTAGAGTGTACTTCCATTCCAACACTTGCCTTCCAATGAAACCTGATGACTTAGAGTTTGACAGCGAAGATGAAATAGACCCAGAATGGCTGCGGATTAAAACACAACAGGTAGACACTCTTCTTTCCCCATCATCTAATCCTCGTTCACACCTCAGAGTAGACCCCCTGCCCATCCCTCACTTATAGGCGCGCAGAACACGTGATTCATTTGAGTTCTTTTTACTTCAGATGATAGACGAATTCACAGATGTCAATGACGGCGAGAAAAAGCTGATGAAAATGTGGAATATTCACGTTATGAAACGAGGGTAAGGACATCTCGCGTTTGTTAAGGAGCCTGGGACATTCCGGGATATAACTGTTTAACGTATTGCAAAACGTATCTAGCGTTTCATGATTTTAAAGCTATTAGCTCTGGCAAAGCGCCTGGGAAAGAATGGTATACAATGAGTTACAATGAGGTAAAGTGGGGTTAAAACTCTCTCTCTCTTTTTAGATATATTGCCGACCTGCAGATCCCAGAGGCTTGCAAGACTTTTGTACGTGAGTATGGAGATAAAATCGTGCAGGAAAAACTTTGTAGGAATTTCATTCTTCATCTCGTGAATTTAAATGATTTTAATATCCTAGGTAAGGCACAATTATTACAATCAATAGAACTCTTAGATGAAATACGATATTCGCTAGACTAATCTATTCTAAGGGCATACCAATATAATACTTTTGTACAGTTTTTAACATCGTAGTTTGTAGTGTAGATGCGTGAATTTTTCGGCATTAAATATTGAAAATTTCATCTTCGATTGTTTCGGCTAAGAGTAACGATGATATTTACTTGATGTTAAGACTACAATAAGCAGGAAGCATCAAACAGAAGCAGGCAGCGTCTTTTAGACATTTCATCATACAATGTCATATTAACTGTTATTTTCAACCAAACACCATTCCCTATTGTCGTTGAGTCTAAATCGTCTTGGTTCTCCTCGCGGAAAGTATTTCTGAAGGATGTTCTGATTCTCTGCAAGAAACTGGAACATTTTTCTTAACTTCTCAGCAAAATTTGGAGGCTCGCAATGAGGCGATGTGGAAAAATTCTAAAAGAAAAAATGGAAACTAATTTGTCTTTGCATCTCAGTACGCGAAACATTGCTTATGGGGTGACGCGTGATGACGCGTTCATCAAGAAAGGCTGTTGTTACCTTCAGGATTATTTCATCAGAGAGACTTGCGCGACTCATCGCAATTTCTTTTGGACAGAAAACATCAACTGGTTTGATTTTGACTTCTTGAGTTAATGAACTGTACACTTGGAGGACTTTCTGTAAAGATTAGGAAAATCGGTAGGATGTTCCACCTTACGCTGATGAGGGCTTTTTCCCCGCTTTCGTTTCATGATGGGATGAAGTTAAACCTCTTGCCATAGAAGATAATGACGAAACTCGAGAGTTTTTTTAAATTAGAAACAAACTACGGAGGGGAATACACCCTCAAAAAAGAGTCGCTCATATCTCTTCTTTGTTGTCCAATCCTGACAGACTTGATCATGCAGAGGAATATGATTTGATGAAATGCGAAGGTCTTCTTCATTCAAAGTCACCATTACCTGTTCATAGCTGTGTATAACACAATGTCTCAATATTTCATCTGGTATTTGGCAATCAAACTGCTTCACAGGAACCACCTCACCACTTTGTACCAAAACACCTGCAAATGATGAAAACTCTCAATTTACCAAAACAATGATATAATATATAAGAAATCTTTCAATCTTTCTTAAAAGCTAACAGTTTGAGTTGTACTGACATAGGACTAATTTTAGTTAAAAAACATTAAGACACTTAATTTTCCGTTGAATAATGGGATTTTCATTACAAACCTAGTCCGTAAATTATTGGCACATGTTTCCCATTCATTATTGTATCATTCAAGTCTAGATGAATAAAACTAGTTAGGTAAATAGACAGAATTCCATGCAGAGCACAACAGAATGCAATGTTTAAGGCTTTGACACAACCTACTACACACGCAAGTACAAAGCAGATCAATTTCAAATGCAGTTTGACATGCTCCACCTAAGAAAGATTATAAAAAGGTTTGATCAAAGTTGCTAGTTTGAAAGAATAACAACAAGAGAAACCAATAGGTTTAAAAATTTCTCTATTTTCATAATATGGTTTTTGTCAGTGGGTAAGATATAGAAGTTCCTTGTTTTATAATATGAATTTCCTATTTCAATTCCTGAATTAAACATTTATAAAGATATATTAAGCTGCAAGAATATTTTTTAATGACAACACTTACGTAAAATTTTCATAAAAACATCTTCTGAGCTTTTACGACTGTCTGAGAATCCGCCAACAATGTGCATCTCAATTCTGTTGAGAAACATTTTGAACTTGCATTGAAATATGCTCCGTGTACTGATTTGGGTGCCGTATTCCATGGCACCCAACAGCTCTCGGCTGACACTTAAAATGCATTTTATTTTTTGCGCTGCTTGTTATTGGCCTTGGGTTAGACATAGTTGAATGCTTTATAGTAACACTCCTGTATAGGTGGAATGATATTCAAACAGAATTCATTGCATGTGATTGCAGAAAACATTACTGTGGAACTCCTTATGCATTAAACCAATTACACACAGTATTACAATTTACCAACCTATTTCCTTTGTGCTCTGGGACGTGATCTTGAAGGGATGCAACCATCTCTGCTAAAGCTTCTGAGATCCCAACTCCATCAAAATGTGCCAAGCTGCATACGCCTGAACCTACAGAGTGATTGAAGTTGTTATATAGAACCTAACCTAATAGCTATGCAAGGTAAAAATTTTAACACAACCTAGTCAAAGATGGGGTTGGGAGATAAAGTTGAAATAGTTTATAGGATGTGATTGCTGGAATAAACTTTTTAAAATGTTGATAAACTTTGTAGAATGTCAATCCAATAGTAAAAATAATAGTTTTAAAGAAGAAAAGGTAAATTCTATTGTTGATTTATCTTATGTTTTACCTTTATGTCTTAAAACAACTATTTGGCATGTTGTAGCACTGTCTGACCCAATAATGTCAACAGAATCTAAAGTAAAATTAATGGCAAACTGACTTAGATTTTAAGAAAGAGATTTCTAATTGTAATGAATGAATGAAAGACTCCATGGACCATAGACTACCACAGAGGTTTAGCTCAACAAGGAGGGCATGTGCACTAGGACTCCTGACTTGGAAGGTCCTCATGGAAGTGCAAGTACTTGATGCTCACTGTCATTTGGATAAACTGTTCCATATTCACGTTGCCCAATATAAAGAATGGTTTCATTTCCGAATGTCCTCTGTTCCTTGGATGCAAATTCACAAGATGTTTTCTGGAAGAGGATTGAAACAAGAAAGATGTCATTAGGGGAGATTTTGATAGGAGAAACATTAGAGAGAGAGAGAGACCAAGAGGGCTTAGACAAGAGGGAAGGACAGCACAAGCAATTAGCAATAGAGAGGGGCATATTGCTGCAGTAGGGTAATTACATAAAGTCGTTATAACAGGGGCTGAAGATTGAATAATGAGGGATATTATTCAGAAAGAAGAAGATGGAGAAGAGTTGTGCGAGCAAGGGGAGTTATTGGACACGGGAGGGATAACAAAGGCAATATTATAACAGGTAATAAAGACTGAACACAGCAAACATACAGCAGGGTTGACGAGCACGGCTGACAGAAGAAATAATTAAATCGAGTTCTATAGAATTTTGTGGTCTGTCGTACTTCTAATTCCGGAAAGTCTTGCATCAATTCAGCCGACGAGTTTATAGAACTCGAAACAGCTCGTTCACCAACAAACAAAGGCATCTCAAAACAAATTTTATACAAACATCTTTATGGATAACAAAACATCGCAATTTCACGGATTACATACGAATTATGATTATTAGTCTGAATAGTTTCGTTTTCATTTTCATGAATTACGAACGTATTACGACGTCCTACCGAAATATCACGACACTTCCCGATTGCCCACGTGTGGGAATAGAGAAAGAAATTACGAAGATGGTTTTTGGTTCTACTGTAATCAATCAAATCAATATCATTTAAAAAATGGCTGGAGCAAATTCAAAGGTGATTCAACGGATATCTGTCCATCATAGATCGTCTAACATTGATGGTATTTCATGGTCAAAAGACAACAGACTGGCAGTTGCTACAAACTCGTTTGTAAACATAATTGTATCCTTTAAATAGTTCTAGTTGGTTAGGAATTAATTGTCTAGCTGTTCAGAAGTGTGCCAAATTGGGATATATTTCCTTGACAATACCACACTAACCACAGAACATCACTGGTGTACAAACTGACGAGAAAAAGAAAGAAACAAGATTACAAATCAAGCGAAGTGCTATTGCTGTTGATAACAAGCCCAAAACAACTGATGTAGATTTTGATTTCTCCATGACCAGATCTGTGCCTTTAAGTGCTGCTCCATATTTCTCCACAGCAATCTTAGACCCTGCCCTAACCCCAACGATATTGAAATCTGCTTGTTATGAAGACGTCACATATGCTAAATGGTCTCCAGTTGGTTGTGATCGTACTGGCAGGTGTATATTATATTAACCTTGTGCAAATAACATCATACAACTCATTGAACAACAGGATATCAGCCTTTATCAGAATAAAACCCCCTTGTAGTTTCCAGGCCTGCAAACTATAGTTTCGCATCAGCCAGTTTAAGATGATTTATTTACATGTTTGTTTAGGTCTGTTTTAGCTGTGCTTTTTCGAACAAATAAATTGGCCTTGTATGTTGCTGACAAGCAATCTTCTGACGGCTGGTGTGAAATAATGGATTTAAGTTCCCGGCACTTTGATGAAATGAAACAGGGTAGTTTCTTTAAAGGTGAGGCAAGGTTATAGCCACATTACTTTCCTATATGTTTATGTACGCATTAACTTATATTAAATGAGGTAGCTTAACTGAATGTTGTGTTCCAAGTCAGACTCTACAATACTTATATTCACTTTTGAGTTATGTTCTCAAGTTTCTTTTGTTTAATCTTACTTTTGCCTTGATTTTTTAAGACAAGATGAGTATGAAAGGCGAGTTGCCTAGTGACTTTAGGCACAAAGTCGGCAACCAAGATATGTGGAAAGAATTTTCAGAATGGCAACGAAGAAAATACCTTTTGAATTTCACATGTATTGAGTGGTTTCCAACAACAGTGGACTGCCTACAACAAACTACTAATGTCTGGAGAAAGTTTGCTCTTTTTTCTACCATAGTTAGAAGTGGCCAATTGTTTATCTGGCAAGCACAGTTACCACTTGTGAAAAATCATAGCTTTATGCACAGGACAGTGGCTGCTTACACCTCATTGTTTTACCCTAGTTGTTTGGCATGGTACGGAAACAACGAATCTAATGGTATGCAATAAATTATATTTTATAAACACGTATGAACTGAGTGAACTTAGAGTTTAACACAGACAGACATGCATTTTTACATAAATAATTTGACAAACTTTAAACTAATCTTCCAGGCTGAGGTGAGGTTAAAATCAACCTGGGTTTATAAATTGACCAATTTTTTTATTTTAGTCTCCTACCTTGGTTGTGGCAATGCAGACGGCATTATTAAAGTATTTTTGGTAAAGATAACTCCTACAGATGCTGGGATACCAGGAGTATCCATTGCTAAAGCATACAGTTTCTTTGAGACACCTGATGGCATCAGTGTTGACTGTATGGCATGGTATTCTAAGGTATTCTGCCACAACCATTCTGATAATGCTTATAGATCATTAATGGTCAGTTTACAACAATGCTCAGTTTAGAAAATCACAACTAGAATCTATTGAGTGTAAATAATTGTGCATTTTAGCATAATAATTGCTGAAATGAGATCACTATTATTGCTTTCTTGAGAAAATCTCCTTCATCCTCAAGAACTCTGTTCTTTGGTATCTAGGATAACAAGTTGTACTTGGCTTGCTCCAAAGGTCCACATATAACCCTGTTTCAAACCCAGCTAATGAAGGAAGGTGCCTTATCTAAACCAGTTAAACAGGTTATTACTGGTATTCATTTGTTAAATGTGACTGGGATAGCAATCTCACCTTCAGGAATGCTCTTCAGTACCAGTGCTGAGGGCAGTGTTCAACAGTTCCAAATCGGTAAGTATTTGAACTGGATTGACGATCGCAATGAATCAATGGGGTAATTTTCGGTCAGTCGACCGCCACATCAACTGTCACCACTACAGTTTAGGGAGTCTTGTTCCCAACCCAACAAGACCTACAACTGTTCGGAACACTGTGGTAATCACAGGGTAAACTGACGTTGTATAATCAACTTTTTTATAGGAAGTCGTGTTCGCAGCACAGCGATGGATTGCGAGACTCTATCTGGTCATGGTTATAGTGGCATCGCCATATCTCCTAATGGTGTCTTTATTGCGCTTTTTGAAAACAAACGTAAATTGTTTCATTACAAGAAGAACGCCATTGATTCCCAAGGCGAGGTATGTTTTCATAAGAAAACGACGTTATATTAATAAGAAAATCTTTGTAGGATAATACAGACGGTAGAAAGCACGCGGCTTTCTCTCGAGGGAAATCAATCCTCAAAGTCCTCGTACTATTTTGTTTTTAATTCCATCTTTACACATTGGAAGAATCAAAATGCTCCTCAATCTTATGTTATCTTGTTTCAGATTGCCGTTATCTCGCTTTTATCCAAAGAGGAGAACGTTCAAGACTTGATGTCAAACGCATCAAGCGTTTCAGATGTTGTTGAGATAAGAGATAGATTCATTCATCAAGAGTTGTCCAGAGCCGATCTTTTCGACACCGTTGTTCTACCAGCCATTCTTAGCAACTTCTCTCAAGCCTATCTTCAGTTTCTTTGGAACTTATTTTCTTCTGATCCGAAGTTTAAGAAATACTCAGGTATAGTCTAAAAGATCATCTCAACTCTGATAATAACTTGTATATCATTTCTAGTATATAACAAAGTCCCTGCTCGCATAAACGACTATGAAAAAAATACGACGAACATCTTATCTGTTCACTTATAATTTCAGCACATGAAGCTGTCGTGCTCGGCTCGTGTGACGACTTGGTCAGTGAAAATCACATCGAGTTGAAAAGCTTGTATCGTGTTGAAAAGATTGAAAAACAAGTAGCAACACTGTCTATGGAAAAAGCTCTGGAGTCCATTGTAGAATACCACGAAGCAAAGAAGACGTCAGAGAAATACATTCCAGTCGCTGGTAGGTGGTTGAAATTTTGGTGAGATGCGGTTAAGATTTTAAAATGATTTCTTTCACATTTTTTCATTGCCACCACTAACTAAAGATCAACTGTATTTTTCACAGGAGACATGACGGTTAAATGTATTTGCCGTTGGCTCGCCCAGAACAACTCTTCAAGCTCTGTGGTTGTTGATTTGTTGGAAAAGGTGTGGTCTATCACCAAACGTATTACTATGGTGAATGACACTGAGGAGGAATCTTGTGGATCAAATATGGACAGTGATGTATGCAAAGAGATACTTGATGATAATGATGTATTTGAAAACTGCATGTGTGGGCAACCAATTAGGTTAAGCGAAGTGAGATTTGGACGATGTTCCGTTGGACACATATGGCCTCGTTGCTGTGTGACGTTCAAATTACTAGATGGTACAAACGCTCGAGTTTGCGAGAACTGCAACGCGCATGCTCTCAACAGACATCCAATCAACAGCCCGTATGAAGAAGACTGGACTAAGCATCTCTTAGATGTCACGTCATCGTGTACATATTGTGGAGCGTGGTTTGAGGAGGTTTAATTCAATACATTGTTGCAATAACTAAACAATACAGATCATGGTGCTCCATTGGGACCATCAGACCATGGTTAATGTTGTATATAATTTCATAGCGGTTGAAGATACTAAAAGCCGAACAAATTGTGTTTTTCCCCCTATATTTTAAATGGCTCTGAATGATAAAAAAGATAAACATCGAAAGACGTATTAAAAAGTGACATTTTAGGGGAAAATTTCCTGTATTTTGCGCGTCTTTTTGGTATGCGCAGTTGGTTAAAATACGTTTGGTGCGCATCCGCGTGCTTTCACAGTTTTTCCTGTCCTTTCCTGTCCGGTGTAAAAAGTTAAATGACGAAGTTTAATGTTTTCCCATGACGGTTTTTCTGCCGCTTTGGCGGCTTATCCTTTACTACAGTTCAAAGTAAGCTTTAATTCATGGCTTCTTGTAACCATTTAACTCAATTTACAAAGGAATGCTTGCCAACTTATCGTAAAGTTTGTGGGTGGTTTATCGTTGGCTCGTCAAGAAAAACCCGGCGTGCAAAGGTAAGAGATACTTGTGTCGTATTTTATGACTTTTTGTTCAATATGCGAGTAATATTCCGTGGTATTTTATACGTTTTTATTATTTTCAAGGCGACACGAAAGTGTGACGACTGTGACACATCGTCAAATCGTCTTCACTCCTGTCTATATTGTGTTTATTTTGGTTGTTACTCTGGCCTCAAGCATATCCATGCTCACGCGAAGAAGAAAGACCATAAGCTAGGTAATTCGTCCCTAAACCCTCAAAATCTAACATATTTGTACTACGTGACATAGAAATATGTGGATTTGGCTGTTGTTGCATGTGAAAAGATTTAAGTGATTTGATTTCTGGGGATTCCCCATACTATATACTATTTTTTGACTTTATTGTATTTGACTAAAATGTACTGGTGTACATTATTCACCCAGTAGTTCAAAAGCCAGTTTCTAGGGCCCACTGATAAAAAATGAATCTTTGAATCACATGGTTGCTGGACTAGCACAATATTTTTAAGTGGATTGCTAATTTAGATGAATTGTCTAAATGAAATAGCCTGACATGCAACACAGGTGAAACTGCTTTGACACCTTTGGTAGTATTCAAACTGTATTGAACCTGGTCCAAGTAATGCCTGGTTCAAACCTCGTGTATCACATTTTTTTCATTTCTTAGCTGTTGACCTGACCTATGGTGTGGTGTATTGCTTTCTCTGTGGTGATTATGTCCATAATGAAGTTCTGGAAAAGATTCTTCGTGAAGAAAGAGCCAAGGCGTGGAGGTCCTATGGTATGTTTTTTTATGCATTTTTACACAAACTGAAGTTATTCATGATATACACATCATTTCTGCAGTAACATTGGTTATACAAGCAAATTTAAACTTTTCTAGTCACTTCACAATATACAAAATTATTGGTCTTATTTTGTTCGTGTTGGGCAATTTCAGGAAACAAGACTGCTCTCTATGAGCAGTGGTTGCCTGGTAGAAGAGATGTTGAACTTTTAAAACGAAATGTGAAATATCAGAGGGTCTGTGATAACTCAATCATAGGTAAGTGTTTTGAGTGGGTGCAATTTCGTGCATTCTAACTTTGAATGACCTGCTTTGGTGCATGATATGAACCAAGAAAGAATAACTTTTAAACTGTTTATTTTTTAGGCTTGCGTGGTCTGATCAATCTCGGCAATACTTGCTTCATGAATTGTATCGTCCAAGCCTTCACTCACACCCCATTGTTGAGAGACTATTTCTTGGCTGACCAACACAAGTGTAAGAAACAGGATGGAACATGTATTGTATGTGCCATGGTCTCCTTATTTCAAGAGGTATGAACTGGATATTTGGGTGATTATTCAGCATTGCTAATACGGTACTAACTTTATATAGAATAATTGTGATCAAGTTGGATGAGAGTTTTTGGTAAAAACCAAATATTAATTGAACTAAAAATAGACTACACGTAATACTAAAAGAAATATAAAAAGACTGCAAACATAAAGTGTTAGCTTCATATCTTTTTCATTTTTCAACTTCCTAGTTTTATTCTGGTGAAAGAACACCTCATATTCCTTACAAATTGCTTCATCTTGTGTGGACAAATGCTCGACATTTAGCAGGATATGAACAGCAGGATGCCCATGAGTTCTTTATTGCTGCCTTAGATGTCCTTCATCAGTATTGTAAAGGTAGATCGATTGCTGGCAGTTTGAGTCAGACAGTTGGACCCAAATTAATATTGTCAACAACTTTTTTATTGCATCCACAGAGGACTGTGATGATACATTGAAATCAGACAACCCACATCATTGTAACTGCATTATTGATAGAATATTTACTGGTGGACTGCAATCTGAGCTCAAGTGTCAAGTTTGCAGCAGCGTGTCTACGACAATCGATCCGTTTTGGGATATTTCATTAGATTTGGGAAATGCCTTGAAAAATGGCAATGGAAAAGCATTCATTAGTTCTGCAGGATCTGTGCCCAGTCCAACTCCATCAGGCAAGTTCAGGGGAATTTATGCATCATAGAAACCTTTGCCAACAAAAATAGTTTTCCATGCATTAGGAATTTTTACTGCAGATCTTACAGCTCTCTTGTAACATGAAATGTCTTTGTTTTCTTGAATAGATGATTATTTACTGTCATGCACACCTCCTGAATCTGATCATCTGGATGAAAGTTTTGTTCCAAGATCACTAATAGAATGTTTACAAAGGTAACCTAGACCTTCAATTAACTCAATTAGTTTTATTAATCCTTCTTTCATTGGTTCTGCTTAAGCTAGAGCTTGTGAAATAGACACAATCCTGTTTTTTATCCAGATTTACTCGAGTGGAAAGATTGGGAAGCGAGGGTAAAACAAAGTGTAATAAATGTCAAAGTTATCAGGTGTGTATAGATCAACTGAATATTTCTTAGTGGTGTGTTGTAACCTAGTATAGGAGAGTAACAGGATTTAATATTAGAGTATTAGAGAGTAAGACGGTTAGAGAATTAGAGAGTAACAATAAGGTTAAAGAATTAGAAAACAACATAAAGATATTGAAAAGCAGCCTTAGATGATTAGCACGAAGCTTAGTTGATACAACCATCATTCAATAAAGACAGCAGTAACTTATAATGTAATGAGGTTAGAGAAGTGCAGGGCAGGGTACTTGTGATAGAGAATGTGAACATAAGAATTGGAACATTCCATGATAGATATAATTATATTCACAGGAAGCAACAAAACAGCTGTCAATGAAGAAATTACCAATTGTTGTTTGTTTCCATCTAAAGGTAAGCCTAAATATTGTGCTTTAAAAGTAATGAGATACTTGTCAACTTTCTTGCAAGAATCTTCAACTTCCTTGCTATCATTTCTCAACATATAAACTTCACATTTGTTTATAGCGCTTTGAACACTCAAAAAAATCTAAGAAAATTTCCTCCTTCATCCCTTTTCCAGTTGAACTGGATATGAAACCATTTATGTCATCAAGGTAGGACTTAGTTAATTACTCAACCTTTTGTTTCATTGTTTTATAAAAAAAAAATTATTGTGACATTATTTCTCATTTTAGTGACCAGATGGATAATGTAAATATTGGGACTTCAAATTCTTCGTGTTCATTGAGTGATTATAGGTATATAAATCTTCATACAACTGTAATATATAATTGTGTTGATGACTCTGGGCATGAATTAATATTCTGATAGTGCTACTGATCTGTCAGTAACCAACAAAAGTGTAAAATATCATGCAATGCTTACTCAGTATCACAATAATTTATCCAAGCTTTTTTGGGAATTCTTTAGCAGAAATTGCTAAGAATACTTGTCAGAATTGTTCTGGGTTCATCAAAACTTGTCTGAACATACCCCTGTGGGTACATAAAAATGAAAGAATGAGCTTTTATATAATTGCTGATAATTCTTTTTTATAGATATTCTCTATTTGCTGTTGTCAACCATAGTGGTACACTAGAAGTTGGTCATTACACCTGCTTTGTAAGACAGAAAAAAGACCAGGTAACAAAATATAGACCTGTCTGTCATAATTTTGTGTAGTAGTTTACCTACAGCAAGTAATGAGAGTCTCATGCAAGGTCAGGCACCTCACAGGAAAATCTTTATTTTGATATGTTTTTCAGTGGTTTAAATGTGATGATGCTTGGATAACCAAGGCAACAGTGGAGGAGGTATTAATGAGTGAAGGGTAAGTCTTAAACTTACATCATCATTGCTGACTACGTAGTTACAAGTTTGTTGTAATAAAATCCAAAATGTGCGGTGGCCAAGAAATTATTTATGACAGCCAAGTTTTATAAATACATATATCAATGTATGCGAACAGCCACTGAGAGACTTTGCAGGTGAACTTCCAGGCATGACAAGTTTGAACTACAAGAAGGATGAGACTAACCTCTCAGAGAAACCCCTGTCATTTTTGGGTGGTTTAGTTGTCCTGATAGACCCTGATGAGGTCTTTCTTAATAAAAATTTGATAAGTTGTCACATTACAAATATTGTTAAATACATTGTTTTGTAATTAGGCATTTCTCATTGTATAGGTACTTGTTATTTTACCACAAGCAGGTCTTGGAATATGAGTATTAACATTTATTGGATCATAAGTCAATATATAAAGTCAATATATTGACTTTTGATACAATGCCTTTAGTTAGAAAATACTCACATTTTTTGTAAATATGTTTCTAATTCTCCATGCAAACCCCAAAACATGAATACATCATTCAACAATAAAATTCAACATTTTTCAAATTCTATGATTTATATTATTTGAATATGTTGTCTTTTCATCGATTCCAAAAGACTTGTACAATCTATTTTGCCTTGTTCCTTGAATCCTGCTCAAATCCTTGCCATATTGCAAGTCTCTCTTTAATGTTTTATGTTGTTCTTCCAGCTGTTGTCGTTTCTCATGAAGCCCTCGAGTTCTCCTGATCAATGCTAGCAGTTCTTTTCGTAATTTTTGGTTCTCTTCTTTTACACATTGTGTATGGGTGATCATTGATTGTTTTGCTTCCTGTTTAGGAAAAGATCATTTTATACAATTGTTACATGCAAGGCAGATATATTGAACATTATGTTCTCAGGGTGTGTGCTAGCTTGCATGTTCTTCAAGATTTTATTGCACACCTGATTAGCTTCTTTTGTCATCGTTTCAATTCTGGCATCTGATTGATCCTGAAATTGTTTCTTTTCTCGCAGAAACTGTGCCTTGAGTTTTTGAATGGATTCTGAATGTTTTGCACGCATCTGTTGAACTTCATCCTCCAATGATTTAATTTCAGCTTCTTGATCGTGTTGTAGATGCTTGAGAAACACACAATTGTGACGTTAGTTGCTGAAGAAAGATCATCTGGCTGCTCTGAAAAAACTGCATGGCAACTAATAGGAGATCATGGTTCTAATTTAGCAGTGGCCAACCTGATACTGTTCAAGTTCTGTGAGCTCTTTTCTGGCTGTTGACAATTCTGTTTCTTTCTCAAGCATCTGGTCTTTTAGCTCTACATGGAAATTTAAGATGTCAACACTACAAAGATGAATATTTAACTAAACTGGATTCCCAGTTTAATAGGATTCTTTCAGTATCGACTTATCTCACCATTTTTCAGCTCTTCATAATATGCAATCATTTCCTCCTTTTGTTTTTGAATTTTGCTTAGTTCACTTTGATTATTATCATTGAGCGATACAATTGCTGATTGTCTTTTCTGTGTCTTTCTTGACATGTAAGCCATGTACTCGTGCTGTATGGATCATAAAATGACAGGTATTTATGTCAGGTGTAACCACCATGGTGGAACTACAGGCTTCTGTGTTGATGGCTACAATAAATGGTTTGAATAGATGCTACCATCTCTATGGTAAGTTTGATGTCTAAACTCTCTCACCCTTTCAAGCAGTAAGCTGTGAAAGAAACTAACTAGTCTTTTTTAAATATGAAATGAAATTGGCATCAAATGTGGTATAACAACTGCCTAAAATAGACAAAACACTTCTTGACGTTTTGACCTGAGGGCCTATGTCAGGGGAGTTAGTAGTTACTTAGTTAGTAAAGAGAGTTAGTTGGACATACACAGAAGGTCTACCGAAAGCCTACAGTTGTCTCTTGCTATGGATTGGTAAACATCACTGGTAAACATACACTTTCTCGTCTTGTGTTCTGTGCTTCCTCCTGCAGCCATTCATTTTCTTTTCGACTGCATGCAAGTATTTGTTAAAGAGAAAATCTTTAAAGAGCATCAGCATGACAAAGTGAAGCGTACCAGTCAGAGGCAGGAAATATAAAAACCGTCAGAAAGTTAAGAGAATCTTGAAAAGGATACAGTTCATCAACATTTCTCTTCACCTCCTTTAATTCTTCAGTGATTGCTTCAAGTCTAAATATCCAGTTAAACAATTTAAATCTCTCAGTTCAAACATCAATTTTGCTTGGAACATTAAATTTAAACTTATTTGTAGGACTGACTCTAAAGAACCGAATTTGTTTCGTATGTTCTCAAATTACATTTATCGTCTATACGTTTGTCCACAACTATCGTAGCGTTAGTACATCTTATGCGTCTAGTTTAATTTTGCGACTTCAAAAACCTTTGTACTCACTGTTGTGATAACAATATTTCTCGCTCTGTCGGCTTTGAATCAGCCCTGTCGTCGTCACCTTCGGCGTTGGCATTGCCCTTCTTCGCCTTTCCTTTCTTCTTCGGCGGCATATTTGGAATACAAAACTCAAAAAACTTTGGTAAAACCTTTTTGGCATCAAACTCCTATCTTTGTCTTCCATCTTGTTTTCGTGATATACGTTGCCTTGGTAACATACTATCTTGCTTTACGTCATGTTATGATTACTAAATCAGGCATTTGATTGGTTAATTATTTCCTTCACTAAAATTGTGCCCTCCATATAGGCACAGATTAGCTATAATCTGTGATATAGGTGAATTTCCCAGAGTCTCAACCCTGTTTTGTAAATATAATTTTTATTCATAAAAAGAAGAGAATTTACAAGAGCACTGCTTAGTTCATTCATAACATATGCTTAATTTGTCTTCTTTAAAAGCATTGTAACTGCTGTGTCTGTTCCTAAATAGGTTCAACAACAGTTGATGTGATATAAAATGTTATAGCTGCCCACACTGGGGCACATTTCCACATTTTCATGTTGTTTTCCTAAAATTCTAGAAAATAAAACACATGAAGGAATTGTAGGTGTCAATGCAAATAACGCAGTGCCTAGCTTACATTTTAAACCATTGTCTGCATGAGCAATAAGCACTTTGTCACATTGCAAGTAAATATAGCAGACAAGCTTGATACCAGCCTTAAGTCCTTACTGCAGATTATACATGATAAAATGGATGGGAAAATACATAGTATCATACCTGTAGATATATTTTAGCAAGGTTAGCTAATCTGTGTTTGTTGAAGTGGAAATATGTGATCATACACTCAATAACTGCTTCAGATGAAAGTTCTGTAAAAATTGAATAGAAATCACAAAATTTTCCAAGCAAGATTACCAATGCCATTGATAAACTGAACCTTTTCATGCATTTCTCAATGATCGAATAAAGCACCTTCACTGGTTTGATTGTCCTTGAGATATATCAGAGTGGTGATGGCAGAAAGAACAGTCTCCTCATTTGAGCTAAATCACAACACAGAAGTGTTATTATTAAATTACCACAATTTGCCTTTTGATTTTGTTAAGAAAATTATACCTGGATAAACAATTAAGAATCTCTTGTATTCCATCATTTTCTAATATAGCATTCCTACAGTCTGGATCTAAGTTTTAATTAAAAGAAACTCACTTATATTATACAAGCATGCAGTAAATTCTAGAAAAAGCAAAAATGAAACCGGTTTCAAAATAATAACAACTTTACCAAGGCAATAGTTACAAAGTCCACTAATTCCAAATTCAACATATTTTTCATTTTCTTCACTAAGCATATCTAAATTACCAGCATATCTATATTACCAGCATATCTATATTATATGTTTATTGCATTATGAGAAAGTCTGGACCTAGTATAGTTCAATAGTATTGTGGGATTATAACAATGTAAATGGTGTAATTATAGAAGGTCTCTCGCAGTTTCTTTAACTTACCCAAAAATAACTCAGCTACATTAAGCTTCTTAAGATGAGGGTAGTTTATTGGATCATAGGCAAAGTTGGCAAGGTTAGCCAACACTTGATACTTGGCATCTAGAAATGAAAATCTGTCTGCTAATGATAGGCAATTATATTGACCCACCTCTCACTGGATACCCTGAATACCCTCTCGGTAGCAATCCCCCCCTCCCCAAGGAAAAATTTGTCCATGCCAAAGTGATGCCATGGCTAGCAAGTACCATCACTCAAAGTATCTTGAAATTCTGTCACCAAAGCTTGTAGGTATTGAAATCTGTTCAAATCATCTCTTCCTGTCTTGTTGTCAATATATTCTTGGGAGGAAAACATCATTAAATCATAGATATCAGATATCATAATACTCCAGTGATATCACGGGATATATATCGTCAATCGTCATAGTACTTTCAAAACCCACTACAACATGAAGTATTGAGTTTTTAAAATGATCAGAAATGGAAAATGGGAAAAGAAGGGAAAGAAAGGTGGATGGAAAAACAAAAAAAAGTGGGACAACGAGGAATGTTGTTCTGCTTTAGATAAACTGACATTGGATGAAGGTAAATATTCATAATTCTGTTTTTAAGATCTCATTTTTCTATATAATTTTCATATGTACATGACAGCCATGTGAAGTTTAAAATTTTTTTAGAGCAAACAGATGAAAAAAAGAAAGATTTTGGACGAGGTCTTCCTTTCCCTTTGTTAATGTGGGTTAGTTTCATCATTATTAACTCAATTTTATTGAACTTCAAATTTCATATATTTAAGATATATACAGTTAGTATTAATACTATAATAGCCTAATAATTATAATGGATTGCTCAAGTCCTAAAGTAGAGCTAATCTGAGTGCAATCTAAGTGGATCGCCAGAGTAGGGTAAAAGTAGATTTCCATGATGAATGACATGCAATATTTCTAAAGGATCTAGGACACTGTGATCCAAAGAAATGTTCAGGACGTAAGCTTGAAAGACTTGGTTTTGTAAGATCATTAAAGCTCTCCCAGAAAGCTCATGGTATAATTCTTAGTCCTCTGGGACAGAAATGTTTGTCTGCAGAGGATGTAGACATTGTGGTACAGTCAGGTGTTGCTGTAGTTGACTGTTCATGGGCAAAAATTGATGATACTCCATTTGGCAAAATGAAAGGTGGACATGCTAGGTTGTTGCCATATTTAGTTGCTGCTAATCCCATCAATTATGGTCATCCATGTCGGCTGTCATGCGTTGAAGCATATGCAGCAACATTGTACATAACAGGTAACTTGGAAACACATAATATTCATAAAATATCACTTGCAGTGATCCTGAATTACTTGCGCTGGGAAATATCATCATTATGTCTTAGTTTATTCACTTTGGTAGGTGGAATGATTAGAAATTATTCAAAAAATTTCAAATTTATTCCCATGCTGTTGGCAGATAAACATGTCAATAAAGTATTAATAAAAGTATCAGCAGGAGCTAGGTCAATATGAGATTATTTGTGGTATTTTTAACAGGATTCAAAGATCTTGGTTCTGAAATACTTAAGTGCTTCAAATGGGGTAAAGGATTTTATGATCTTAACAGGTATAAAGTTAATGAATCTCTTTTTTTGTAGTGTACAGGTACCTGATTCAATAATGAAGTTATATTTAATTGAGATAAGTTAATGAAAGCTTTTTTTTCTTTAGGGAATTGCTGGATATTTATTCTGCATGCAAAAACAGTGGGGAGGTAGTTGAAGCTCAAAACAAGTGGATAGAAGGTTTAAGAAATAAGCAGAAGGAAAGCAATAGTAAGCATGTATTAATTGTATCAGTGTGTGATTGTATATATCTTCATTTCTTCACAATGTGACAGTATGAGTTGTAAAATTATGTATTAGTATAGAAAACTATGAAAAATTGACTCTGACTCAAATGTTTAACTTCTCATATGATATATGTTGTAACAGGTTATGATATGACTACAATTGATGACTCCAAAGAACACTGGAATCCAAATAGGAATTTTGTTGACATTGAATCATCCTCCAGGTGAGAATATAAACTGTTAATTAATACCTAGCTGCTGTGCTTTGCTGGTTCAGAATCCAAATTAATTATCATGTTTTAGAGATTATTTTCTTATAACAAGGAATGAATATTTCTCAGCAGTATATAGAGAAGTCTCTACAATGTATTGCAAAATACCACCTCAGACTTTGTTGTTTCAGTGAAGAGGAATTGTATGAAGAAAATAGTGCAGAATGTGGAGAGGAAAGTGATGATGAAAGTAACAGGACTACAGAAGAAGTGGTTCAGAGTGTTACAGACAGATAAGATAGTTACAATGTTAACCTCATTTGACAGCCTGGCTTGTCATTCGTTGTTGACTAGTTGTGTGGAAAAATCAGTTTGACTGAATTAAAATCATACTTTGAGCAACTCCTGGCAACTTGTATTGCAAGTTGCTAAAAATAAAGAAAACATAAAGAAAACAATATGAAAAATTAGCACTTAAATGTAGCACTTATGTTCAAATGCATCTGCAATGTATTTATTATTAATTCAGCGATGGCCATTGTTAAAAAGGGTAATTGTCATTTGAGTTCAAGTGGATAATTAAGTTACTCAGGCTTGAAGTTTTAAAATGGAACATTAAAATTCAAATGTAACCAAAGGCTTATTTTCTGAATTCCTGACACAAATGTTCATAACAAGAAAAGAATTATTCCAAAGGGATATGATATTTATTTTTAGAAAAGTCGAGTGGAGACTGGAGAAGGCTATCAATATGATTATGAGCTGAACTCAAGTGATGCGAAGGTAAAATTGATGTTAGAATTGCAAGATGTTACGTTTTCGCGTTCTTGTTTCTAAAAACTACGACATATCCGCCTCGAGCCTTTTAAAAATTGAGCTCCTTATGGCTTATATATGTAGTCACAACAAAACGTTTTCTCATGGTCTGATGGTCCTTACCATGATTATAATTATTATAAAATATGCAATTATTGTTGTTTGGAATTGCAAATGTTATTTAGTTTCCATATAAGGAAAATCGTTAACCATTTAATAGGCGTTGGCATTCATTCGTCAAGAGTGAAGAGTTGTTGCTTGAGCGCTTCTGTTTAAAAAAGCTAGAAAAATATCTGAATTGTTCTTCCTTTTGAAGGTAAGATATTTTATTTAACGTGTTTGTGGTAATTTTCTGTTTCGATTGTTTGAATTGATCTTTCTAGCGTGGGTCAAGTGCGGCTCTGCGTCGGCCCAAGTATGCTTTTCCTTTCTAAAATTGTTCGAGACGACGAGATGGTCTGTTATTTGTGCGACAAAAATATAATAAACTAAGGAAGCGAAATCTTCTTGTTTAACGCCCGGAAAGATAGCGAGGTTTCTAAAATTGGGTAAAATAATATATGTTGTGTGAGTACGCATTTAGTGTGTTGTAATACTGAGGCGTCGTATTACTGGCAAAACAAACACGTCTGTTTCTGTTGCCAATACACAGCTGTGACTTGCTTGAAAGCTGTATAATATTGCTTAATGTATTGTAAAATTACGAGATGCTAGGTTGTACCTAGAAGATGGGAATACCTGCTGCCACAGGTTTCAATAATCTCAGTTACGATCAAGTGTAGATATTACCAGCGATTAATTTTCTACAAGTGATTTTTTGTCTTCAAGTATTCTTCTGTATACGCTTTCAAATATATCACTAGAAGTACATGCGAAGCACAGAATTGTCAGTTTTAAAATATCTGTTATCGAATATCATTAGATTGGTTTGTTGATTACGATTAGGGATTTTTATATACAGCGTTTCCATTTCGGCTGCTCAAATTGCGACCGTGTAATAATTTGCAACCGTGTAATAATTTGCAACTTTCATTTCGTAAAAAGTAGACTGCCGCTTAGCCTGCAACGCAGATTATACATTGGGGTCTTAAATTTTAATGTGCTAAGCGAAATAGAATTCAACGTATTGCATTATTTACGATATGCACTTTAAATGATTTAAATTTTGTTTTTTCTTTAAATTCATAAACCAGCGTGATATTGCACGCCCGTGTGAAAGATGCATGAAAACACTTTGTTTCGTAGCAGATGTTACATATCGAGTCGAATACCTTTGAAGTAACTTGATCACCTGAATTTATCTACATTGTGAACTGAGAAAATTAGTAAATTATCACAGTTTGAAAGCACCACCCAAATTGCAATTAGAAAACCAATTACAAGTTGTTCGAATTTCAGCAATTTGTGTAATTTGTTGTATTTACATGAAAGGTATGCATTATGCATCGCGAAAAAGATAAATGGACCTGGTTAACTCCCAAATTCACTATACACAAGGCAGCCGTGATTGTTGTTTATACGTTGGCCATTTCACACGGTTCCTGCTGCGATTTTGTGACTGTGTGCAGTTTCTTGCCTTTAATAGAACTTATAAGTGGATAAGTTGTGAATGCGTAGATAGTCATGGCGCATATATAATTATTTGGAGTACAGTCACAAAACCTTTTTCTTTAACCTAACGTAAGAAGACAGCAATGACGCACAAAAATATATCTAAACATGTCTATTTCTGGTAATATTTCTGGTAACAAATCGATACTGTAGCTGCTTGTTTTTTAGATATGGCAACACAGTTCTCTACTCAAACTGTCACGGTCACAACTCAACCTGGTGGTCTGCGAAATTGGAACAGTAGTCTTTTCTCGTGTTTTGATGACATAAAGACCTGTATGTACACGAAATATAGAGTTATACGAATATTAACTATCTTTTGAATACACTATCTACCCTTGGTACAAACGTACAACGCATTAACGCCCTCTAATCTATCTTTCAGGTCTTTGTGGATGTTGTTGCAGTTGCTGTCTTGCAATTCAAGTTGCCACACGTATGGGAGAAAGCTGTTTGTTCCCGCTCTGCTGTCCAGGAGCTCTGCTGGCCATGCGAGCTAAGTTGCGAGGAGAACAGAACATCCAGGTATATATATATCGTATCCTAACTAAACCCAGGGGTCTTCAGGGGTAGCCGTGAAATTGATGTTCCCGGAATTGAGATTAATAATCCCAATGACCATAGCCATCAAAGTAGTCAAGCGATCTTCTGCATTTGAAAGTCTCTTTAATATTTCTCAGCGATCTGTTTGTTGCATGCTTTGAAGGGAAGTAGTTGGGGCAACTTACTTACCCAACAAAGTGACTATTCCGTTTCTCTTTTCAGGGTGATTTGTGTAATGATGCGATCGTTGTTGAATGCTGTGGTCCATGTGCTCTTTGTCAAATGTCCAGAGAGTTGGATATCCTTGGCCGATAAAGTCTTTGTTCCTTCCTGGCATTTCTTTCGCAACTATGCATATATAAACATGTTTTTCTCGCAAAGAACGTATTTTTAATTAGTGCCAAGTTTATTTTGCAGTACACGGATATGATGTCATATTATGAGTACTACCTTTTTTGTAAGCAATAAATGTCTTTGCTAACTTACAAAGCGATATGGGGTAATTGCAGGCCTGGGTGATCCTAAGTGTTATAATTGTTATTTGGTATGTTGCTCATCACGAGATTCTTTGCGAAAATTCTCTTCCAAATTGACTTGGTTGTGATTTGTATTCGTTGTAGGAACATTTTTATTCCTACTTGTTCTGAATCAGACCTGGTTTGTACATCTTGTTTAGTAGCTGCCTTTAAAACAAGGAATGAGAAAAGCCAGAATCTGTCGGTAAAACGGCTAATAGAATTACGGCTTTTTCATTTCTTGTTTTTTTGCTTGTTAGCGTGGGTTATACGACATAGTCTTCAACATTATTTTTTGGTAGTATGATCCTTGATCCGTGGTAACAAACTGATATAACCAAGGAACAGCGTGGCACTGGGAACAACTGAAATTATGCAGCCTCCTGGACTCTGATTGGGGCATCATTCTGGGCGCCAAAAATAAACTATATGAATAAACCCAACGGTCCCAACTGAAGATACTGCTGGTTATTGCTGGTAAAATATTTTTCCAATTCACAGAGAATTTATGCAAAAAGTAAGGAGCAAATCATATTGTTTATGTTTGTTATATTATGGTTATTTGGTTATTAGTCCGAGTTCAGGTGACCTTCAAATGGTGCATGTGAAATAGTGAAGTCTGGGTTTAATTACGACGTTATTTTGTTTACTTCTAAAGTATGGCCAGCTGCCATGCGCGTACACCAATATTTTATGTCATTGTATACTTCAGTAGAACCAAATTATTGTTTTCAAAGATATTAGGCTTGATATACCACGATTTTGTTTTGAAATCGTAGTAAAATCGACGAGGTGTAGCCATGCAATCGATACATGTCCATACTTGACGAGGATTTGGCGGCAAACCGGAGATTTTCGAATGAAATCTTATATTATAGAGTATATAGAGTATAGGCCTTTTATTCACTTTAACACATTCAACCATTTAGTTCACGACACATACTTCGTATATACAATTCAACACTTGCATACTTTTAATGCACGAAGGTCTGGTAAGAAAATATTCCAAGTCCTAACGCTGCTTGATTCTCTTGTCTGATGGGCTACATTTGGGCTTTGGCATATTACCACTAGTGCAAAATTACTTGAAAAGAAGGGAAATATCTAACAAAGTATCAAATATTGCCCCTGAGATAATGTAAATGTCCAGCCTGCAAATGTTAGCAGAATTTTATATAGGACAGAAGGTTAGGTATTTTTGCAAGGATTTGAGTTGCCACGACTGAAATGTCCTTAATATCCAGACATCAGTGGGGTTAGAGCTCTGTTGGCTTATCTTTGGCATCAAATTTTACTGGAATTCTTCCCGAATCTTGGAGAAGGAATAATCTGTATCTGCTGGCAGGGTTGCATAGAGTGCATCTTGTGCAGATTTTGCTCACCAGTGTGGTAAGTTGTTGGAAAGAAAAAATTATCATTACCACCTTGGTGCTGGTGAAACAAGGAGGAAGCTTGCAGGCAATTTGTATTCCCGTGGAAGCAATTATATTCAGGTGCAATGCCCTCAATTGGTCTGCTTTTCCTTGGGCAAAGTTGTGGACGTATTGTTCATCTTTATATGAATATTGTAAATATGCCTTGACATTCTGCTTTTGAGAATCCCATGCTGACAAGGGAAGAGTTGTGGCTGTGTTGCAACATTGACATAATACTCCTGAATTAAAGAACCTTAAAGAAGTTAACTGGTTAGTCATTTTTGGAAATCATTTGTCCATCCATCATTATTTTTTAAGTTTCCTTTCCATCTAACAAATAATGGTTTATATTCAACACTTTTGGAGGCAAATTTCTATCCAGAATTTATCTTCAGCCACTTGTACAAAGCAGAACTTGAGTTTAATAAAAATTTGCAAAAAGTAAACCTTGAACCTGTAAAAGGAAAGAGCTGGTTTACACTCTGTTCTGTGCAAACTAAAGAGCAAGTCAACGTTTTTCGTCGACAATAGATTATAATTAATTCTTTTATGACGTAGTAATGAAACATAATCCGTCTCACAGAACAGAAATTTAAATCCAAGTTTTCTTGTTCAGGTAGAAAGCGTACATAGACTTTGAACATCTTTCACGTTTTGTTCTCTGAGAATATCAACATAAAAAACTAGATTTTGTTCTCTGATAAATATCAACACAGTTCCAAGTTCATTGTAATACCCAGGCCTTCTCTTCGTATTTCGTCAACAATATTAATCCCTGCACAAACAAGCTATAACCAGTTCAATGCTGTAGCTTGGAGAGCGAAGGTCGTTAAATAAGGAAAGTTGTCATACGTTGTAGAAACTAGATTACAACGAAGCATCGATATGTAAGCAACTTTTTATTTAATATTTCCTCGCAAACATTTGCGAAGATCGATGAACGATGAAAATTCGGAGAGCCTGAACTTATATAGGGGAAACCCCTCTTGCATAGCAGAAATCAATTGCTGAGCTGACGATTTTATATATGAGCCAAACAATTAAATTTTGTTTATACTTATGTTGCCATTGTTAGTCTATGAATTAGGCTATGAATGACATTCTGCATGTTTTGGCAAAAACTGAAGATAAAAATAAAGATCTATGACCACGATGTTTTTGAAGGCAGATTAAATTCCTCCCAGACATTCTTGAGTTATGTCCCTGATAAACGGCCTAGTTCCATGAACCGTTGTCAGATGTCTTTAAAAAGATGTTAATTGTGTCTTTCTTATTATATCGTCATTGTTTACAATAACTGAATAAGTATGACGCATTCACTTTTATGAATAACTCATGTTTCACCAGTTATTATCAAATGCAGCGACAGAAACCAACAAAAACATGCCAGTGGACGTTTTCTTTCTTTTGAAAACAAATAAGAGGAAAACTGAAATGTGGTCAATTTCATGACTGATATGGACTTGGCCTCAAACGTTGGGATGAAAGCTTGAAAAATGATACAAGGACATGGTAGTTCCACTGGTAGAGACGCTGTCGCTGGTTATCGTTGCATGGTTATACAGTATCAACGCAGGAGATTCCAATTCCATGGGAACTCTGAGAACAATCTTAGTGAACACTCTTAGCTAACATGCAATTTTAAAACCCGAGTATTAATAAGACTAGTTAGAACTCATTAGAGTGCAATATGTGAGATGACCTGTGATCATCTCAGACGGGAAAATTGCTACACTACGGGGTTTCAAGGTATCTGCTGTAAGTATGGCTGTATTGTATTAGCTGATCGATGTACCAAGTCTAAGTCCACTTTTCAAGTTTTTGTTGAGGCACGAAAGTAATAGCTATTACTGCATATTGTTAACCGAAAGCCCCACCTCTCAATATTACCTTTTTATACAAAATTCCCAGAGGCTTAGCTAGGGCTCTCCCAGAATATTTAGCATGAACTTGGGCCCCACCTAGGTTTTTGCTGGGTCCCTCCTTTCCTAAAATCCTGGCTACGCCTCTGGTAATTACTCTGCAAATGTTTGCCTGATTGTTTTTAATACCTAGCTCAGAAATATCATCAAATTATTGTTACTAGATATGAAACAATTTCATATTTCTAGAATGACTGGAACGAAAATTACAGACGGAGACCGAAAGAGAATTGACTCGAAGTTCATCTGCGTTATTTGTCATTTCCTGTTGTTTGAACCAGTGCAGACCATCTGTGGTCATCTCATGTGTCTGTCGTGTTTTGAAACCTTGCTTGGGTAAGGTGATTTGATGAAAATTGTTCTTATCATGGTACCATGACAAGTGAAATGACATCACGAGAAGGTTGTATATTTTAGCAACTGTCGTCATATTATCGGTTGAAAATCATTATGTTCATGGAATGACGACAGTGAAACGTGATGATGAAATGGGTTACTGTATGTAATACGGCAGGTTTTTTCCTAAAAAATTCATTCTTTCTCAGGAGTTCAACTCCAAGATGTCCTGAAGATGGTGAGGAGTTAAGTAAAGAAAAAGTGCGTGCTGCTTTTTAAAGTTTCGGAATCTGAAGCGCTTCGCCTGGGCACAATCGAGATGATAACGCCTTTATTTTCTTTTTCAGGCATTTTCTGATGCTTTCACAAAACGTGAGCTTAATGGTCTTGAAATACATTGTGCAAATCTCGATTGTACGTGGAATTCTAGCTACGATAAACTAGTGGTGAGCATGTGGCTAGAGAAATGCAGAAAGCTGTGTTTGTAAATAGTACTACAGAATGGTGCAATTTAATAGCTGCAATCTTGAAGTTTATAACTTAGATGTAAGATTGATTCCAAAATATCTGTAGAACTGCCAGTTTTTAATATTTTCCATTCCTAACCAACAGTCTGGCTATATAAAATCCGATTATGATTTTGTTTATTTAGAGCCATTCTCAGGTCTGCGAACATGCAATTATACAGTGTGTCCATTCCCAGTGCAAGAATAAAATCAAACGCTCTCACTTGGGTGAACATTTGAAGAAGGAATGTGAATATCGGAGTGCTAGCTGTCAATATTGTCGTAAAGATGTTGCATTTGCCTCGATGAAGGTAACTAAGCAACTTCAGCGAAATTAACACTCAGTTTTAAATATACATGAGGAACGTACCAGACAGTTGGTTACTGAAACGCGGTCATATTCTCATTGCATACCTGAGGTAAAATATTCACAATAATTATAAGCCCATGTCTTGGTCCTTGGGAAATTTATGCAACGATTACAGCTGTTTTTCTTGCGACAAGCAACTGTTATGAAGCAAATCCAGGAAACTGGTTGCGTAGTTTTTTCCTCGAACTCATGATAAGCCAAACTCATCCTCCCTGCAGGAACACGTCGCTACGAGCTGTGAAGCTGCACCTGCACTTGCAAATATTGTAAAACAAAAGTTCTACGAAGAGACCTTGAAGAACACAAAAAGTTGGTTTGTGATGAAATTCCGGGAGAGTGTATTTTCAAGGCTGTGGGCTGTAATCAGGAGGTAATAGTTTGCTGATTTTCTTCTAAGTTCATTGCATATTTGCCCTCATGATTCTGTTTGTATTTATGCATGAATGCGATTTGTTTTGAATGAATAATTTGCAATAATGATAATACACTAAGTTTTGGACTATCTCGTGCAAGATAGCCGGATTCCATATCGACAAAATATATTTCCTCGGCTCAAAGCGAGGAACTTTGCTCGAGTCATCAAAATTTTTGTTGTATTTTCAGGTAATTTCTATTCTATCCTCCCACTGCACAATTGAAAATACCCAAACAACCACATTCACACATGTGATGATTCTTTAAGATTTCTTCAAATGTGTATTGTAAAAATAAAAAATTTATGGGTACTATCAATCAATTTCTTACATAAAATATTTATAATTTGCAGATTGTGAAACGGAAAGAGTTAGAGCAACATATGAGCAACAGGATCATCGATCATGTTCGTCTTCTACTGCAGTTCGTATTTACTTTTGCTTCCCAACTCAAAGACTATATTCCCCGTCCGGAATTCACCGGTATCATGCAGAAAATACGAAGCGACATCACCGAGGTTCGTTCTGGCGTCGCTGAAAATTTGTCCTGCTTGTCGAGAAAGTGACTGGTCTTGAAAGACGAGTTGAAGGTTTGGAGTCAAACGGTCAGGGTGATGCAGGGATAGAAAGGGATTTTCATGAGCTGGTGGGGAAAGTTCGGGATCTGTCCACTGAATCAGGGAATTTACGTGAACGACTTATAACATTGGAACGAGAATTGAGGGAGAAATCTTTACATTTTGAACGTTTTCGAAGCAGAGCTGATCAAGTCGATGAAGCTCTTGCTCTGAATACAGTAAAAATCACCGACTTGGAATCGCAACAAGGACCAAGTGCACAACAACGTATTCATAGTTACAATGGTACCTTACTGTGGAAGATTGAAGGATATCAAAGAAAACGTCAAGATGCTATCAATGGAGTGAAGACGGCCTTGTATAGTCCACATTTCTACAGCGCTCAGTACGGGTATAAAATGTGTGCAAAGATCTATATGAACGGAGATGGATTTGGAAAAGGATCTCATTTGTCCTTGTTCTTTGTGGTCATGAAAGGTGAGTTGAACTACGTGAATCGAAATATTTCTCATTCATATCACTGGAAACAGAAATATTATTACTCTCACATTGAGATCACCACTTCTAACATTTACTAAAACATTGAACGTTTCTTAAAAGGTGATTATGACGCCCTTCAAACCTGGCCGTTTCAAAAGAAGATTACCATGATGCTCTTGGATCAAGGTAACGGTGATCACATGGTCGATGCGTTTCATTCTGACCCCCAAAGTTCCTCTTTTCAACGCCCAAGGTCTGATATGAACATCGCCAGTGGTTCCCCATTGTTTATGCCGATTGATCATTTGGATAATCGTCAGTATATCAAAGATGACGTGATCTTTATCAAGATCATCGTAGATTAAAGCCCTGGTCAAACGAGAATGATAGTTGATGAGAGTTGATGAGAGTTGCAACTCTTGCTTGCGTTTGACCGCGAACTCTCATACACTCTCGTGCACGCTCATCAACTCTCATCGACTTTGAACTGGTTCAAATTTTGATGAGAGTTGACGAGAGTTGATGAGAGTTTGGGCGGGTTTGATCGGTCATGAGACTATGAGAGTTGATGAGAGTTGCAAAACCGCCAGCGGTTTGCATTTTTTTTTAAAAAAAAAAGAAACAAAAGAATAGCAAAACGAAGTGGAGTAATGACGAAATTAATGCGCGCGGTGATCAACTCTCGTTCTCAACTCTCATCAACTATCATTCTCGTTTGACCAGGGCTTAAGAAGGCCTCTCTTTACGTGACGTACAGTTACTCCCCTCCTTCGGCAACCACCTTGAGGTGGTGGAGGGGCTTGTGTGCCTCAATGATCCTCAGTCTCCAGAGATTATGACAGGAGCACCCAAGTCAGAGAGGTTGAGAGGCCAGACAAAGAGTAGCCGCAATAAATATTTAGCATTAAGTACAAAACCACTAGAGTGTACTTTCCTCCGGTTGCTCAGTTTCAATTTAGATTTTATTTACGTAAAAACGAACTTATATCATTGTAGTTTTTAGTATTAGTCCGTAGCACGGAATTTGTAGGGCGCTTAGATTTTGACATGAAGTCCTCAAAGATTGGACTAAGAATTGATTACAGACACTTATACATATGTATTAGTGCAATCAGAAAATACAATGTTTTCGGTGTTATTGTCTCTCTATTAATTAGTATTAATTAGGAATTAATTAACGTTATCTGAGCTTCTCTGTTCAAGAAAATAGACCCTTTTCCCCAAATTATTAGCTTATGCGTGTGTTTCAATCAAAACAATGAGAACAGTTTACATACGAATTACACTTTGGCACACCAACATGGCCGCCATGAGTCCATGCCGCTTATAAGCTATTTGTCATATGACCACCAAAAGATGCACATTTTAACGGTATATTTCAAAATTACAAACTCACGGACGTGGCGATAAATTATGCAATTGCATGCAATCATAATGTGATTTTTAGTTTTATAAAAAGAAACGCAAGCGTCAAAGCCAATCGGCAAAACCTTTTATTAAAAAGAAATTCAAGCGTCAAAGTCGGAATCACTGTCATCACCATTTAGAATGTCGTCGACAACATCTGTCACAAGGTCCGAAGGGACTTCTTCACCATTCTCGCACCCAGTGCATTTACAAAGAGGCCCACATCGCATGTTTCGAGAAAAACACGAACACAATCGGGTAGAGCATTTTGTCTTGCGACATGAGCAGTAAATTTGCTCAAGTAGCTCTGGGGGAGCTACGGCAACGGTCATCCACTGAACTGTTAGTTGGGATTCACCGTCAGAGGCACTCCAGCCATGGCCAATAGGACTTGGAGCATTTATCACCGCTTCCAATGATCTCCGTAGTATGGCAGCCTGGTAATTTGCCCTCTTTGTATGCTGGGTGACTTCATCCATGATCGGGGGTAGCCTGGAGTCCAAACAGAATTTTTCCATGAAAATTCTAAGTCGAACTTCTAGCAACGAAGGTAGAACACTCTGACGGTTGTACAGCTGGCAGAGAAACTGCTCTAGAACATCCATTTGAAGATTTGAAATAGACCATTCCTGTCCAAGCTTGGTAAAAGCGGAGATGTATGACGGGTTGCTGATCATAAGTTCATATGGGGTAACTTTTCCCTTTCCTTTCCAGCAGCTGACGCTGTCACAACCAGTGAATGGATGTAATCCCAGCAGAGCTTCTGCCACCCCATCTTTTAAAGTGCTGACTACCGATTCGATATCCACTGTTCTCAACTTTGCTGCTGGACCGCGTTGAATAAACAGTTTACCAGGAAAAAGTTTATAGAGACCTATGCAAATGATAAGTACATCTGTGTCATCTGACTGGATCGTAACTTCTTTGTGTTGTTGAAAGGCGTGCAAAGCATGCAATCCCATCCTCGTGTCAGCTTCTTCGTGATCGGAAAACAAGGCATCTACGGATTCAACCGTCAAGACCGTTGCTGACGCCTTAAACTTGTGACACTGACAGGCATGGGCGAAGTACAACTCAACCCCTTGAAGAAAACTTGGATCGACTGTCTTCCAATGTTCAAAGAAAAAAATTGATTAAGCTTTCCTTGTTTTTCCCCACCGAGAGGAATTTCTTGAATTGCTTTGGGGTCTTCTTTGAACCATGGTCAACATTTAAACGGATAACAGAAGCATCCTTTCCCTTTCGCCTCTCTCTCTCAGCACCCTTAATACTTGAATCTGGATATTGGTCAGTAACAAAATCGACCCTGGTGCAACGATGTCGAGTAGCTGTAGCTATCACACTCTTCAGTACTTCCGCGGATAATGCATCGAATGTGTTGGGAATGTTCTTCAGACGTTGAATTAGAGCCATGGCATCAATTATCCACGCAGTAGAACGATTCGAATTGCTTACGTCTTCAACATTGCTCTCTAGGTGACGACCAATAGCAGACTTGTCAGTCTTGGCTAACGTTCCGTCATAGTTGGCAAGCGACAATGGTACTGGACACAAAGGATAAGAAAGCACGTACTTGAAGTCCAAGTTATTAAACTTCGCGACTATCAGAACTCGAGCAAGATCCCTCGCTGTGGTTTGTAACACCGCCTTTTCCGATTTTGCCTTAACCGTCTTACTCGTTAATGAGAACGTTTTTAGTTTGAGTGCTTTGATTGTGTTAAAAACATCCAGCTCCTTTTTCTTCAGACGTAGATCTATGTACTCAGCGCATTGTTCCTCTCCAGCAGTTTTGGCTCGTGCAATATCGTGTTTGACCTCCGGTGATGCAATTGCGCCAGAAACAATGTTGACCAACTCGTCATCCTCGATGGAAACTGGGTTTGTCATTGCTTCTATGGTATTGATCACACTCTTTACAGCTTTCTCATCCTTTAGCCTCCGTGTGATATCCATTTCCTTTCTCTGACGTGTACAATTACCGCGACCAGCCATACTCTCACATACAGATTGAATCTCTGCTCTATCAGAAAAACTTTTAATCCATCGGTGGACAGCAGATTTGTTAATTGAGAATCCAATAACACCGCCTTTAGTTTTGGAATTCTTATTTAGTGTCTGCTCGAGAGTTTGATCCATTGGAGTCTGACTGAATGGCTGAGACGTGCGTTGGGTTGCAAAATTTCCAGCAACCATTTGCTCATGAATATCTGGATTACTGGTTGGCAGGTTTAGCATTTCTAACCAGTATATTGGTAGGTAACGAGAATAGTGAACGCGGTCGTACGCAAATATCCAGGGTAACATGCGTCGAACCGAGCTGAGATGCAAGGACCAATCACCCACTCTGGAGATACAAATAGAAACAGAATTATATTTTGCAGCGTATAGTTTTGCAATCGGTTCGAACTACATGACTTGTATAATTAAAAAGGACTATTAATCAATAAAATGCATGAAAGAAAGCATGATTACTATTTAGTCCACTAACCTAGTTGCCCTTACGAATTCCAGTAGTATATCTACCATTTCAAGGAAACTTAACCAATAACCAAAGGTTGGATTTGACCCCCCTCTTTCACTGGTAAATTCATGTAACTTTCTCACGAAATTTTGGACATCATCACTCTTTACAAATTCAGTAAATGTTCCATTACTAAAAGCTGCCTTCATATCGTGTACTACATGTTCCAAACAATTTCTCTCATCAACGGACATGGAATCTAAAAAGGCAGTGATAACGAGACGGTATATTGCCTCATAGATGATTTTCATTGATCTGATACTACGGTTGTAGTGTTTTCCTGACAATACACCGTTGACAGATCCTTTTGCGATGATATTGCTTTCAATGAGAATATCGCGTAAACCACCGTCTTGAAATCGTTTGCCAATCACTCCGAGAAAGCTCATAATGACATGGAATTCACCAAGGCGTAGTACTATTCGACTCTGAAACATGCCTTTGGTCCAACGGATCCACTGTGCTTTAGCATAAACAGCTTCATCCATGACAACAACCATGGAATTTTGGTTCAGTTTGTCTGCTATGTCTATGCTTTGGGAGAGGACAGCGTTGACGACGCCAAGATCCGTGGGACTGCCATCAATAATTGGAAGATAGCCAATACGACTTTTCTCAGGAACCTGCGTTGTGAGCTGTGTAAAAAATCCACTCCATGACGGTAAAGGTGTTTCTTCCTCTTCATCACAGCGAAATTTTGCTAGAACGTAGCAAATGTTATCAAAACCAACAGGTCTACTCTCATCTATGTCAGTAACTTCAAATCTTGTAGACAGACTCAGCTTTTTCTTTAAGACGAATGGCTCTATTTCTGTACTTGACACCTCTACTCGTTTCCCTCTTGACTTGGAAATTCCGTGACGATTTTCATCATCTAGTACAGAAGCTTCGGACATCCGTTGAATAACTATACCAGTGGTGCAATGTGTTGTTCCTTTTCCACTCAGTGTTTCTTCGTTTATGTCATTGTTGTCAAATACACATGTCGTAAATGACCCACTAAAACCACGTGGTATAACACTGCTTTGCTGTGCACGGTATCTGGCAAGATCTGAGTCGTAATCAATGACTGCCTTTGGGGATATACAATGCCCCAGTCCTGATACAATGTCAATTAACTTTGAACTGCCCGTAAGATGTCGAATTGTAAGGCCAAGAATAAGATGCTTCGGTACGATTCTTCTTCCTTTGGACTTAAGGTAGATAATGTCCTGACAGATGGACAAAATCTTTTGACGTTCGGTGTCGTTGTCAAGCTCTACCAATTTTTTTTCACTAGCAGAAACTGGTTCACAGCATACACCAGTTATCCAAGCCAAGAAATTGAACAGTTCAATTGGCACAATTTTTTGTGCAGCATCTTCTGTGAGATCGGAAGCTAACGGGGGGTTTGGAACATTTAATCGTGGAGACATCTCAATAGCTTTCTTCACAATTTGGGACGAGAGGAATAATTGTCGCTGGTCGTTGGGTTCTAAATTTCCCATAGCACGTACTTCATCTTCGTCACTAGATTCCTCTGTCGATTCAGGGGCAACAAACATAGTATTTTGTTCACAACTGCAAACCAGCTCACAGTTTGCAATTTCTTTGACTTTGATATAAACCAAAGATGGGAATGATTTCTTCAACTTCCGCTTCAAGTTCCAATTTGACAAATAAGATGCATCTGTGTCTGGCTGCAAATATCTGCTGTAAATTTCTGCCAATTTCGAGATCTTTATTATTTCACCACCACCAATAATACGTTCTTGAATGATTTCACTACAGAATTTCAAATAAGCATCTCCAGTTGATATTTTGGATTCTACTGGAATATATGTGAACGTTCGAAAGCAGGAATGGTGATACTGGGCTTCCTTTGCTATTAAATCTTCCCCTTCAACAATAAGCAGCACATTCTCATCCTGTTTCTTCTGAGCAGCAACTTTGACAGCATTTTCTGCACTTGGGGACATGCACTTGGTCAATGGTTCTGGCTTATAAGCCCCTAAGACAAAAGTAACTATTGAACAGATGACAGAAGCAATGCTCAGTGGATATGACAGAAACAATGGCATAACTATAGGACGCATATTTAACATTCTCTCAGAAAATTTAGGAATCACGCTAGCTGATCATGCCCATATGACCATGCCTATATGTTGACAAATGGGCATTAGACAAACATGTACAATGGACATATAGTGCAGCAATAAAATGTTCTAATTAGGAAAAAATTATAATGTACATCAGTGAAAAAAAGTTTATTCAAATAGACAATAAAAGTTTTTTATTTGTTTTTTTAATAGACAATAAAAGTACAGCAAATAACAATTGCTTTTCAGACTTTATAATAATACCTATAATACCTGTTCTACTATCTTTTTTGTATTTTTCCTTTTGGCAGATAATGCATTTTTTTCCAAATAATGGCACTGTTCCTTTAACAATCTGGCTTGTGGTATCTTGACTTAGTCTTGTCTTCTTTCTGAAATACCAGAGCCTTTTTTAAGAATTTAAAGTGGGGCATGAAGGGGCTGCAAGGAAAGGAAACCCAGCATCAGGTGGTGAACATGGGAAGCCTTAACTGACACTGGGATTTCCAGAATTGAACCCCAGAATTGAACCTTGTTGCTGTGGTTTCCTACATATAATTCCCATCTTTAATTAATTCCCATCTAAATACATTGAATGAAGATTTGTAGTTGTATGTCCCACATGAGTTGTAATTGTATGTAATTTAGTCATAAAATTATAGAGACCAACTTGGCAATAGTTTTGCTATGCAGAAAAATGAGAAAATATTAAATTCGCAAACAATTTAATTACCGTGTATGGATCAATTGCTTAATTATTATTTTAGTATATACAGAAAAAGCATTGCATTATATAATATTCAGCTGGTAACAATTGAGAAATACCTGGGAATACTTTCATTACTTTCATCGACAAACTGACTACTTCTCTTCTTTGAGGATTTTAGATTTTTCTTATTTGTGAAAAGCTGGTAGCACTTCCTGTGGTAACCACACGATGCAGGAAATACTTGTTCACCCCCCAAAATTTCATTAAGCAGCTTAGATGCAATATCACCATATGATCGTCCATATTCGTCTTGTGTTTTCATCCATTCTTGGGCATAATATAGAATAGTTTCGCCGGATTTCGTACTTACTTGAACAACTCTTGTTTCGTTTCATCACTACCTTTGTCCGAATGTACACAGCACTCCATATTTTTTTAAATAAAAGCACATTGCAAAAAGCATATTGTATTATTGTTCGCCATGTTGTCATTGTTTTCATTGTTGTGTCCAGTGGTTGTGTCCGCCGAATTACCGGAATTATTTTGCGAGATTATTTTTTTGCGGGAATTAAATGTCGAGAGCGAGTGAAAAACGTTTGTAGAATATTTGTCTTTTTTTGGTGTTTAGCGATGCGTTGCGATAGAAAACATTGTGGATTACGAAAAATAACTATTTAAACGTGATATATTAAAACAGTTTTCATAATCCGAACGAGTGAGGACTTCAATAAGCGCGTACGGATTCCGTGCTACGGACTATATGTTTGGATTAACTTCAAGCACATGTAAGTGTTAAATTATTTACGATCTTTTTCTATCCTATAGTAACAGTACTCAAATGTATATATATCTTTGAGACTTTAAGTGTAATCCTTCATGTTAGTTTTTATATAGCCCGGCGAAATAAAAAGTTACTCACTGGATTTCCTAAATTAGTATCATGCCTTTATTCAGGTAACACTATTAAATGAATTTTTTGATATTCAATAACGGCTGAAAATGGATGCGTGAGGATTAACTGATCAAACACAACATAATAACATATTTGTATGGCTCGTTCAGCAATCAATTTGTCTGACAGCCAGTTTCATTAACTGTGGTTCTACCAAGACGTTTAACTGGTGACCTTTTGGTAGCATGGATGTACGGGGCAATAATTGGAGATACTTTTACAATACTATCATCCCAGACTATGACAGGTGTGTTTCATGATCTTTTCTTCTTCAACATAACAGAATTGGCATGTGTTAATTTGTATTTACGTATTTATAGGGTTGCCTAGCAACGGATTTTGACGAAAATCAATACCGGTTGCAGAGAAGCTCAAGGTTCGCATCAATTTTATTGGCACAAAACTTCGCTTTTTGGACCAGTACAGACTCGAACAAGTCTAGACAAGGTTGGTAGCGTTTAATATTTAACCTAACGAGGAACCTTGAAGTGAAATAGAAAAAAGAAATAGTGGACGGTTGCGAGAATTTAAAATTTTCCCACTTTGAAAACTGGCATATTTAATAAATGCACACCCTGCTTTGTTTGATCGGGATAATAGATCAACATTTTAATATAATTTTAAGTGGGCAACCAACAATATAACATTTATATGCTTAGTAAAACCTTTAAGTCGAATACCCTTTGCTTCTGGAGCTGCGCGCCGAAGTCTATTTTTCGTGCAAACGGCAAATATTTGTTAGCGATTAAGTCGGGTACTTACGATATCGTGTTACTGTTGTGTACGATATTTCTGTTTTACAGCCGTTTTAGACGTAAAATGTGCAATAAGGGAATGCGTTTTCTTAAAGCAATGTGCACCCTTTGAGTTTCTTTATTCCCGCGTTTAAAAAATCCTGTTAAAAACGCTCTTCTAACGGTTAAAAAACCTAATGAGTTCAACGTCTGCACAGATGTTTCAAACTGTAGGTACCTGTCTGGCCAAAAAATGCTCTGCTCAGTGCTCACAGTCGGTGAAGAAACAAGTTCACTATTTAACTAATTGCCTGAAATTTGCCGTAGATTTTTACAAAGACAATTTTGTATTTTGTAATGCATTTTCACTAACTCGGTAGCGGGTACCCATAGGCCATAGGCCATACAATATTCACATTTCGTTCATGCCCGAACCGGTATTATTGACAGTGGCAAACGTCTTATAATCCTATTTTTTATCTTCCGTTAAAAAAGGCAAGTAAATGGCGTACAAATCAGAGGATCTCTAGGTTCAATAGAATGGCTGTCTGATAGTTTTGTTTGATAAATGAAATTATAGAGTGTTACTATTATACCTTGTCCTTGGACGCAATTAAACGCATTTGCTCGCATTGTGAAGAAAAGTGTAACGTTTATGATGAGACTACGAAACTGATGAAATTGTATCGATTCTGGCCGCCTGTTTAATAGAAATTTCAAAGTATTTAATTGGTTTGTCCCGGCTCAGCGCCTGGCAACTAAAATTTTTTTTGAATACTGTTTTCTTTTCACATTAATATTCAATTTGCATTTTATTTGTTCAAAGTTTAAAGTTTCCATGCTTACAAAACATTTCAACATAGTCAACATACTCTGTTAAACGAAGTTGTCTTCTCTTTATGACACTGTTACAGTTTATTTGAACGACAATGGCAACTCAAGTTACAACAGTGGTAACAAGCCAGCCTGGTGCTGCTCCACGCGATTGGTCGTCAGGTGTTTTCGGATGTTTTGAAGATATCAAGTCATGTAAGTTAGATGAACTCCCATAGGCATAGCCTAGGAAACTTCATAGCTAGTTCAGATTGTAAGCTTAAAATTTGTCGCCTGTGGAAACAGTGAGGTGTAAAAGACGCTCTTGACGAAAATGAATTAATGTCGTTTTAGGTTTGTTTGGCTGGTGTTGTCCATGTTGTTTTATGATAAGTCTTTCACAACGTATGGGTGAAGGATGCTGTTTCCCGCTGTGTTGCCCTGGAGCACTGCTGGCGATGCGAGTCAAATTGAGGACTGAAAACGGCATTCAGGTTTGTCTCTTCTTCAATATCATCATCTTCAGTTTTAATCACTGTTGTATAAAATTCTTTACTACGTTTTTAAAGCTAAATACTGTTACTAGCTAGACAAAGAGTTAATTACCTTTTCATACGACCTCCGGCTCTGAACAGTATTAGACTCGAAAGTTGAATGAAAATATTTAACTTTCTACCTCATGGAATCATTTGAAAGAATTTCATTTCCGTAACAATTCCGTTTCGCAAGTTTACAAAACACTTTTCAATCATAGCTGAAATATTTTACTTTTGTGAATTATTTTCAGGGTACGCTCTGCAATGATGCTTTGTGTGTCAGCTGTTGCTCTCCATGTGTCTCTTGCCAAATGGCTCGCGAACTCACAGCTGTTGGACGCTAAAAGCCCTGTAATCCTTGTTATTTTATACATGTCATGAAACAACGTTATATAATATACATTATACTCTTCATAAACCTGTTTTAGTAATATCGTTTGAAATTTCCGTGTCTTTATTCTTAAGCATGTATTTAAGCACGCGGTTCTCTAAAACTGCACTTATGTTTTTCGTGAAATATTTCGTCATATGGATATACTTTATCAGCTTTTTGTGTGTATAACGGGGAGAATAAATAAAAAGTAACAATCACAAACAATGGTGATTCTAGACGTTGTGTATCAATATTAATATTAAAGAGGGGGCGTATTGAGGAGGGTAGGGTCTTTTTAGAGGGAGTTATTTGGTATCTTACACCTGTATAGGGAACAACTGTGGGCTGTGGGGGAACTGAGGAGGGCAAGGGCAAACGATGGATTAGTTGGGGGCTGGGATAAGATGTACCAGAGTCTGGTAACTGATGCTATGGGCGACAGGTCACACCCCTCACGAAAAAGCATGCTTCGTATCATCGTTGACTTGCTTTTTATAAATAGTTGACAAACTTGATTGTAATATCTCGTTTATATTATTATTGCACGTTTGAAACTCTCCCAGGCTGCTTCTTCTTCCTCTTCGTTTCCAGGTCTCCAGCGCTCCCAGTTCGGTCAAATTCAAGATGGCGGAGAATGTGGAATTCCGCTTTTCAGCCAGTAGGCAAAACAAAGAGAAAGAAGAAATAGTTCGCGAGGTTTTAGGCATACAGCCTGTAATTATTGGATCTTTCTTCACGCTGTTGATCCTCAGCTGCCTGTTGTTCAGGTAGGTTTGAAATGTTTCTCAACAATTTAATAGTCTTGTTAGTGTTTTGAACTTTTGAAGTTTTGGTTTACTAGTGTTACCCGTCATGTATCAATAGAAATTTTGCACTTTTTGCTTGTTCAAGTTGTACATAGTCTGGTGGAAAAGTACGGGCTATTGTAGAAACTGTACAAACCTACTAATGATGTACAAAGATCCATTCTTCTGTGTATTATATTTTTAATATTTGATAATGATACCTAATGAAGACTGAACAGTTGAAAGTAAATATTATAAAAAAAAATAATTGAAAATGAAATGAATTTAAACCAACCATCCTTGAACAACCATTCCTTGTGATTTTAATGAAGAATGGAGGTTGATATTTATTTAATGATGCATGATGTATCGTTGAATTTTGTTAGGCATTTCAGTCTCTTAACATGCTTATGGGCAGTTCTAGTGGGAAGTATTGTCGCATATGTTGTTATATGGTAAGCATCTGCATAAACATATTTACCTGGTACAACCAGGAACATGCCTATAATCGCCTTAGATTTTTTCATGTTAAAGGCAATACCCCCACCCCCTAATATTTAATAAAGTGTCTGCCACTGACTGAATGAATTGAAAGTCATTCTATTAGAATAGTTTTCTCTTTCACTGTTCGAGGGTTCATACATCATTTAACTTTTTATTTTAGCCATGTTCCACTATTTCCCAGCCTCTTGTTTTTGTACAAACCTCGTAAAAAGGTAGGGTAAAGTAATTGTCATTATTTTATCTTATCTGACAGATTTTCTCACAATCAAATTCATGATTATAACTTGCATAATCTCTCTCTTTTTCTGTTAGCCTGGTGATAACCAGAGTACAGCATTAAATATTTGTTCTGTATGTCAAATGTTGAAATGCCAAAGACACAGGTAAAAAATATCAGAAATAAATTGCATTTTGTGTTGAAAGAACATTATCTCATTTTGATATATACCACCCATTTTATTGTTTCAGGTCAGAAATATCAAATGTAGACTTAGAGGTGGGCTCTTTTTGAATCACAGAATGTCAAGGAACTTCTGCATTATTTTGCCTGTGGTCTCCAGAGTGTGTTTTGTTGCAGCTATATAATGGTATTTAGTACCAATGCTGTTCTCTGGCCACTATCTGGTAAATGGATACAGAATATTTAGTAATTCTGGTGTATAATGTTAGGTTTATATTTATTTTGTAGCCTTGGAGAAATCTTACCTTGAATAAAGCAATTGATACTGCCATTGAAGAGGTAGGGATTTTGAAACAAAACACTCTGTAATAAAGTGTTGAGACCAAATAAATTTTGGTTCATTGTATATTATTAGTTCATTTTCATATTTTTTTAGTTTTTAGATCTACTTTTAGAAAATTATGTCTACCATTGGTACAGGTAAGATGTTGCTTTATAACTTTATGATTAATAAACTGTGTTCACTGTGGAGCTTTTATTGCAGGGAAAAAATGAGTTCTGATGAAAGATTTGTAGATGAACTTAGAACTACCTTAAGATTCATATTTGCAGTGATATATCGAAGATTAAAAAAGGCAAGTTATCCTGAAATACTAAGCATTTTACAATCATGAGGACATTTCATCCAATATTCTCTTTGTGATGTTTCAGATTGATCCCCAACTCTGGTGCTGGATAAGCTAATCAAGAATGCTTTACAACATTTGGATTCATATCTTAAAGTTAGAAGGAAATTAAGGGAAAGTAAGTTCAGTCAAGTGGACTTAGCTATGATTTTAAATATCACCCTGGAAACATGATATACCATTGTCTTAAAGCTAATATTTTTTAAATTGTGTTTCAGACCCTGACAGTGATTTTAGAGACACATCATCTTTAGTTTTAGAAGAATTAGGAGAGGATATGCACATAGCTTTGCACAGTAGATCAAGTGAATTACAGTATCAGAGACAATTGGTGGAGTCGTTGCTACCATTTTTACTTCCTTCACCTGCCATGGGCTCCAGGTAAATATCCCTTTTCAACAGTCTCTTTGGTCAAAACTATAAATCTTCTGTTTTTTTAACCATTTTCTACTTTATTTGTCCATGTTACTTGATTGTGTGGCATTTTTTGCAGAAGTACTTGTGGGCTGTTTCGAGAGCTGTTGGTGTATGCTGTTTTCACAACTGGGATAGATACCCTTGTTGAACCGGTTTGTAAATCATCTCATTTTTTCTCAACACATGTTTCTCTTAGGAATTTTTCAGGTATTTTGACTGTAGGAAACATGACTGCTTCCTAGCTCTAATAAAGTTCATTGTTTTCTTTTTTGTAGGATTTTGTAAATCAGATTCTACTTGTCATACTAGATGAAGAATCTGTAAGTAGCATTGTCCTGGCTGTTCTCATCTTTATACAGTCCTATTGTATTGTTTGAATTCTATTTTTTTTGTTTTCTAGATGGAAGAACCTTTAGACCCACAAACAGATGAAGTGGAAGCATTGGCAGAATTTGCAAAGCCAAGAGGAAGAACACCTTTTCATGTATGAATTAATAAAACTCTTTTACAAGTAATCCCACATCATGGTCATATTTCCTGTTCTAAATGACTCTTCAATGTTTTTCTTCCAGGCACTTCATTCAACAATGCCACAAATTATCAATACTCCGTCTGTTTTATTTCGTTTTATAAAATTCATGAAAACTCAAGCATCATTGAATATTTTACAATTTTGTCTAACATTAGGTGAGTGAAATTCTTGATCCAGTTTTGACTTGTATATGTAAAATATTGGATGTTTAAACAAGGTGTGGTTTTTTATGGTACTTTTTTTTCAGATGATTTTAACAAACGCAGCCTTGTTCCGGATTTAACTGAAGATGACAAAAAGGAATTGCTCAAGGAGGTCTGTTTGTATCAGTTTGACTTCAATTTATTTTAAAAGTAAATTAGAGTTGATTTAATATATTGATATTTTTCAGATAATCGTCTCAAACATTTATCTCCTGTTTAGGCAAAGAGTATATACAACAAATATTTTGTGAGGGGTGCACCAGATTTTATACCTTTTCATCCAAGTATTGTGGATAGTCTTAAGAAAGGTGAGTATCTTACCATCAACATCATTTGCAATTTGTGAAGTATAGATATTTTAATAACTTTTTACCAGTACACAATTTTAAGTTTACCAGTTAGTCCGACAGACATATAGATTCTTCTTGTGAGCACACTATTTAAGAATATATTTTATATTATTGCAGTTGTACAGTCCACCTCAGACCAAATAACAAAACCCGAAATGGCAACCCCTCTTTACAAGTAAGATTTTAGTTTGACAATGACACAAAATGTGTTCTCCAAAATGCGATCATTTTAAAAATGAATTATATTCCATCCCACAGGGCTTATGAACATGCTTTTGATCAACTGGAACACATATATCTGCCATTATTTCATCAAAGTGATGAAGTAAGGATAATTTATTAATTGGCCCTAAATGACATCTCACCGACTTTAAAACCATCCTTCACATAAATTGATCTTTAGAGTTGAAAAATGACCACAAATCTTTTTTATTTTCGTTCGAGAGATATTTTTAAGTAAGATACCAAAACTGTTATTTTTAAGTAAGATACCAAAACTGTTTTTGAAATACTATTCTTGTTTCTTTGTAGTATTTTAATATGACTTGTGGTAATAGAGACAGTGAGAAGCCAACAATGAAGCCAACTCCAAGGTATGCTTCAACTAAGGTCTAAAACTGTGTTATGGATTCTAAGTCAGAGTAATATGTGGGTGTGGGTTATGCTATGTCATTTTTTCTCCAGGACTCAAAAAAAGAAATTTGGTGAACCAATTGGGAAGAAATTAGTGAAAGGTTTCAAAGATAAATTATCATTGCCTAAAGGTACGCTAGCCTACAGGTGAAGGAGTCATTCCTTTCCAAGTATTTTCAAATTTAATTAACTTGTCTACTAGAGTTCTGTATTCTGTCTTATGTTCAGGTCAAGAAGGACAATTCAAAATGATTGAAGATGATCCCTTTGACGTTATCATTGATGAAGCCTCGGTAAGATTTTTTGACCTGCAAACTCGTGAAGATGACTGTCAATGTAATTTTTTTTAACTAATTTGTAAGATAACCTCATTTCAAACCACACAGGATGCGATGCTTGATTCTATTGATATTGATGAAGCCCTGGAATTACCAGACACAATGTTAACTGTGCGTGATATGAGTGATTGGATTATTTCAATACCAAAAGTAGCTTTCAACCATCATGGCTCTAAAGAGGTAGGCTCTACTGTTGTGTCTTGATGTTGTGTTTGATTACCAAGATTTCTTGTACTATTAACAACAATATGGTATATTCAACCTTGGTAAGGTCAAATATACCGGAATATGGTATATTCAACCTTAAATGACTAAATTTTTAGATGGTATCGTATATAATATCTGTGTGTGAGTCAGAATCAAATGAAAATATGAACAGATGGGACGTCAAGAGGTTCGTAAACTTAGCCTCTGACATTCAATGTGGTGCCGCTAAACACTAAGTACAAGTTTTAAAATGTATATCTGTTTTGTAAAAACTCTTTTTCTTTTTCTTTTGCAGACAACACCACGAATTTTACGTCTTGCACAGTAAGCTGAGGGAATTTCATGGTAGGTTTTCATCAATATCGTGAAAATTCTCCCGGCTTAAGAACAGGGGGTTTTTGAAGAGATTTTTCACAAAAGATGAATTCGGTTTTTCTCTTGTGGTTAGAAAATCTTTGAGCTGACGTTTCAACTGTATTTTTTTTTCATTTCAGGGTATTTTGGCGGGGCTGGTTTACCGTCAAAACGAAACTCAACTTTGTCATCCAAACAGGCGACTGAGATTTTCGAAAAATATCGCAATTCATTTAAACAATATTTGCAGGTAAAATAATTGGCTTTTATTATTACGATAATAATGGAGGCAGATCAAATTAATTTTCTCTTTCTAGGATCTAGTTCGCAATCCTTTGACCAGAGGAAGCGCCTTGTTGTTTCGTTTCTTGTCTCCTGATAAGGAGTTCACAAACATGTTCACACCAGACACTGTCGGTCAAGTGGCAGGTACGGAGCCTGATGGTAGTGACAGTGAAGGTTTTCAAATGAGATTGTGGATATTATTGTGCTCTTTGTTTTAGGAAAAAAACTAAAATCTGTTGCGACAAAACTAAGAACGAAGAAGGAGGTAAGGAAGCCAACCTTTGCTTAAAAAAAAACAGGATTTAATTTATTTGTTTTCTGGACTAAAATTTTGTAATTTTAGAAAGGCCAAAATCTTGAAACCTTCCTACATTCATTTTTGGCATCTACAAAGTGAGTATTGGGTTTATCATGATCAATACTTCGTAAAATAGACCTCGTCATCGCAGTCCAGTTTCGACCTCTCTGTAGGCTGCTAATAAAGAAGTGCATTTTGATCTTTTCCACCAGACCTCCATCCGGTAGGAGCACTCCAGTTTCGGGTTCGCCCAACATGCAACGCAAAGAATACCGCGGCCAGACAGCTCAAGGGACTGGTAATAAGGTATTGATAATTTGATATAAACCATTTTGTTATTGAGGCCTCTTATAAGTGATGATTTTGTCTCTTATTGTTTCTTGAACATTTTTAGGATGGCACTCCCGATACGAAAGACATCAGGTTAGGACACAACATAAAGTAATTTTCTGTTATCATGAATCATTCTCTCAGAGTTCTCTCTATGAAAATTTATAGGAACAAAGTTAAAAGAAAGACGTCAAAAGAATCTCAAGGTACCAGTCTTGTGAAGAGATTGTGAATACATCTGGGATGCTTCCATCTAAAAATCTTGCCTAACATGAAGATTTTTTGTCTTCCAGGACTAACATGATCAGTGTTTGAAGAGATGATTCTGAAAATTCTGTGCTTTTCTTTTTTAGATGCAAACGTAAAGCCCAGTCCTATTTTGCAGTTGAATGGAGTAACAGAATACATTCTTTATATCGGTAAATAGTTTCAATGTTTCTTAAAATAAATAAATCGCAAATCATTTTAATCTGATTCAAAAATCCTAATAACATGAACATAATATGTTTGATTCATTTCAGCCATCCATTTGTTCGAAGTCCCTGCTTGGTGCTTGAATCTTCTGATATGCTTTCGAATTGTTGGCCAGCGAACTTTTGATGATTTTGTAGACAGGTATTTTCAGTCTTCCTTATTTCTCCGCGAGTTCACCTGAGGAAGTGTTTGCCACAAACTAAATATTGACACTCGAATGTTGTGTTCTTGCAGGTATCTCGCGTACAAAATACGTCTCGCGCTTCACGAGTATCATTTTGTGCCAGTTATCCAGATGTTCCGAGGTCAGTTGCTTTGCCTTTCAAAGATAACGAGTCCTTGTCGTCTATCAACCTTCAGTGATAAAATGCCTGAACATTGGGAAGCTTGTTGTAGTTGATTATTGTCTCCGTTTTACCTTCCTTCCTAATCATTTCTGTGTTTTTCTTATAGATGCTGTGTTCTTTGATAATGACCCACCAAGGTTGGTTTGTATTTTACTGGCTAATACCCGCCTCCCAAACGTTCAGACTTGGGATTGCTTGGAAGGAGACTGCGTAAAAAACTCCTCCCAGGGCAGGTTTTGCTTTCTCGGAAACGCGTAAAAGCGCCTGGGTATTACAGTTTGTCTGGCCGTGACTGCTGATCTGTACTTAGTCCCGTAATTTTTTCGCACAAAATGAGCGGTTGTATTAATCTGTTTAAATTCTCTAGAACTGAGACAGACAAAATGAAAAGAAGAGACAAGACGTTGAGACAGCTTCTGGGATTTTTTCCAAGTAAGATTTATATTATTTCATGTGGATTGATGATCTCAGTACATTCTTTACAACTGCTCCACTGCTGTATTCAATATTGGTAAATCTGTGTATTTCGTCTTAAATTTAGCACCACTCGTGAAACTACTTGGCAAACAGAAATACAACGAAGGTCTCACTGCCATATTTGAACTGCTACAATATGAGCAACTGAACAAACAAGTTAGTTTTACTCAAGTCTTTTTAATCCTTTTCGTGGAATATTTTTAAATATTACTAATTTTTTCTTTTCTTTAAGCTCGCTTATACGTTGTTGGATACATTAATAGTAGAGATCTTTCCTGAGATTGAACAGGTGTGTAGATATGGTACACCTCACATCCTTCTGGAATATGCAATGCACGAGTTTTTTTACAATAAATTACAGCAATACAACCAGAATTTCTTTGATTTTACAGCAAAATACAAAAGACGAAGAGGAGAAATGACGTCTCGGTGCGTGAGTAAATAAATTATTGAATGTGGTGTTTAGCACTGGATTGATTTCGTAAAGAAGTTATTACTTAGCTAGGTGATAAAGTTATGACTCCCGTGACGTGAGACGTGAGAATCAACCTCTGATGTTCAGAATAAACAATAAATAAGTGTTTACTTGTTAAACAAAGATAATTGCAACATTATCAACCCAAATAACAAATAACTTAAATACTGTCAGATAGTGAACAATAAATGACAATTGATTCGAATAATTCATAACTATACGTAGTTATCAATAAAAATGATCAAATTATTTATCATATATTCATCATTCCATTCGTTGTTTTATTAAAACATTGACCATAAAATCCCTTGTATTGATAAAATATTGATAAAATATTGTTTAAATTTTATAAGTCACATCACAAGGTTTGTATAATGTTTATTCATTAAAATAATTTCCTAATAGCTGACATTGTTAGTCCATGTAACTAAACGATTGCACCTATATTAATGTAGGTCTAAATTTTGTTTATATATATAGTGTTTTAATTAGTGCAACAATTTTCATGTTTATTTTGAGAAGATCTATTTTCCTTTTCCTGTCAACTGCTCAAGAGCTTTCTTTGCCTCCCTGTGGATAAAAACGATGGTTGTTGGATGTGTTGGACTTTTGTGAACAAATTCATGAATTTTTCACCACAATATACCTCGCTAATATTCCTTCACCTCTCTCTCTTTCCCTCAAACTCCTTAAAACTCTCGGATCATCCCACTTCAACTTGCTGAACGCCCGTACAGCCTAGAACGCAAATTATGCAGTTATTTCCATGGTTCTTATCGGGTAATCTATGAATACTTCTTGAAGAAATACTGACCTGTATTCTGGCGTAAACACTGGAGTCCAGCGCTAAAATATCCAGAAGAGATTTAAGCTCCTTTTCTCCTTTCATTTCCAAAGTCGCCTGTGGATTATCAAAACAGGAAAATGGATAATGGAAATTAATGTTGATATATCGTTTCATTCATGTGGAAAGTGTCGTAACTTACCATTGATATGATCGCTCGTGCGCGTACGGTATCCTCTGGATCATCAAGACGCCTAACAAACACAAATAAACATTGAAAGAGAGGATATATTTCAGCTGAATATGATATCGCTTATTTGGTACCTATGGACGAGGCTACAGGCTTTGTTTCTTAATCTCAATGTATTCAATAATTCTGCAACTTTTGATCTAACTACTTGATGCGCATGATCCCAAAGTAGTCGCTCTAAGATCTGAAATATCTCATCGACGTCTTTCGCCAGGACATGACGATTTCCTGACAGAAGAAGAACATTATTTGTTAATGTACAAAATTAGTTATGGATTATAATAGATAAATTTCCACGTGAAACCCTCACCAACAAACATCAATAGATCACAAGCCTGGACGCGAACCTGAAATGCGGAGAATACGATGAAATATTGGCTCTATCTCATTAGATCTATCTCACCAGGTTCATTATCAAGGATGCTGTGCCCAATTCCACTCCAGCCGTTGGTGATAGCGACTGTTGTCGTTTAAGTTTATTACCTTCCAACTAACTGAAGTGCTTAATTCGTGTAGCAAAGATTCGACGACAATTTTATCTTTACTGTTCATTTGACGAACCAAAACATTCAAGGCCTGAAAGTTAATGAATAACTTGCTGAGAGTGATGTCAAGTTGATCATTTGTGGATTGGTTACTTGATCAAGTTGAAATACATATCAAACGATTGGGCTATATCATGTGCGATGATTCACTGTGTTAAATTATGTGGTGATAGTGTGATATAATAACTCATTGGTACCTGACAGCGCTGTGTTGAAATCAATGAATTAGTTTTGATAACGTCAAGTAAATATCTTTTGGCAACGGGATGTACAACAAACAATCTACCCAAACATAACGCGCTGGAAAATGCTAAGCTGGGGTCGTTGCCTTGGATAAGATCTTCTAAGACATCTAAGGTTTCTTGGAATGGTTGAGCTTTCTAGAAAGAGATTTATCTATAAAGATCTATAAAGATTTATATCAGCTTCTTCCATTGCCCCTCGTCGGACACAAGTTCCTCGACCCTTTACCTTGTCAAAAAAGGGTATGTTGTCGACAGAACACAAAACATCTAGTATTTCTTGTTTTAAGCTTTTTGATCCTGAGAAGGTGAAAAGGATACACGATATAACGCCGGGAGACAACATCGTTTTCTTGCATATACTCTGTTTTAGCTGAAGGAATTTCTTAAACTCACCAAATTTAAGTGCATTTTGAAGAATCTCAATAGCTGAGGAATGCCAGTGACCTTGAAACGGAAACAATGCAATGTCATTCAGCTTCTTGCTTGTCGAAGTTTTCTTGCAGTGGTTTCTCTAATAAGCTCTCGTTCACCACAAAACTCTGTTAGATTCCCAAAATATTCACAAAACAAACCTGAGAGAATCAAAGCCTTGCTTGCTTCGTACAAAATTCGTGGATCTTTGCTTTCGCGCAACTGTAATGTTCAAATTTCATCAGACGTTGCAACTCTTAAAGACTCTTTTAATCCATGAAAAAAACTGTGACAATAGACTTACAAACGTTTTGATAGCTGCTCCCACTTCCTCTTCAGAGCAGCGGAGTTCACTCAGAGCCTGTTGAAATATTTATTATCAAATAACTGTCTTATCTGCAAGTCATAATAGATATTTTCGTGATAACCTTTAGTGAGTCAATGACAGTCTTTTTCGTTGGTGAAAGTAAGCCATTTGGACCTAACAACCACTCAACTCTATTCCATTTCTGATCACATTTGCGGGTGGCATCGTATTGTTGTAATTGCGCCTGGAATATCTTGAGAACTAGAAAATATTTTGAACAGAAATTGCAATGAAGTTTTATTTATTATATTGCTTGTTCAAAAACACGTATTCATTCTCAATAGACAGCAAGGTTTTTATATCCACCTTTAGTTGCTTTGACCATCTTGTAAACTATGGAAGGTCTCCAAATCATAGCCTCTTGTCTAAAAGGAACAATTAGTGGACCTTGTACCAAGGTTGGTTTATCATAACATTGGCATCAAAAAACGGTGATAACTGATAATAGGTTTTTCTATTCCGAGCTGTTCACTTACTTTTTCATCTCATCGGTATTAGCTTCGTTGTTTTCTAACATTTTCTGTATAGATTTAGGTGGAAAATAAAGATTACTTTATGTCGTGAAAACTCCTCAACAAGTATGATTTGTATTGGGTTATGTGTTTGGCCTTGATCACAACTCTTCCTTCTCCTGTCAGGTATTTTGTCTCTATACCTACCCTGGCAAGTATAGTCTCTATACCTACCCTGGCAAGTATAGCTTGTGTTTTGCTCTGTTGTGTTGGAGGTTTTGTCTTGATTTTCTTCACGACTCTCCCCCCTGCACTTGCTTTGCTGGCGCACCAGACGTTTGAGTTCCGAGGAAAAACTAGACGTGGCATCTAGAACAAATACGTATGTACTCAAAAGTTTTCATCACAGACCTATCTTTGAAGACGACTCGTAGATTCTTTATATCAGTTCTTTGTATACCTTTTTATCATGAGTATTTTATGGGCCTTTGGATATTTCTCAGCAATAGTTTACCTTCACTGAACTTTTTCTTTTAGCATCGATTTGGCGCACAGGAACATTATCTTGATCTAATTTTGGAAGCTTCTCTTCAGAATCATCGGATTTCTTATGAGCGCTATCTTCTGGGATCTTTAAGAATGGAGCATTAGAATGAAACATTTAAGGATGACATGTTATCAAGATACTAGTCTCTGCCATCACTTATTCATCTGGAATCAACGATGATGGATCTCACATGCAGAGTAGCGTTATTATCACGATAACAATCCTCCTACACTAACCATGTCTTTACTGATCTCCCTCTGAATTCTTGTTGCACCTAAAATATGGTAAAAACTCTTTATTAATTACCAAGTTTTTTATGATCAAAATATTGACCATATAACCCACTTTCAATATTTCTCATTCGAGCTTCAATCTTGTCATTTTTCAGCACAGGTTTTATCGACGCCTCGGTTGCCTTCTCTATCACCTCATACATGTGGTGAAGTCTTGCGTACAATTTGTCTAGAGCTATTTTCTAAAAGACGGAGAGAAATTTAGATTAAGTATTGTCCAGCTTGTGTACAAACGAGGTCATCAATTGGTATCGACGTTTGACGTTTGGTAACTTGTCGTAATCTTGATTAATTAATAAAAGACGTACGTGTATATCAAGAACGCTGTTGACCTGAGTTGCCTTTTCTTTCCAAGGAAGATCAGGAGTAAAGACTGGCCGTTCTAAACCATGGTGCATAAAATTTTAAAACACAATGTGAAAGTGAAATATGACTGTATGGTGATGTATTATGTGGTGGATAATTCGTGTTTCGTTGCTGTACCTTTAGCAATAAAGCTATCTTGGACAGGAAGCCCAAGAGAGTGCCATGAATTTGGAGACCTCGTTTGAACGTTGCTATCGGGCCAGTCAAATCTATGATGATCGGACTTCCAATATTTTTCCACATCATCGTCGTAATCTTCACCCAAGGAAGTTTGCGAATCTCTCGTCGTTACAATGGTTGTCCGTGGTTTGTCATTGAAGTCTTTTAGAGAAGAAACTGTGGTACAAGAATTTTTGTCGTCTGCAACGCTATGCTTAGTTTCGTTACGATCAGGATATGAAACATTTCCAAACGATGTAGAACTTTCTTCTTCATTGAAATAATTTTTATCATCTGTTAAGAAAACGATCAGTGAAGCGGACGTGAAATAAGAATTGACAATTTTTAGACCGAGAAGAATTTGGTGAATGTGAAGACGTTTTTTTCAGAGATTTCTTATTTTGGGGATAGGATTGTGGAGTTACAGTATGTTTGCAAGCCTTGATGTGCGTCTCACCTTGTTCTATCAATCTCTGGCTCATATCTAAGACGTTTTTTGTCACGTTATAACAGTTACGTTTTTCACTGTGACATACTTCTGGGGTTTTAACACAGTAACCGCCGACATCAGAGAACAGTCTCTCGCATTGTGACGGGGTGAATCGTTCATCTTTGTTACCGGAGAGATGTGTTTGAGCCAGTGATTCACCAAGTGAACTGACTGTTGCGGATTTTAGCAGATGGTTGGCTTTCTCGTGACACTCTACAAGCAACTTTTCTAGTCTCTTTTCAAGCCATTCTAACCTGTTCTTCGCTTCTTTCACCTAAAAATTCAATCTCTAGCTACAGGAGTCAAATGACGCTATGTGCATGTCAGCATGTGGTATTATCTGCTGCCTTACCATTTTTTTCGCTTTCTTTGCCTTTTCTAAATCTAAGCGCGCATGACCAAGCTCGTTCCGTACTTTGACGATCACCTACAGGCAAAAAACGATATTGTGAGAATCAAGAACTGCTGATCAATTCGATTACAAAGGCAACCTCGTTCCAACCAGCGCTTGGACTGAAATGCGGTACTTATAACCATTCGATGCTTATAACTTCCTATGACAAATGGTTGGTAACAAAATCCTTACAAAGTTTGAAAACACTTTACCTGGACTAGAACGATCAAGGTTTCACTTTTTTTGACGATGTCTTTAACTGATTCAACTGTGCTTAGATCAATCTAAACATTCAAAAGACAAAGATCTAAAGGACCATCTCACAGCATTGTTATATTTGAACTGCAAAGATCACCTCATTTTCGGAGTCGTTAATGTTTTCAACAAGATTGTGAAGTTTCTCCTGACTCTGTTTGATCATGTCGACCTTAATACACAAATAGCATTTCGTCCATAGCTAGAAACATAGTACGCTATAATACGCCGACACGGAGAGGGAGTGTTGGCAGTACTACCTTTCACATATAGCTTTACCATTTTGCAAAACCGATAACCGTACTTGTTTTTACTCTTGTTTTCAATCTGTTTTCAATCAAGTTTTTTACACTGAACTTGATTGAAAACAAGACAATGTCCAGGTGTATTTTTCAAACGTTTATAAAAATGGCGTTTTTCATGGGGAACTCAGTAAGAATCTGATATGGTATTGAGGCCTCATTATACAATCAATATCTAAGAATGCTTTTGTACCTGTTCTTTTACCAGACTGTTCATTTTCTCAGATTTTTGTGATAGTTCCATCTCTCTTCCGGTCATCGAGAAATTATTGAGGTAACATTTGGCTTGACCTTGTGATTGTCGCTGTAAGCATTTGTTTTTTTGAATGAGTAAGTTCACTATAAATTATCGAGATTTGTCTGCCACAGAGATTTATTTTACAAAAACAAGTTTTATTATATGTATTCTATGCAAAATTCGGCCGCCATATTCGTTGGTAAATAGTAACCATGGAGACAAGCGTAGTAACCATAGTAACGAGTAGTTCGAACGTTTTCCATCTTTTTTGTGGTAATAAGTTTATGTCCAGTATACACCAATAGTAAAATCGCACTTGTTTTTAGCTGGCATATATACATCAATAGCCATAATTCATCATAGATACCCATCATAACATATCAATATACATCCTTACACGCAACTAGGCATTGCTAGACATCATTGCATATCACTGGACATCATTATACATCAATGGACATCATTATACATCACTGGACATCGCTGGACATCATTATACATCACTAGACATCACCAAGCATCAATAAACATCATTATACATCACTCGACATCAATAGACATCATTATACATCACCAGACATCATTATACATCACTGGACATCACTAGACATCATTACACATCACTAGACATCACCAAGCATCAATAAACGTCATTATACATCACTCGACATCAATAGACATCATTATACATCACCAGACATCATTATACATCACTGGACATCACTAGACATCATTATACATCACTGGACATCACCAAGCATCAATAGACATCATTATACATCACTGGACATCATTATACATCACTGGACATCATTATACATCACTAGACATCACTGAACATCGCTGGACATCACTGGACATCATTATACATCACTCGACATCGCTGGACATCATTATACATCACTAGACATCACTATACATCACTGAACATCGCTGGACATCACTGGACATCATTATACATCACTGGACATCGCTGGACATCATTATACATCACTAGACATCATTATACATCACTGGACATCATTATACATCACTAGACATCATTATACATCACTAGACATCATTATACATCACTAGACATCACTAGACATCATTATACATCATTGGACATCACTAAGCATCACTGGACATCACTAGACATCATTATACATCACCTGACATCATTATACATCACCAAGCATCAATAGACATCATTCTACATCACTAGACATCGCTGGACATCATTATACATCACTAGACATCATTATACATCACTAGACATCACCAAGCATCAATAGACATCATTATACATCACTAGACATCGCTGGACATCATTATACATCACTGGACATCACTAAGCATCAATAGACATCATTATACATCACTAGACATCGCTGGACATCATTATACATCACTGGACATCATTATACATCACTGGACATCATTATACATCACTAGACATCACTATACATCACTAGACATCATTATACATCACTAGACATCATTATACATCACTGGACATCACCAAGCATCAATAGACATCATTATACATCACTGGACATCATTATACATCACTAGACATCATTATACATCACTGGACATCATTATACATCACCTGACATCATTATACATCACTAGACATCATTATACATCACTGGACATCACCAAGCATCAATAGACATCATTATACATCACTAGACATCATTATACATCACTGGACATCATTATACATCACTGGACATCATTATACATCACTAGACATCATTATACATCACTAGACATCACTAGACATCATTATACATCATTGGACATCACTAAGCATCACTGGACATCACTAGACATCATTATACATCACCTGACATCATTATACATCACCAAGCATCAATAGACATCATTCTACATCACTAGACATCGCTGGACATCATTATACATCACTGGACATCACTAAGCATCAATAGACATCATTATACATCACTAGACATCGCTGGACATCATTATACATCACTGGACATCATTATACATCACTGGACATCACTAGACATCATTATACATCACTATACATCACTATACATCACTAGACATCATTATACATCACTAGACATCATTATACATCACTAGACATCATTATACATCACTGGACATCACCAAGCATCAATAGACATCATTATACATCACTGGACATCATTATACATCACTAGACATCATTATACATCACTGGACATCATTATACATCACCTGACATCATTATACATCACTAAGTATCAATAGACATCATTATACATCATTATACATCACTAGACATCGCTGGACATCATTATACATCACTGGACATCATTATACATCACTAGACATCATTATACATCACTGGACATCGCTGGACATCATTATACATCACTGGACATCATTATACATCACTGGACATCATTATACATCACTGGACATCATTATACATCACTGGACATCGTTATACATCACTAGACATCATTATACATCACTGGACATCATTATAGATCACTAGACATCATTATACATCACTGGACATCATTATACATCACTGGACATCATTATACATCACTAGATATCATTATACATCACTAGACATCACCAAGCATCAATAGACATCACTGGACATCACCAAGCATCGATAGACATCATTCTACATCACTAGACATCATTATGCATCACTCTACATCACCAAGCATCATTATACATCACTGGACATCAGTAGACATCATTATGCATCACTGGACATCACTAAGCATCGATAGACATCATTATGCATCACTGGACATCACTAAGCATCAATAGACATCATTGTACATCACTAGACATGATTATCCATCATTGGACATCACTGGACATCACTATATACATCACTAAACGTCACTATACATCATTATCCATCACTGGACATAACTAGACATCACTAGACGTCACTAAAGCATCAATGCACTCACATAAACATCACTGAATACATCACTAGACTCATATACTCATTATTACCATCACTAGACATATCACTAGACATCATTATCCATCACTAAACATCACTAGACATATATCACTAGACATCGCTAGAGATCATTAACCATCACTGGACATTACCAGACATCACTTAAAGTGAGGCGTAGATCATTACGTTACCAGATCATTTTCGCTGTTATGATGTTGATTCTCAGTAAAGATTCTTCAAAATGTTTTTTGTTTCTTTTTGTTTTTTTGAGCTCCAGTTGCATTTGTGGATGCATGGATATCTCGGAAATCACAATTGTTAAGATTAAACGGGCGATTAAATTATTTGAAGAGGCTGTTTGCGAGAGTCCGTCCGGCTCTTTGCTTGTGAGGGAATGGCCCAGCGCTAGGTCTGACAATCTGCCCAATACAGAATGGTATACATCTCCTCCTATCTTGTTGTGGGACGTGATTTTTAGTCATCCTGACCTTATTTCTCGATTTTCATGTCCATTTTGTTCGGCAACCTGTTTACGAAGATCTGGAAAGTGGGCAGATAAAACATGGGCCAGCTCATCATATGAACCTCGAGTTGTTTATGACACAAATTCTGCGATCCTTCTTGTTTCTCATATTTACCTTTGTTCGTCAAATCATCAAGTTCCTGCGCATCATCCATCGATCCTTTCTGCGCTTCCATCGTCGGTTTTTGTTCCATTTTTCCTAACTAATCGGGCGGGTTTCACAGTTGATATGTTAACCCAGCTATCTTCAATGGTCGACAATGGTTTAAGTTTTCATTCGATCGAGGATATTGTGTGTAATCAATATGAGCAATATTACTGGCGTCTTAGGTTACGGTACGAGCAAGACAGCTCAACATTAAAACTTAGTGAAAACGTTATCCAGAGGCAGAGTTTTCCGCCATTTGATCAAAAGGCGTTTCCATTCCCACACGAAAAAATAATTAGATCAGTGTTTGTATCGTATTCTTTGTTGTTCGATCAGCTCTTTTACGACGACATGGCTTGTCGTACATCTAGATGGCTTGCATGCGATCACACGTTTAAAAGTGCAGGCAACATTGGCTTCACTAGAGAGAGCGACGGACGCTGGATAAAGTTGATGAAATGTGTATTTATTGTTTTGGACAATAACGGTAAAATTATTCATTGGAGATTTACTAAAGGAGAATCATTCAATGAAGTAAGTGGCATTTTTAGAGAACTTAAGGACAGGTTTGAACGATTAAATACTGATTTAGAAGGTATTGTCATTGATAATTGCTGTAAATGGAGAAGTCAATTTCAGTCCCAATTCTTTCCAAACATTTTGGTAAAATTAGATCTTTTTCACGCTGTACAGCGATTTGTACACTTTACCTATGGCAATAAGATTAAATACAGATATATGCAAAGGGTACGGATTAATTTTTCGCCAATCAAATGATCTTGGAATCAAAAGATTACAACCAACTCCCGATAAAGAAACATTAATTGCAAATCTTGAAAGTTTCCAAAGATGGTGGAAATCTAAGACGTGGAAGGGAGAATATATTTTGAATCAAGCGGCAAAAAAAGCTATCTGCAATATAAAGTTGCATATTGTGAAAGGCTGCCTTAGTGGAATCCCTGTTAATGTATCAACATCGCGAAATGAACGACTTCACAGAAATATGAACAATGTTCTAAAGATAAATAAAATTGGACTGGAGACCGCATACGTAAGATGCTCCAGGCTTTTTTTCAAAATTAATAACCAAGGAAATAATTCAATTAAAAAACTTATGGCTTGTTCAAAAGATCCACCGGACTTTTCCAAACGAGTGGAAAATTTCGGTTTTGAAACTTTTAGACAGATTGGTGGTGAGTTAGAAGCTATTATACCAGAAAAAAATGTTATGATTTACAAGTCGTTAGATGAGTTGAGCGAAGAAGTAATTTGTAATATCAGAAACGCTATCTCATCATCACTGCAAACAAGTGATGATATTCAAGATGAACACACATACGCCAAAAACAAAGGTAGAGATAATAATATGGCAATGGCCATTGCTGATTCAGCTATTATTTTTTATGAATTATATAAAGGTTTGGAACACATTGGAGGAACGCGTTTACTTTTGAAAACTAATCTTGCACATCTAATTGGTCTTGAATATGGAAATACCTTTAATGCACTAAGAAACATGCGCTCACATTTTGCCACTGCGGCAACTACAGATGGTACAAAGGCGGTACTCACAGGACATCTTCAATTTTTTGGACTTGAAGAGGTGGAGGTTCCAG